TAAATAATGAATGATAGATATACTTAGTTTTATGGGCTTTCAATTATACATTTTAGAAATTTGATTTCAGAATATTAATCATAATAAAAAATTCTGTTGAAATAGAGGAAGCAGAAGAAATAAAATTTTGGGAAAATAATTTAATAGATGCTAATAAAATTTTAGAATAGTTAGCTGAGAGACTAAATATGTAGAACAATGAATAATTTTAGATAAATTCATTAATATACTATAAATGAATTGAAAGGTTAAGTGTAAATATAAATTTATGGATAAGATACAGAAAGAAATATCCTTTTACTTTGTTCAGATGAGCATTATGATATTGGGATTAGCAAATTTTGAATTATAATAATTTCAATTAAGATCATAATGAATAAAATTGTAATTTATTCATTAGTAACATAAATATGTAAAGTTAAAATAGGTAAGGGCTTATGCCAATTAGTGATGGATGTGAAAAGATAGAAACAGTAGCAATAATAGATATTCGGCGTAGAGCAAATATTGATGGGACATTTGCATCAATAAAACCAATTGAAGAAGAAAAAGCACCTGTAATAGTAGGCAGATCTGGAATATCTTTTATTTGTGATACTTATTTGACAGAAGCAGTGTTAAAATAGTAATTTGATTTGATAGCACTTTCTGGAGGATTATCAAATGCATAATAATTAGGAACTCATTAACCACTAGTATGATTAGATTAATTATATATAGTTAGATCAATTAAGATAGTAATAAGAGGAAGGTAAATGGATAGCAGCTATTTGCGAATACCTTAATTTGTTTTAGATAAGAATGGTTTTATGACAAATTCAACTAGAACATGTCATCCAGCTCATGAATAGGATTATAAAGGATAATTTTCTAAGGATAGAGTTCATGTCAGCAATAAGTTTATAACATCAAGATCTCCAAGAACAGCCATAGAAGTTGCATTCGCATTAGTTGAATTATTAGTTGATTAGCATACTGCAATTCAGATGGCGAAATCATTATTTGTAAAAAGATGATGTTTAAACCAATATTGAATTTATAGAAAATTATTATATTGATAATATTTATTCACATGTTGATCATCTATTTGAATGTGTAAAACTCTAAGATATAGAAATTTATGATTACATTAGGTACAGTTGGCCTGAGGACTTTTTTATCATCAACAACAGAATCATCACCAATCTTTTTAGGATCATAAACATCTTTTGTAAAGTTGGTACCATACTCTTCAATTTCAAATTTCTTTAACAATTTTTACATAAGTTCCTTTTGAATTTTTAATTAGTATTTACTTCACTATCAGGTTTTTCTCTGGCGCTTTTTAATTTTTTACTACTAAAAAAATCAGATGTTCCTTTTAAGGAGAGTTAAATTGAATTATTGATGAGTTCATCTAAATTAGCACTCAAATTAGGTTATGGTAATTTATTCAAAAGTTGCTCTCTTTTTTTTTCTTAATCTTAAAAAGTAGGATCTCTATGGTATAATTATTCCATTTATATATAATTTAAATAAAAATAAATAAGACGTCAGTGTTTTAAGAATGAGTCAATATTATTTAATATAATGAATAGACTAGGTCTCTATGCTAATTAGTTAGCTCATCACTTAACAATCACTGATAATAGAACAGGTAAAACTATAGAGATTCCAATAAGTACATCAAGAGAAAGTGATTTTATTCATTCAATAAAATTGGGTTAACTTTAATTTTAAGGACAACCTTTAAGAGTGTATGATCCAGGTTATATGAATACAATTTGTTGTGTAAAAAATAATAGTTAATATAATTAGACATCTAAAATATCATATATTGATGGAGACAAAGGAATATTAGAATATCGAGGAATTTCAATAGAAGAATTAGCAGAGAAATCAACATTTGTTGAAGTAGCTTACTTATTAATAAATGGAGAATTGCCAAGTAAAAGTTAGTTATAAGAATGGAATGAAAAACTTAGAAAACATACATTCATTCATACAGATGCTTCTTAAATGATGAAAAGCTTTAGATATGATGCACATCCTATGGGTATGTTAATTTCAACACTAGCTGCTATTTCAACATTTCATCCTGAAGTAAATCCAGCTTTAGCAGGTGAAGGTATTTATAAGAATTAAGATATTGTTAATAAATAAATCTATCGTATTTTGGGTTCATTACCAACTATTGCATCAAATAGTTTTAGAAATAGAATTGGACGAGAACATAATATGCCACATGAAAATATGAGTTATGTTGAGAATTTTCTATATATGTTAGACAAATTGAATGAAAAAGAATATAAACCACATCCTAAAATAACAAGAGCATTAGAAGTCTTATTTATATTACATGCTGAACATGAATTAAATTGTTCAACTGCATTTGTTAGACATTTAAGTTCAAGTGGTGTTGATATATATACGGCAATTGCAGGCGCAGCTGGTGCACTTTATGGTCCTAAACATGGTGGTGCTAATGAAGCTGTATTAAGAATGCTAGAAGAAATTGGAGATCTTAAAAATATTCCATAATTTATTAAAGATGTTAAAGATAGAAAAAAATTATTAATGGGTTTTGGACATAGAGTTTATAAAAATTATGATCCAAGAGCTAAAATTGTTAAACAAATTGCTTATTAAGTTTTTGAAATTACTGGAAAGGAATCATTAATTGAAATCGCTATTGAATTAGAAAAAATTGCTTTATCGGATCCATATTTTATTTAAAGAAAATTATATCCAAATGTTGATTTTTATAGTGGTGTCATTTATAGAGCTTTAGGATTTCCAACAGATATGTTCCCTGTTTTATTCACTATTCCAAGAGTTGCTGGATGGTTAGCTCATTGGAAGGAATATCAAAATGATAAAGAAAATAATATTGTTAGACCTAGATAAAATTATATTGGACCTGAAAAAAGAAATTATATACCCGTTGAATAAAGAAAAGAAGTAATTTATTTATCATTTATTTTATTAGTTTCCTATTTATTTAGAATCTAATAAAAGTAGTAGATAAAAAAGAAGAGAAACAGCTACATTATCTTGATTATTAAATTATTATATTAATGCAATTATATTTAAACTTTAATTATTAATATTATTATTATAAATATGTTTGCAAAAAAAATTAGAAAATAAGAAACTAAATTAATTGATGATGACAATAAAGATGATGATTAATAATAATATTAAAATATCAATTAGTATCCATCAATTGATAAATCTATTGTAAAATTAAAAAAAGTTGGAATCAATGTTTAATAATTGGCCAAAGAAAAATAGATATCTTAAAAAAAGTCTGCAGTTAATGAAGAAAGATAAAGAAATTTCCTTAATCAAGATTCTGCTAGAGGATTAACAAGCATTAATTATATTAAGTAAAAAACCGAAAAACCAGATAAACTTATGGAAAAATATGTACAAGAAAAAATTAAAAGTGTTGATCCATTAGCTTTTTGTGGTCAAGTTGAAAATATTTAAGATGAATCATAAAGAGATGCAGAACTTTTAGAAGAAATTAGAGAGGTATAATTTTTGCTTCTATCTTATTTAAGACTTAAGCTAAATTTTTATCAAAAAATGAAGAAAAAGATCCATCGTTTTATGTTGGTGGTATTATTTAAGTTAATTTATCATTGGAGTAATATTATAATTTATATTTTTAGAGAAGAAGCATAAAAATTAGCATAAATGGAAGATTTAAAAAGAGATTAATATATATAAACCATTATTTAAGGAAAACCTAAAAGAGCAGCTCCTATTGTTGTACATCCAGATGAAGAAGAAGATAAAGAAACTAAGGCATTTAGAGAACTCAAATCAAAATTTTACTAAAAAGGAAGAAGTATTTATGTTAAGTTATTTTAGTTTATAAATACTAATAAATGAAAAAAACCATAGATAATATTAAACCTGAAATTGAATAATCCCAAAATCATGAAATTAAATAATGATATATGTTTCAACTTCAATGCAAATATTATTTGAATTTTTAATAGAATATCAATTTCTTCTTTTATATATTTCTATTTTACATGGCTCCTTAACACTAATGTTTATTGATTAAATTATATAAGAAATTCTATTAAGTTAAAATAGTTATAAATTTATGAAAATTTTGCTTTTAATATTAGTAATATTATCATTAGCCAAGGAAGATTGTTATAAAATATTTGGATTAAACAAAGGAGCTGATCTGAAAACTGTTAAAAAGTAATTTAGAAAGTTATCACTAATATATCATCCTGATAAAAATAATTCACCTAGAGCTTAAGAAAAATACAAAACAATGACTAATGCCTATTAAGAAATACTTTAAGGTCATGCAAATAATTATGATGATATCAAATACAAGAATAGAGGTTAATCCTCAAATAGTTCAGATTAAGAGGATTTATTTAAAAATACCTATTAAAAGCAAAAAAATACAGAATATCAAAATAAAAAAAATGAAATTTTCAAAGGCATAAAATTCTATTTATTTATAGCAACTATTTTACTTTTTTGGTATATAGTCTATAAAGTTATAATTTTTATTCAAGATGATGATAATAGTCAAAATGATTCAGAAAATAATTAGCAAAATAATGAACAATATTAAGAGAATATTAAAAATCTACAATACGAAGAAATTTTTAATTGATGAATTGACCTATCAGTATTGTTATCATGATCATTAACTTAATTCTATAATTTTTATTAAATTTTAAACTTTTCTTATTAGTCTTACTCTTTATGTAATTAATTTTGTAAAATATGACAATTGATACTTTTTTAAATCAATTTAATAATTTATGAAGATTATTAGGTGGCCAAATCCAAAGGTTAATATAAATTATCATATTTCTTGATTATAATTAGCTTTTTTATAAAAATTCATATAAAAAAATAATTATTATTTGTCATGGATAGAGAATTATTAGTTGACTGTCTTTTCAATAAGGATTTCATAAAATAAAATCTTTCTTAAACAAGAAAGGCTTAAAATGATATTTTATCAAAGAAACCCTAAACTTAGTTGTATCATGTGCAATCTTCCAAATATGGAATAAGATAACCAGTTTAATTAAAAAATCCTCTTCTTATAAAATCTCTATTATCATCACGGAAATTTTCAAAAGAGAAAGATATATCACTTCCAATATGTGCATTTAAAATTATACCAACACAACCTTTAACTTCATTTTAGACAGATCGTATACATGGTAGATGTCCTGCTTTTAAAAAGTTTAGACTTAAATTAGGAGGTAAATAAACAAAAAGTGTACCAGATGAATAATTTAGAGTAGAAACAGCTCCTGCTATGTGTAGAAGCCCTACTGTAACAAAATAAGCACTTAACAATTTGTTAAAAAGTTAACCTATCTATGAAAGAAAATAAAAAAAGTCTGAACCTACATTAACTTTTAACAAAAATGATTGGGGAATTGGAGGCTGGAATATAATTGAAGATAATTATGATCCAAAAATGTTTATGGATTGATAGAAAATTATAGTTAGACAACTTGAATTTTATTTATTTTATTCAAATTTCTCATTTATTCATGGATTTCAATAAATTATTAATCTACTTACTTTTATTCCTTAATTTAAATTAAATCAAATTAAATTTTTTAATAATAGACTTAGTAATAAATATAATAATACTAATAGATACTAAAAATCCATCTTTCAATTGTCAATTTTTATTATTAATTTTGCTCTTTTTGATCTTCGTTTTCTCACAAAATTTACTATCATGAAATCAGTAAAATTTTAGCAATCTTTACTTTGATTTATTTGATCTAAAATTTTTTAAGAATTCATATGAGTCATATAATTTTAAAAGTCTTAAAATCTATCGAATTCTTCATAAATATCTTTATAAGTTCCCATATATTATTAATTACTAAAATCTACAACAGGACTTAACTCTTTTAATTCTAATGATGAAATTTTATTCATTTCAGAATAAGATGAAGATTGCATTTCACTTAATGTAGCGGGATCTTTATATTCATATTATTTTTCAGATTAATTAATAGGTTTAAAAAATAAAGATTTAGCAACATCTTAAGTTATTTTTTAATGCTCTGTTGGATTAATCTCATCTTAACCTTTTTCCAAATTAATTTTATATTTTAAACAATCTCCTAATTGAGAAGTTTTTTATTCTTAATCACAACCAGAAACATTTTTTGATATGGACTCCAAAGCAGCCTTGATTTTATCCTCTTATAATGATTTAAAATTTAAAAGAGTACCGTTCAAAAATCCAGGTAACCTTTTTATATATATTTAAGATTATTTTCTTCCTTAAATATTTAAAACAGATATCTTTCTCAAAGTATTATGAGCTTCATTTAATATAGAAGTATTATCTTTTAAATTATCTTTAATTTATTCTTTTTATAGTTGTTATTATTTAAATGATTAGATGAAATACTTTGAACTAATTTATTAAGATAATTTTGGATCTTGCATTAAATAATATAAAACAGTATCAGATATTTAAGCTTCAAAGATTAAAGATGAGAGTCTTCTTTTATTATTCTTTCTACTAAAGTATTATCTTTCTTAAATTTAGTTTTTTCTACATTGAAGAATAATTTTTGTTTTGTTTGGAAATCCAGTTAGCATTGGACATTAATAAAGCATATGTGTCGACTTATTACATCCAATACAATGTAAATGAAATTCATCATATCTTCCTGAAAATTTTACAAGATCTTTCAATTCACAATATTTTTCCTAATTAAAATATTATATAATTAATACATAACCATATTTTTTAGCAATATTTTAAAAATCATTCTTAGATATTTTCAATATTCTTGATGATGTAAGTGATCTACAACTAATATCGTAATTTTAATCTAATAGAAATTCTTGTTATCCAAATATTTAATCTTATCCAGAAATAGCTTAAATACTCAAAATATTGGCTGATCCTTCAGGAATTTCAACAAAATATTCTATCTCACCATTACATAAGATATATAAGAAATTGCTTGCATCATTTTTTTAATATATTGTGTTGAATGGAACTAATTTCTCTTCCACAAATTTAGATGCTAAAGCTGATATAAAATCTTCATTAAAGTTCTCTTTAAAAAATGGAATCTTAGATATACTTTTCATATTTAAATCTATCATCATTTCCTATAATATAATAGAATTGTAATACATTATAAAGATGAGATGGAAGTTATTAATTAAATTTTTTTAAATCCAACTTATTTTCATTGCTTTAATCTTTCCATAAAAACTCAAAAAATCTTAATATTTTAATCTATAATTTATTATTATAACCCCTTATTCTAAGAAATTATTTTAGATCATTTAAATCAACCCTTATTTATTGATTTTTTGATTATAATTATCCAAGTATTTAACCAATACTATTGATTGAATAACCAAAAGTGCAACATGAAACAATTGCAACAAAAATAAGATAAACTCTTTCTATTAAATTTTAAGGAGTTACATCTCCATATCCAATTGTTGTCATAGTAATAATACTCCAATAATAAGTATTAAACTAATTTTGATATTAAAAAAATACATATTTAATAATCCACGTTTCTTGTAATAAATTATTTGTTAATAACCATGATGTTTCTTTATCTAATAATCCAACATAATATAATCCACAACAACAGATGTGAGATTGATATAATATTACATAAATTAATCGAAATAAATCATATGTTACCCAATAATTAGTCGTCAGTTCCATTCTATCTATGATAGATTCCATTATTTCTGGAATTGAAATAGCTTTTATTGTCATAAATAAATATAAAGGAAATTCAGTTAAACCAATCAAATATAAAGTTGAGGGAATTAAAATTAGAAGATTAATTATAGAATCTAATATTAGTTATTATTTTACTATATTTATAAAAATTGCCTAAAATTTTATTTCTATCTTTTACAAGATATCCAGATTCATAATAACATGTATTTAATTTTATTATGATATCAAATATATATAAGTAGTAAGGTACTTTAAAAAGATAAACTTCACATAATTAAAATTGATCAGGAGGGTAATTTTCAAAATCAAATGAAAATTTTACTGTAATATATAAAATATTCAGATTTATATTAACAAGCAGAATTATATTCCAAACTATTAAAAATATCGATTCTGGTTCTAAAATAATCTTCAAATTGATTAAAGTATCTAAAATCCCTTTCATATAGCAGCATTTGTATAGATGTTTTTAAATAAAGTACTTGAGTCTTGATGATGGTTAAGGTTTCTTATTTAAAATAATTATACTACCATATATTTAAAGTAATCGTGTAGCAAATAGTAATTAAAGTCTGAAGCTTTATCACCAATAATTCTAAACATATTGCCATCTAACAATGAAAATTTAGATGCAAAAGGACTGCGAGTTATTAAAGATATAAATCGAAGCACTTGTATTAAAACTAATAAAGCTTTTTCTTTCCAAATTCTATTTTGAAAAGAAACTAATTTCTGATTTTACAAAGTTTTTAGATTAACTGTTTTTAAAAAAGCAGGTCTTTTAGGTGGTTTTGGGATTGAAGGTTGAGTCTTTAAAGGAGCTGGCTCTGTAATAGATCCTAATTCTGAATTCATTATTTAACAAAAGGTTTTTAATTATGATAAGAAAAATAAAATTGGTATTTTGCTTTTGAAAAAAAATTTCATTTTCGTATAACTTGAAAAGTATACTTATTTGCTCAAACCTGACTCTATTTATCTCCTATTATTCATTTCTAAAAATTGTAAATTTTGATTTGTACTTTATATTCCAATATTAAATAAATTTTTTAAGTTTGCTAAAAGTAAATTTTATTATTTCTATATAATTATCTAAATAATTATAGATTACTATTGAATTGTAAAATATATGATTATGGATTTATAATCTCATAAATTATATTCAATTAAACTTCGAAATTTAATTTTTTTAAAATTAAAATAAATTATTATTGTAAATTATTTCATATATTGAATTAAAATATAGAAAAAGAGTATCAATTTAGGAGAGTAATTTAATAATCATAACGTTTTTATTTTTTAACTGTAAAATTTCAGTCTAAGAGGATAAAGTAGAATGACATATTTTGTTATAAAAAAGTTAATAAAATAAATGAATTAATTAGAAAAAACTCCTAAATAAAGATTGTAAAGAACTCAAAGTTAATAGGATGAAAAATGGTTAAAGCAATTAAACAAAGTTTCATCATCCTTAAAGTATTATTATTATGCAAATTAGAAATTTGAAAACAACACAAGAAAGAAATGTATATATTAAAAAAGTTGCACATTAAAGAGAGTTGGATAAAATAAATCATGAAAAATAAGTTATCTAATAAAAATCATATTTATTAGATAGAAGCAAAAAAAAGTTTCTCTCATTAATAAGATGTAAAGATCCAGAAAAATTTTTCTTAAAATTTAAGCCAATATAAAAACCTTTAAATATGCTTAGAATGGTTTCAGAATTAAATTTAGCTGAAAAAGTTCAAATGAACTTAAACAAATAATCGAAACATGAATAAGAATAGAGCTCAATAATAAATAGTGAAATTAGTAAAAATAAAAAAAAGTAATAGAAACGTACTAATATAGTGGAGGCAGCAAAATAACTGATTTAAATGTATCAAAAGAATCTTAAATTGAGATATTGAAGCCAAGAAAGACTTTAGAATATTTATTTTTAGAAAATAAAAAACAATAAATAAATTTATAAAGAGATTTTGATCTAGAAAAAAGTAAGTCAAAAAAATAAACATAAAGAAGATCTTATTCTCAATATTCTAAATCTAATCTTAAAAATTTGACAACAACAGGAATTAATGCTTTAGTTACAGAAATGGATTAAATGGATTAAAAAATAAATAATAATTTACTTAAAATAAGTAAAATATCGAGTTAAATGTAAGGTTATAATATAAACAATAGTTTATCTAGAAATGGAATATATTTTTAAACTAAATAAACTTCAAATTCTATAAAAGTTAATTCTTAAGACAATATTTGTTTAGAAGATGACAGTAATATTTGTAAAATATTTTAGATTCTTCATTAGCTTCTCATACACAAATGATGTTGGATAATTTATATGGAATTACTAAGAAATTAAATTCTGATACTAAAAACTTGGATGTGAAAAAGAAGGAGTATGAGCATGAATCAATTAAACTATTCTATAAAAAAATTAATTGCAAGATCTGATATATAATTTATATAAATATAATATTGAAGATGACACATGGTAATTAACATTACAATTATTAGTAATTGTCAGTGGACCAAGTGATTTCAATCTTGAAACAGTTGCCATAAACAACAATGGAATTTGGTTAAATAGAGTAGTATTCTAAAAACAGAAAGATAAAGAAATAAGTGTAAAATTTGTTCATATTAAATGTTGCTAATAGAATACATATATGATAGACAGTAATTATAATAACAATATTAGTCAATTAAAATTTATGGGGTTTTGGTGAATCTTTATATGGATAATTAGGAGAGAGAGTTTCATCGATTAAAACACCAATTAATATATCAAAATTAATGAACTTATAGTTTTTGAAAATAGATGGAGGAATAGATTTTGTGATAGCATATGCCACAACTAGGCAATTGTATATATGGGGAAATATTCCAGGATTGAAGTTTAGTTAATTATTAAAAACTGAGAAAGTTTCATATTTAAAGGATATATAAGGAAAATCTTATGAGATTAAAGGATTAAATATAACAAAATATTTCAATTAATAAATAATAGATGAAAAAAGTAATGCTTCTTCATTACATTCAACTAGAAGGAATTCTAAATTTAATTTAAAGTATATTGTTGACATATAAGATTATTCTGCATATAATAGCATTCTTTTTATACTAACTAAAAATTTGATGTTATATTCATTTGGTAAATAGATAGATACATAGATTCAATTTAATGGAATATCTTGTGGTCCATTTCATACATTAGCTTGGGAAGAGAATGGAAATGTTTGGAGTTGGGGTGAATTTTAAGATGGAAAGTTAGGTTATATGAGATTTGATATAACTGAATAGAAGGAGCCTAAATTAATCATAGATTTTAAGGCAAAAGCAATTTAATGCGTTTGTGGAGCTAATTATAGTATAGCACTTGATGTTAAAGGAGATATATATACTTGGGGTAAAGGACCTTTTAAAATTGATTTATCAAAAGCAACAATGCCAAGTAAAATAATTAAAAAAAAAAGTCCATTTATTAAAGTAGCCGCAGGTCTTGATCATTTTGGAGCTTTAAATAGTTCTGGTTAACTTTATGTTTGGGGAAGTAATAAAAAAGATAGTATATTTAATTTACCAGAAGAAGTTTATCCACCAGTTCCATTAGAAATCTAATTAAAAATTATTGATTTTGATATGGGTCCATATAACACAGGATTAATTGTTTAGGTATAAAATAAAATTAATTTACCACTTCTTAATTTTGAACACTTCAAAACTGAATAATATAAAGTAATTTCAGAAGAAGCTTCTTTAATTTAAACTTATGTAAATAAAAAGAATGCTATAGAATATGAAAAGAAAAAAAGTGAAGCCACTTCACCTATTTAATAAAAATAATCAGTTTCACCTATTTAATAAAAATAAGAATCTTAAGATATTAATAAGTTTATTCGAAAAAATAAATCATTAAAAGGAAGTTAATCAACTATATTTCTTAGTTCAACCTCATTAAACTAAAAATTAAAAAACTAATTGAAATTTCCTATTCTATTTGATGGAGTTCATGCAGAAGTATAAAAAATGGAATAAGAAAGTTAATTATATATACCTATTCAATATTCTAATACTGATAGAGTTGGTAAAGATCCATCGTAAGAATTTATTGAATTAGATGGAGTCATTTAAACAGATAATGATTAATTAAAATATGAATACATATAATTAGTTAGAGAAAAAGATGAAGAAGGTCTTCTCTTATCTATATTAAATTAAGTCGAAGAAAAAAAACAAGATTTACATTTGAAAATGCCAGAGAGAGTTTAAATTAACTAATTTAGAAATAAATTTAAAATAACTAAACCAGTTTTTCATGATAAATATGATTAATTTGATAAAAGCATTATCTAAACTACTAAAGAATAAATTTAACTTCTACATTATGAAAGAGCTTAAAAACTTTTGTAGAAAAAAAGATAAAGAGAATTAGAATTTGAAAGAATAAGTTAAATTAGTTTATAATCAATTAAACCACTTTTAAATAAAGAATAAATATTAGAGTCTATTAAAATAAAAGCATAAGAGAATTAATAAAAAGCGAAATAAGTTTCATAAAAAAAAGAAGAAATTTAAGTAGAAAGAGCTAATCATTTTACCACAATTGTATATGAAAAGTCTTAAGAATTCAAATCAAAATAAAGATAGTTTTTATTAGAAAAGTAATAAAGGTAATTTTTATTCAAATAAATATTGACATTTCTAAATATTTAAAATATAGCTTAAATTTATATTGAAATAAGTCAAACTATTCTCAATTAAAGAAAAAGTGAATTTTTACAAAATATTTCTGCAAAAAAAATATAGCATTATTTTAGAAAAAAATATATTCTTGTTAAAATCATGAATTAACTTAATGCTACAGCAAGGAAAATTCTTACGTCCTTTATTGTTAGATATAAAATTTAAATAAGAATAAAAAGAAAATAATAAAGAATAAGAAAACTTCATATTTTTCAACTTAGAAATCAAATAAAAGTTAAGGTAATTATAGGGGTTGCAAATATTAAAAATGCTACAATTAAAATATAACATTTCTGTTCTTGGTTTAATAACAGCATTTCAATTTAATTAAGTGTTCTTAATTATTTTTGGGATGAACATTTATTAAAATAGTTTAAATGTGTAAATCTCAATTAAGAAAAAGAAGAATTAAAAGCTTGTCAATCAAACTTTACAAAATTTTTATAAGATGAGTTTTCATATTTAACTAATCAATTGTTAAATTAAGAGTAAATTTCAAAATTATTGTATTTATTTATTAAAATTTAGAAAATTCCCAAGACATATTCTACTTAATGGTCGTATGTTAAGAGATTATGTTAGTAAATAAATTGCAATAAAATAAGAGAATGAAAAAAAATAACAAAAGATATTTAAGCAATCAACTTAAGTGTTATTACCATATACTAGATTTATTGAAAAGATTTAATTACCAAATTAATATAAGATAAAATTAAACTTCTCATAAGTTTAATAACTTAATCTAATGGAAGAATTGACTTTATTAGAATGCAGAATAAAAAAAGATGTTTTATTTTCATATTTGTTAAAGGAAAGAAGAAAATATATGGTTTAGATGTAAAAAGTAATTTCAAATTTACATTTAGTTTTTTTCTGATTTATTAGAATTTAAAGAGAAAAATAAGGCATTAATAGGCTCAGCAAGAATAAAAACTTTTTCTAAATTGACACCTTAGGAAGTATTATATTTAAAAGAATTGGATTAATAAGAGAAGTTAATGTATTTAAAAAGATAATCTAATCCCAGATATAAATGTAAATTTAACTTTAATCTAGAAATAACTTCTAAATTTATTATTACATAAAAGAGAGGACTGATTCAATAAATTAATTAACTTAATGAAGATCAATATCCTTATCCAGGATTAACATTTAAGGTTGTAGAGCAATTGATGATATCATCAAAGCCAATATTTGAGATTAATTTAGATGTAGAATAATGGTATGAATTATTCTAAGAGTATTTTAATGAATTTAGAGCAAAATCAGAAAAAATTATTAGCTCAGCAATAAGGATAACTACATTAAAAATTAAATAAGAAAGCCCATACAAGAAGAGATCCTAAATGATCTGAAAAATGTTTTTTACTAATGTTATATATCTAATAACCATGAAATATAAATATAAATTTTCTTATTTTAGTATTTTAAATCAAATCAAAATTCATTATTTATAAATTGATGAAAAACATAGATGAAATAGATTCCAGAATTCATTAATATATGGAAAAAAGAAAATCAAAGTAATCAAGCACTTTTGATTAATCTACAATCTTATTTTAGGATAAGGCAGGCTTATTGAATGAATTAGAAACTTTAAGATTGAAAAATGAAAATTTAGAGTAAGAGTTAAAACAGTTGCTTACATAATATGATGAAATTCAAAGAGAAGAAGAAATCAAAAGATTAGAGTAAGAAAAAGCGGAAATAATCTAAGTTGAGTTAGAATAATTAAAGTAAATTATAATTCAAATTATAGGTCTATGCATTTTAAAATGTAAGTAGAGTATTAATAGCAAGTTGATTTTCTTTAAAAATAATTGGATTTAGCTGAATAAGAAAAAATCAAATTAATTACCGAAAACCAAAGATTAAAATCAAATTAATGTAAAGAATAAGATACCTAAAAATTATACAATTAAGTTTTCAAAGATGGTTAGGAGAATATCAAATTCAATAAATAAATTGATATATTTTAAAAAGAAATTTCAAAGTTAAAAAACATAGTTGAAACAAAAATTATAAAAAAGCAATAAGGTAAACAAAAATAAACAACTAAATGTAATGAAAAAAAAACAAAAAGTTGATTTAATATTATTTTTTTATTATTATTACTTCTTTTTTAATTTATTTCAAATTATTAACATCACTATTATAATATTATATTTAATGTATTTCATGTGAGAGATTTTGTATTTAAGCCATTCTATTCTATAAATTTAAAGTAAAATAGAGTTGAAATTAAAACTGCAAGTAGTTCTTAATTAAAAATATCCCGATTTCAATACTTATTTTTTATATTGATTAATTTTAAAAATAGCATTTATTTTTATCAAAACTAAAAAAACAAAACAGAAAATAAACCAATTAAAAATTTTATATTAAGTTGTACTTATCTTTTTAATATTCATTCAATACAAACATCCTATGCTTTTAATTATTTAATTCAACTTTTTTTAAATATTTTATACTATATTGTAAATAAGTAATTAACAGAATCAAATACTAGCTGTTATTTAAAAATAGAAATGACGAATTATTTTCTTTTAAATAAATTACATTAATATCACATTAAAATATCCAGAAAAAGTTGTTTCATTTTTATTTAACAATATTTAATCAATCATTCTTGTCTTATTTTTCAATAACTCTTTATTAATTTGATTAATCACATTAGATAAATAAGACGTATATTATAGGTTTGAAGGTCAAATAATAATTTTAAAAAGAAAAATAAATTTCTGAATCAACAAATATATAAAGATTATATGAAACTAGTGATATTTGGAAAATTTATAATATCAACTAAATTTAATAATATTATTAATATGTGTGATTCATAATTTTTTAATTTTAGCAGTCCTTTTGCCTTAAAAAAATAGAGAAGAATAATAAATGTGATTCCTAATGAAATAGATATTGAATAAATTTTGAAGAATTATAGAATAAATAATAAAATTGAACAAGAAATTGTTTACAAATAACAAGTTACTAAAACAACAAAAAATGCAAATAATTTGACAAGGATGAAAAGAGTGATACTAAATTAATTCAACAGGCCCAATTATAATCGACATAATCAACAGAAATTGAAATAAAAATTTTAGGAATAGTATCCAAATTTTTTACATATTTAAAATCTTAAAGTTACTACACAACCAAATTCGCCACATTTTTCAAAAATTTTCACAAGAGATCGTGTTTAATCATTAGATGGACATTCATAAAATAAAAAATCAATAGATTTCAGTAATATTAAAACCAGAAAAATGAGTATTTAGTAATATGAGATTACAGCTTGGACAAGAAAGACTTCAGAGAGTTTTTGAATCATAAAAAGAATGTTGTATATAGTAATTACATTTTGTAAAAAATAAAAATAATTCCATATATATTTAATTATTCTTTATTAGCTATTCTATTCAATTAAAATGTGTTTTTAATAATATAATCCGTATTAAGAATAAATAAAAATGTTTTGATAAAGACTTGATTCTTATAAATAGAAGTAGAAAGACTTTAAATTAAAATATCTAATTTTAGCATAATATAAAATTAATAAAATTTAGGAGGTTGATTGCGGTTTTATCAATTTTTTTTATTAAATATAGAATATGGGGATTATGGCTGATGAATTTATAAGAATTTAACAAATTTATCAATTATTATTTTATTTATGACTTTAATACATTGTTGTGCATTTTTTCTAGAAAATGCAACAAAAAAACTAAAAAATAATCTATTGATAAAATATTAAATAGTATGAATTATTTTTTTATTTTATTAATTTAATAATCATAAAATAAAGATCAATGAATACAAAACTTTAAAATAAGGGAGGTTATTATGCTTTAGAAAAAAATTAAAAAAAATAAACAAAGTAAACAAGGCAACCAAAATAAACACAGACTCAAAAGAAAACATTTAAACCTTTTGAAGGAAAAGGAATAAAAATGAGCAATGACTAGAATCACTACAATTGGATTTGCAAATAATGTGGTTTTATAAATTAAGAATAGGTTGACGTATGTTGTAAGAACTGTCAATTTTAGAAATGAAGTTCTAAATAAATATTTACAGAATATAAATTATAATAAAATAATCTATAACTAAATTTTTAGTATTTATGAGTAAAAATGTAAATGAAGAGTTCAAAGAAGAACTAAGGCAATTTATTATAAACAATTATGTCCATACAATTTTAGAGTAATTCAAGGGTCCTAGACATCAATCTATATATTAAATTACTCTTACGATGGATTTATCATTAATAATTGATACACGACCTTTGCTTGGATCATGGATTATTAACTTCTATCCTCATTTTTTAATTTCAATACATTAGATAATATACACAATAGTAAAGAAAATGAATATTGGATATGATGATTTCATATGTGAGACTAAATTTATATCAGTTCCTACTTTTGAGACAGCAATCCATGATCCTTAATATAAATTATTATTAATGTAGAAACATTGTGGATCACTTGTACACTTAAAGAACTGTATTATTGTGGGAATAGATCAACCAAAAAATTACTTATTTTTATAAGAATTTCAGTGTAAATGCAGTGATAAAATTTCAATTAAAGGAGCTCATTTAATTTAGAGATTATAAAATTAAATGAAAAAAGAGAATATTTGTGAAGATTGTAATGAAGTGAGATATGAAATTGAAAAGAAATATAAATTATGTCAAAAACTCTAATTATATGTTTCAGATTTATAACCATTAAATAGAAAATATAATAATTTAAGATAGAATCTTAATAATAAATATAAACATTCATTTTAATTATTAGATATTTATGTTGAAGGCAATAATGTTAATAAATTTACCATTGGAAATTAAATATATTCCTTAGCATACTATACTTTTAATTTATTTGATCAATATAAATAGAATAATACCTTTATTTTGGCGAACGAATATTGTTATGCTGTTACTATTGATTAGTATACTGCAATTCAAAATAAGAAGTATTTTTAGAAATTAAAACTCAATTATAAGTTTAAATAATCATAGCAGATTGATCCTAATGAAAATTATAATGAAGACATTAAATTATTTTTAGATAAAAGTAAAAGACATTATAATTATGATAAGGATAACAAGAATTTTATTTATGAAATACTCAATACAGTATATTATATCATTCTATCTTTTGATTACTAATAATTAAAATAACATAACTTATCTAATTCATTAATAATGTTAAAATTATCGCTACTTTGTAGTATATTTTTAGAGAACAGTTCAAGTTTATAGTATTATTTATCTCCTAATTTATGTTAAAAATCTAATTTATTGATTTAGAGATTAGAAGAAGAATAAATTCAACGTCATTTACATATAGCCATAATTTATGAAGATTATGAAATAGTCTTTGATTTGATTTAAAATATGATTCAAAACTTAGATAACTGTTTGATTTTACCAGATTGTGATGAAGAAACTTTTGATTACCTTATAATGAGTGTTGCTAAAAATGGAATTTTAATATTAAAAAGAATGCCAACAAAGGGAGTTTAAGATAAAATTAAACAAATTCTTAAGGGTAATCCCATAATGATAATGAAAGATAAAAAGATTGAAATAAATTGTTCAATTTGGTGCTTATTTGATGTTTAAGAATTAAAAGTTAAAAAATCAGATTTCACTTATTTAAATGAAAAATTTCCTCATGCTACTGATTCTTTTGATATTGTATTAGATTTAGCTTATTCTAATTTAAATTATAAATAAGTTAGATTTAATTTGATTTCAGATTATTGTGAATATTTATTTAAAAGTTCTCAAATAGATAATTCAAATCCATTTCAAACAACAATAAAGAAATAGCCAACAGCAGATAGATCTATTCATGCTCCTTCTTCTTGTTATTTATTACAAAAGTAGACAGTAGATAAAGTTTATAATTCTGATCTTGAAACTTGGATAAATAAATTATTAACTATAGATACTGGTTCTTTAGAATTATTAAAAAAATTCTATCTTAAATTAAGATAAAATTATTATTGCACATAACACACTTTAGATAGTTTATTAAAAATTAGTGCATCTATTTCAATGATAAGGTATTTTGCATATAGTTAGATTGATGATAATGATGGTTTATATTAATATATTATAACTTAAATGAGTACTTTACCTTTAACATATTCTGATGCTTTTTTGGCTATTTTATTAGTGATTGAAACTCGTATCAACTCATTAGGTCCAGTTGGTGCTTTATTTGGTAGTGATACAACAAAGTATTATTTATAAATATTTTAGCTATTTAGTGAATTGTTTAAATCCTGAATTTACTTTTGCAAGAATGAATCTTTAATAAGAGGATAATGAATAAAAAGATAATTTGTTTGCAAATTTTGTTTACATTTATGAAAAACTAATAAACTTCATTTATTGATGTATTATCATATATATAAGTGCAAATTATTCAATTTAATTAGTATCTGCGTATTAAACATTCTTCTTTCTACATCTATATGTCGTACATGAAACAAAATATCCTTGGACTCGTGGGTTATGTGTTTTCTTTTTTCCTAAATTTTTAGTTCCTAATTTTATTAAAAATAATTTTCATAATTGTTCTCTCTTCATGATTATCATCATCTTTATAGAATTAAATTTATGAAATATTCAATAATTACTCAACCTATCCTTATGTTTGATATGTTATAATCGAATAGAGATTAGATTGAAATGAATTTGTATCAAAAGTTAAACTAAATTATTAATGAATTTGGTACTTAATATTGAAAGAATCATTCATTCAAAGTCTTATATTATCTATAATAGATCTTTAAAATTAAGAATTGTAACCGTGAAATTCCTATAGTTTAAGAAATAAAATAATAATTAAAATTTGAAATTGAGGAATTGCTTTTCTAATTATGAATAGATATAGCTTAACTGTATTGGGTATTCTAATATCTTTAAAAATGATGAGAATTATTATTTTTTAATTAAGATTAGTATTCCTAATAATATTATGATCTTTTATTCTTGCTCTAGTAATTGTTAGATTGTTCTTTAAATTTATTGTATTAAATAATGTGTTGAATATGTTTGAGAAAATTGATAAAATACCAATGGTAATGATTGAATTTCTTTATTATAATAATATATTCATGAAAATACACTAATTAAATTATAGAAGAATATAAATTGTTCTAGATTTAAATCATAAATTAAATTTGATGACAAGTATTTCAATCAAAATAAAACACGGTGCAGATTAAATAGAAGCAATAGAGATAGATCCTAATGCAACAGTGAAGGAATTAAAGGAGAAATTGACACCGAAATTTAATTCTGAACCTTCTTAAATGAAGATAATATTTTAAGGTAAAATTCTGAAAGACATTGATGTTCTATCAGCTGTGAATGTAAAGGCAGATTCAACAATGCATTTAGTTGTTACAAAATGTATAAAATATAAATAAAAAATAGAATAAAGTTAATAGCCACCATAATAAGCTCCTGCTCCATAATAATAATAACCTTAATAATAGCCAGTTGGAGGATAATAAGGTCTTGGAGGTATGGGAGGTGCTGGAGGTATGGGAGGCCTTGGCGGAATGGGTGGTTTTGGAGGTATGGGAGGACTAGGTGGACTCGGTGGAATGGGTGGACTAGGTGGACTTGGTGGAATGGGTGGAATGGGAGGTATGGGCGGAATGGATCCATAAATGATGATGTAGATGATGTCAAATCCTGCATTCTAGGCTTAAATTCAAACTGTATTTATTATTTTTAAATATTATAGATGATGTAAAATCCATAAATTAGATAACAAATAATGTCACATCCTATGATAGCTTAAATGTTATAAACTAACCCATAACTTTAATAAATATTTGATAATCCATAATTATTTTAGATGATGATGAATCCATAAGCACTTTAAATGGCCATGTAAGGCATGGGCGGAATGGGAGGCCTAGGTGGAATGGGAGGTTTTGGTGGAATGGGTGGAATGGGTGGAATGGCCGGTTTTGGCGGAATGGGAGATCAACCTAATCCTCCTAATCCTAATAATGCTTAGGTTCCACCTGTTTCAGGTAATTAAAATGCTTAAAATCCATTTGGAGGTCTTGATTTATAAGCTATGATGAATATGATGGGAGGAGGTATTATTATTTTTATTATTTAAAATAGGAGGACTAGGAGGACTAGGAGGAGGTCCTTAATTAACAACTGAAGCTGCTGAATAGAAATATGCTACTTAATTACAATAATTATAAGAATTAGGATTTACTAATAAGTAAGTTAATTTAGAAGCTTTAATTGCCACTGGGGGAAATGTTGAAGCTGCTGTTGACAGAATCTTAAATATGATAGGTCCATCATGATATATTATTAGAATTTATTCATATGAAATTTACAATTAAATTAATTTAAATAAAATGTATGAAGGAGCAGGAGATGATTAAAAAAAAGTTGATAATGAAGGATCATATGGATATTATACAATTCTAGCTGTTAAATTTACATCATCTGAGTAATAAATAGATAGGTTTATTTCAATTTTAATTCAAGAAATTATAACACTCTTGTTAAGTTTTACACTGACAAAGAATATCCAAAGGGAGGTGATTAAGAAAATCTAAATAAAACCAATGAAGCTTATAAAATAATTAAAGACGAGAAGGTTTCTTGATTTCTTATATACAAAAGGCTAGAGAATAATATATGCATAAATTGATGATAAGATGTTACTTAAGTCAACCTTTTGAATTGATTCTACCAAATAAACAAAGTATTTCCTCCTATTAAATAGTCGATAAATTATGGCCTTTCTTTATTTTCGAAGTTATCAAAGAAGGAAAATCTACAAGTGAAATTATGCAATTTAATTTCTCAGCACAAACTTTAACAGAATAAAAAAAAGATGTCAGGACCAAAAGTTATATGTTTTCTAACATTTCCGTATCAATCTATCACATTATTTAAGTCTGCCTTGTATTCTAAAAAAGATGATGAATTCATCATTAACTTTATTGAAAATGGAAAAATACTTTCCTAAAATTATAAAGCAAAATTCTAAAATCAAAGAGATTAACTTGTTAAATTAGCTATTTTTGCTAAAGAAATATTTGAAGAAACTAAACCTACTCTTGAATTTCATAATCCTAACACTAAATAAGATTTGAATTTATTTAAAGTTTAACATTATTCAATAGGAGAAAACAGTAAGACTGTTAGCTCTAAAGTTACCAACTTATTTTTTGATTAAGTATCAACTAAAAATTACTTCTTATGGAATGATTCATATATACCTCCTCATTCCTTATTAAAAACATCTGCTTAAAAATTAGCAAGTTTAGGATAATCTAAAACTGTTCATTTTACAATTGGTAAAACACAAATGTTAGTTTCAAGAGATGAAGACTTAAGATAGATTATTTAAGTAATCCCTTTGAAAAAAGAATATTTAGCCTTTAGTAGGGATGAAAATGGTATAAATTAAATTACATTTAGTTGTATAATTGTAAGTGTTGAATAATACTCGTAAATACAGATTTCACGATAAACAAAGTGCAAGTTAATTTGTATAGAAGTTGATAAGTGTCTAGAATCAGAAAGCTTCAGCAAATCCTTTAAGAACTGATTGTCCAGTTGGAGACAGTTTATAGAATGTAGTCAGAATAAAAAAGTCTGCGATTTAAAAATTAAATACAATGATTGCATCATATGAATAAAAAGTTTAATAATTAAAAGTGGAAAGGTAAGAATAATGCAAAGATTGTTTTATAGATAACAACTATTATCAGAGTTTAACGATTTAGATTTAGACAAGGTTGATGATGATGAATTAATGATAAACAAAGAAAAAGATTAATAGAACAAATAAGCATCTTATGAACCAGCAACCTTATTTAAGGCTCCCTTAAAATGAATGATCATAAATCTATAATTATATAACTATAAATTAAAATGCCATCTTAAATTGATGTCTTTTAATTAACACATGCATCAACAGATGATGAAATTTAATTATGTATTGAATGGATAAAGTCTTAATTAAGAGCCAAATAGACTGTTACCTTGTTAGTTAAGAAATGTTAAAGATAAGAATTAATACCATAAATAACTGTAGATATAGTGACAATGATTTAATAAAAAATCAAATAGTTGAGTTAAGATCCTTAAACAAGATTAAGTGAGGTTTAAGAATTATTGCAAATCTACAATTAAAAAGGAGTCAAGAATCAAACTATCTTGATTTAGTTATATGTAGAAAAATTGTGATTAATCTTAGATTGAACTTGCAAATGCCAAATAACCTGATGCCTAAGATAAGGCTATTGATTTATTATGTAAAGTTGACGAAAAAATTAGAAAATAATTTACATCTTAATTTTCATAATTTTTAAAGGAAAAAATTAAATAACTTATAGAAAAGGGATAATAGGAAGCAAATCAACAAGATTTTAAAGAGGCTTTGACACTATATTAAAAGGCTTAGGAATTAAATAATTATTATGAAGAAAAAGATACAACAATTTAGTTGAACGTAAAAATTAAATTAAATTTAGATCCAATTAGGAAATGCTTATCATTCTTTGAAATAATATGATGATGCATTAAATGTATGGGAAAAATCAATCAAATATATATAAGGTTAATCATAATAATAATAGTTCTAAAATGAATTAATATATATGTATAACACTGTTGGATAAATATATTACGATAAAAAATAAAATAATAAAGCTACTTAATATTGGGATTCGGCAATAAGTATTTTAGAATAATAGAATCAACAAGAGAAATTAGAACAATAGTCAAAATAATTATTGGGACATTTATTAAATAATGTTGGAATGATATATTATTAAAAAGGTGAAGTAAAGAAAGCAATATAGAATTTTTAAAAAACAATAGAGGTTTACGAGAGTATTTATGGAAAGGGACATATAAGTGTTGGAAATAGACTAAATAATTTAGGTGAGGCATATAGAAGTGATAAATAATATGATAAAGCTTTGGAAATGTTTAATAAAGCATTAAGTATAAAGAAGGCTGAATTATAGGTGTAACCTTCAAAGAGTTTAGCAAGCACAATTAATAATATTGGTATGACTCTACAAAATAAGCAGTCTTATGATGAGGCAATAGATTATTTTAAATAAGCTTTATAAATGTATAATGAACCTGGTGTATTCAGTGATCCAAATGCTGGAGATGCTGCTTTATAAAAGAGTAATACAATGCATAGCATAGCAGAATGTTATAGAGCATTACATAATTTAGATTTATGTATTTAGTATTTTAGGGAAGCATACAAGTACAAAGCATAGGAATTGAAAATATTTCATAAATCTACATAGCATACAGCAATTTAATTAGCATCAGCATTATTTTAAAAGAATTAATTTGAGGAATCTTTGAAAATATTTGAAGAAGTGTTAGATGGTTAAAAATAAGTGTATGGCTAAGATTCTTAGATAGTAGCTTAGACAATTAATAATATAGGAACTGTGTTATCAGAGTTGAAACAATATTAAAAAGCGTTAGAAAAGGTATAGGAAGCTATAAGAATATTCGAAAAGAAGCTTGAAAAAAATGATCCTTATCTCTAAAAAGCTTACGATAATATGAAAAATATTAAATAAAAATTACTGGAATGAATTTATTGTTAATAATATATAAATATAATCAAAATTGACCAACTATTTTCATAAACACATCTTCTAGATTAGTTTGGCTAATTCCCCAATCTAAAAATAGATAAATATATATTAACCTGAGATTTGCAAGGAATGTTTTTATTTTTCAATTTACCAAAATATGTCTGAAACTTTGCAATTCTCTCCAGATATTGAATAAATAAGATTGCCATTGAATTCTGATAGTATAATAGATTGAGGTAGAATATCATGAATGAAATCTTTAACTTTATTGATATAGAATTGTGATCTAAATAAAACTAAATAAAATACTCTTGATTATTATGAATAGACTATAAATATTTATCTCTATGAATTTATATAGATAAATGATATCCACCTCCATAAACATTTTTTAATCTTTGAGGAGTGCCAATACATTTGAGTATTCCTTGACTCATTATCCCTAAAAATAATCTAGATAATAAGACCTATTCTATTGCATAATACATCTGCTTCTTCCATAGAATGTGTAGTCAATACCATAGCTCTTCTTTCTCTACATTATTATATAATTTCCCATAATTATCTTCTATTATCTGGGTCTAAACCTGTGGATGGTTCATCTAAAAATACAATTAAAGGTTCTCCAACCAAAGCTATAGCTATTGATAATCTTCTTTTCATTCCACCTGATAATTATTATGTTTAATAATTAAAATATGGCTCTAATTTGACTTCTGCCATACTTTATTATACTCTGACTCTTTCCATATCTCGATGTATTCCTTTTAATCTTGCATAAAATAATAAATGTTCTTCAACTGTTAATTCAGGCCATAATAAATCAAATTATGGACATACTCCGATTCTCATTTATACATCTTTTAATTATTTTGTAATAGAATATCCTCCAATTAAAGCAGTTCCTTCAGTACATCCATATAATCCTGTAATAGTTGATATAATTGATGTCTTTCCAGCTCCATTTGGACCCAATAAACCAAATATCTCTCCTTTTTCTACACACAAACTAAAACTTTTAACAGCTACATTATTTTCATAAACTTTTCTTATATCTTTACAAACTAATGGATAATCTTATAAATTTTTTAATTTATAAACTTTCTCTCTCTCTTGTAATACATCAGAATCCTCTTCCAATTAATTCACATTTAATCCCAATTAATCGTCTTCTTAAAATTAAATATACTATGTTTTTTTGAAGAATTTGCAAATCCATGGTTCAGTTGCAACTCCATACTCTTATGGTATTATCTCATGAAGATAAATTCCCATTATTGCAAATAAAATACTATTACAATATAATGACATTAAACATCCTTAAATTTCTGGACTTATATGTTCTAATTCTGTATAACATCCATGTTATGATACGCAAGCTAATTTACATTATTAATATTTTGTACCAAATGATAAAATGTAAAATAATCTACCAAATGCTATTTATGGAACTATTCTAAGATACCATGGCAATTCCAATGGATCGGGATATATTGCCAAATTTATTGTTGATGCCATTATAGTACCCCATACAGATATTAAATATCCTATAATAGTAGCTGTTCTTGATTTATTCAAAAATACTTAAAAGAAAAAGGACAATGATATCTATGTTAATCCCCAACCTATCAATATTAATAACTAAATAATTATTGATAACTATATACAATTAAATTAGAATCAGTGTATTTAAATACTTATATCTCAATTCCATACATTGCTACCAAATAAAATAATATATAAGTGAATAAAGTAAGTATCCAACTAAATAAATATTAAACTATCCAATAATCCATCATTTTCATCCCGTTCATTTTCATCATCTATAATAATCTTTCCTCTTTATCTAAAACTATTGCATATAGAAACACTGGCAATAAAAGTGATAATGACAATGGAAATAATAAAGCTCCCATTAAATTTATTGCCTTCTATACTAAATTCCTATCCTCTCCTACCATTGGCATATATTATATCCCTGAAATCAACCAAACTTTTGGATTCAATTTATGTAAATAAGCTCTAGATATCAAATCTATTAATCCAACCTAACCTTCAGATACCAACATTAAATTATTTGTCTTATTGTCACCTACTTTAAAAAATAATTTTGTTATTCCATTAGCTCTATGATATTCAGGAATTCTCAAGTCATTCACTTAGATTGTTACATTCAAATATTCTTCATTTGCATTATGAAATGTAAATCCTCCATCTGGTATCATCCAAATATTCTCAAGATCTCTTCCTCTATAAAATGGCTACGTATTTAGATATTATATTCTTTAATAGATATCTTCATTTATTGATTCCTCTGGTTATTATAAATATGGAATATTTCTCAACTCACTCTTATTGTTTGATTTACAACCTGCTTGTTGAAGAATATTTTACAATACTCCAGATGACCTTTTATAACATCACTTTTTATTATACATATTCTTTCCAATTTAACCATTATTCCAACCTATAAATTGTTATTCAAGATCACTTAATTTAGAAACATCATAAAAATACCTAATTTTTATAATTATTTTACCATTAAAGACATGAAACATTCTTAAACATTGGAATTTAAGAATATAAAAATGGAATATTCAAAATATATGGAAAATCCAATTAAAATGTCCATCCTGAAAATTTATCAAATATTATTTCTTATATAATATAGACAAGCACTAAACAGATTAATGGTGTCAAAATCTAACATATATTAGTTCCTATTTATCGTGATTGAATTGATGCATTCTTATAAAATAGAGCTCTAAATTAATAGCTCTTTTTCATAAAATTAATTATGACATAATCGAAAAGTTTTAATTTCATCATTTATATATAATATATATAATACATAATGAATTAAACTGATCAAAGTCAATAAAGTTAAGACAATCAACCTACAGTGTTCTCATATGACCCTAAACTATTTCAACTATTATAAAAAGCCTTATTGCTTGTATCAAAATAAAAGTAATTTCTCGTATTAAATCAAGACCTTAAAATCCAATTAAATTTGTTGCAGATTATATGAAATAAAATGGTGATGATAGCTTTTGATTTGCATTATTATTTTCAATTTATATTTGTACTAATTCTCAAATTATAATTGAACATTACTTATAAATACATAAATACAAAATAGTATGTTTTATATTTAATTTCAATTATACTTCAATTTGTTCGGTATGATTTAATCTATCTTTTCTAAGAAATTAATTCCTGTTTTTATTCATAAAAATTGTACTATTAATTCTTTTTAGTTTAAAATTTTATGTTTGATATGAAATATATTAAAATTAATAACTAAATATGATTACACAACTCACAAAGAAAGGCCATATCAATTCGAAAGTATTCATATTAGAAAGAATGCTTCATTTATATTATTTTGTAAGTCTTTAATAGATAATCTTTTATTTAATTAGCATTTTAGGTGACTTATAAAGCATCACATTTTTATGGGTTCCTATTTTTGAATCCAAAAAATTAACATTTTTTTCTAATAAAATTAATTATGAGTCATTTATTATTTACTTAAGCAGGATCGATGAGTTGATAAACTATTAATTCGATCCATCTTTACAATATTATTTTATTCCACTTTTAATTTAAATTTTCATGTTTTTTGTACCCTTATTCATATTGATTTATTTATAAAGCAAATAAAGGATACTAAAACTTACTATTGTTAATTGCTACTTAAAATTTAGCTCAATGTTATTTCAAATATTTCTAACCTACTTATTTATTCCTTTTATGATATTATGTGCTCAGTCTATAATTATGACACTAAATTAAAATAAATCTATTTTTAACATAATTTTCACCTCATTTTCTCTGGTGTTAACTATTTTTATTGCTATCATCAACATAATGCTCAACAGAGAAACAATTGATTTAAAAGTGAATAGATTTTAAAAATTTAATTAAACGTTTCTGGATTATCTTTAAATAATCATTTAGATATTGTAAATTTTTGTTTATAGTATTATAAAAAATGAAATTAATGGATTAACATTATAAAGCATTTTAGTTCTCACAATTTCACTAATTAACGCCTTATAAGTTTTCTAGTATGAATACACTGACATCATAAGAGTAAAAATAAGTTTGATTATTTAATCATTTGGATTCACTTCATCGATTTATCATCTAATTATGAATTTACAATAAGATTCAATAGCTTTGTTTACAAATACTGGAATCATATTAATTTTTATATCTTTAAGCAAATTATTAATAATTTTTTATAATCATAGAGAATATAATTTACAAAACAATATTATATAAATAAAGCAATATTAGATAATTAAGTTTTATTTATCACGACTCATTACAGATGATATATCAAAAAATGAAAAAAAAATAAATAATTCTATCATATTAAATTGGATTAACAAAATTGTTTAATAAAATACAAATGATTCATAAGCAAAGTCGACATATTTAAATATATTAACATCCCAAAATTTAGATGCTTTTATTTAAAAGAAACTAAAATAATATGTAAAAAGTATCTCAAAAGCAAAAGGATTTGATTTGCATTATGTAGCCTTATTATATCATTTTGGGTTTTCAAATCTAGCATTAATTTAAATAAATTCATTAATCAATAAACAATTAATTTAAACAAAATATAAAGGTTTTATAGGAGATGTTGATCTTCCGAGTAGTAATTTAGATAGTTCTTAGAAATTTGCAGCTCACCTATCAGTTTCTAGTAAATCTGTTCGATCTAATACAGATGAGATCAATGATATAGCTAAAAAAGCCTAATTCAAAAAAAGTAAATTACTATTTGTTGGTAATTAATAATTGTCATTATTAAATACTGCAAAAGCTATGTATTTAAAAAGTTTGATAAAAGAAAACTTATAATACAAATTTTATGAGAATAATAATTCTAAAAATAAATTAGATGATATGCAGTAAGGGGTAGAATTGTTTTTAAAAAATGAAAAAAGAAATTAGGGATTAAAAAATACAATGATTCAATTGTTAAATGAGAAAGTAAGTTTTGTTTTATAATTTACAACTAAAAAAGCTATTGATGCAGATTAATTATATAATAATGCAATAAAACTTAGTAAAACATAAAAAAACTTAGAGAATAAATTATTTCTTAGGTATTAATAATTCCCAAGTTTAAAATTATAATCAATATTAGTGTTTTATCAAGGAGAGATTCTAAATAATTATATTGAAGCTTATAAATATAAAAATTTAACATCAATGCCTGAAGAATAATTAATTAATATGGATGTTAATATTAAAGCAGCATTTTTCTCAAAAAAAGTGGTTTATTTAAATATATAATTAGAGTATAATTAAAATCTCTTAATTACAAGCAAATCTGAAAATTCATTAAGATTTTTTTAGATTTCTTAAGAAGAATCTAAATATTTTACTTGTGTTGAATATATTCTTCCATTAGCTATAAAAAATGAGCATAGTTTATTAGTATAAAGATTTACATAAACAAGTAAATCAAAATTCTATTTGAATTCTAACTAAGCTTTTTTTAAGTTAAATAATTTATTAATAAAACCATGCTAACTTTTATTTGATATTCATTTTGATAATGTTAATCATTATAAGTTTTCTGCATTCTTTTCAGAATGTATCAATTAATCTGCTTATATATTAGTAGATATTAATGAAAAAGTTGGTGGAATAACAGAGAGTTTTTTTGAAAAGTTAGGATTAGATGAAAATTATAGTAAGTAATTTAATAAATAGGATTCAACATAATTACAAATAGATTATTTGATACCGAATTTTAAGAAATTAATTGAAGCTAAATAATAAAATGCAATAACAGAATTAAGATTTTTAAAGGAAGCATTTTTATTAGAAAGTTATGGTGAGAAATTAAGAAGTTAAGTTAAATAGTAATCATTAACTTCAACTAATTGGTCTAATATTGAGTAAACATATTTATTTGAAGCAGAAATAAATATTTAATACTAAGATATTTTTGGTTATAATTATTTCATAATAGAAATAAAAGATGTTAAATAATTATTAAATTCAAAAAGATCATAAGTTTCAAGTAGATTTAGAAAATAGGAAGATTTAGAGGAGTTATTTGAATTATCAAATTTATCTGAGATTGAAGCTATTGCATAATCTCCAAAAATATCTAGACAGTAAAACAAATTCAAGATTTGTTATGATGAGAATTCAGATAAGGGTTAAATGAAACAAAAAATAGCTTAAGATATTGAAGCTAAATAAAAAGAAGAAAATATATTATAAGAATAATAAAAATAATAAAATCAATAAGATATATCTTTTTAATAGAATAATATATTAAGTCCAAACTTAAGTAATGCTCCTTGGTAAGATCAATCTCATATTCCATTATAATTATAACATATCAGCATTTAATAAGATTTTTTTCATAAAGAAAGTGATAATGAGAAATCATTTTCAGTATATTAATCAAGGAATGTAAAATTGGATGAATTAGAGGAAGAGTTTAAAAGTAGAAATGCAAGATAAAAGATAAATCTACATTAAAATAAGAATATACAGGGTGAAAAGGAATAATCTTCATCTAATAATGCATTTAAAGGAATAAAAAGGTCAATATTTTATAAAAAATATGAAACAATAGTTCAATTAACTGAACCAATAATTCCAACAACTTTGAAAATGTTTATATTTTTTTAAGAGCTAACTTACATAATTGCATTAAGTTATTTTATTATAATTCTTGGTAGTGCATAAGTAGATCTTAATAGATTTATAGGTGAGATTGATATGATCTAATTGCATGCAGGAATAATGAATCCTCATGATTTATATTTGTAAATAAGGTAACCGATAATTACATACAATTCATTTTTATAGGCAGGAAAAATCACAAAAGAAGAATTCAAAGAATTAACAGATCCTTTGTATGAAAATGTAGGAATTGGATATTATGAATTTAAAGATGGTTTCATCTATTGGTTGAATAATGAATATTTGACACCATTCTTAAAAGATTAAAATATAACTGTATACTATATGCTGCATGATGGATCTCAAACATATCCTATAACTTAAAATATTAGAGAAGCATTAATGGGTACATTGTCATATTATTATGACTTTAAGTTAAGATTTGAAGCAAGACTGAGTACAGCTAATTAAACATATTAGGTATATTAATTTGCTAATATATATAATTTTCATTTCTGGTTGGAAGATTTAACTATGGAAGTATATTAATATTCAAAGAATCGAAGTGTTGATGTAAGTAATAAATGGAGTATGATTTGGATTATTTATCTTATGGTTAATATTTGTCCATTGTTTGCAAGCTTATTTTATTATAGGATATTCAATTCTAAATTTGATTAATTTACAAGTCTTTTTAAGTATTGTTCATCTTATAGAATGGAATTAGAATTGGAAAGATTAAAGTATATTTTAAAAATAATTAATAAAAATAGTGATTTATTATTTAATTATTAGTTTTACATAGATTAAAAGGAGGAAGAAATTGCTAAATAAAAATAAGAACATGAATAATAAAAAGTTAAAGATATTAAAATTTAGTAATAATTTAAAAAGATATCTTTTGGCATCAAGTTTATTCTTGTAATTTTGGGTTGGATGGTTTTTTTTGGGTTGAGTTTAGTATCTAATATTTAAATAGGAGAATATTTAAATAAATATTCAGCAACAGCAGATGCTTATAAATTAATTTAAGATATGTCATTATATGCAGGAACTCTTTATAGAAATAGAGATTTTGGACTTGCTTTTGCAAATTATCCTTATTTGAGACCTTTTGATGTAGAAAAGTTTTATTTTACCATCAATACAGGTTTAGAAACTATAGATTAATTCTTAAAATTTTCTTACACTTTTGATTCCTCCAAATATTAAACATCTTTAGAATTCTTCGAATTTTTTTAATCTTTGTAAGAAAAAAATATCTGCATTGTTTTAGGTGATGAAAATTTGGGATTTTTAAAATAATATTGTGAGAAATCATTATAAGGTACTTTATTATTAGGATTGTTTCCTACATTAAAATTTATTTCTAATTCTATTTCTATTTAAATGCAAATTAATAATTTTACAAAAAGAGTAGAATTTACTAAATATGAAAATGAAGGTAGTCTTATAGTGTTAAGAGCATTTTAATTGATGAGTAAATAATTTAAAATAGGTATGGTCAATGTAACAGAATAATAAATTATGATATGCAATACTATTTCAATCATTTTTATTGTATATTCTTTATTATTGATGGCTTATTTTTTATTTATATTAATGCAAAAATTAATAAAGGATTTGAACTTAGCAAGAAGATTTATTTTATTAATTCCATCAACTGTTTTATTCTTGGATGATCAATTTGATAGACATGTTCGAATTCTAATTGCAAGCTAAGAATATTGACACTCAACTATTTTATTTTACATATCATAACTTATTAATAATTAAATTTTATATGTGTAATTTAGTCATATCTCCTAATCTATATTTATGGCAAAATGATAAGACCATAGTCATTGGTAGACATTAGAATCCTTGGAAAGAATGTATATTTAGATTAAGGTAATCACTCTTTTACATTTTTGAATATATTTATTACATAGGATCCAATAACAATTAATAATGATATACTTATTAATGCTTTATATAATTTAGGTATATATCTAGTAGGAATGATATAGTAATAGGAAATAAGAAAATTTCAGGATCAGCATATCAGTTATCATTAGGATGTAAAACTAATTTTTCAGGATCAGCATATCAGTTATCATTAGGATGTAAAACTAATTCTAATAAATGCATTGCATCATAGAACAATGTTAATAGATGTTGATTAAAATGCATCATCTTAAAATATTTAATACCATCAAAGAAGAAATTACAGTGTCAAGGCATCGATTCTGTTAAATCTAGAATTGCTTTACTGATAGTCTTTATCCTGATTATATCACCTAATTGAATTAAGTAATAATAAATAAAAGAAATGATTTTGATGGTATAAAAGAAATCTTTTTAAAGATGAATATACTTTTTCCATAATAAAATGATTTATCTACTAAATTAGAATAATGATTATTGAAAGCAATATGATAATTATTAAATAAAAATTCAATGAGTTGATTCTTAAAGTTTTTCTATTATAAATTATTTCTTTTTTAATCTTTCCTAGATGAGTTCTGATTCAGATTTTTGAGTACTTCCTTTATCCTATTATATTAAGAATATGAATACTTATTCTTTGAGATTTTCATCATATAATTCTGTTAAAGAGGGTAAGATATCATGAGGATTTTTCTTTTTTACTGATAAAATCTTTTCTATTCTTTCATGATTATCACCTTATAATTTATATGGTTCAGGTTTATAATTAACAGGTAGATCCTATTTATATTATATTAAAAATTAATACAGCTCCATATTTTTTCTTTATGTAAAATTAAGTGTAATTTTGTTTATGAATCAAAACTTTAATATCATGAACAGCTCGATCATGTTTAGATACTACTTATGGAGATCTTGGAGATGAACTTACAGTATCTTCATATGTTTATGTATTTTATTATTAAAGTTTAGGAGTCATTGTTCTTTTTGTATCTCCAATTATAAAATTTTATATTCTTGCTCTTTCTTTCATTCTTTTAAGCTCTCCCTCTTTCTCTCCTTTTCTAATTGCACTTTAAGTTGCAGAAGATTGTATTCGGTCTATCTCATTGCTATGTAATCCTATTTATTTTAATAAAACATTATATTNTGTATATTTAGATTAAGGTAATCACTCTTTTACATTTTTGAATATATTTATTACATAGGATCCAATAACAATTAATAATGATATACTTATTAATGCTTTATATAATTTAGGTATATATCTAGTAGGAATGATATAGTAATAGGAAATAAGAAAATTTCAGGATCAGCATATCAGTTATCATTAGGATGTAAAACTAATTTTTCAGGATCAGCATATCAGTTATCATTAGGATGTAAAACTAATTCTAATAAATGCATTGCATCATAGAACAATGTTAATAGATGTTGATTAAAATGCATCATCTTAAAATATTTAATACCATCAAAGAAGAAATTACAGTGTCAAGGCATCGATTCTGTTAAATCTAGAATTGCTTTACTGATAGTCTTTATCCTGATTATATCACCTAATTGAATTAAGTAATAATAAATAAAAGAAATGATTTTGATGGTATAAAAGAAATCTTTTTAAAGATGAATATACTTTTTCCATAATAAAATGATTTATCTACTAAATTAGAATAATGATTATTGAAAGCAATATGATAATTATTAAATAAAAATTCAATGAGTTGATTCTTAAAGTTTTTCTATTATAAATTATTTCTTTTTTAATCTTTCCTAGATGAGTTCTGATTCAGATTTTTGAGTACTTCCTTTATCCTATTATATTAAGAATATGAATACTTATTCTTTGAGATTTTCATCATATAATTCTGTTAAAGAGGGTAAGATATCATGAGGATTTTTCTTTTTTACTGATAAAATCTTTTCTATTCTTTCATGATTATCACCTTATAATTTATATGGTTCAGGTTTATAATTAACAGGTAGATCCTATTTATATTATATTAAAAATTAATACAGCTCCATATTTTTTCTTTATGTAAAATTAAGTGTAATTTTGTTTATGAATCAAAACTTTAATATCATGAACAGCTCGATCATGTTTAGATACTACTTATGGAGATCTTGGAGATGAACTTACAGTATCTTCATATGTTTATGTATTTTATTATTAAAGTTTAGGAGTCATTGTTCTTTTTGTATCTCCAATTATAAAATTTTATATTCTTGCTCTTTCTTTCATTCTTTTAAGCTCTCCCTCTTTCTCTCCTTTTCTAATTGCACTTTAAGTTGCAGAAGATTGTATTCGGTCTATCTCATTGCTATGTAATCCTATTTATTTTAATAAAACATTATATTCTTTTTTAAGTTAAATTATTAGTTTGTGTTCTTATTCTATTAATTTAGCTTTTAATTATTCCATTTGTTTTTAATGTTTACGTTATAATTCATCCTTTTAACTTTCAATACGTTTTTCTTACTCTTATGCCACTCTCTCTTATTCAGCTTTCTCCATATTTTTTAATTCTCTACGAAAATCCATTGCTTCCTCTACTCTCTCATCTAAAGAAACTAACTTTTCTTAAGTTTATAAATCTTTTAGTTTTCTTTTTGGTTTTACTTTTAAAAACTCAGTATTTTTTGATAACTTATCTTCCAATTATCCCATTTCTTCTTATTATTTTTATATTTAGGTCTATCTAAACATATTATCATATTTTCTTTATACATTCTTATTCTTTTCTAATTTTCAAACTATTAAAAATAATTATAGTATTTCTCATAAAAATCATCTAATTTTTCTAATCCTATTTCTTTATAAGTTGAAACTTCAGATTTATAAATCTTCTATCTTAATACATCTTAATATTCACAAATATTTTATTCTAATGTTCTTATAGCCTTCATTAATTATTTGAATGGAACATATTATTATATTTATAATAATAGATTTGCAACTTATTACATTTTTTCTTTTATAATGCTAAAAACTAAAATTTACTCATCTTCATTTAAAAATCTAAATTATAAAATAATCTTATTACCCATCATTATCTTAATCGAATAAATCAAAGAAATCCTTTCCATTAGAAATCTTTAACATCATTTTTAAATCCTCTTTACAAGTATCAAAAACTTAAAGAGCTGTTTTATATGGTATTTAAACTTATGTAAAATCATTTCTTCTAAATTCCTTCCATATATTAGCACATTTTTATGGAGCTGCCATAAATATTTCACCTAAATAATTATTAAATATCTTATTACCTTCTGCTTATACTTATCTTATATAGGTTTTAGGTAAAGATGATAATGCTGAATAATTTGTTTACTAAATTAATTTTGATGCATAAAGTGATGATTTTGTTTCTGTCTAATACATTTTATATATAAATTATTATTAAATATTAAAAATTAAAACAATTCGACAAACTCTCCATTTTTTAATGCTTCACTTAAAGTAATACAATCTAAAACAAGTCCAAAATTGATTCTAAATTATTTATATAATTTTAATTATAAGTTAATTCAAGAAAATCTAAATCCATTACATATTAAAGATTAGTTGGTTTGATTTGTTTGATTAGTTCTATACTCAACTTAATCATCCCATGTTGATCTTTATTCACAGTATGTATTCTCATTTATTGAAATTGAATGATTACGAGATCGCTAATTTATAAATTAAGTTAAATACATTTTTTATTTTTTAAATCGATTAACGTATAAATGAACTTTCTTGTTCTGTAGTTGTTGTTAATTTCTTTTTTGTGTTATATAGTTTACTTTATATATCTTTCATTTATCTTTACAAATTAGGGTTAATTCTAGTAAAGAAACTTGTTATATCACTTTAATCTTGATTTACAATTGTAGATTCATCAAACTTGTTATTCGAAATTGGCTGTTGTTATTATTATTATTATTATTAAACTGCTCGAATTCTTGTTGTTGGATAAGAAGGGCTTTAGTTTCTTTTTCTTTATTGAAGAGTTTTATCATCATCATACTATTAATTTACCTAATATTCAATTATATTTTAATAATTAATGTTTTCTTTGTTGCTCAATTAATATTCTAATTCTACAATCCTTTTTTATAGTTTCTCAATTTCTTTCTCATTACTTTTTTAAATTAATTTTATTTGATTTTCTTTTTCTACTAATTTACTTTCAAGTAATTTTATTTCTATTTATTAAGCATTAATAATATCTTATTATTTTTCTATTTCATTCTATTCATAATTCTTTTAAAATTTTTGAACAACATTTTCATTTTATTATTGATTTAAAGTATTAATAAAAATTTCATTCATCTTTCTCAAATTCTCTTCTCTTTCTTTAGCTTCCTATATATACATATCTTAAATTTAAATTTTCTATTGCAAAATAGCTTTTTCATTCTTCCATTCTAAAAACTAGATTCTTTCATCATTCATTTCTTTTTAAATTTTTGAATATTTATATTAATTTTATTTACTGTTATATTTTGATTTAATTTTAATCTTTTATTCCCTAAAAAGAAAGTTAGATCTAATAAAAATTCAATGAATAATAAAAGATTCATATATTTCTATTTATCATAAATACATATAAGAATATTCTTAATTATTATTTTATTAGAAATTATAATAATCAATAATTAGTAATGAATGATCAATTTCTCAATTGTAGATTGTGTTCAACAGAATTTGATTAAGTCATTCATTTACCTAGGCTTTTAAATGAATGTGGACATACTATTTGTGAGAAATGCATAAAATAATAAGAAGGGCATTTCAGATGTCCTGCAGATGAGTAATGTTCATTTTTACCATTCCAGAACACTTTATGAATATTCCATAGATGGTTTTCCAATCAATACAACTTTATTTAAATTGATTTAACTAAAATAAAAACCTAAATTGAATGATCTTTTTAAAACACCTTAGATAAGTCTATACAACGATAATTCATCTCCAGATTCTACTATTTCTAAAAATAAATTTTAAGATTCTTAATTAACTCCTATCTCATTATAAAATACTATCTCTGATGGATAAAAATAAAGAGATGAGTTAATTTAGAAAATTGAAAATAAATTTAATGATCTCATAACAAGATTAGAAATCAGAAAAATGGAATTATATAGTTAAATAGATATGAAATATGAATAATCTCCATTTTGTGTTTTATAAGTAGACTTTTAATTTTAGATGGATGTTCTGGTACCTAGATATGGAATCTTAAGAGAAGAATTATACAGTGATATTTAATTGAATAATTCTTAATAAAAAGAACAATTTCTAACATTTTCTAATAAAGATTCTGTTGATACAAACAGGTAAAGATCTCCATCAAAGAAGATTTTTGAGGAATTAAAATAAATTTACATACGCCCTGCATTAGCTTTAGAAAAAACGAATGAATTAAAAAAAATTATTAAAGCAATGAATAGATCTGAGAATCTTGATATAATTAATTTAAAATCAAGAAACTTAACAGATGATGATATAAAGATTTTTTCTGAATCATTAGCAATTACTATTTCAAACATAAGAGCAATATTTCTATCAAAAAATTAAATAACTGATTTAGGATTTAAATATTTGATTGATGCTTTATGGACGAATAAAACTATAAAGACTTTAAGATTGAAAAATAATCAATTAACAAATGAATGTTTGAAATATTTAATTGAAATTTATGAAGATCAGAAGTATAATTCTTTATAATAAATTTATTTGTAAGGTAATCAAGTTACAAATGATGATTAAATTCAAGCATTGACAAAATTGGGTATATTAATATATAAATGAATATCTGAAAATTAATTTTTCTAAATTTTTTAATAAAGAATTACTTATAATTAAATTATTAATTAAACTCTTACATGGGCAAACTACATGGAACATTGGCAAAAGCCGGAAAAGTCAGAAAGTAAACACCAAAAGTTGAGAAGCAAGTGAGAAGACATAAAATTCCAAAAGGGAGAGCTTATAAAAGAATTTGCTTTAACAGAAGGTAAATCAACTATCAATAGTATAAAATAGATTTGGATCAGCAACCACTACTTAAGGACCATAATAAAAGAGAAAGGGTCCAAATTGGCATGCTGGAAGAAAAGAACTTATTGAAGAGGAAAGAAAGAAATAAGTTGAATAAAGAAGACAACGTAAGAAATAAGATGCTAAATGATGGCTAAAATGTCCTTAACATATAAAAAATAATCAAAATTCTTATTATTTTTCAATTTTACATATATTCAAAAATATATTATAAAGACTAACCAAAAATAATTTTATTTAAATATTACAGAAGAGAATAGTTGTTATAAATTCAAAGTCTTTGTTATTATGAGTTAAAATGAGAATGAATAATCAATAATTAAGTGACCCAAAAGAGATGAAAATTTTTTACTCTCGCAATGTATTAATTAAATTACAATGTAAAATATAGAAGAAATAAGAAATAGACATGAAGATCATATTTGTTATTTATAATACATTAAATAGGATTGACATATATTTTTAGTTTTTTGTGAATTTTTTAATGAATCCAAAAGCATATTAATAAGGATTTTATACTTTATTAATTGAGGGCATCTGTTCTAAATATTGATGATCTTATGGTTAAGTAGCTAGATTAAGATTTAACATTAATAGTGTAGCTAATTCACAAATTGCTCTAAAAAAGAATTTATATAATTTTTTAAGTCAAATTAACTAGAGGTGGTTCTTCAAATTCCAAAGATTCAATTATGATTTCTCGTTTCCCAAAAAGATTCTTCAATAACTTTTAGTTTCCAATCTAATTCTTTTAATTTTACATTCATATTTTCTAGAATTGCTTTAAAAATATATTAGGATAGTACATAAAAACATTCGCTGTTAATATAATTTATCTTGTTTCTATGTGATGACAATCATTATATTTATTAAATCTGGTTGATTCAATAATTTTCAGACAGATAAAAATTTTTAATCATGAACTTCTTTATCAAAATTATGTTTGATTCAAATAAGACTATATTATAGTTATTCTTTTTTAATCATATTAATATTATATAAATCACGTGATATATTGCTCAAAATCCATAATGCTATCTTGATGATTGGAATATTTGATTGAAAAATAATAGAATTGCCATTGAACATTATTTCAACTTAAATTGATGTCGGAATTTCTTTTATCCAAAAATAGATATATTGACAAAAAATTTACATATTCTATTTTAAAATAGTATTTTTTTATTTAAATTATACTATTCATATCTAATCTTAGGAATATATATCTAAAATTTGAATTCTTCTGAGTTTATATTTTTAAGAAATTTCAAAGTATATAATTTTCAATTATTTCGAAAAATTAATATTTTATATTAAAATCAAAAAAAATATTCTTTGCCGTGAGATAATTATTTGGTTAAAATTTTAGTTATTTAAGTTTGGAAAAAACCTAAATCAAAAATTATTAATAAACATGCATTTGATATGTTTAAACTCTATAATAAACTCTTTTATGCAAATTATAATTTAAATTTATTCATTTTATCATAAAAACTTTAATATATGCGTTATTTTTTATCAAAGGATATTTTATCAAAAATTTGTCTATCTTCATAATTATCCTTACCAAATAATAATGGTTTTTATTTTTAAGTAAAGCCCAACTCATATGATGTATAAAAAATAAGTTTGAATCAAAGATAAAGAATTGTTCATATGAATATAAATTAATTACAAATTTATTTCTAATTAAACATAATAAAAATTAACACAAAAATGTTAAATATAAATTGGGAATATATACAATAATTTGATATCAAAAGAGTTACATTTGATGAACTTTAATTTCAAATGAATAACATCTATTAAGCTTAATTTACAGAGAGTAATCGCAAAAATTATCTAAAGATGGTTAACCTCTTATAAATGATAATTTTTTATAATGAGTACTGCAATTTTTAAATTAAAGAAACTAAATCTTAATTAGATTCTGATATTAATAAAGTTGATTAAGAGATTCTAGAGAAAGAGTAAAGGTTATTAAAAAGCAAGAGATATTATTAAAAATGTAAAATATATAAAGAAGAATTAAAAAAGAAATTAAAATTAAAGCCTAAAAAAGTTTATGGATGTTTGCATTGTAATAATGAATTTTAAAATACTATTTTATTGGATAGACATATGGAAATTCATAAAGAACCTCCAAATATAACTCCATAAATTTTAGCCATCTAGAAAGAATTATAATAATAATTAATATATTTGTATTAGGCCAAACAACAAAGAAAATAGTTAGAATTTTAGAAAGAAGATTTAAAATGTGGAATGTTAGCAGCTGCAGGTATTAAAAAGTAATAATTGTTTTTTAGAAAGAAATTAAGTATTATTATCTAATGAAAAAATCAATTAGATTTAAAAGATTTATATATAAAAAGTAAAATAATTGGAATCAGTATTAAAACATTTAAATGAGTAGAATGATAAATATTAATATCAAAATGAATGGTTGGATAATCTTGAAGAAGGGATTAAAGAATCGTTGAATTTAAAGAGAGAATAAGAAAAACTTTTACAAACCTAAGTCAATATTTAATAATAATAATCGTCTAATCTTTTGAAAAGTTAAAGATCCTTTTAGCTTTCAAAAAAAGAATTAAAAGCTCAAAGTAATACAAACTTTAAACCATAATCATAAATTTTTATTTAATCATAGGTTGGTGGATCAAACCATCTATTTCGTAGATCTAAAGATGGAATGGAATATACTTCTGATGACTCTCCAAAAGAAGAAATAATTATAGAAGAAGAGGATATGATTAAAGAACAAATTGATCATAGAAAAAATTAATCTAGCCTTTCATCAAAATTAAAGCCAAAACATTCTAAAAATACATCTGGAGTATCATTTTAAGAAAGCAATTTAAAATACCTAACTAAATTTGAATAATATGAATACAGATATTAAGAATTCAATACTCTGGTTACAGAAATGCTTTTGAATAGATATTATTTGAGAAGAACTTAGTTCGATTAAAATTTAATAGAAAAGGAAAAATAAAAGTTGATTGCTTAATTTGATGATTTGAATGAAATAGATGATTTAGAAGATGTATTAAAATAATTATAAACATAAACTAAAGGATTTGATAAAAGAAAAAGATATCAAATAAAAAAGAAAATATTATATTAATAAGATTAAAAGGAGAATTAGAAAAAAGAAAATACCATAACTACTTTGGATTCAAGTAGTGAAGATGAAGTAAGCAACAAAGAAAAAGATGAAAATGATGAACTCAAAAATACTTAATAATTTGAATTAAGAAAATTTCCTTTTCAAATCACAGGAGGAGATCTCGAAAATGGAAATTAACAGTTTTTATACCAAGATCCATCATAAGGATATGGAGTTAATACATTTAGTATAAATTATTGAATAAAATAATTATTATAAATATACATTAAAATCGAAAATAATAATCTCCCTTATTCTATCTCATTTTTATAATTCACTTATATTACTTTATACTAAAATCAAAAATTTAGTTCTTGTGCTTTCTTTGCATTGAATTTAGTTAATAATATTACTAAAGTAAACCTTTGTTGTTTTAATTCATCCAGTTTTTCATATTAAAAAACAAAATAATTATTAGTATTTACACTTCACTTAAGATTAATTGAATTTTAAGGGTTCATCTATCCTATAAGGCTAGAGGATAAATATTAAATTAACTTACTATCATTGGTCTCAAAGCGAAAATATTAAATTATATAAATAAAAATTATAAAAAAAATTTTATACTAAAATCAAATAAATTATTCTTGGAACTCCTAACAAGAGTATTACTTATTTTTTCTATCAGTAAATAATGTATATTTTATAATGGCTTAAAAAGCATTTTTTAATACTAAAATAAAATAAATTATTCTAATTTTAAATTTATTGATAGAAAAAAGTGGGTAATTAAAATATAAAAATATATTCTTAATAATTGTGATTCATTAAAAGAATTCAAAATAATATAATCTAAAATTTGGATTATTTTATTGTTTAAAGAAGTTTTTAAAAATGAATATATTTGTTTCTTTGAAGATTAATATCAATAATACTAATTTTGTTAAATGAACGATGTAAATATAGATCATTATATCAATCCTTTAATAAAGTCATTCAAGGGAGCATTTTTAATCATACCATAGAACATTTAATTTGCTTACTTGATTTATGGTAATTAAGACATATGTTAAACATAATTTTTAAGACCTGGGAATTTATCAAAGCTATAATTGAATGCAAAAAGTGCTTACAATTCAAAAATTAAACTAAAATAAGAATTTTGGATACCTTAAATCAGCAATTGTCATTTTAGGTTAATTTTAAACATATTTAAATTTGCCTTAACCTAAAAATACATATTCAATAAATTAAAGAATAGATTCCATTTCTTTTTCTTATGCGTCTTAATCTGGAGGGGCAGGTTTATTCATCATTTTAGGTCCAATAATATATGTAAAAATAAACTTAGAAACAATTTTAGTGCCAGTATGATGCCAATCTAAATAACATTCAATTTTAGCAATTTCTTAAGGATCCTAAAATAAAGATAATAATAAAAAGTTACTTTAGGATAAAAATCATGCAACTGATATTTATTAACAATGTATCTAAGAATAGCATGACTCTCAAACAATTTGAATCCATCATCCTCTAAAGCTGGTACAGATTAACATGGATTAATTGCTGTGTATTCTGGTGTAAGGTTTTCTTATTTTTGGATGTCTACTATTTTTGCTGTATGTGGAACATTTCCCAAAGTTAACAAAGTAAGTACAGCTCTAGAAGGCATAGATATGGGATTGTAGTAAAATGTTAGTGTGTTACTCATATTGATATATGGATATTAAAATAATTATACAAAATGTTTGATTAAACATATAATATAAATAATTGTTTTATAAGAATTTAGAATATTCTTCATATCTTATTATTAACATATTATTTTAATATTTCTGCACAAGTCATATTGAAAGTTGTTAGAGAACCTGCATACAAGCATCTCATAACATATCCTCTAAATAAAGCTTATATCCCTTCATCTATAAGTATTCTCCAAATTCCATGCAATTAATTTTTATAATTGAAACATCCTATGTCTGATTAATTTTGCATTAATTTTCGAGATTAAATTTAGATTCTCATTTTACTAACTGAAAGAGGCTATGTTAAGATCGATGAAAAAAAGAATGCACCTAAAGAAGATAACAAAGCATTATTATTAGTCTATTCTTTAATTCAATACCATATTAATACCCTTTAAATATTCAAAACTGGCAAAATACAAAGCACTATATGGGCCAAAAAATCCTAATGTGGCTCCAAATCCTATTTATTAAATACTTGATTAAACCTCTGTATAAGCCTAATATTCCTTCCTACTTGACTATTTATATAACAGCATCAATAGATCCACTATAATTATGATGTCCAAGTTTTTTTTAAACTTATAATCTTTCCTTTACAACATCTATTGGAAGCCATAGTACACCACTTATAGTTTCAGCTAATAGTCCACAGCAAAGATGTAATAATAGTTTTGATTCTATTTTATTGCTTATTTAAATCTTAAAATATTAATAAGAAGTCAAATATAAAGAAAATGCAGGTCCACTACCTATCTTTATTAATTAATATTGTTACTATTGCAATCAAACCACCTTTATAAAATTGTTTAATTCCACCTTATTAGTAAACACTTTTAAATGTTTTTTTAACATCATTTAAATTCATTTGTATTGGTCTTCTTTCCACCTTTAATTAATTAATCAAATTAAACTTTACATAAAACTATGCCTTCACTGTATCTAAAGGATAACATAAGAATTTTCCTATTATTCCTGATACTGCACTTGCTATTGATTCTGTTAATAAAGAATTCATAAAATTTAATATTTATATTAAAAAATTACAGAACCAAAAATAAAAGAATTAAAAAAAAGTATTAACTCATTGTCATTATATTTTACCATACTATTGTCTAAGAAAATCTGTTTAGTATTTAGTAATTACTATATTTTTTTTAGTTTTCTTTTTAATGGAATTCTATTTATAATTTTGATTATTTTAATTGTTTGATTCTAGTGGCTATGATAAATACTTTTAAGGTATATTCATATATTTCATTCTCACTTTATTATTAAATAATTTTACTTTATTCTACAATTTTTCTTAATTCACTAATTTCTTTCAAATAATCATCTTCAGTCTCAATAATTATTTTTCTTGGACTGTCAAGTTGATTTTCCTCTTCTATTTATTCTTCAATTGCTGTGATATTTAAATAAATAGATTTACGAGATTGTGGAAAATAAAATGCAGTTTTCTCATATCTAGGAGATATCACTAGATCATTCTATTAACAAATCAATTATTTATAAGCCATAATTAAATCTGAAGCAACTTTAGATATATTTGGACTGTCATTCTTCATCGTTAAAATCTAATATAATTATTTTAATTAAAATGATACCTGAATAATAACAGGGAATAACAGAGGAAGAGAAAGAACTTATTCTTATTGAAGAATTATCATAAAAATTAGAAGGTTTATATAAGGATATGGAATAAATAAGAAGAGAAAATCTTTTATTTGAATCATATATTATGCGAAACTCCAAAGATTTATAGAGAGAAGATGAAGCAGAAGATAAAAAATAGAAAAATAAAAAAAAAAATTAACTTGTTGATAAAAAAGTAAACTAAATCTCAGATTACATTAGACAATGTAATTGACAAATGAAGAAAAATATGAAATTGCATAATTTGAAAGTGATACATTAAAAAAGAATATTGAAGAAGGAAGAATTAGATCTGATTAAATATTAGAAACTTTAAGAGTATTTTATTTTATATAATATTTAGGCTATATTAGAAGAAACAGATAAAGCAATAACTGAAATTAGAAAGGATGCTTTTGATTTTTAAAGAGAAATATTATTTGCTGGTGAAAATACTAGAACTGGAAAAATAGAGGCAGAAAGAATAGAAAAGTATTTCAAAGAAAAATTAGCATAAAAAGTATTTAAAATTATATTTTTATTTTTAGGATGCATAAATTGAAAAATATAAATAAAAAAAAACCAATATTGAATAATAAATTACAAAAACAAGCAATTAAATTTAAAAAAAAGAAGAAATGGGAGATGATTTAAAATTTATTGATTTTCATCAATTATAAATTGAAAATAAAAAATATGTTAAATAAATAGATGAAAAAAATAAAAAACTACTTGGATTAAAAATTGCTACTGGTAAAATATCTTCTGTCTTAATTGAGGAAAGAAATTAACTTTAAAATGAAATAGATTAATGCAATAAACTTATTTAAGAAATAGATGACAAAAATAAAAAAACTGCTAAAACCTAAGAATAAACAAAAAAAGTCAAAGTTTAAATATCATCTTTAACAGAAAAGAAGAAAAAGTTTGCAATCTAACTTGAATAAGTAAATAATGCTACAAATGAAGATATTCCTAAAGTAATTTTTATTTTAATTGAATAGGCTATGACCTATGTATTGTAAAAAAGAAAAGAAGAAGAACTTGTATATAAAATTAGAAATACAAATCGTAAAATTGAAATAGCAGAATTAGCTTATCAAAAAGCATGTAAAGCATTAGGTCTGAATCCATTATTATAATAATGATCTTCATAAAATTTTAATTAAAAATAAAAGAGTTATCTACTTATTACTTATATATTAAACTAAATTTAAAGTCTATTTTTCACCTCTAAATGTTATAGCTTTTATAAAATATTTATAATCAATAACTATTTAGAGTTTATTATGAAAATTATCAAAACAATTACTTAAAAATTAAACAATTACTCCTATTCAAAAAATATCAATGGCTCTTAAATTTTGTTAGGATATGAAGATGAATACAAAGGTTTTTAAATATAAAAAGGATAATATCTAGATTCATATATAAAAAATGTTGACCTATTTAAAACATGCTTAGTAGAAACAATCAAAGATTGTAAATCTAAAGAAATGAAAGCAATATGGATTTAATTAGATTAAAATTAGTTAACTCTTGCTGAAAAATTAATTGAGTTAGGATTTTAGATGCATCATTGTACATAAAACTATTTATTGTTTTCATAATGGATTGTTTAAAATTATAAAAGTCAATTACCAAATTATACTACTCATTCTGTTGGTGCTGGAGGCTTAATCATTAATAAAAATTAAATTTTATTAATTTAAGAGAAAAATGGATTATATAAAGATGAATGGTCAATACCTGGAGGTTTAGTAAATGATGGAGAATTAATTATTGAAGCAGCTGCAAGAGAAGTTAAAGAAGAAGCTGGTTTAGATGTTGAACCATATGATTGCTTTTTAATTAGAGATTTACCCATAGCAAATTAATATTAAGGAGATCTATATTTTATAATTTTAATGAAGTTAAAAAGTCCTGAATAATCTATTCAAATTTAAGAATAAGAAATCAAAAATTTTAGGTGGGTTGATTTGAATAATTTAGAATAAGTATAATATATAAATCTATATAGTTTTATTAAAACAATAAATTTGGAATGGTTTAAAGCAAGTTAATGGAATCTTTAATTTAATGGAATAAATCAAATAAATCGTTTAGTTAATTTTTTAGTTTAGATTCTTAACCAAGAGAAATGTATGGAACAATTAAGAAATATTGTTTATTTAAACCAAACTAAAGAATAGATAAATGAATTTCATTTTTAATTTTTACCATCATTTTTACTCCATTTTTAATAATATTTTTGAACTTCAAAAAATATTAATTTGAAGATTGTTTTATTTATATTATGAATTCTAAATAATAATTCTATTGAGAATATTATTTCAAAATTGGTTTTCAGATAAATTTTTTATTTAATTTGGAAAATTTTAGTACTATTATTATTATTTCTAGAAAAAGAAATAATTAAAAAAATTATATATAACATCAAATAAATTTTCATACTTAAATGATCAAAAAAATATAGCATTTATCATTTTTTATTAAATGCACAATGAAAATCTCAAATTAGTAGATGACTAATTTTTCAAAATTGAGAAAAGATTTTAATTTTAAATCAATATTGATTAATTTATATAAAATTTATTGGAAACGATAAAAAGTCGAAAATAAAATAAATTGAAAGTAATATGGATTTAATTGGTTTTGTTTAGCTGAAAAATTAATTGAAAAATAATTTTACAAGAAAATAGAATAAAATTGAACTATAGATGTAAAAATTTTTTTGAACAGAAAAATTATTTATTGAATATTTTCAGTTGATTATTTCAAATGAAATTAGATTGTCAGTTTAAACTAATTATAATGTTGATGTTGGAAGATTAACAATAAATAACAATAAAATTTAATTAATTTAAGAGAAAAATGATTTTAAATAATTTCAGGTGAATTAATTGATGATGTATAATTAATAGAATATAATATTTAAGTAGAAAAAAGTTTAAATGTTCAGCAATCAATTTTTTAGAACACATATGATTTCAATAATAATATATTATAAAGAAAAAATATTGTTTAATTAAGTCTAATTTATGAATAATAATAAAAATAAAATAATATGAAATTTACAAAATATCTCCTTCGAATATTAATTCCTGAGTGGGTTAAGTTTTATGTTAATTTTAAATTGTTAAAAACATATTTATCTATAATGACAATACTGAAAACTTTTTTGTTAGATGTAAAGCAGCAAAAGCAAAGAGACGAATATCTGAATATAAAATAGGATGTTTTGTAAGATTGTGACCTTATTAATAAATTGAAGAGAGACTCAACTTAATTTATTGGTATTTTAGAATATGAGATAAGAAAAACAATATCCTTTTCTAAATTAAGATACATAGATGTAATAAAAAAATATGATAAACTAAAAGAATAAACAATTGGAATGCAATAAGAATGGATTTCATTACCAAAATTATTTAATAAACCTACACTAGCAATAACTTGGAATATAAAATCTTTGACAGAAGCGGAAAAACATTAATTAAAATTAATAAAATAAAATAAGCCTAAACACAAAGTATACCATAAAAAATGTGAAGAATTGTAAGATAGCATGTTTAGATTCTATGTGGAAGTACAATAATTATAGTCATTCTTATAAATAAATTCTGAAGCCACAAGAAAAATAATAAAAAAATTTAAAAAATAAGAGATAAGAGGAATATTTGAAGTAAACGAGAATATTTTTTAGAAAGTAAATGACTTTCAGAGTTAAATTAATTAATTACCTAAAAGATTAAGAATGATAAAAGACGAAACAGAATCAATGATCATTTAAAATTTTTATAAACATGAAAAGTAAAAATTATAATAATTTAAAGCCCAAAAAAATGCAGAGAATTTTTGAGAAAATATACAGAGACAAATTAATTATCAAATGAAAGTATATTTTATTTTGGGTTTTTTGCTGGATTTGCTGCATTGATGATAATAATCTTATTGTTGATGAGATATGATGGATATTTAGATCCAAATTCAGATAAAGTTTTTAATAAAGTTTTTCCTTGTTTTAGAGGAGTTGCATTATTTATATTTTATTTTTGGATGATATCCTTAGATGTAGCAGGATGGAATTACTTTAATGTAAATTATAAGTTATATTTGGGATTTAATCATCATTATTCAACATTGTCTGAAATATTGAAGAGAGTAACAATATTTAGTACAATTTATTTATTAATATTTATAATTTATTGTGTATAAGAGGAAGATATTGGAAAGTTAGCTTAAGAATTATAAGTGTTTGATGTAAGACTTTATCCTTTAATAATTTGGGTATGTTTATTAATATATGTTTTGTATCCATTCAAAAAGATTTTTAATCCAGAAGGTAAAAGATACATGTATAAGATGTTTTATGGAATGATATGGGGTTTTATATTTAATTATGAATCAAGATATACATTTATGGCAGATTAATTTGCATCTTTCACAACTCCAATTAGAGATTTAGATTATACAATTTGTTATTATTATTATATTGTAAATATATATATTAATAACAGATATTTAATGGTTATGAACATGATGGATAATGTGAACCAAGGACTAGATTTACTAGTGCACTTCCAGCAACAGTACCATATTTAATTAAATGTGCTCATTATTTAGTAAGAGCTAAAGTTAAAGGTAAATTATTTGGTACAGATGAATGGTATAATTTTTTAAAGACTGCTAATGCTGCATAAGTTGGAGTTTGGTCATTTTTAGCTAGAAGAAATCCTGATGTTATTGAATTTAGAGTTATCTGGATATTTGTAGCTATTATTAGTACCTTTTGGTAATATTATTGGGATTTAGCTAAAGACTTTTTATTTTTTGAAAAAGATTCTAAATATAAATTTCTTAGAAATGATTTAGGATACAATAGTCCTACAATCTATTATATTTTTGCTGGTGTCAATCTAATTTTGAGATGTACTTGGGTTTTATCATTATCTCCAGATATTTGTAAATTATTTGGAATAAAAAATGAATTATTTGTTTTATTGGTTGGATTTTTAGAGATGAGTAGAAGATTCTTAAATAATTTTTTAAAAGTTGAAAAAGAACATATAGTAAATTTAAGATCTTTAAAAGTTGTTTAAGATCTCAAATATCCATTTTAAGTTCATAAAGAATTAGTTGAATTTAATAATCGTGATCATTGGTCAGTTTCTTCATTTCTCTAACCAAATTCAGGTTTTTAATCATTAAAAGATGATGTAGAATTTGAAAATAGACCTAGTGTTGTTTTATTATTTAAGGGGTTAACTGAATAAATTGATGAAGCAAGATAACCAAATCAAATAAGTAATAATGATTAAAGAATTTCTTAATTCACTTAAAATTTTAATAGAGCTACAAATTTTAAATTACCTAATAAATAATCTGATATCAAATAAGAACTAAATATTGAATTTCAAAATAGAGAATCTAAATATTCAAATGGTACTTAACATTTATTAAAGGTTCCACTTATTAAAAATGTTAGTTAATTAAATTTTCAATCCGTTTAATCTTCTTATGATGATGCTTTATCAGATAATCAAGATAATAATAATAGCGATTAAGAGAGGGATACCTTACATGATATAAGATTGGCCACAGAAGAAAATGCATTAATTGAACAGGGAAAAAAGAAAGAAAGTTTAGAACGTTAATGGATTAAAGAATTAAAGTAGGAAAATAAAAAATATAAAAAACTTATATATAAAAGATATGAAATATTTAGAGTGTAATAAACAACTGAATGAATATTATATTATTTAATATAATTTATATTATTAATATGTAAATGGATTTATATTATAAAAGGAAGGTATTTATAACTGAATAATATTTAAAATTAAACTTTTTAATAATCTATTGGTTTTTCATAAATTAAAATTTATATTGCAACTCTCTCAAATAAAAATTAAAAATTTTAAATTATATGACAACAGCATCATCATATAAATTTAATAACATTCTAATATAATATAGATTTATGATTAAGCTTTATTAATTACTTATAATTATTACTTTGATTTTAATAAGACTAAAATAGTTATAATAGATGGTGTTATAAAAAAGGTTTAGAAATGTTTCCATTAATGAGCAGGATAAAATGGTCTAAATATTTTTTTAAGTATAATTAAAATTTTCATTCTACAATACTTTTTATTCTTTTGTAAATTGGAGATGAAGAAATTTTATTTAAATCTAGGCGAATAATTAAATAATTCACTTAGTATTTAACAGCACAAAATAATTTATAAAGAACTCAAAAAATATTTAAGTAATTAAATCTGATAAAAGATTAAAAGTTTATTCTGGGAATACATTGTAAGTGGAAGTATAATATGCACCTTAATTGACATCTCATAAAATGCTCATTTCTTTGTTTCTCTAAGAATATGATGTTTTTAAAATAAATATTATTTTTATTCTATTCACAATTTTTTAATTTATTTCAAGTCTTAAATGAATAATGTTTTCTTTATGAGTCTCTATTCTGATTTTCCTTTAATATTATTCTACTTGTCAAAGTTTAATTAGGTTAAACAAAATAAATCTAGTCTATATCAGTAAACTTTTTGGTTTTGGATTTTTTAATAAAATTATGATTACTTTGAGGAATTGCAATATCTAGTTGATGACGTTTCTTAATTTTTGATTTTATGAATTAAACTTCAGAATAAGCAGGACCCATATCTAAAGAATTAGGAGATAATAAATTATGCAAATCGAATATGTTTTAATATTCTGTCCATTCTGTGTTGAATATTTTATTTTATTTATCTTGTTTTTAATGATAAGAATTGAAAATTAAAGGTGTGTTTTTTTATTATAAACTTTTTGAAAGCCTTCTTTTTGACAGAACAGAATTAAACTTATATGACTTTAAAACTTTACTATTAATTGCAACTTAATCCTAATTGGAGTCATCAATTTTATATTAGTTATTAAATTTGATTAATTTATTGCATAACTTTTAACAATCAATAGTTTAGTAAAGGGGTACCTTACATTACAATTTATGGGAATGTTCATTTTCAGAATTTCTTCCTTATAAAATTTAATGAATTTTATTTTAAATATCTTTCACTAATTTGTTATCATCCAACATTGAATTACTAGTACTTTATAATGTTTAAGTAAGCATTGTAGTATTAAAAGAAACCTTTTTATTTGTGTTCATTTTAAGCTGTTAATGTATTTGAACCAAATAAAATTAATGTATTATAATTTAAATTATAAAATTTATAAGCAAAATTCACATAGTATCATGATGGTGTTATTCAAAAGTAGGCAATTAATCTACAATAGGTTCATCCGTAGAGCTAATTTCCCCTGAAGAAGAATCTTATTGACAATTATCAAATTTTAAATTTGCCATATTATTATTAAATTTAGGTGATGCTGCATTAGAATCACAATTATTGAAGGTTGTCATTATAGATTCATTTTTTTCCAAAATAGGTGCAAGAGTGAATCTAGTAGATTTTGTATTTTTTTTTTAATTTTATTAACTAGATGGACTAGTTGGAGCAGATTAATTATCTTTCTGAAGCTCCTTCTTATGATTACTAATCACTAAGGATTCTATGGAAATAGCTTTTTCTCTTAAAGAAATCTCTGATGTTGCTGTTTAATCAATCAGAGGTTTAAAGACTTCTGACCAATCAAAATTGTAATCTTATTCTTATTTTCCTAAATATTGAATAAAGGGTTATTTTAATATTTCATAATTAGGAATTTCCTTTATACCTAATTTGAAAACATTGTAAAAATATTGTAAAAAGGGTTCTGGAAATAATTTTAATTCTTTTTCTGGTAGGAATGATCTTTTAAATTCCATATAATATTTTTCTCTAGTATTTTAATCCTTTGATTAACATTTATTTGGTAATTTCCCTTAAGTAAGCAAATATAGTAGCAAATAACCAAGAGATTCTAAATCATCTCTAGGTGATGGAACTAAAATTTATTATTGAATTTACTTTACTGTAGATGCTATCCAATACTACTAAACTTAGTTATTTTTATATGAATTTATTTAGCTTTATTTGAAATTTTACCATCTTTATTTAAAAATTCCACATAATCGTCAAAATTAGTTATTAATAAATTAGAATGACTTGTAGTCATAATACATGATAATTTTAGACTTCTATGTAAAATGTTTAAATTATGAATTTACTATAAATTACTAATCTTAATATTAATTTTTATTATGTAATTACCATTTTAAGAGCTACCAAAGTAATAGTTTTCACAGAAAATTTATATTTCATCAATCTAAAGCATAATTTTAAAGATGGTCCACTTTTTTGCCAAGCAATATAATGGTAAGTAATATTTTAGACTACTAAAGTTCCCATATTATATATTCTGGGAATTGGAATGAATCTCGACATCCTATTATGATGATCAATAGATTTGTCTCTATAATCAATAGCTATCTTATTAAAAAATATAATACACTATTCCAATCGCTTAAATAATTTATAAATGCATAATTAATCAGTTATCTAAATTATTATAAGTACAATATCATACAATTTATATTAAAATTTATTTTTGTTCTTGTTTAGTGTCTACTGCATTATAAAAACTTGAATGACGACCTTGATAATGTAAAGAAGTTAGTAGATATCGTTCCTCAATTATGACTGGCTGATCTTTATTCATGTATTTAATATTTATGAATTTATATAAATAAAATATTTCATAAGAAATAAGGAAGAACATTCTTCGGATTAATACTTTTTCCACTTTCAGGAACTTCTCTGAATGTTTTCCAAGTAGATTGCAAAGAATCGTCCAAACAAAGAATGGAAGCTATATTTCCGCATCTATAACAATAATTAGGAGCTGACCATACAGTAACCAGATTTTAATCCTAAATAATAAGTCAATTATAAATACAGGGAACCAATACTTGTATCCTTCCATTACTAATTGATGAGCCCTACAGATTAAAGTGAGATCATTCAATCTACAAAATTCTTTTGTTACTTTGGCACCAAATAAATATCCAGCTCCTCTTGAATTAACAGCCCAATATTCAACTTCTTCTGGATCTGACCACATTAAATCACAAAATGGACCTTCATGAGGAATTTCAATCTTAATTTATATGAATAATAAATTACTTTTCTATCAATAGTTCTTATTTAATCAACAGTTCTCATTTCTGGAGATAATCCTCCATGTACACATAATATTTAGCCTTCAATTAAAGCAGCTAATGGTAAACAATCGAAAACATCCATAAATAATCTCCATGGACTGCTATTACCATATTTTCTTAAAATTTCTTCATAAAATCCATAAACTTATGTGCACTATCTTGATTCATGATTTCCTCTAAGTAATACTATATTTCCTGGATATTTAACTAATAATATTAAGATTTGATATTACCTTTCAAACATAATAAATATTCCATAGTTTCAACACTATTATATCCTCTGTCAACAAAATCCCCAATAAAAATATAATTGTGATCAGGAATATCGCCACCTTCTTTAATTAAAGCTTATAAATCATAAAATTGTCCTATTTATATATATAATAGTTTACCATGAATGTCACCACAAACATTAACAGGAGCTTTAACAGGTTAAACATTTGATTCTTCTAAAAAGATTTCTTTTGCTCTTTCACAAATAAGTTTAAGATCTCTTTCTGGAAGACATCCTCCTGAAAGTAGCGATGATATATGTCGATCGATGTCCATTAATAATTAAAGATTTTACTTATTTTATGTAATAAAAATTTAAGTCAAAACTTTAAAATATAATTACCGATTGTGAATAACTTAAGGATTAAAATGCTAGCTTTAATTCAGAGATTTCCAATTTTACTACTAAATATCGCATGAGATTTATTAATATTATTAAAAGAGCTTAATCAGAAGAAACTAAGAAGTTACAGGAAGAAAAATCATTAAAGTAATATTATTTATATTTTAAAGATCCAATATTAAACTTCATAATTATCTTTGTAAATAAATCATTGATTCAACACAATATAATTTATAACGACCAAATAGAAAAGCTGAAAAATATAAAATATAAGAAGAAACATTCTTTGATAGAAATCCACTTCTATATCTCAAATAACAATTATAATAAGATAAATAAAGGAGTCTGAAATTGTCTATTTAAGCTAGACATTTTTCTATTCAATAACAAAAATTTGTATAAAAACTAGAAAATTATAAAGACTTTATAGGATTAAAATGAATTTTAATATAAAATTTGATTTATTTTTAATTAACAACCAAATATGGCTATTGCATTTAAAAGATCATCATTATCTTAAAAAGAATAAGAAGCAAAAAACAGATTTTATGGATTACCTCCACAATAATCTTCACCACCGTAAAAATTATTATAAATATTAGTACAAAGGATAAACCTTAAAAAGAATAAAAAAGACCATCTTAATCAAATTAGTAATAGTTATAAATTCCAGAAAAATAATAAAAAAATGGGTTTGAAACTGCTTATAATGCTCCTTCTAATGAATAAATAGATTAATTTTATAAAAATTTGGAATAAGATTTCAAATAAGTTGCTTAAAGTAAAATTTTATTTAATTTAAATAGAGTAAGTAACTATGGGAATGCTTGTTAATTAATAAGAGTTAATGAAACAATAATAAGAAATATTAATTCGAAATCAATAATAGATGCAATAATTTACATCACAAAATAATACTAATAATAATAAACAAAATAATTAAAATTCAAATAATGGAGAATAATAAATGATGATGAATTTGTTAACTCCAATAAATCAATAATTGCAAGAGATTAAATAGTTATATTAATAGACATAACAATCTTAATCTGAAATTCGATAATAATTGTAACAATAAAATAGTAATATTAATTTTTAATAATTTGATTCACAAAACAATTAATTAAAGTAACTCTTAGATACAACTTAGCATAATTTATAATTTTTAAGACCAGAGAATTTGTAAACACTTTAAAATTTTACAAACTTTAATTTATAATTATATTAGGATACAATAAATAATTTATAAAATTAAATTTATGCTTTATAAAATGAAGCTTCAACAAGTGAGCAAGAATTACATGTAAAATATAAATAATTAAATGATGCTCATATGGTGAGAAAGATTTAGAAAGTGTCATAATACGAAGAAGAAACTATATAATAATTAGAGAAATAAATAAATTCTATTAATTTTGAGAAATCATAATAATATATAAATTAAAAATTAGGTGGAAATTTTGATTATGAGCAATTTTCATAAGAAATTACTGATCTAACAAATGATGCAACAAGTGTTTATTCTTCATTTATAGATAAAGGATTAGATTACGAAATGTATATTCCAGAATATTAATTTGATTCCTCAGATATTGAAGCATTAAATAATAAGCCAAGTTCTATTCTTGATGAAATGAAAGCTGCATTAGGAATTACAAATAAACCACCCCCTCCAATGAAACCAAAATAAATTTAATAAGTACCTGTTGTTTAACCAATTCAACCTTTAGGAGAAATGTAAAAATAAACTCTTAAACCTAATCATTTGGTTAATCTACCAACTAAACCAATTGAACCACCAAAAGATATTAAATTTGAAAAATAGTAAACCCCATAAGATTATAAACCTATTTTTAAAGAACCTCCAAAATAATCTTAATAATAATCAGGTTAAAAGAATTAAAAATAAAAACCTCTCAATTTAGATAAAGCTGAATTCAGATAAAAGCCAAAATAGGTTGAGGATGAATCAAAAAAATATGGAGTTATTGAATATTTATAAAATGATCAATCATTTGAAGAACCTAAATATTAAATTTCTTATAAAAAGAAGGATAATTAAGAGATAAATAATAATTAATATAATAAAAATAAATAGAAATAAAATTAATAATTAATATCTCCATTAAAATAGTAAGTTGAAGAAGCTGAAAAGATTTAAGAAAATAATGTATAAATTAATAAACCTTAAGATTATAAAGATATTTATAATTACTAAGAAGTTAAATATAATTATTAAGAAGGATTAAATGATCCAAAATTTATTAATTATGATGATTTAATTTATGAAGTTTAATAGACAAATAATTATACTTCTTAAGAATAAAAAAGTGGAGCATTATTAGAAAGATTAGGAATGAAATAAGAAAATCCAAAAAATGAATTTGAATTGATTGAACTTTTATCAAGAGATATAGTTAAAGATAAATTAGTTTAAAAAAAGTAATTAAATGTTTAAGCATAAGAAATGATCAATAAAGATAAAATTTTAAAAAATCAATCAATTTAAATTTAACCAGAATAGCCTAATTTATAAGATTAGATAGCAATGGGTGCTTAAGCATTTTTTCAAGGTCTTTTGACTGCATTTAATTAAACATTAAATTAAGTAAATGATGGAATATCTGGAAATGCTACTTAATAAGCAAAATAACTGATAAAGATATAATAATAACTTGAATCTAGTGAATATACAGATACAGAAGAAGAAGAAGCAAGATAGAATTAAGAATATCATTAAAAACAAGAGAAAATATTAGATAATTAGATTCCTGGATCTTAGAAAAAGCCAAATAGGCCAGGTCCCTTTTAAAATACATAAGTTTTATAATAATATACATTTGCATCAACATTTTCTTAATAATAATAAACTCAATAATAATTATAATAATAAAAAGATGGAGGATAAAAAGGAGTGAATGATATGAAAAATTATTTAAACTAATTTGCATTAAGTGATAATTCTTAAGTTTCTTAAAATAAAAGTGGTACATCATATGCAGGAAGTATATTTAGACTTGATGATTCATATGGCCATAAAAGTGAAGGATAGGTCTCAATTAATGAAGGTAAAGGAAATAAAGTAATAAAATTTAATTTATTATTTTATAGAGAGTTTAAGTTACTAAGGATATCTTTAAAGATTTAAATTAAGATCTGTCTGATAGTGATGTTCCATAACATAGATAAAAATTTTAATGAAATTATTACATATTTGTTTTTATTTTTCATAAATTTAAAGATATCTTTAATTGTAATGATTTGATTAAAAGATTATTTTATTTTGATTTACAAATTCAGAATAGTTGATAATTGAATTGTGATTTAAAATAATTTTTGTTTGATTATTATAGATTGTTATTAATTGAAAAAGCTTGTTATTAAATTAAGTTCAAATTTTATTTCTTTACTGCATTTTAATGAATAAATTAAGTTGAATCTAAAAAATATAAAAATATTAAATAATATATAATGAATTTATCTGAAGAGGATATTGAATAATGTTAAAGAGCGTTTAATGATTTAGATGATGTAACAAAGTTGATTATATAAATTACGTTAGAGAGGTGAAGGAGAAATAATGACAGATGATTTAGAGGTTGCCTTAGAAACTGTTGGATTGAAGTAGAAACCTCATAAAGTCCATAAATTAATAAGTGAAATAGATGATGGAAATAATGGACGTATAAAATTTAAAGAGTTTTTGGGACTTTATGCTAGGCTTAAATATGCTGGATTATAAGATGATGATTAAGATATGATTGATGCATTTGTAGCCATGGGAGGAAATGAAGATAAAACAGGAAATATAGATGCAGAAAAGTTGATTAGAATAATTAAGAATGAATTTGAATTAACAATTGATATAGAAGGATTAATTAAAGAAGTTGATACTGATGGATCAGGGGTAATTGAGTTTGGAGAGTTTAAAGAATTATTAAAAACTAATTACTTGTAAGATGATGAAAATGAGTATCCTTGATTTGACTGACCCCATATATTTAAATATATACCTACATTCCTAAGCCTATTAATTATCAATTAAAATTACATTCTTTTATTATCAATTAAAATATCTAATTAATTTATTTTACTTCTCAAATTCTATTCTAACACTTCAAATAAACTGTTTTTTATGGCTTTTTATTTTAATACTAATAAATTATCTATTTTCTAATTTGTATATATATTAAATTTGATATAATTTTATTTATTGCACCATTAGCTAAATAGTATTCATATTCACAGACCAGATGGTTATTTTAGAATGAATGTTTATTCTCCAAAATCAGCATTTAATGGACTTCCTAAAGAAGTTTTAAGTCGATGGCCAATATATTAAGATTTTAAGTTTGATCTTTACTAAAAAAACGCTTTTTTTATGAGCTGAAATCTAAAAACCACATTCTTCTTTCTTTCACTCCTTAATACTAAAAGCTTTCTTAAAGAAGGACATATATTTTTTAATTATGGATGTCTCATTAAAATCTTCTTTCTTAATAAATCAAGTTTTTAATCATATTTTGTGTAATATACTTGAATCACTTTGTAGATTATTATAGAATAAATAAAATAAAGGGAAAATATAATTTATAAAATCTAAAGTAGGGTATCAATAGTGTACAATCCAATAAGCTTAGTTTAAAAATGTAGAGAACTTAAAATTATGATTATCCCACATTAAAGAATACTTTCTTATTCAAATTAATTCAAAGCTTTAACATTGTAAGGCTAAAATTAAAGAAAACAAAAATAATATAGAAGTAAAACAAGAATAGTGATAATACTTTTTAAGATTACTCTTTCCTCATTTATTATTAATGATAACATTATTAATTCTCTTTAAAATATTTTAATTATTTCCCAATAATAACTATTTTCTTTGTAATCATTAAAAAGATAACCCCATATTTTTCTAGTTCTCTCCTAATTAAAATAATTCTTAATTTTATAGAGTATTATCAATAAGAGAAGTGGAATTATGCATCCAAATATTATTATAACAGGACCAATAAAAAATTGAATCCAATTAGAATGCTCCTAAGTATGATATAAATATTATGTATTTATATTTATATAATCTATCTTAGATATTGTTCTCATAGCTATAAGTCCTCCAAATTATTTTATTATGTTAGGTTGAGTGTAAAAAAATAAATAGATTAAGGCTGTAAAATAAATTGTTGATGTTAATTTCATTTTTTGACAAATAACTAATATTAAATAACTAGTTAAAAAGAGTAGATATTGTATAGCTGGTAACATAATGTACAAAATTTAAGTTAGATAGATTATTTTTATTGAATATTGAGTGGCGAAATAACATTCATAGGAGAAGGTCGAACTTTCGATAGGATTGCTAATGGGTAATAAAAAATCTGCAATGTTTACGTACAAATCTGATTAGAATGATTTTATACTAACTATTATTTAACAATAATTAACTATCATTTTAATAAGAGCTGCAGATTAATCTACATATATTTAAATTTAAATTACCTAAATTACTACGAAATATTATTTTGTAATATTTTGTAGTGTTTTTGAGTAATTTAAAACTTTTAAAAATACTATTTACACTGATAACTGTTAAATATATTGAAATAATAGCTCTATAATTAATTTATTATTTACATTATATTTATGAAAACACTAAACAATATTTTCCCAGCATATTCATCACAAAGAATACATTAATAATTTTGATTTTTAAAATATTACCCATAACCTCTAATATTATAAATATCACATTATTCACATAATGCTCCTACAGATCCTTCTTTACAAGAATCATCTCCACTTTGCCATCCTCCTTAACAATTATTAATATTTTTAAAGCATTTAGAAATATAATGACTTCTAATATTTGGTCTCCAATATCCTGGATACAATTCAACATTATTCATTGTATTAGATTTGATGATTTTTGGATCTACTTTTTAACAATTTTATGCTTTCAATTCTACTGAATAAAAGCCTTTCTTAAAATCACACAACAAACATTGAGAATCAAAATAATATTCTCCCATTTTACAAGTAAAACTTTTTGTGTTAAATTAATAAGTATAATTTTCATTCTTTATACAATTACACTAAAACTTAAATCTTAAAAATTATATTTCCTATGAATAAGGATCAAGAACAATAGTTAGATTTGTAAGATCATAAGATTGACTTTCATTATTATAAGTAATTATTTATAATTATCTATCAGTTTTACTTATAATCTTATTTTACTGATTAATATAATCTGACAAATCAAGATAACATTATGAATCCTCTTAATCAACTAAAATTTCACCTAAAGTATTTATTGGTAAAATCTATAGGTTTATATCATACCTTTAATAAAGGATTCCTTTATTTGAAAGCGATTATTCATAATCCCCAATCTTTTATCCACTTGGAATATATATAAAATTTTCAGTATTATACTTACTAAAATTTGGAATGCCTAAATTTGAATCTCTAATAGTCATGATCTTCTATCCAAACACTGACAATTATAAATGACTAGGCTATTCTCTTATATTTGATGTTAAATCTTTTGCATAATTTTCAATAAACAATATTTATTATAAAGTGTTAGGATATATTCTAGTATCTTCTATGTATACAGCCCCTCCTACATTTGCAGAATTATTTACAAAATAAACTTTTTTCAGATTTCTTAATTCAGCTTTAGATTTATAACATAAACCTCCTCCAAACATACCAATGTTATTTAAATATAAGAGATTTTTACCAATAAAATTATTTACTCTTAAATTCGTTGCACCTTTGCCATTATTTCTATTTTAAATAAATTTACTGTCTATTAATTCAACTAATTCACTTTGATCTACAAATAAGCATCCTGATTATCCACAATTATTCTTATGTAGAAAAAGTTCAATTATCTTACATCTTAATACATTTTAATCTAATTATAAATATATTAAACCATTCTAACAGATTTAACATGAATTCTCTATTAATTAAATCCTTGCCAAAAATAGTTATACTTTTAAATTTGAATTCCTTTTTTAAATTATTATACTTAACAAAGATTTAATACTATTAATATTCATTTTATTTTCTTTAAAAATAGAATTAATTATAGTTATATTTGTTAATGCCATTTTTATAGATACCTTTTTGGATACATTTTCAGAAAGCATCATTCCATTGTTTTGTATTGATATTAAATTATTTCCAAATGCTTTAACTTGATTTAAGTACAAATTATTTAATTAAATTAAATTAGAATATTTAAGAACTAAGATTGATTAAGGAGAAATCCCTTCAAAATATAGATTACTTATTTATATATTACTAAAATTAAATAATATTTTACCTATTTAAGATCGATATAATACTATTTTAAATTAGATTATTCTATTCAATAATTTCACTAAAAGTCTTTTAATAAACATTTTCTTCAAATATTATCATCATATTTTTTAGTTTTACACTATTAATTTAATTGTTGGATTAAAAATCAAAATAAAATAGTAAATTACTCTATGAGAACACATTTATAAACATGATATCATTAAAAATAACTTAATTACTTATTATAGATGGAATCAAATACAGAAATCCATTTGAATGTTTACTTTTACAATTCTTAACTTTGATTGAATTTAAATTTAAATTTAAATTTGAATTCATTGAATTGATACCTAAACATCCTCCTAATGCATTTTCTTAATCATTAGACCAACTTGTTGCATTCTCAATAACAATATTATTTAATTCAACTATACCTAACCTAATCAATTCTAAAAATAAACAAGATGCTTAATAGGCAAACAAATTTTAAAAAATTGAATCATCTAAAAAAAAATATTCTGTTTTAGCAAAAATGAATCCACCTACAGATTTATTAGGAATATCTTAATATCTTTAATTTTAGTTATTATTTTAGACTTTTATATCTTTGATCTTAACTTGATAAGAATTCAAATAGATTTACGAATTAGATGTGTTTAATAATGTATTTTTATAAAAGATGTTTTAATAAAAATAGATATTTTACTAATAAATTTTGATATAAATAAGTCCAGGTGAAATGAATGAATAATCTTCTAAAAAATGAATAATCAAGTTATTTTAAAAAGAAGATTAATTTATGAAAGTCTCACAAAAATACTCAGAATTAATATAAAGTAAACTAGCAAATTAGGTGCTTTATGTTTTCATTAGATAATTGTTTAGAATTGATAAAGAGTTAATTCTTATATTTTAATTGTTTAAGGCTCTACCTTTTGAAATCAATAATATTAAAGCAGAATTTAAAACAAATTGGTTTTTTAATTGTAAATTGTTCATATTGATATGCAAGAAATCTTAAATAAAGATTACTCCACATAGTTCTTATTATTCACTTAAGGTTTATTTAAGCAAATAAATTTTCTAAGATAATTAAGAATGAGAAAAAAGATTATTTCCTTCAATGAATATATTATTAAAATTTATGAATGTAAATTTTTAAAGGCAAAAATACCAAAAGTAATTTCTATTATTTATGGTAGCATTTTCAATTAAAATTGAGTAGCTGTTATAAGAAAATATACAATTACTCGTACTACAAGAATTTTCGCATGAGGATGATATATTTTGAATTTTAAAGTTTTACATTTTTATATTTCCTAATAAATCTTTATCATTTTTAATAGAAATCAAACTTGCTTTACAGAAATCTAAACGATCTAAAGTTAAATTATAAATAAAATGATAGTGTCCATTATCTTGAAATAATTCAGTAAATATAATTAAACTACTATTTGTAAAAGTACTTTAATAAATAGATATATTCTATATAACAAATGAGGAGATTGAAGATATTATGATGCTATCAGAAAATTAAGATTACAAAATATCTAAATTCTAAATAGAGACAGTGTTTGAAGTAGGAATTCTAAATAAAGCACTATAAATTAATTATGAATTCTTATATAAAATCTTTTCTGCTGAATAAGAAATATTAAAAGTAATTGAATTGATATCTAGTATTGAAGCATTGTTAAAATAGCTATTTATGACATTTATTGCGTTGATATTAATGTATGAAAATTCTGATTAAGATTGTAAGTAAAATGAAAAAATTGAAGTATTCGTAAAGTTGCTATCAAGAATAATAATATTTTCAATGTGTATATAGAATTTTTGTTTTGATTATATTGGATAATGTCGAATCAAAAATAAAGGTTAATTTAAAAGTTTCATATTCGAAAAATGTATGTTAAGAATATATACACTAGTTGCTTATGCAAATTAAAAAATAGTTTTTTCTAAGTTTAAGTTTGAGATAGAAATGTTATTAATGAATAGAGATACACCAAATGTAGAATGCGAAATAAATTGATTAGATTGATGAAAAATTTTAACATTTTTTAAATTGACAGTGGTTTAATTCGTAATTACAAATTATTTTTGATGTTGGCTATCATTAAATCCATCATAAAGAAAAGTGGAATTTTTTAAAGAAAATATTTATTCTCTAAAATTGAATGGTATTGAATCGGTATAACTATTAAATTTTTAAATAAAAACTGTAGGTTTGACTCTTATTAAATATTTTTTTAAAACAATATCAAATTTTTAAAAGGGATTTTGAAGTGATGGAAAATTATAATGTTCTAAATGTAAGTAATATCTTCTTTTAGATTAATCTTTGGCTCTAATTTATCCTGTTAGAGTTTCAATAAAAGTTAAATTTTAATTAAAATTTAAAACACAAAAATGAGTTTAATTAATAGATTGTTCATTTGTAATAAAATAAGGATTAATTACTGATATTAAATCTTAAGAGATTTATTAGCATACTTAACAAGGATAAGGGCATTGTTAGCATTAATTATCAAAATAAGATAGAATGGGAATATTATCTTAACTATTTTTGCAAGTCTTACAAAATGAGCTGCCTAAATCAAATTCAAGACAATCTTAATTTTTGAGTTAAAAACAACCTAAACTAAATTTCATGTAGCCATCTTAACATTTAAAGATTTCATATTCTTTTACAAAATACATTCCCTATAAAAGAATTGGAATCTTATTTGGTTTAAAATTTAAATAAAAACTGTGTACTTAATTTTTCCAATTATCTTATGAAGAAGATGACATTTGGCATGTTTCTGAATTATTAAATTTATCAGAGCATAATTGACAGATCCCATTCAAGAAATTAAGAAAATAACCATATTAACATTCTATGCATATGATCATTCCAAACCAATCTTAAAGGCATTTAGAACAATTAGAATAAAATTGTAAGCAATCCTCAAATTAAATTGCTATATTTTTTTATATTTCTAATATTGATAAAAGAGTGTTAGTACATATAAATTAATCCTCTATAATAAAACCATCTATGCATTAATAACTTACAGTAAATTCTATACATTAATTAATTGAAAAATCGAAAACAAATCCTGGATAACACAATGAACATGCTATAACATAATCTTCTTCATTTAATACAATTTCTCCTTACATAAGTGAAACTTAATTTCTATCATATAAATTATATTAAAAACAGTATTTACAATTTTCTATATCACATCGTCTACAAAAACCTAAAATATCCATAAAATATTTAGAAGGATCTTTACAAAATTAGCATTGTCTAAACATACAATATCCACAAGATTCTTAACATTAAAATCGACCATCATAATTATTTGAATCTTAATAATCAAGACACTTTTTTACATCTTTCTAATATTCACCAAAAAAGCAAGTAATGTAAACATCTTAATCTAAGTGTTTATCTTCATATAAAAAACAATCTACTTATCCTTCAATAATCGTTTAATCTGAACAAGTACTGCATCCATCACAGCTAACAACTTCTTCATTTACAATAAAGAACTGTACCGTTTATTATTTTCCATTATAAGTATCCAAATATACATTATTTTAAGAACCTTCATATTATGAATACTATTCTTCGCAGTAACCTTTCTTTATCCATTTTTAAGGATTTATTAAACATTCTACACAATTAAGTATTCCTTTTTAAGATGCTGATGGACTATCTTAAATTTAAAATCAATACCATTATATGCATTAGTCATTTAATTTGAAATAACCATATGAACATATTATTTCTTTATTTTCAGATTCATATCTCTCATCTTCAGGTAAATATTCAAAATTTTCTATAAATTCCATGTCACTAGATCCATAACATTTTCCTCCTTTCTCTTCTTAATACCACAATTTACATTAACAAGTATTAGCTTATTAATCATATATACGATTATCTGATTCTAAACAAGATAAACAATGATTATTAAAAGGACCCCAACAATTTAAACAAGAATAGTGACAACTTTGTTATTTTCCAAAATCATCAGTTTGACTAATTAAACTTACATAATTAAAATAACTAAACTATCCAATTTCTCCCTCTATATTGCTATTTTATTAATCATTCTCCCCAAAATAAAAGGCTAGTAATATATCTGAAAATTAATAAACATTTTAAAAATCTATCTCATATTTTTTGTTAGTAATAAAACTATTCAATTAAATTAAAAGTGTATTAAGTAAATATTTTATTTCTATAAAATGCCATTAAGTGATAAATTCCACTTCTATATTTTGAGAAAAACTTTTTTTTAATTCATCCATGAAATCTATATTTTTAATATAAGGATAATTATATGAATAATATTCTATTGTGTAAAACCATTAATCCTATTATTTTATGTAGCTTAGTTAAAAGATCTTTAAGTTTAGATTAAATTCAAAATTATGAGGTTTTATTTAAAGAATACATATTTAATTTTTTTAATTAATCTCTTTAATTTTTATTTTCGACCAAAACTAAATATCATAGCTCTTATTATAAATAAATTAACTAATCAAATTCTCAACATTTAAAGGGGAGTATTATAAATATTAAATTAATGGATTAAAAATTAATGTTTAACTTATCCCATTTAGAAACTCTTCTTTGTATTCAGGTAAAAACATAAAATTTGATATTTAATATAATTAAACCTCGCCAGGAAAGCTCATTAATGTTAAATTTTATAACTATCCCTATTTCAAAAACTAATGTAAATTTTTAAAAATACTTATATACTCTATCCATAAATATATATTAGCTCTTAAAAGCAAACTCTGTCACTATAATAACTTTTGAATTAATTTTAATCACCACATTCTAATCCAATTATTAATTCTGAGTCATCTTTAAAGTACAAATACTAGAAACACCATCTTCCCTCATAATCTAAGATGTTTATTTTAAATTAGACTTCAATTTAATTAGAGCAAGTTTAAATAATAAAATAGTGATCAATTCTTTGAATTTCAATTAAAAATTCAACATAATATGCTATCCTGAGCTTCTAAGTTTTTATTTATTTTGCCATATAAATTAAATAGCTATGGGAATTTCTTTTGTGCACATTCTCTAAATGAAGAATATTGTTCAAAGGCGAATATTTCGAAAAACTCCCTATAACTTATTCTCTTTCTAAATTCAGCAAGGGAAAGTTTAAATAATTATTCTCTTTTTACTAATTTGATTATTGAGAACTAATTTTGACAAATAAAATCAAAATGAAAAGCATAATTGATTTATTTATTTATTTTACTTATATAGTTATTTTTAACTAATATAATCTTATGTTTAAAAAACGTGATTCGATTTAGAGATAAAAAAATGTTGCAAAAATGCTATCTTATGTATTCAAACTAATAAAAAAAAGAAAATTTAATATTTCAATATATGTCTTCAGTGTATGATATTGTTTACAATTATTAAATATCAATTATTCAAATTTATTGAAGATGTCATTAATTTAAAATGATAGCTTAAAATAGCATTAAGAATATTAGTGCCAAATAGATAGAAATTGAAATTGAATAATCAAATTTTTATATAAGGTAAATTATATTTTTATGGAAATTAGTAAATAAAATTTTAAGCTGCATTGAAAAAAATTTTTAAATCTTATGAAATGGAATATGTAAATATTTATAATATGAATAATACTTCTGAAACTAATTTTATTGTTCTTTATATTTTATTATACAATTTTTTATTTTTTATGTCCTAAAGAACATATACAAATATTATTTTTATATACAATTGTATAAAATTTCTTTTTATTTAAGTTTAATTATTAAAGGTTCAATCTTTATCCATGTGATAAATAATTAATATTTATATGAATTTTATTTTTCAAAAATAATCAAGCATTTCAGCGAATAGAAAAGATAAATTATAGCTCTTTAAGCAATATTTAATGCTTTTATACATATTAAAATTCAACGTTTAAATTCCAAGAGACATTTCATCTTTTATTTTGTTTTTTAACATGATATATCCTACATTTATTTCTTTAGAATAATAATACTTCTATTCTCAATAGAAAAACTCCATATAATAAATTTTACTTTTTAGCATTAGACCTGATTTGATATTTTAAAGGTACAAAAATTAGTTTATTTTAGCTCTTTATTGTACTTGATACCTCTAATTTTATTTTTATTTCATAAATCAAGTGGAGTAATATTATTATATTATTATTTAACTTCAAAAAACTAGGAAAGATTTGTTCGATTAATTTCTAAAAAAATATTTTTAAAGGTATTAGGATTATTCTTTACATTATACCTAAAATTAATTAATACATTTTTACTTATAATTTATAGTTTGCTTTGCATTGCCAGTTTTAAAATATAGTTTGAATAATCAAAATAAGATAATTTACCCTCCTTTCATATAATTTGCAATTTCTTAACAATAATTTTATTGTTTTTAGAATCATCATTTGTATTATATTTTTATAGTTCATCTATAACTCATTAACAAAAAGACATAGAAACAACAAGAGTTACTTATTTAAGAGTGCTTTATCAAATATTAATATTACTTCAAATTTTTATGGTTTTCTTTTGGAATTCAAAACACTATTTTTTTATTTAATCAGCTATAGCTATTTTTTCGCAAATAACGTTGTTAATTGATTAATTCTATAATTTAGTATATTCTTTGAATCATCAACAATAATCAATTGCCTTAGCCATTTCTATTAATATTTCATTTTATTTTGCAGCCTTAGTTTCAACCAATATATCTTTCAAATCTTTGCTTGTACCTTTTCTTATAAATCAAATTTTGATCTATTAAATAATAGGGAACTATTATGATCGTTTTAATAAATATACTTTAAAAGTACTGTTTAATAAAAAACTGTAAACTTATTGGCCACTAAAATATTGGTTAATCAAATTAATTAATAATGACATAAATAATAATAATTTTGAACTAGTTTTTAAGTCTTTTATTGCATCATATCATAGATTTGATTGTGATGATGTAAATTGTATATTTTGTTCTCGTTCAAATATAATTTTTCCAACTTTAACTGGTGGTATCACTAATAAAATTTATAATCAATTTTTGTTGAAAAAATTAAAGCAATTTTTAGCATTAGAATCTCTTAATTAATAGTCATCATCATAAAATTAGGGTCTTTTATCATATGCATTTATTTTATACGATTTTGGAATGATTATGAAAGCTATAAAAATTCTTTGTTTTTTAAAGGAAAATCATTAAAATTCAGAAAATTTAAAAATTTAATCATTTTCTTAATTTTAAGAGGATAATTATTAAAATCTTGAATTAATAAATTAAAAAAAATTATAATCTTAAGACCCTCAAGACTTATTCAATGATTTAGCCAAAATTGTGCAAGACCCTATATTAATGTAATTTTATTTAAATTAACGATAATTTGGGTAATATCTAATGATTGATAAAATAAAATTACAATTTATGTTTGAATGTGCAAAAGCAAATATAAATTCCTCATTAGGAACATCAAGAGAAACATTATAATAATTTTACATTTCGAATTATACTGAAGAAATTATAGAAAAAGATCTCTAAATTAATATTTAAGAAAAAAATTTATTAAAACTTATTGATGCAAAGATAGATATATATTAATAAATAGTTTCAACGTCATAAATTAAATAAACTATTCGTCATTTTCACTAGAAAGTACATAAACTATGTTACTAATTTTATGCGTTAGATAAAGAATTAAAAAAGGCTTATGCATAAAATCCTTGTTTTCATTTGCATAGAATAATTTGTTATTTTTTGGGAGAAATTTTAGGAGAATATAGAAGGGCAATAAATTTTTATAAAAATTCAGAATTTTTTGAAACTAAAATACTTTAATTTAAATAAATAAAGAATTTTAATATTAACTCTCAAAGAGTCCATTATTTAATATTAGAAGCAAAGGATGATATGGAAACATTTAATATCTAATCATACTCTAATAAATTTTTTCTAAGTTTTGGAAATTCTTCAAACACTGCTTAGATTCATCAGTTTAATGATTTATTACCTATATATTTAGTTCAACATCATTGCTCTTATGTAAGACAATTTTTTGAGACAGCAGAGGCTAAATTTTATTAGTAATTTGACCTTAGTTTTATTCGGAATACAAATACTCTCTTAACACCAATAAATATGTGTTTTTCAATTACAAATAAATTCATTAATAAAAATATTACATTTGCTGCTTTTTTATAAGATACTTTATATGATCAAGCATATATTCTTGTAGATGATATTAGTCTAAATTGTATGTTTACTTAAAATTTATTAATATTAATTGGATGGAAAGAATCAGAAATCTAGCAATTGAGTAAATAAGATAGATAAAAAGAATTTGATATTAATAAAATATTTCCAAAATTTGATAAGCTTGTTAGAGTAAATTAAGAAAAATACTTAAGATTAAATTAATGTGATTTGATATTGCCTAAAATGTAAGAAACAGTATCAACTTAAAGATCTTTATATTCAGAAAATTCATAAATATATTTATAATATATTGACTGTTAATGTGATTTAATTATTATTAAACGATCTATTGGGGGCTATAATTATTACATAATAAATATTGTTAAAATAGTTGAAGCTTAAACAATTGAAATTATTAATCAAAAAATAAATTATTCACAGTAAAAAACTTTAGAAAATAAATAATTATAATTTCCTGATAACTAGACTAGTTTAGAGTAAGTTTAGATTTGGTCTTAATCTTTAAATAAAGAAAATATAAAAAATCATAACAAAAATATTGATAAGAAATCAAATTTAGAATATACTTAAATAGATAAAATGTATTCTTTAATTCAATCTATTCTTTCTGTAAAAACTCCAAAGTATCTTTAGAAATTTGTGATTTTAATGTTAATTTGGCATTCAATTTTTATTATGTTTGTCATAATATTTTATGTCTCTTTGCAATCAGACATAAATTTAGTAAAATCACATCTTGAAATGATATCATTTTATGCAGCAATAATGGCTCCTCACGATCTTTTCTTTTCAATGAGAGTAACCATTACTGCTTATTAATAAATGTAAAGAGAAGGATTCTTAACTCAAGGATAAGTTACAGAATTAACTAATCCTTATTATGAAAATATTGAATTAGGATTTACTGAATTAAGAGATAGCTTTTATGATCAGTTAAATAATCAATATTTAAAGAATTTTTTGAATGATATTACTGTTACAATGTATTTTATGTAAAAAGATGAAAAGTCAATATATCCTATAGATGTTACTTTTAGAGATGCTTTATTAATTATATTATAATATCAATATGCATAAATGATGACTTTTTATCATCGTCAAAGTACTTCTGGTAAACCATTTTAAATTTCATTATTTGCAAATTATTTTATGCTTCATTCTCAGTGTGAATTGTTAACAAATGATATAGCTATTTATTCAATTGAAAATAAAAACTATATTAATCGAAAATGGTTGATAATTACTTTTATTGGATTTGTATCTCTTATTCTATTTTATATAATTATTTAATGTTATTAAATATATTTTTTTGGGTAATTGGATTCACTCTATGAGTTAATTAATTGCTTAACATACGATATTGTTTAGAAAGAGATTGATAAATTTGGAGATTATATCAGTAATTATAAATTAGATCGCTATATCATACTTGAATATAATCCATTAGATCGATATTGCAAATAAATTGAAAATTATTAAAAAAAATTAGGGTAAAATTATATAAAAGTAAAAATTAAAACAAAAAATTAATCTAAATTAGTAAATTATTCTATGCTTTTTTTATTATGTTTATTACTTTGTTTTTACTTTATTCTAATTTTCAGTAGTACATAATTGTATTTATAACAATATGAAAAAAACTTGAATTTTTATAAAAAGTTGTAGGATTATAAATTAAGACCTGGTAGCCTTTACTTATATCGAGAAATCTTTTTTAGATGGTCTAATTTCACTTTTTTAACAGAAGATAATTAATAATAGTTATATTCTCTAGTTTTTAAAGCAGAATAATCAATAATGGATTATTTGAAAAATACAAATTCTTTTTATGTAAATTCATAAATTATAGATGAAGAATTTGATCGGTTATTTAGTAAAGTCAGTCAAGAGAATTTATGTTAATTTATTGATTAAGTAATTATTAATTTAAATTAGAAATTTTAAAATTTAACATCTAAATATTGTAATTTATCTTTTGATGGATCTTTGAAATCAGGAATGATAAATACTTTAATTTATATAAAACATTCAATATAAACTTAATAGGGAATAAACAATTTTACTAAAAGAGTAGAAATTAGTTTATATGAATAAGAAGGATCACAGATAATTACAAGAGTTTTTTTCTCACTTTCAGATTAATTTAGTAAAAGTGTAGGTTTAAAAGCGGATATTTGTATTTAAGTGATAAAAGTAAAAGATTCTAATTAGATTAGGCTATATCGATTAGTTTTATTGTTTATATTTTATTAGTGTTATTATTGATGCAAATACTTTATCGTCCATATTTAGAGAAACTTTTTAAAGTGTTAAAAAGATCAGTTCATTTAATTCCGTTTGATTGCTTGTTGTAAAGTGAAACATTAGAAATGAGATTAAAGTCGATTAATTATAAACTTTAATTATTATGAAAACAAGGTAGTAAATTTGATATAATAATTGATTTTATATAATATTTTATTAATCCTATTAAGTGTGATATAAAATAAGATATAAGTAGTTTGAATTAATTATTACAAAAAAGATTGAAAGATATTAAATTAAATAGGATAATAATGATATAAAATTTCCAAATGTCAAACTTAAACATCTTCAAAAGCTAAACCAATAATATAACTTGCACTAGCTGCTGCACTTCCTATAATAAGAGTTTCTAATCCAGCCCAATACCATTTTTAATATGAAAACATAGATTTAGAAACACCTAGAATAAATAAGAAAAACCCAGTTAATGCAATAGAAGTTTCAAACAAATTATCTGATAATCCAGCAATACTTCCAACAATAAATGGTAATACTAAAATAAATAAATTATTGTTACATGGCATTAATCCAAATAATCCAAATGAAAAAAAGGTTACAACAGCATCTTTAATAGGATGTTCATCTACACTCATTAATCCAAGTTCTTCAACCATCATAACATCAACCCATACTTTTTTATTTTTTGCTAGAGTATCAGCAATAATAACTGCTTCATCATGATCTATTCCTTTGGACTTAAGAATATTTTAAGATTTTACTTTATAAATTTCAACCATTTCTTTTTTCTCACCTTCAGGATTATTTTCAACTTCCCATTATTCTCTATTTCTTTCATTTATTGTAAATTCTGCTTCACTCCTTGTTGATATATAATCTCCTAAAGCCATTGATATTCCATCACCAATTAAATTAGCTATACCCATTCCTAATACTACTCCTGTAGATAATCCAGCCTATATTTGATATTATTGTTAATATACTCCTGCGACTCCTGCTACAACTGAAAATGTTGTTACCATTCCATCTAAACCTCCATATACTGCACTTTTTATATGTTCTCCACCCATTTAATGCTTTTCCTCATGTCCATCATTTAAACTTTATTATTCCTCATTTTTATGTGCTTTCTTAGATAAATCTACATCTTTTTTTTCAAAAGCTATTTATGCTTAATTCATTTCAGATCTTAAAATTAATTATAATTATTTATATCTATGATTATCATAAGTTCATTTCTAACATTTCTCTCTTTAATTTTTCAATTACTTTCTCTACTAATTATACTAATGTTTCTTCTGTTTTCTCTCTTTCTCCTCTTGTTTTTCTTAATTATTCCTATATTCTTCCTGATATTTCTCTCAAACTCTCAACTATCTCTTCCTCTTTTGCTTCTCTCTCTTTCTTCTCTCTATATATATATTAATCTTATATTTAAACCTATCAAATAATTCTCTTAAATCATTCAATTATTCTACAAATTAATGATATATCTTCTCTTCAACATCTTTTCTCTCTGTAATCTCATTCTATAATTCATCAGCTATTTTTGGTAAATCTTCATTCAAATAAGAATCTATATATTCATGAGATGTTGATTAAGCCTATTAATTTAATTAATTAATTATTACTAATCCTTCCTTTATTACTTCCTATTATAAACTCTCTATTTATTGTCCAATTTAATATACTATCTTTTTCTCTTATTCTACTCTATCTTTTGAATTCTATTCTATTAATCTTCTTGAGTGTCTCTCTAAATCAGTTATCAATTTGTAAGTTTCACTTTCTTATCTCTCACGACTATAAAATATCTATACTATTTTTACTCTTCTTATTCTTATTCCAAAAATTCTGTTATTTATCTCACTTTTTGTGCTATATATGCAAATTTCTCTTCTTTCAAATCCGATTAATGTTATAATTATGCCTCAAAAGCCATAATCAATTAACTTATTGTATGAAAACGATTATTTTTCCTATTATGTATTATTCCTAACTTACTCATCTTAAACACTAGTTGAGATGTTATTTAGCTTTTCAAAAATTGATGAAACTCTATTTTAGATATTCTCTGACATTAAATTAATAATAATTTTTATTTCTGTTTAATAAAATATAAAAATTTTATTGATTAAATAAAACTATTATAAAATATAAACTTATTTAATCACATTAAATGATCATTTATATCAAAAGTATCACAATTCTTATACTTTCTATGGATCTTTTAGTAATTTAAATGTTTTTATTGTAATGGTTCAAACTAATTTTACTTTATATTTATTTAACTATCATTGCATTCCATTATACTTGAATCTTACAAATTCATTTAATTTAATTCTTATCTTGTTTATTCTAATAACTATCTCAATTAATCTATATTATCATCAAAAGATTATTCATTTTTTGTTGTGAAACAAACCTTATCAAAATTCAATCTTTATTAAACATTTTGATTCGGCTATTATTCTTCTATTTTCATTATGTCTTTCTTAAATTATTCATATTTCGGTATATCATATTTTGGTATTTCTAATTAATTTATATTAGTAATGTTCTCTTTTTAAATCTTAGAATTTATAAAATCATTTTCTTTAATTTAACATTTCAAAGTTGATTAATTTGAATCTTAATTGACATTCTCAACACTTTATTAATTAAAACAATTCTCTTCTTTTGGATAAAATTTGTTTTATGTATTATTTATAGATTAAAGTGGAATCTCTGAATAAACAGACTTTGTATCAGTCAAAGCAGCATTTCTAAAAGGATTCTCATCTTTTAATTATGAAATCTAAACTTCTTATGAATGTAAAGTATTTTCTAAAAATGAAATAACGTTATCTAAATTTTTCATTCCATTAAAACCATAGTTTTCTTAAATATCTGTACATTTATCATCTATTTGATTTTATTTATTTGTTGATTTTTTTATTTCTTATTATTTTATTTTATCAACTGACTTTTCTTATTATGATTTTAATATTTTTTCTGGCTTCTTTAATCTTTATGCCTAGAATAATTAATATAAATTATACTTTTGCAACGAATGATTTTGTTTCTTCTAAGTCTTATTTTATTTTATTCAGAAAATTTGGATCCTAATTTTATTACTCTCTTTCACTTTCCATTAATAACATTTTAGCTTATTCAAGAATATCTGGTTTAAATTAACTTTATGAATGAGCTCTTTCAGATTTTTCCCATTCAATCATTTATGTTAAATTTCTTCTCTTAGACGTTGAATTATTTAAACCCTTAGAATGCAATGCTGTAAGATAAATCTATTGTAATGATATATTATAACTTTTTATGTATCGTCATCCATTACATTATTTTTCAATTTTTCTTAAACTTATTACCATTAATCTTTTGCTTCCATACGATGTTTTGACATTAAACTAATTTTCTTTTACATCAATTCAGCTTATGATAACTTGTAACGATCCTAATCAACAAATGATGAAACCCATTCAGGTTTTCCCTTTTGATTCTTTTATTTCGAATACATTGATTTCAAATTAATAACTGAAAAATATTTTCGTAATATTATTATATATATTTATTGATTATATTATCATCCAATCATTTTCTAATTGTTAAATACCATAGATCTGATGCATTACATAATTATAATTAATATATTCTTATTTTTATATTATTCAATTCAAATTTATATAGCCAATTAATGAGAATGAAAGATTAAACAGATCAAAACTTATTAAGAAAATATATTCTAACTAATTTGACTATGCTTTTGGTCATTCATCAAAAACAATTAAGAATCTACTCTATCCTTAAATATATATTCCTCTTTTTTGGATAATTGCAAAGTGCTTTTTTTTATATTTTTCCTTGCTACATCTCCTCTCTAAAAATGTATAATAAATTCATTCTAATATATCTAATCAGACCTGATTTACTTTTAATAGATAATTTTATGATTGATATTTAAGATCGCTATTTATTTATGATTCCACTTGCAAGCCTTATCTTTTTTGATATATTGATTTTATAAGGGTAAGTATTAATTGAATATCAAAATAAGAAGTAATCTGCAAATTAGTATTAGCAAATTGTAATTTAAAGCTCCTTATAATAAATGATGATATATTTCAAATCTTTATATTCGTAATTGTTTATTGTTTATTTATATATACCAGCTCAAGTATTATCACTTACATCATTCGCCCTTTCCGATATTATTAAAGATATTGAAATAGCTATATTTAGTATAATAACAGTAATTGCTTGCATTTGTTTTTAATTTGTAAAATTAATTATCAGTAACACAACTATGGATCTGTAGATTATTGGTTTTGAGAGACTACACTTTACTAAAATAGATTTCTTCAGAGAAATTTTTATTCTAACATAAATCATTTTATTCAGTATAATGGAAGATGTTGAGTAAGTTTAAATAGCTTAAGGAATATTATCTATATTAGTTAGCCTAACATTTCTAATCAATATTTTTGTAGATAAATCTGTTATTGTTGAAGGATATATTAAACTTACCTTAATTACATAAATTAGTTTAATATCACTAATCACAAGTTCTCTATTGAAATTTTGGCAATTAGGTATATTATTGATACCCATTCTTCTTTTTATAGGATTAAGCTATAGAAAACAAGAATTATTTAAATTAACCACAAATATTTCTTAAGATAAAACCATTTCAAACATCATTTAATATATATCATATCAAATTAATAATCAATCTAATTATAAATCAACAATTAATTAAATCTCTTAATCTATTCTATTAAACCATCATAGAAAGAAGTGCAATGACGCTTCTTGCTTTTGCAATTTCATTTCTGAAAAAACTGATGAACCTTATAAGGTTCTATATTTATCTGATCATTTACAGAGAATTTTTATAATCAGTAAAATTAAATAATGGAATAAAGAATTAAGCAAGAAAAGATAAATTTTTTCTGATCAAAATTGGATTCATTACATTAGTACTTTAAATCATTATGGCCTCACAACATTAGCATTCTAAGAATGTAATCGCTTGTTATCTCTATAAAATTCTGTTAATAGTGGATTTCTAGGTCAAAATGATATAAATTCCCAATAATTAAATCATCCACCAAGTTTACCATCATAATAGAGTGGAACTTAGAATTAAAAAGCATAGGTAAAGATATCAATAAATTCACTTGAATTAACACCAAATCTAAAATTAAACATAAGAAATAAAATGATATCTTTATTATCATAAATAAAATTAGAAATTATTAGCAAAGAGATAAGATTGGAATTATAAAATAATTTCTTAAAATTATAAAATAAATAATAGGAAGAAATAGCAGAAGCGATTGAATTATATTTATTGAGTGAATCATAAAATTAAGCAGTTAAAAATTAAGTATTGAAATGTTTATAATAAAAACTTTAGTTTTATAATTTTATAATAAACAAAAAAAATCTTAAATCCTAAGATTTATTTGTAAATGCAAAAATATTATCAAATTCTTTTATGAAATTAGAATAAAAGTTATTATAATAATATACAAAATTCCCTAGCTAAAAAATTTAATCGATTAATTGTTTCTTTCAATCTGAATTACTCAATAACTATTTAACAGCATTCAAATTAGCAAATTTTAGCACAATAGCTGATGAAAAATTATTAAATATGAAGAAAAACTTAAAAATTAATTTATTTGGTAAAAATGTCATTCATATGCTGATGAACTTATCTGAAAGTTTATAGTCATTAAATATTTTTTAATTCAGCAATAATGCCCAAGATTTTTTATAAGTCAGTTATGAAGAGTGTTTAAAACTTTATAAAACAATAGATAATCTATTACCTTAAGCTATCACAAACGAACATCATTTACTTGTTCAAAGATTCATTATTGAAGGAACTAGCAAATATTTTAGAAATATTGATTTAAGCTTTCTTTAATTATCAAGTGGATTAATCAAACCATTTAATCTGATGATAGACATAATGTTAAATAAAACAAATAATTTGTCTTTTGTAACATTTTTTGAAGAGGTTTCTTTAACTAATAGTTATATATTAGTTGATGTGAATGAATTATGTGGAGGAATTACTTTAAATCTTTTCGAGAAAATTGGATGGAAATAAAATGAGTTAAAACAGTGTTCTAAATTAATTAATCTTATTTATTAAGTTAAAATTAATTAAATTATTCCCAATTTTAAAGATTTAAAACAACAATAAAAAGAGGAAAAGTTTTATAATACTAACATAAATCTGTTGACAAAAAAATCAATCATAAACTTATAATAAAAATCAGTAGTTTCGATTCATGATTCTTGGAAAAACGTTGGTAACTTAATTAATTTAAGTGGAACTGTTATTATAAAATCTAGAGAAATATATGGATATTACTATTATATCATAGAAATAGAAGATATTAGATTATGTTATAAATTATCACAGATGACAAACACAGAAGGAAAGGGTTACACCATATAGTTAAATGAAATTGAAGATACAGAGATTGAGATTAGTGATTTAATTGTGTCTGGAACTGAAGCAGGAATAAACAAACCATAATCTTTAAATATTTTCCCATAGTCATCTTCAATCTCAGAGAAATTTGAAGATAATGTTTTTTATAATTAGCAATTATAGGCTGTACTTCATGGATAGTAAATTATTAATGATAAAGGAAGTTCTGCATCAAATTTACTGTAGTTTAAATCAAATGTTTAATATTTAGAAAATATTAATTAAAATGCCAATAAAAATAGTGAAAAATAAAATTTTTTTGATGTTAATCCAAATTAAAGTATTAGAAAATTAATAGATACAAGCAAATCTTTTACTTAATAAAGATTTTTTAATTAAGATGTTTAAGATTTGGATTAATCAAATAGCAAGATAAGTGATGCTATTTAAAATTAAATGAAAGATGCAAATCAAATGTATGATGTAGATCTTAATAAGATTGATAAAGAAATGAGAGAAAATATTAGATTATAATTATAGCTAGAACTTGATTAAAAAAATTAAGCAAATTAATAATTGGATGATGCAGCTTCTTAAGTTTCCTCTTTAATAGGATTAAAAAAATCATTATTTTATAAAAAATATGAGCTTCTCAATAGATTGATGGAAAGTGATTTTAGACCTAACTCTTATAAATACTGCAATATATTGCTAATTTTATCATAAATCTTAGTCATGATATTTTGTATAATTGTTTTATTAAATCTAAACTAAGATTTTAATAGATTCATTTAAGAAGTAGATATGCTGTTATTTAGCTATAGTTTTATGACTCCATTTGATATATTTTTAGCTTTAAGATTCTCAACCATTTATTATAGAGTTTAGGCATTTTTAGGCAAAATTCCAGCAAATGAAAGTACACAACTAGAGAATTGGTTAGCAAACCATTTAGGAGAAGGTTATGATATAATGAAATTAAACTTTTTAGACTAATTTTCAAACCCTTACATACTAGAGTTTTTTACAGATGAAAATTTTGATGTGCTTTTCATGAACACGAATTCTTCAAATATGGAAAAGAAAACAATATCATTTAGGGAATCTTTAAATGTTTTATTGTAGTATCAATACTAATTTAAAATTGCATATGAATAAAGAATTCCTTTAGTTTCTTAGGCTTTTACTGCATATCCATATGCTAATTATTTAAATTTACATGATAAATTTGATAATATGACTTCTAATATACTAGAATATACAAAATAAAGGAAAGAAACTGTTAAAGAAAATTGGACAAGGATTTGGATACCATTTCTTGTTATAGATTTTCTGTTGATCCTAGGATGTTATTAATGTTATAAAAGTTATTTATAGATTTATGAAAGCTTTTTAAATCTCTTCAAATATGCAGATAATATTTGGCTCAATAGAGATATGGAGAGGTATAAAATTTTAATTAATATTTTAACAAAAAATTCTGATGTAATGTTCAAATATTAATTTGATTTAGAATAAAAAGAAAAATTTATGATGGCAGAAAGATATAAAATAGAAAACCAAAGAGTTCAGGAAAGCAAGAAAAAAAAAAATAATAAAGATTATAATAAGATGCCTTCATTAATAGGATTAATCAGTCTTTCTGCTTTATTTGCAGTATTCTTCATTTCTTCATTATTAATTTAGTTATAGACAAATGATTATCTTGAAAGATATGCAAAAACAGCAGATATCTATAAATACATAGGTGATTTATGTTATAAAGTTCCAGGATTATTTTCTCAACGATAATTTTTATATTGGTGGGATATTTATTATTTAGATCTCAATGACAAACCTCGAATGTAGAATCGATTGTTTGAAGGTATTTAAAGTTGCAAGAAATTTGATTTTATTACATAGTAATTTAATGAAGAAAACTATTTAACAACTTAAAATTTTGTTGATACTTTAGTTAATTTAACTTAGAAACCAGTTTGCAGTTTTTTTAATTAGACTGTATATTAGGATTACTCATTTTATTGTAATCGATCTTTTGATGGAGCCTTGACTATGGGAATTACTTAAGCTCTATTATATGTTGGAAATGCCTTTACAGTAGCATATGCATTAAATAATTTTACATCTATTATATAGTATTTTAAGTATGAAGCCGAAGGAATGTATATAATGGTTAAAGGACTAATTGAATTAGTAAACACTTTAAAAGATGCATTGCTTTTAGCTACAAATTCACATATGGATTAAATTATTGGGCTGAGTATTTTCCTCTTATTATTTTAATTAATAATATTTTGTATTTAAGTCTTCATACTTCATAGATATTATTCACATGAATACCAATTAGTAAAAAGATATATGCTTTTATTACCCTCTTCGACTGTCTTATTAGATGATAATTTTGAAAGAAATATTAGAATATTTTATTCATAATTCTAAATTTGATTGATTTATATATTCATAATTTATTAGAAATTTTAATTATTATTTTTAGAAAAAACTCCAGAAAAAGCTCAAGAGGAAAAAAGGTATTTCTAAAAATATTAATGAATTATTTATTTAAACCAATAAGAAAGAATAATTTGTAAATAATGTTAAATTATTAAGAATATTAGTTTTGATTGAATTATATTAACAAAATATATTTCACAATAGTTCTACTTATAATGGTTTTTCTTTTCTTTTTTATTTTGATTTTATGCAAACCAAAGGTTTTGATAAAAAGTACTTTGTTATTAAAAATTTTGTTTAATGTTATGAATTAGGATTTGGAGTTTCTGATTTTTGTTATTAAATTGTTCTAAATTGGGAAAGTTAGAGAGATTTATGGATTTAACCATCTAAATTTGACTTAAGTTTTCGTGACGTTAGGCAACCTGGTATTCTTTTTTTTTCTAACAAAAAATGTTAGGTTTTTTCTAATCGTATAGGTAATTAAAATCGAAAAGGAGATATATGTAATTACTAATCCAAATAGTTATCCATTTTAATCTAAGGATTTTATATAGATTTTCTTATTGTTTCTATCGTATCGTAATTTATATCAGTTTTGAGTTATTTTGAGATGCTCAGCGAGCTCTCCTTATATTTGGAAACTGATTTTTATGAAGTTCGACAAATTTTTCTTGCTTTTTACACAAAATCATCAAAAATGCTGAAATCATTAGGTTTTGGTTATAAGAATAATTTACTTTAGTAATTGTTGTTTAACATTTAATTAAAAATAATATAGTATTTTTAAAAATAAATAATCTTCGCTTTTTTTCTATCATAACAGGTATTGAGAGTGGATGCCTTTGAAAAATCTGGTAATGTGATAATTCCTTACTCAACTTTCGAANTATAATGGTTAAAGGACTAATTGAATTAGTAAACACTTTAAAAGATGCATTGCTTTTAGCTACAAATTCACATATGGATTAAATTATTGGGCTGAGTATTTTCCTCTTATTATTTTAATTAATAATATTTTGTATTTAAGTCTTCATACTTCATAGATATTATTCACATGAATACCAATTAGTAAAAAGATATATGCTTTTATTACCCTCTTCGACTGTCTTATTAGATGATAATTTTGAAAGAAATATTAGAATATTTTATTCATAATTCTAAATTTGATTGATTTATATATTCATAATTTATTAGAAATTTTAATTATTATTTTTAGAAAAAACTCCAGAAAAAGCTCAAGAGGAAAAAAGGTATTTCTAAAAATATTAATGAATTATTTATTTAAACCAATAAGAAAGAATAATTTGTAAATAATGTTAAATTATTAAGAATATTAGTTTTGATTGAATTATATTAACAAAATATATTTCACAATAGTTCTACTTATAATGGTTTTTCTTTTCTTTTTTATTTTGATTTTATGCAAACCAAAGGTTTTGATAAAAAGTACTTTGTTATTAAAAATTTTGTTTAATGTTATGAATTAGGATTTGGAGTTTCTGATTTTTGTTATTAAATTGTTCTAAATTGGGAAAGTTAGAGAGATTTATGGATTTAACCATCTAAATTTGACTTAAGTTTTCGTGACGTTAGGCAACCTGGTATTCTTTTTTTTTCTAACAAAAAATGTTAGGTTTTTTCTAATCGTATAGGTAATTAAAATCGAAAAGGAGATATATGTAATTACTAATCCAAATAGTTATCCATTTTAATCTAAGGATTTTATATAGATTTTCTTATTGTTTCTATCGTATCGTAATTTATATCAGTTTTGAGTTATTTTGAGATGCTCAGCGAGCTCTCCTTATATTTGGAAACTGATTTTTATGAAGTTCGACAAATTTTTCTTGCTTTTTACACAAAATCATCAAAAATGCTGAAATCATTAGGTTTTGGTTATAAGAATAATTTACTTTAGTAATTGTTGTTTAACATTTAATTAAAAATAATATAGTATTTTTAAAAATAAATAATCTTCGCTTTTTTTCTATCATAACAGGTATTGAGAGTGGATGCCTTTGAAAAATCTGGTAATGTGATAATTCCTTACTCAACTTTCGAACAATTAAAATAAGAATAGGTATTTTTTAGTATAGAACTTAAACGATGATGTTATCTCATTTGAAATGTACTTAAATTAATTATAAAAATATTCTAATTTTTAAGTAAAACTTTTAATTTGAAAAAGAGGTACGCACTCTTAAGGATATTTTATTTTATAATTTTTGTAAATCTTCATTGTTTAAGATAACTCTATAAAGAGTTTAACCAAAGTTTTGAAACAGATTTTGGGATCTTCTTCTATTTAATTTTTCTTCTTTGACCATTTAGACTGTAAATCAAAAAATCCTTGGAACCAAAGTTAAACTAATATTCAATCTTAAGGATCATATAAGATAAATACAATATAAATATGTAAGATTTAGATTATGACAGTGTATTTATGATCTTTAAGTTGAATATCCTTTAACTCAATATTAAATTTGATTCTAAATAAATATAATTTATTTACGAATTAACATAACAACTTTGATGTAGCAGTACTATAATCATAATTTACATAAGTTAATTTGCATGTCCATGTACATATTGCAAGAATAAAAAAGAGCAATAACAACCCTCACCCCATGATTTTAATTAAATTGAAAAAGAAAACGATATGTTAAAAGCAGAAATTGCAAGGCTGCAATCCTATGCAAACTCTAAAGGTATAATTAAGATATATTATAGTTCCTGAATTTTAATAATTGTTAAGAGATAATTAACAAATGAAAAAGACATTGGACCAGATGAATTAATAGATTAAGGAATATGAAGAAGAAATTTAGAGATAAAAGCAAGTTATAGACAGATTAAATTTTGATCTAGATAAATAAAAGAGAGATAATGAATAGTTATTACAAGCTTTGAATGATATTAAACAGAGAGGTTTATCATAGGAACAAACACTGTTGTAAGATAATTAAAGAATGAAATCTACAATTGATTCTTTGAATAATGATTTAAGAAGTTTGTAATAAGAAGTTTATAGATTGAAATCATAAAATGATAAATCTAGATACATCTAAGATGAATCATACCGTTATTAATAAGAAAATTAAGCTAATATAGCTAGAATCCGTTAATTAGAAATGCAAATAAGAGACTTAATTTCTAAAGAAGAAAGTTATTAGCTCTAAATCACAAGAGCTACTTAAGGACCTAATCCTGAGAATTAATTATTGAAAGATTAGATAGCTTAATTGAATTAATAATTGCATATGATGTAAAAGTAATATTAAAAGTAATTGGATGATACTAGATTAGAACATGATAGAATGATTGCAGAATAAAGAAATACTATAAATGTATAAATAAAAGATCAATTGCATAGAGATTAATAAAAGTGGATGGATGAAAGGGAAGCATTGCTTCATGAAATTTAATTATTGAAATAATAATTAGCTTCAAATGAGTTGTAAATAACAAGAAGAAGGTAATTATTGGAAGATGAAGCAAATAAAAATTAATAGTTGATTGTAGAGTTAGAACAAGGAAAAAGTTAACTTTAAAATAAATTGAAAGATATTCAAATCCAATTATAATAGTCTGAAAAAGACAAGATGAGAACAGATTAGTATTTGAGAAAAATTGATGAATTATAGTTGTAGGTTGAATAATTGTAAAGATAATTATATGATCTGACAAATAAATACAATAATTTATTGAGTCAATATGATTAGAAAAAGTATTAGTTTGAATAATTGAATGTTTAATTGAATGCCAGCTAAGATAATGAAAAATAAAAGATTATAAATTTGGAAAGATAAATTAGAGAATTATAAGATTAATTGGCTGATATGTAAAGATTAAGATAGCAACTGCATTAGATGAATGAAAATTACACAGCTTTATAAATTACTTTCAAGAATTCACAAAAGTAGTTATCAGAAGCTGATGAACTAAGATAAGAACTAGATGCCTTATTATAAGAATTAGAATATTATAAACAATTAGAAATGAAAAATAAATAGGATTTAGAAAAATATAAGTAGTAACTAATTTTAATAGAAAATAAGTAAAGTTAACAAGCTAATTATGAACTTGAAAAATTAAGATAGAGTAACTAATTATTGGTTGATGAATTAAATGAATTGAAGAATAGAAATAAATAATTGGAAGCCAAATTATAATAATAAATTATTCTTTTAAATCAAGCACAAAATGATTTATAAGCTCATCAAGCTTTAAGCGAGAAATAATAATATGCTTTGAATGAGAGTAATCAATTAAGAGCTAAGATTAAAGAACTCTTAGATTAAATTTAATATTTAGAAAAGGAATTAAAAAAAAAAGATAAACTAATATAAGATTTATAAGTAAATTTAGATTAATTTGGTAAATAAAGAGATTCATTTATATTAATTGAAAAGGAGAAAAAAGATTTTGAGTATCGAATTATATAATTGGAAAAATAATTAGCTGAATCAAATATGTACAAAACATAATTTTTAGATTTATAAAATAAATATAACAATTTGGTTTAAGAATATGAAAGCCTTAGAAAAGATTATGAAATTTTAAGATACAAATACGATGAAATAAATAATTAATATTCTTAATCGAAAAAACAAATCAATATATAAATAAATAGTGAATTGGATGCACTAAAATCTGAAATGCAAACATGGATTATTAAATGCAAAACTTATGAAAGCGAAATCAGTTTTTTAAGATCTACAATCAATGATTATTAAGATATAGAATAAGAGTAAGAGATGTTGAAATCAGATTTAGAAGCTTGGTAAATTAAGTTTGCAGAAGCAGATCGAGAGAGAATCTAATTAAGATAAAATACTTAAGATAATGAAAAATTTAGATTTAAAGTTAGTGAACTTGAAAGAGAAATACAGAATTCTAAATACAAAATTGAGAATGCTGAAAAAGAACGAGATAATATAAGATAATAATTAATAGTTCTATAATAGTAAAGAAATTAAAATGATTAAATAAAAAAAGAATATGATTCTCTTAATTTTAAATTATAAGAATTAGACCAAGAAAATCATTAATTAAAATATGAAATTGAAAATCTAAGGTAATAATTGATATCATTTTAATAATTAAAATAATAATTAATATTAATAGAGTAGGAGAAAGCTTAATTGTTACACCAGAATGATGAATTTGAAAGGGAAAGATAATTATTAAAATAACAGATTTCTAGTACAAATAATATTAAAATGGAGTCTGATAGTTTAAGGAGAGAGTATGAAATGCTTAGAATGAAATTGGAATCAAGTGATAGAGAGATATAAACTTTGAGATAATAACTCACAATGGCAAATAATCAAAAATTAGAATATGATAGATTGAAATCAGAATACTAGCAATTTAGAATGAGTTTCGAAGATTCAGAGAGAGAAAAATAAAGTTTAAAATAATAATTATAAATGGGAAGTAATCTAAGGATTGAATTAGATTAATTTAGAAAAGAATATGATCTAATTAGATTAAAGTTTGAAGAAAGTGAGAAGGAAAAAAACTAATTAAAAATACAGTATCAAAGTAGCCAAAGTAATTTTAATGGATATAAAATTTAAATTGAATAATTGAATTAATAAATAAGTTAATATTAATAGTAAGAGGTGGTCAAGAAGAGAGAGATTGAAACGTTGGTCTAATAAATAGATATTTATAAGAAAGATTAATTAAATAAATAGTAATAAATATAAGAATATTAATTCAAATATTAGGAAATTATGAAAGAATATGAGAATTTATAAAGTAAATAAAAAAATATTGATGTTGATGCTCTGATGTATGAAATATATGAATTGAAGAAGTAATTAGCTTAAAAAGACAAATAATATGAATATGAGAGACAAGAAATTAATGATTAAAAGTTTCAGTTAGAAAGAAGTGTAAAAATTAGAGTGGAATAGGAGATCAAAACTTTGAATGAGAAATTTTAGATTGAATTGAATGAATTAAGAAGGTAAATCTAAATTGAAAAATAGGAAAAAACAAAGATTGAATCTGAAATGAGAATTAAATATGAATAGTAGATAATATAGCTTTAATAATAAATTAAACCATCAGTAGATGTAGATGCTTTAATGTATTAGATATTTGAATTAAAAAAGTAAGTTAATACAAAAGATTAACAAATAGAATAAATAAAAAAAGAATAATATCAAATTAAAATTTAATTGGAACAGAGATTTAATGAACAAAAGTTACAATTTGAATAAGAAGTTAAAATGAAATTAGAAAGGGAATTGAGGATTTCTATTGAATAAGATTTAAGGTATTAGATTGAAAATGAATATAACTTCGAATCAAATATTTAAGACTTTATTCTTTAGATTGAAAAATGGAAGTCAGTTTGTTCTATGAGAGATGAAGAGATAATACATTTAAGGGGGTTACAGTAGGCTTTGAAAGAAAAATTAAATCAATATACATCTGAAATTGAATCTTTGAGGACTCAGCTAGCTTTAGTCTAGGGAGATAGAAGAAACGTGTATTAAATAAAATGATATAATACAATATTTTTTATGAAGGAAATTATTAGCTGGAATTTTAAATTCCAAATTGCATATATAAATATTTAAATATAAATAAATGATTGAAATTAAAGAAAAGGGAATAACAAGTTTAGAATTGAGTAAACATTTGATAAAAAGATTAAATTTTGATGTATGGAAAGCGATTGATAGGTTTGAATTATTCGAATATATTGAAAAAATTGATTATATACTTTATGCTATAACATATTAGGCAATATTTATAATAGGTAAAAACTCTCAACGTATGATTGGAAACATCTGAATACTCATGAAAAAGAACTACGCGTAGTTAGGTCTCCAAGTCAACCACCTTCACCTATGAATGTGTTGTGTGAATTTTCATCTGGTGATTCTAGTCCGTGTGATGATGATCAATATTAAAGTAAACTAGAATTCATAGGTACAAAATTATCAATTCGTGAAATTTGTAATTCTGTTCTCAATTCTAATTGCTATGAAATTAGGATTTTAGAACCTACAAAAACAGGAAAATACGAAAAGTTTTTATTACTTTTATAACAATTAGAATTCCCCAAGAATGGTAAAATCAAAGAGATATTATACTTTTTAATTTTAATCCAACTTTTGATGTTTGTTAAGATAAATATTCTATAAAGAAGTATTTAAAAGAAAAGTAATTTAAATAATTAAATATAATAATTAATTAGATTCAAAGATTACTTATTTATAACGATTGAAGAAGTCTAAAAAATTTATTTGGCAGGGGAATAAGCATATATCATAAAAATAAATGAAGATAAATCAGCCCAATTCTTTTATTATAATATGAGTTAGAACTAACCAAAACATAAGAAATACATAGGAGAAAACTTCTAAGTATGATTTCAATAGTCTAAATTATAAATAAGGTAGGAATCTTGCAAAAAGTTAGAGACAAATAAATTTCATATAGAATAATTCTGAGATTTTTACCAGTTTATTTTTTTAAGGAAAAACTAGAAAAAATTATATTTGAAAAAAAAAATGATAAACATTAAATAGATTATAGATTTATAAGTATAGAGGAGTTGTTTGAATGTATAATCAATAAGCTATTTTTAGTTGAAGGTTGTAAATATGGAATTATTTATTGTGATGATTTAAGGTAGTCTTAATAACTTGTTGATCTACTCAATAGGTATTTAAAAAATATAACCCAATAAGGTATTTCTTTGAAAGAAAAATTTCTTAACCAGAAATTATTGCAATAGATGAAGAAGGAAAATGTATCTCTTCAGTTTCTTATCAATAAGAATATTAAAATTTTTTTAAAATAAATAATGATACATAGAAAATGATGAAATAAATATTATAATAAGAAATAGATAAGGAGATTTAAGAAAAATAGGAAAAATAAGAGAGATAAGAAAAATTGGAGAGGTAGGAAAAATATGAGAAAGTTAAATAAGAAAAGTACGAAAAAGAAAAATTACATAGTGAAAAAAGTATCTTTAATAATAACGAAAGAAAAATATAATTAAGATATTATAATTAACGTTATTGAAATAAATAGCAAAAACTAATATGAACGATAAGAAAAATAATATGAGAAAACATACCATAATAATCATTATTACAATAATAGATGTAAGAAAAATTGTTTAATCTTTAAGATGAAAGCAGAAACAACACTAGAAGGTCAAGATCTCATTCAAGAAGAAGAAGACATAGTTCAAGTGAAAGTTCTAAGTTTAAATATATAATTAATTATATAACAGAAAATATTATGAAAGAAAGCATAGGTCGAATCGATATGAGACAAAAAGAAAATCGGAATATGATAGCAAAACAAGAAAATGAATAAATTTTACTGTAATTTTATTACAACAAAACAAAAAAGGAATTTCAGTAGAAAATTATATTAACAAACCTAAAACACAAATATATGAAAAAAAATTCAAAATCACGAAAAAAAAATTCTTCCAATAAGCCAAAATAATGATAAAAAGCTACTTAAGCAACTTTAATTGATTAAAAGACAGAAATGATTTCGATACAGATGATCCTAAGTTTGTTTATATTAATAATCCTTGTATTTATATGCTATCTAATGAAGTAAAAGTATTCTCTATTTATTTAGAGTGGAATAATTTAAAAAAAGGATCAGCAAATTTTTGAAAGATCATTTTTAAAACTGAATTTGGCTATATTCTGATTTAAATTGAAATATATTTATTTAGATAATATCATTTGTTAAATATGTTAATTTAGAGTTAAATTAGTTATCATAATTCGTTATTAATTAATGGTTCTATGCAATTAAGTTCCGAAAAAAATATTTATTTTTTTTGAATATTTAAATTAATTATAGTTCATAAGATAATCTTGTTATTCATGCATTACTATCTGAATCCCATTTAATTCTTTTCCCTTAATACCATTCCCCAGGTTTTTCTACTTCTCCATTAATATAAACACCTTTACCATGTTATTTTCCATTTTCCCATTCTCCTTCATATTTTCGACCATCACTCCATTAATAAATACCATAACCATGTTTTTAATCATTAAAATAGTGCCCTTCATATCTTCTTCCATCTGGCCATTAATATATACCTCTCCCATGCATATTATTATTTTAAAATTCTCCTTAATATCTTCTTCCATCTGACCATTAAAGGATTCCTCCACCGTGTATTTTATTTTTATACCAATCTCCATCATAAACTTATCCATCAGCCCATTTATATTTTCCTTTTCCATGCTTTAACCCCTTTTAAAAAAATCCTTTATAAGATGAACCATCTGGCCAAGTTTCTGTACCAAAACCATGTTATTAATCACAAAACCATTATCCTTCATACTTTGGACCATTATAATGTTAATAAATTCCAAAACCATTTGCCATATCATTTTCCCATTCTCCATCAAAAACATCACCATTTGCATGCTAAAATTTTCCTTTACCATGAGCTTTATTGTGTTTCCACATTCCTTCATATTTAGCTCCATCAGGCCAAATTTATATTCCATAACCATCTCTTGCCTTACCTCTCCATTGTCCAGTATATATAGCTCCTCCTTTAAATCTTATAAAACATCTTTATACTTATGAGGTCCTTTTTCTTCTTGTGGATAATCATCTTAATTTAAAGTAACACCAGACGAAAAGAAAAACTCGCTGGCATCCATTTTAGAATTATAACTATTTAAAGTTTCATGTTTCTTTAGTCTCATTTATTTCAACTTTTTACGAATTATGTATCCTCTCCAATATGATTATATGACAATAGCTTTTTTTATTTTTTTTTAATGCATAGAAGAAGAATCAGAAGTTGCTAATGTCAAATTATCTTACTATTAAAATAAATTGAAATTCCTTACAGTTTTAAGAATCTCGTTTTTTGTATTGACGCATCTGCAATTTGCACATTGTGATCCCATCAAGATTAGAATATTCAAAAAAAATATTATATAAATAAGTGATAATAAATAATTTTAATTCCAATTTTTATTTTATCCATCGTATCTATCATTTGAAATCATCAAAATAATCATAAAATTATTAAGCATTTTCTTCTACTTTCTAATTCTTTACTTTTTTTATTATTTTTTAAGCTCTTATAAAATATAACTAATTTTTTCTTTATTTTCTTTTCCTTTGGTGATTGTGTAAATTTAAAAAAAAAATCTATTAAAACTTATAAAAAGTCAGAAGACTCAAAGTATTTCTTATTAATAACTAGATATTGATAATCTTTAAGATAAATTTTATAATAGACTTAAATATTTTGCATTCTTAATGCATTTTGCTCTATAATTGCTATTCAAAGCATGAATATTAATGGCATAATCATACTAGTTTATTTTTAAAATACGAATTTTAGTTATTTTTATAAACAATTAGAGCCTAATGTTATTGTCATTAATCCAAAAACGCCTTTCTTATGATGATACACTTTAACGAATGATAAATTTTAATTATATTATATTTAAACAATGATTCCGAATTGCGTTAAAAAACATTATCCTACCCTAAAAAATATCATCAATTTCAGATGAATAATTTAAGAATAAAATAATTTTATTTTCTTATCTTTTATTTAAAACGATATTTAATTATGATTTTGAATAGCATTATTAAAACAAGCAAGCTAAACGTAATATACTTAAGTTATGCAACTAAATTAATTATATTTCTAATATGTCTAAAAACTGTGGTTGATTTCTATTTGGAAAATAGCTAACGCATTTTAAATCATTCCTATATATTTATGATGCAACTTAAAGGATTATTTAATCATTTAAGTTTTTTAGAAGACAAAGATTCATGGAATAATTTCATCAAATTTATTTTTATCACTAATTTACTTAATGAGAATAATGAGCTGATTAAATCTTTTTAATTTATATCTTTATTTTCAATATATTGTAAGGGATGTAATAATTTTCCTATTAGGTTTTTATTAAATCTTTAAATTTAGATAAGATATGCAATAGTTTACCAGTATTATGTGGAGTGAGTTGATTAATTAGAGTTCCAATGGGTGCCCATTATTCAATTTCTTCTTTTTCATTAGGATTCTAATTTTTAGTCATCATAGTAATACTGATTCATTAATTTATATTATCTAAAAAATGCATTAATTTCATCAATATTACAATTTTTTAATCTAATCCCTTGTTCAATAGAATTGATAAGCTAATTTAGCATTCTAAATGAATCTATGCTAGTTTTATTAGTCTTTGATCTTTAAAACCTTTTTTCCACTTAAAGATAATAATATATTGAACGATCTTTTGTGATCTAAATTCTTTTCTTGAATACTATAAAAAAATTTTAAGCATGAATTATGTCTTGTAATTGATTCAATACTAAGATACAAGAAATGCGGGTTTAAGTTAGGTTTTATCATCAACTTAAGAATCTCTAATCAGAAATTTTGTATATTTTCTGATATAACTAACTAAATTGATCATATTTAATATTGGTATTTATGAATGGTATAATTTTGTTAAATCTTTGAAATTTGAAAGGAGTCATTTTTGGAATTGTTAAAAACTTAATGATATTGTAAATTATTTTTCTTATGATAAATAAAATATTATTATATATATTAAAAATGAAATCTAATCATTTTCGATAAAAACCTAAATCAGAAGAGGAACGATTGGAATCAAGATTATAATAAGTGAAAAATACATATTTAATTGGAGCAGATGAGAAAAGCTTTGCACCTCGAATAACAGCAAAATCATGGATTATTGTTGATTCATAATCTGGCGATGTTTTATATTCTTTTAATGAGAATCAAAGAAGGGAAATAGCATCAATTACTAAAATAATGACATTCTATGTAGTAATAAATATGTGTCACACAATGAATGTGTAGACTAATAATACATATGCTGAAGTTAGTTTATAAGCCAGTTTAGTTGGTGGCACTACTGCAGATTTACTTAAAGGTGATGTTGTTTCTATTGAGGATTTGTTTTATGGATTGATGTTACCTTCTGGAAATGATGCAGCTATGACATTAGCAGAAAATTTTGGTATTTACGCTATGTATTAAAATAAAATTAAAGGAAAGAATCCTTTGATTTATTTTATATAAGAAATGAATAATAAAGCAAGAGAATTAAGAATGAATCAAACTACTTATGCTAATCCTCATGGATTAAATAATAAAAATAATCTTTCATCAGCTTATGATGTTTCTAAACTTTGTAATCAATTATTAAAGGATGATTTCTTTAGGAAAGTTGTAAATACTAAAATTCATTTTTCTACTATTTAAGATGAAGAAGGTAATAAACTAAATAGATTTATAATAAGGATTTACTAGAGATGTTATATGGGAAAATACAAATAAATTATTGTATCAAGGATTCAAAGGAATTAAAACTGGTTTCACCTCTGTAGCTGGTCCTTGTTTGGCAAGTTACTATTAAACTGCTAGTAGGTCTTTTACAATTGTTATTTTGGGATGTAGAAATTAAGAAGATAGATGGTCAGAAACTATGTCGTTATTGTAATGGTGTTTATCACAAATTTAATGATTTTTCTATATAACTTAATATAAATATTGCATTTTATCAATTATCTTTTACTTCTGCAAATCTCTCAAGCTTAGATTTAATACTGAGTATATCATTTTGCAAAACTTTACTCTCATATTGTAAACTATCTACATATTTTTCTTTTTTAGAATTTGCATTTTTTTATTTGGAAAAATTAATCATATTATCTAACTCATTTAAATTTTACTATCTATCTATTTGATTTCCAATTACATTAGATAATTAATCAAGTTTAGTTTACAATTTACTGTAATATAAACTTTATTCTTCATTCATTATTTTGTAATATTTTGAAGAATATTATTTAATTTCATTCTGCTATTCTAAATAATCCAATTATCTCAAAGTATTAGGTTATTAAAATAAGTTAATGTTTGATTATTAGCTTTTAGAAGTATTATAATATAATGATTTGTTGGGAGTCTTAGGTGTATTATTTTACTTAGAAATAAAAGAACTTTTTAATTTATTTGTCTTAGATACTGGCAAATTCCTTTTAGGAGTTAAATTGATATCTATTAATTACTTTAAATTTTACTGCAAATAGTTGATTTAGCTTTTAATCGTATTAGATTATTAGTTAATTATTTTTTGAGATGATCAACTGAATTTTCAGGAGTTATAATTTTGTTATTGTTTTTAAGAGGGGAATTCTTGATTTTAGAAGAAATCTACTTTCTAAATTGAATGAATTATGAGGATATATCGTAACTCATAAGAGTTAACAGATAATTTTTATTAATTATATGAATAAGAAATAAGAATTCAAATTTGATTCTGATATATAATATTAAAATCAATCAATCATTCATAAATTTTATTAAATAATATAATAATGAAAACAACATTGGTGTTAATCATTTGTGGTACTACGAATTGTAATTGATATGGTTTTAGTTATGTATACATTTGCATCACATGCTTACATGTATCCATTCAATGAAAACAAAGCAACAAACCTTGAGGAGTTGAATTAGAAGTAAATAGCGCAATTAATAAAATATAATATTGGGTTAGTTGAACATATCCCATAAGATTAATAAAAGGCATATGAAGAATTGATAACGTAATTGTTAAGGTTTAAATGTAATAGATCGTTTGGTAAGGGTAATATCTTGACACCTACAGAAATGAATTATATAATTCTTATAGAGAGTGATAAATTATATTAAGGACAAGAAGGCAAATAATAAAGAATAACTGAAGGATTTGCATAAAGTTTCAAAGTGTTAGAGAGAGATTAAAAATCTTTGATGGAAACATTATATGGATAATCAAGTATTCTATAAATATTATTGTAAAAGCTGATTCATTAATTTAAAAAGCTAATGCATTATTTAAGAATTAAAATTTAGGTTTCAAAATATATCAAAATGAAAATGATTTGGATATTAATTATTTGTAATGGACAGTAACACTTTATTTAGGCAAAAACGTAAATAATTATTTAATTATAGAATGAAGTTTATTTTTATGAGCCAAATAAAGACAAAACATTTAAGATTGATTCTTCATTAGAGAAATGTGTAGATACATTCTTTGGAACAACCTTTGATTATTCTCCAAAAGATTAGAAAATCTATAAATACAATACAAATGATATGTTACATATAACAAAAGACAATGAATATCAAATTGTTGGTTTTTTAAAAGATGTTTGTGCTATGAATAAACTTTCTACAAATTTCAAATAGAGTAATAAGAGATTTTATATTAATTCTTAGATAATTCTCCAAATATGTTATCTATAATTAATAAATCAATAGCAAAATTAGAAAAGATTTTAACAGAATAAGAACTTGATCTTGTTTATGATATGATGAGAATTGCTCATAAAAAAGTATTAAGAAATAATAGTTATCATCATTTAGTTGTCCAAAAATTTAAGAAATAACTTTGAAAGCGAAGACTTATTTGGTTTGATATTGATTGAAGATGAGAAAAATCCTTAATTAACAACAACAAATGAATCAGCTAAAGTTTAAAGAATATTAATGGAAACAAGAACTAGAATGTTAAATTAAGTTACTGTATTATATATGCATAATATTATTTAGCAAACTAACAGTAAATACTAAGTGATGGATTCAACCACTTATTAAATATATATATGGTTTGGAGTATTCTTTGTAATTGTTCTTATTGGTATAATTTATGCAATGGTTACCATGGATATATAAAAAGATACCTTATTATATGCTAAGTTTTTAACAACAGATCAAAGATGAGTAGTATATGTAAATATACATAACATATGTTTTATAAAAATTAAAGATTTACTCTGAATTACTAAACTCATACTGTTGGTTGTTCTTAATCCCATTACCATACCATAGTTTTACCATCCCAACTTGCTGAACATATCTATTTCTCTGTATGAATTGAAAAATCTAGACCCACCACAAATTCAGTATGTTTTGGATGATTCTTACTAAATCATTAATATTTTTAAATATTACATTAAAGGATTTGATGGCTCTTAGATATTCCAAATCATTACACTCATATCATATGAAGCAGAACCCAAAATAACTGCATCATGTGGAGAAAACTTTACTTTTCTTACAGGATGTCGATGTCCTAATAATGTTTATATTGGCGCTCTATTAATTATTTATTTTTATCTTACTTTAGATTTCTTAAATCCCATAATTTTATTGTTTTATCTGCTGATGATGTGGCAATAAGTTCTTCATATTTATTAAAATCACAACTCAATGTATCAGACATATGAGCCTTAACTGAAGCAATATTTTTATTTGATGGACTATTCAAATCCCAAAGTCTCATTGCTCCATCATTTCCACTTGTTGCAAATATATTTTATTAAATTGGATGCCAAGTACAAGTATAAGCACAACCTTTATGAGTTTAGAAATAAGCAACTGGTTTCTAAGTTGTAATATCAAATAATCTAGTAATTCCTATTAAATTTGATGCTAACAACCAGTTTGGATTTTTGTGTCCAAATTCTACACTCTAAATTTCTTCCTTTGATTCCAAATATTATGTAAGAATTTATTTTGTTCCTGCATTCAAAACTTTTACTATTCCATTTCCACATCCTATTGCTATTACATTAGGATCAGCTTCATTCCAACTACAATCAAAAACTGCATCATTTTCTTCTGATTAAAATAAAATCTTTATTGGTTGATTTGGTTGTATCTATCCAATTATTAGACGTCCTTTTCCTTAAATACCGAAATTATCTGCACAGGTTATTGCTATTTTATCAATATCAAAAGGACTGAATTTTGCAGACATGCAACTCAAATTACTAACAAAAAATGAAGCAGGTATTTGCTATTACATCTTATAAAAATAATTTAATAAAATTTTAATTATAGAAAAAATTCCAAATTATTTATTATTTATATTTATTTTTTTCTTTTCAATATCTACAAAATGCTTCTTATAAGTAGTCATTTAAAAACCATATTTAATTTTTTCACTTAAATATATTATTGATTCATTCATTTATATAAAAGGTTTCAATTATATTAAAATTAAATATTATCAAGAATTTTGCTTTAGAAATAATTTTATTCTAAGAAAATCACATTAAAACTTGGAGAATACTTTATTTTTATTAAGTTTTTAATATACCATATCTTAAATTATTATATTTAGTTATCTTAATTTTAATTTTGGATTGATAAAAAAAATCAAAAAATTAGAGCAGTATATAAAAAAACAAATTTATTCTAATTAACTTAGAACAAAAGAAGTTACTTAGATAAGCAAATTTTAAATAAATTTAACTTAAAATTTTTTTTTTTTATAAGAAATTTAATTCTAAATCAAGGATACTAATTATTAATAAACAAAAATGATGAATATATTTATATAAAGTTTTAAAAATAATGATTTAGATGATTAAACCTGCTAATTGTATATATTTGTATGAATTAATTAGAAATAGAAAAGATGGATAGATGAAGTAAAATTTTAAATGATCAGAAAAATTAAGAAAAAAAGATTAAAAGATGGATAGAATATAAATATTAATCATTGTTATAATTAGTAAATATAAAAATCAGAATTTATAGAATATAGTTTTAAAATTTATTCTGCGAGTGTTTAATTTATTTAATTAATTATTTTCATTTGTTATGAATAATTCTGATATCGAATAACTTATTGAAAACTACGAAGATGATCAATAAGTTTAAATGAATCAGCCTACAACACTTGATTTTAATTAGGATAGACAAGGCATAGTGCCTGAGTAACATCGATTTTCCTCTACAAAATTTAGAGAGAGATTATCATCTATTGATCCTCTTAATTGGGCAAAAAATATTAAGATGCCTGAAAATGACTATTATTCTTATCCTTGTAGTTTGGAATAGGCTGAGCTACATAGATAATGTCATTATATTCAACCAGATTAAGACTTTTTAGATAAAACAGATGCTTAAGAATGTCCTTGTTGCAAGTATTATGATGTCATTAATTTTAGTAAACCATTAAATCGAAAACGTATTAATTTTCTTACAGTCAACATGTGGTAATTATTAGTATAGGATTATGGTATAGCTGCCCCATTATATTTTACTTTTTTAAAATTCTAAATGGTTTTATTTGTCATAATATTTTGTGTATATGGCATTTTTTTCATTAATGAAGTTAATTAAACTTGCAATAATTTTGACAAATAGATATGTTTAAGTGATCCTGATTTGATAAATGAATATTAAAATGCATGCGAACTAAATACTATTTATATGTTTGTTGCTTTGGATCCTTTTCTTTCTTAAATTGAATGTTCTGCTAAAATTGATATTGAATAAGGTGGAAGTGGATTTAAATTAACTTATATTCAAATAGCAGCATTTATTATTTTCTTAATAAATATAATGTTACCATTAGAATATGAAATAATTATCAGATATAAATAAATTAAATATTGGGATAAAGAACCAGTTAATCATGTAACAGAAAATAAAAAGTCTGTTTATGTAAGACATTTACCATATAAAATGACATCTGAAGAAATACAATAAACTATTTGCACAGGTATTGCCATGAATACTTTTGATCAAGTGGCAAAAAAATCAGTTTTGTTTTAGACTAAGAATGTCATTTAAGAATTGGTTTATATATATGATATACATGAAGTTAATGAAATGAATATAGATAGAGAAAATACTTTACTTGATTTTATGGTTACATTAGAATAGATTAAAGAATTAAAGGAAACAGGAATGATCACTACATTTACTGATAAGTAAATAAAAACTTATAAAACATTTACAATTGAAATACTTGAAGAATTATTCAAATAATAATTAAATGATATAGTCTACAAGACATAAAAAATAAAATCTTATTTAAAAAATGGACTACCTTTTACAAATAAGGTTATCATCAAATTTGAAACAACAGAATAAAGGGATGCCGCTTATTTACATTATCGAAAGAAATGGTATTAGAATGTAAATTATAATAAATATAAATTAGTTACTAATTAGATATGAAGTGATGAAATAATAGAATAAATTGAAAAAACTATAAAAAAAATAAATTGCTGATTCTTCTTCATATATGGATAGTCGAACAGTTTCAGTTGATTAATTACAAATTCAAAATGAAGATGTAGAAATACAAAAAGCAAGAATAAGTTTGTTTAATTAAAATACTTATTTGGCTAAATAGTAATCTGATTATAGTAATAAATATGTTGAGTAAATTCATTATTAAATGGGAGTTAAGAGGGGATTTAGTATTAATGGAATTTTTTGGGAGAATTTAGGTATGGATACTTTTAAAAGATTAAAATTCCGTTTAAAAGCCATATTTACTGCAGCTATTGCAAGTTTTTTATTAATGGGAACTTTTGAATTAATTTATTTTTATTAAAATAATCCTAATTAAAAAGATAAGAAATAAAATGGATAACTGTCTACTTGGGAAAAAGTTTTTGCTAATTTCTTAGCTATTTTAGTCACATTTCTATCTAGTTATACAACATTAACAATATTGGGATAAATGGCAAAGAGTAGAAGAAGTACATTTATTGAAGTTGAAGAAAGTATAATGCATTTTTTTGTAATCATTTAATATTTTCTTATTTAATTTTTCCCTTATTTTGCAACTTTTGAAATTTGGGGAGGAAAAAACAAAATTGTTGCTTGTTATGATTTAGTCACTTTATCTCTTCATAGAATAATATTTAAACAAATTTTTCATACATTTCATATAAGACATACTAAATTTTGGCTTAGAAAAAGGAAAGCATTGAAAAATTTCACTCCCAAAAAGTTTTTTTAAGGATAATTAAATTAAATTATGACTCCTGCTTTTTTATCATAAAGAGGTAGATAATTTAATATGTTATTTATATTAACAACAGCATTATGCTTGATTTATATTTGTCCAGTTGCAGTGCTATTTTGTCTTGCATTTACAATATATATATTCTTTTGGGATAAATATGCTATTACTCATAATTATTAAATTGATAAAAGATTTACTATTGATTTATTTAGTCATTAAATTAAATGCTATTAAATAGTTGTATTACCATTTAACATTTATTTATTTCTAAGATTATTTTGGAGATTTAATTGGGTAATTTATGGGGCTTTTAGTGTAGGATTAGTAATGATCATTATTATAATCTTTAAAAAAGAAATTGTGAAGTTTATTGTCTTTAAAGTTTGTAGATTGAAAAAGAAAAGGCCCTAAGTTGAATTTAGAGAAGAATCCTTCTTTAAAAGTTATAATAATTTTTTTTAAAGTAAAAGATGATATCTATAATTTAAGGTTTAAGGATTGAATCATTAACTGAAATTTTAGTTAATTCATTTAAAATGAATGAAAACGATTCCGCAATAAGAACTGAATGATATTTATCATATAATGAGCAATTTCAATTTTATCAATATCATTTTTATTATATATTTTTTTTTTTTAAATAAAGTAATAATGAAAAATCTATAATTTCATTTTAAACTAGTGCTTTTTTTCAATTTTGAATTTTAATTTATGTTTACATTCTTAAATAAATCAATTAACTTTTGTCGACCTCTTTCTCTATTTTAAATTATAAAATCATGTTTCAACAAATCTCTTAATGAGGTTCTTTTTTCATGATTCTAAAATAATAATAATATTAATAATAACTTTAATTAAACATTATTAAGTAAAATCTTAAAATATATGGCTTCTATGTTTGTTTATTTTAGGAGCAGGTTAATTAACTATATTGTACATAACTCTTATAGGATGTTCATTAAAATATGGAGGATTTTATTCTGAAAGTTCAAATGCTATAATTCCTAAACACCAAATATCCGATGTTTCTTATATAATTTATTTTTCTATTATTTCTGGAGCAATCCAATAAGGATCCTTATCTTTTTTAAATTCATTTTTGTAATCCATTATCAATAATTTAATATCACCTTTATCATTAATTAATACTTTTTTAGAACTTAAATGTTTGTGAATCTTGCCTTTAAAATGCAAATATTTTAAAGCTAACATTATTTGATAAAGGATATATCCAATTATTGATTCCTCAATCTTCTTTTCATAAATTTTCATCAATTTTCTTAGGTTCCCAAAATTCATATACTCTTATATTATGAAGCTAAAATTATTATTATTTGATAATATTACAAGCATCCACTATAAAGATAAGTTTCATAATATTTTATAACATATGGACACTCTAATTGTTGAATTAAAGTTATTTCTCTTTTCAATTGATAACAATTAAAATTATCATAAAATTTAAATACTTTAGCAGCCAAAACCTTATTTAGTCTTCTATCAATGATTTTATAAAGTTTACAATTTACCCCTTTATCTATTTATTCATTGAATATATAATTTTGAGCAGGATTTTCAATTAAAAACTCAGTTTACGTCACCTCATTAATTTTTTATTTAAATGATAATTCTTTTCCATCATATATTTCAAGTATAGAGATAAAATTAACAGTATCTTTGGCAATTTCATTTCTACTTACACCACTATTATGTATTTCTTTTTCTATTTCTACATTAAGACCCTTAAGACCTAAATTTGCATCTTAATCAATTTTTAATTCCTCTTTCAAATTCTTTTAGTTTTAGATTAAATTCTGTATTTCTAAAATACACTCTGGTAATTTATGAGTTCTCACTTCTTCAGGAAATTCGTTAGTCTCCACAATTTGTTTTTGATCAGCATCAAGATGAGATGCCCATTCTCTAGGAACCCCAATCAATTTTCCTGTGATTGGGTCTCTTTTAATACTTATGCATTTCTTAACATCAAAGACTTTAATTTCTGAATTCGACTTAGATAAAGATTACTACGATTATTTGTTTCCCATTTATTTTAATGAAATCATATCATAATGTATTAATTCAAAATAATTTATTATTGCTTGTATTATATAAAAGTATATTTAATTTAGAATATCATTATAACCGAGATGAGACTGTTAGAATTAAATTTATATTCAATACTATGAAATAGGTATAAACTAATATTATTCTTTAGTTATTAATAAATTTATATATATTTAACTACTTTCAAGAATATTTTGCAAATAACTATACTTTTAAAAACTTTCTTTTTTTAATTTTGAAAAGACACTTAATTGAATTAATTGATATTCTATCTTAAGATAATTTTTAAGTTTTTACATATTAGGAGAACTTAAGCCATTTTAGAATTATAAAAATTGATTATTGAATTATTAAATTTTTAAAGAGAATCATTTTATTAAATTTACTTCAAATAAATCAATAATTTTATCAATAATGTTACAATAAATTAGAATTGCTATAAGTATTTTTTAAGGTCTTATATAATTAGCAGTGTGTTTAAACTCATTTAAATAATGTTAATTATTGTTTTTCTACATTTTAAAAATTAATACCTAATTTAATTAAATTGGGATGATTCATTTTAATAAAATAAGATTAAAATATGAATAAGTTCCTTTTTTTTCTTGATTAACTTTGATTGAACCATTAAAATAATATTAAAATTCATTATAATAAACAGCAACTTACATGCTGTAAGTAGAATATTATTGTATATGCTTCATCACTTTAAGAGTTCTGAGCAAAAGTTCATCAAAAAATTAAGCAGATTCTAAATATGGTTATTTTTATTGTTTAAAACTAATAGGAGATTTAACCTCAATTGATTTATGTTCTTTAAAAAATAATTCGAAATCTTTTAATATGGTCTTACGATCGTGGAACAAGAAAAATATTTCTAAGAAGATTAATTTAGTTAATATTAGAGAAAAGTTACGATGAAGCTTTGATCCATAATACTGCTTTATTCAATGGTTCAATGCTTTCTTTATAATTATCATCAAATTTAAGAGATAGCCTAAATTTTTGTTAATTTAGTAAGCGAATAAGGATCTGAAGTTTAAGAATTCTAAAGAGTTGAAGATATAATCTCTTAAACTTTGAAAATGATATCATGAGCAGTTTGAACTTAATCTAAATATTCCTGAATATTCATTTAATATTCTCTTTTAGCTCTAATTTTAAATTAGATTAGACTATTTCTTCATCAAATAATTGATCATATTCTGTTGTGTTATTGATATCTGGAAGAATAGCTTGATGACTTGTAGTTCGAAATCTAGATTTCTTTATAAAGAAATTGATAAAATTAATAAATGATATAGGATAGGAATAATAAATAATAAAATAAAAATAGAAAAAAATAATTTTAGGAATGTTCTAAAAGGAAAGTTTAGGATAGTAATATAAAAAAGAAAGATTGAAAATAAGATAAAATGAATGAATACTTTGAATATAAAAATTTAATAAACTTCTTCGTTAGTTGAATATTATTTTAATTTATCTGTTTATAAATGTTCCACTCATACTTAATGCCGAAATTAGGAGGTATAGTAAATAAAATAATATGATAGACCCAATGAATTGTATAATTTAAGGACAGAATGGGAAAGGAGGATTGTATTTAGGAAATATAGAGAGTGCTGGTAATGGTAAATTATTAGGCCATTATGATGTTGGTGCAATATTAGCTGTAATGAGTACAAAAGATTACACATATGATGCTCATATTGCTCATAAGGTATATAATAATTTAGAATAGAATAGTTTATTAGAGTAGATGATGCAGACTTTGTAAATTTAAGTAAGCATTTTGATGAAGCTATGGATTTTATAGATGTTAATCGATAGTAAACAAATGTATTGGTACATTGTCATGCAGGTGTTTCAAGATCTGCAACAATTGTAATTGCTTATCTAATGAAAACTTAAAACATGTCGTTGGAATAAGCATTTAAACATGTCTAAAACTAAAGACGTATTGTTAATCCAAATCCTGGATTTATGAGGCAACTCAAATAATATGAATCAAAATTATAGGGTTCTAACTCTCTTAGAACTTCAACTGTCAAATAGAATGAGAGATAACACTCTTAAAACAATCTTCGTCAAAGTTAATATGTTTAACATCCTTCAGAAAGTTACAATTCTCTTTACCAACAATATTAACCAAATCGCTAATATCATAGTGCTACAGATTTGATGAGATAATCTCAATATAATTATGAAAGACTTAACTCAAGGTAAATTTTATGTTATTATTTATTTTAGATAAATGCATTATCCCTATATGCCATAACATTATGCACCATATGTTAGAAATTACAGTGTACCATATGGATAGAATCCTTTACACTTTTCTACTTATAGATAGGGATGTTATTGATTTTATATAGTATAAAACTTAATAGTCTGATCATCACAAAATACTTTTCGAAAACATAAATTATTTCTCTTAACTTGTCTTTTCACTTTCTATTTGAGTTTTAAATTATTCAAACATTCTCAATTTCTCATGATTCTCTTTTGAAGGTCTTTTCGATTGTTGATTCTGCTCTAATTAATGCATCAACTCTTGTATTGAATTATTCTCTTCAAGTACTAATCATTATATCATATACTAAAAATACCTGATTCCTCATCTATTATTTTCTGTTATTTTTCAAAGTGTTTTGAAAATTCATTTTATTCACATAATTCAATTATTGTTTTTAATGAAGGTAGATGTTGTTTTCTTCGTTCTACTTTAGGTTTTAATTTCTATTTTATATTTATAAACCAATGATGTTTAATTGCTTCTTCTAATTTTATTCTATTCTCTTTTTTATCAAGTAGTCTTCTCATTAAATCTAATTGAGATGCACAATACACCATTTTATGCTTATCTTAAATTAAGTAATTTATACATTAAGTATTCTTATCAAGTTGTGATAAATATTCTTCTGCTTTATCAATTAAATCGAATTAAATTTTATCTACTCTTTCATCTTTTCTTTTTTGATGTACATAGAATGTCAAAAAATATAATACAATTCCTATTTAATATATATCGCTTTCTACTGATGGTTTTGCAATACCCTATTAAATTTCAGGAGCTATGTAGCTCTCATGCACATTTGATAAGTATTAATCAAGTGGTTCTTAGTCAATTCTACTTATAAATGCCATATTAACAATAAATAATTAAAGATATGAAGATTAGGTATTGATAAGGATGTTGCTTGGAGTAATGTTACCATGATAAATGTTATTTTTTCTTAAAAATTTAAGAGATTACAATAATTACAAAATTATCTAAAATTAAGTAAGTCAAAAATACTGATGCTAATTGTGATTGATCTAAAATCAAACCTTAATTTAGGAGATCTAATAATTTCTCACATCTAAAATATTCATATATTAAGTATATATAATGATGATCTTCATACACCCATTTTAGGTCTAACAAGGATGGGTGTTTAATACTTCTTAAGGTTTAAATTTCACTATTTAAAATGTCAATTGGTGAGGAGGCTCTAATAGAATGGACATAAGCGGTATAATATTTTTTGGTTTTTTTATGTTGAATAATATAATAATCTTTGATGATCTGTTCCAATAATGAAAACTTATTTGAAAAGTTAGTTAATTTGCAAAAGGATTTCAATTTAGGCATCCATTCTGAATATTGTTATTTGGTATTAAAGAACAACAAAAGATGACCCGTTGCACTTGATAGTTATATAGCAGAGAGATCAAATTTGGAACATTATTTCAATTTAGTAATTCTACAATTTGATAGTACTAAATATTGATCAGCAATAACAAGTAAATTAGGTATGAGTAATACAGATATATTGAGGAAACTTTCTTAGATGCTGGAATATATGATTAAATTTGATTTTAGAATAGGAATGGTTTTATTGATTTCATCCATTTAATTTTCAGGTAAATTAGTTAGACAAGTCTATTTAAATATTTGGGATGGTATTTCACTAACTAGATTAAGAATTCTTGAAAAATCAATGTTCATTATTTAAAATTATTAAAATTAAGGATTTAATTAACTAAAAACCTTTTGAATTGTTATTGATGTCTATTTGGATAAGGAATATATGGACAAAAATACAAATAATATAATCTCTTATTATAAAATTATATATATAATCATAGAACACTAATGGGGGGATTGGTTTTTATATTAAAAATAATGAAATACTTTATTTAAAGCAAAGAACATGATGTATTAAATGAATTAATAAAAATAGTGGTATTCTATTGTGTTTTGATAAATATTAATTTAAATAAATATATGGACGTGAAGAAGAGTAAGAAGAAACCAGAATTGATAGAACAGTTATATGTTGGGAATTACATTGATGTTTTCCATCAAGGAAGTAAACAATATAAGTTGGCATACATTTTATAAAAAAATGAAAAAGAAATAGAGATTACATATGATGGTTTATCAAGGAAGGAGAATGAGGTATAATATGTATATTAAAAGTATATAGACAATAAAATTATCGTAAAATAGGATAAATTTTGCTAGAAGATTTACATTAAGTAAGTAATTATTTAGATAAAAAAGATTTCACAGGAGAAGATTTTAGATCAAGTAAGACCTAAAGAGATTATCTAAAATATTCAAGAGAGGAATGTGAGAAAAATACAAAGGAATTAATTTAAATAATGTAAAATAATTTTTAAGGACTTTCTCCAATTGAAATATGTTAATCTGTACGTGTAAGACAATTCATTTGGTTAGACATGATACTTTCTAGTGAATTTTCATCAAAAGAATTGTCTATAGCATTGGAATATATAAAAACTTACTATAACTTTATAAAGTGGTATTTTGAACAGTTTCCAAAGTACTTTGCAGATGTAAACAAATATTCTCACTAACTCAGTATATGAGATTCCAAAACAATTAAGAATTGTACATCCTAGATGAACGAGTGTCAATAGCAGCATGTCTTTAAGAAGTGTGTGAAGCCTTTTGTATGCTATTTGGTTCCATATGGAGAGTTTTGAAGCCAGAAAATTCCTTTTTCTATGTACTCCAATTAGAATTAATTATAAGTTGAATTACGATAATTTGTAGTAGTAATTGGATAAATTCTTTCCATCAACAAATACATAAGGTTTTGCAACGAGTCCTAACATTGAAGATTGGAAACTCTATTCAGGTGCTACTGATATAATGAAATCCATTAAGAAGACTTGGCCATTTTATTTGAGAACTATGTCATTTTTTAGATCAAAAGGAGGATTATAAGCTTGGGAAGGATTATTAAAATAATAGGAAAATTCTGAATATAATTATATTCCTCTCAAAGCTATGAATAGAATTGTAATTACGTAGTAATATTTATCATCTTATTATTAATTGCCAGAATAGATAACTATGGCAAAGAAGACATTTGAATGGTTATAAAATAGAGTAAACAATTTGACTGTTTAAGATATTAAAGATACAGATATTGATTAAATTAAAGAACTTACTTCAGAATATTAATACTATTTTTCAAAATGTTATCCAGAAGATTAACTTAATAAATTGACTGATGAAATATAATTCTAATTGTCTTTGAAATTTTTAAAATCTTCATTTTTAGAGAAGAGAGTTAAGGGTATAAGTGAAATTAAAGATTTTACAGAAAAACTTAAATTTGAATAATAGACAAATTAAAAATTTAGAAGTTCAGTAAATAAAGATGATTTAATTGGATGGATAACATAAAATCGAATATTGGATTATACACTTTTAGGAGATTCTGTTCATCCAGAATTGATTAAGAGATCAAGTGATATAGCAGTATTCTTATGTAGAAATCAAGCATTTCCTATAGATTATATAGATAAGATATGGACAAATAATTATGATAAACATGAAACTACTTAATTAGCTTTATATGAGTTTTTTAAGATTGTTTCACCATATTTAAGTTTTTTAGGAATTGAAAAACTATATAATCACATTTCTGCTATTCCCTACTCTAAATATAATGAAAATGTTGTAAGTATGATCAAAACATTTACTGAATCAGCATTATCACAGAAATTTCATGAATAGCAATTACAATTGAAATCAGAAAATAGATATATGACATTTAATTAACTATGGGAATTATTGCTAGATCGAGATGATTAATTAACAAATAATCTAATTTAAGAATAATGTTTTTCTGCAGCTAGACAAATCATTTCATAAATTCCATAAACTAAATAATTCATCTCCTATTATTTTAGTAAATGCTTTGAATTAATAGGCAGTCATTAATCTGTCTATTAAGCCATTAGTTTTGTGCACTATTTCTTAGACAAATAATTTAAAGATGATTTTAATGGCAAAAGAGAATTGATACAATCTACAGATGATAAATATAATATAATTGAACTCTTTGTTAAAGATATTGAAGTCTATATGGATAAAGTTAGATCATATTTTAAAAATGAAATCCCTTAAGATATAGTGATTAATGGAGTTTAAAAGTTTAGTTAAAATGTTTTCTTTAGATTACAAATGCTTAATTATCTACTCATATAGACTCATCTTAAAATTAATTATGATTAAAGTGTAAGATTATGGGAGGCTTTATCTGCAAAAACAAAAGGTGGAATCTAAAAAAAAGAATTGAATAAGATACTAATTAATAATTAATCAATGGATATTAATTCATTTAGAATTTGTGATTACTATTTTGATAAAGAAGGTGAATCCAAATTCTTCAAATCAGTTTTATGTAATCCTGATAGAAATGATTTCGAAAAGTATCTTTTTATTTATATTATTAGTTATACAATTGAAGATTTTGAATTGTTTTAAGTTTTCTTTAAATCATATAACCAATCTCGCCAAATCATCAAATATTTTAGCAACTCTTCTAGGTTTTTAGTAAATGATCACAATTTTGAAGGTAAATCAGCAATTTGGCATATCTTTGCTAAGGTTGAAGATCAATATCTTTTAGAATCAATCTCATATTTTATTATTAATCTGTATACACAATTTAATTAAACTCTTGATTAATAATCAGATAAAATCTATTAAGAAATGATGGACAAATGCTTAGATTTAATTCAATAATAATGTCCAAGTTTAACCACTAGATCAATTAATCTTTTACTATAATTATTCAACTATTTTTAGAGTGGACCTCCTTCTAAGAAATCCTCTAAACCTTAAAATTATATTCAATTCAAAGTATAATTTTTGTAACCCAATAATTTTATTAAAAATCTTGAATTTAAAGAAGGGGATACTACTACTATCAATTAATGGAAATAAAAATTAGCAGAAGATTTATAAGTTGCATATTTATAATTAGATATTACTCTTGATAATCGTCCTATTGAATATTTATTTGATATTGTTGAAACCCTTGTTAGTCAAGCCTTTTATTAATTAGCTATTGTGAGAGTTAAAATTAATAATAAGAACCATCCTAAAAATTATCTTTCTCAAGAATAACGTACATTTGAAATTTTATTTAAATTGCTTGACAAACAAGAAAGCATTGAATTTTTGACTTAAGTTTGGGATCTAATCAATAGGTTACCAACTAATATTATTAAGAAAAGGTAAGTTGAATTATGTAAAGATTGGAAATAGTATTTAGACCATCAATTCTTTGATATGTTTTATGTATTATAAATCATATAAACATTATTAGAAAACGAATAATGGTGTGAATAATTCAATAATTGTGAAGGTGTTGATTTGATTACTTAAAGATTTTTAGGATAACAATTACAATTTCAATAACGTCCTCTTGAAATCAAATGTTGCTTGACTTATTTAGAAATTTTAAGTCATCCTTAAATTAACATTTAAGAATCCTAATTAATTGAATAAATTAAGTCTAAAATTATTGAAATTATTCAACAATTATGTGTCTATATTAAAACTAAAAAAAAGGTAGAAGCTGGATAAAGGAAATCACCTTAATAAAAGGAAATGAATGAGATTGAATCGCGTTTACTTAGAAAATGTTTTTTTTAATTAGATAAAGACGGATGCATATAATACATTAATAATTCTGAATTAAAATCATAACTATATTCTTTCTTTGTTGAACATGATAATTAAGAACTAAAGAAAGAATATAGCTTATAATTATTAAGTTTAAGAAATTCTCCAGAGAGTAAACTTTTAATTAGAACTGTTTTAGAATAAGTTCTAAAGGATGTAATATCAAATAAAAAGTAAAAATGCGAGCATTACTTTGAATTCTGCTGTAATTTATTATAATAAGAATAAAACTTGAATATATAAAATTTAGACTATGAAGAATTATTAACATATATTAGATAGAATTTGGGATAGTTACCTTTTAATGAAAACACTATAAAAGATTAAGACCAAATTTTGATAGGTTTATTAAAATTATTGAATGTTTTAATAGATAGAATTCCTTCATTGTCAACTAATTAAGGATTATTTGAATAATTACTTAGTTATTTATTTGAAAATGAAGGAGAAACAAGATGTAAATGTAAATCATAATAATCTCGAACAGCTGGATTTAATTGTTTTTTTACCTTATTAAAATCTCCATAGAATATGTAAAAGTTTTTGGATAGAGTATCTCCATTGCATTATACACATACTTGGAGAACAAAGAATTTCAATGATTGGAATATATAGAGTAAATTTCATGAGAAATCATCTACAGGATATGTTGGACTATATAATTTAGGATGTATTTGTTATATGAATTCTTTACTTCAATAATTATATATGGTTCCTGCTTTTAGAGAAAAGTTATTATAAATTGAAGATAAGAGTACAGGTGCATTAGAAGAGAATTTATTACATTAATTGAAGTGTTTATTTTTAGCATTAAAACATTCTTAAAAACAATATCATAATCCAAAGAAATTCTGTCATGCATTTAAAGATTTAGATGGGAATCCAACAAATATATTTGAATAAATGGATGTTGATGAATTTTGTAATTTATTAATGGACAGAATAGAATTAAATATTAAGTCAACTTCTGAAGAGGATTTAGTTAAAAAAAACTTTGGAGGAGTCTAATCTAATGAGATTATAGGAAAGACTTGTCCTCATTATTCAGAGAGAGAAGAACCTTTCTTTGCTATTTCTTTGCCTGTGGCTAATAAAAAGAATTTAGAAGAGTGCTTATAAACATTAGTTTAAGGAGATTTACTAGAAGGAGAAAATGCTTACAGTTGTGAATAATGTAATAAAAAGGTAAGTGCTTTAAAGAGAACTTGTATTAAAAAATTACCTGATCATTTAATTTTAGTTTTGAAGAGATTTAATTTTGATTTTGATTCAATGGCGAAAGTAAAAATAAATGAAAGAATTGAATTTCCATTTGAATTAGATCTATTGCCTTACTCACAGCAAGGATTAAGATAATAAGAAAATAGATAAAATACTTAAAATGAATAAGATAACCCATAAGAATATTATCAATATAGATTAACAGGAGTTGTAATTCATATTGGCTCAGCTGATTGTGGTCATTATTATTCATTTATTTAAGATAGATAAGATTTAAATAAATGGTATGAGTTTAATGATATAACTGTATCACCTGCAGATATTAAGGATGTCAAAAATGATGGATTTGGAGGTTTTGATAGATTTCTAAAATCTAAATATCCAACCTAATTTAAGGATAAGTCAAAAAGTGCTTATATGTTATTTTATGAAAGAATTAAACCTTTAAACAGCAAATAAGAATTGATGGATATTGAAAATGATTAAAAAACTACATAATTTTTAGATGAAATAAAAGATGAAAATAGAAAGTTTTAGATTTAAAGATTTATATTCAGTCCTGAATACTTTATTTTTATTTAGAATTTAATAAAATTTGAATTGTCATAAAATTAAGTTACCGAACAAATTGTTAAAACTCTTGTTTTCTTTTATTTGACATGTGCAGTAAGAGAAAATGATAAAACCTTCATTTCTAATAATATATTAGATATTTAAGAACTTTTAAGAAGAGCTCCTAATACATGTGAATGGTTATTAAAATGCTTTTCTTAATATCATTACATAAGAGAATTTTAATTTGATTGTTCAAAGAAGATGGTCAGAAAATTTGTTATTACTTTGATTTTGACTGCAATTGAAACTATTCAAAAATAAGAAGGATATTCAATTTTGAATGAATATGAAGATGATAAGCCAAAATCTTTGGTAGCTTCTTTAATAAATTCTTGGATTCTAATGATTCCAGATTTAAAGAAGAGTCTCAAAAATTCAATAGAATATTATGATCTATTTTATAGATTTGCTAAATTAAGTTAGTACAATTCGTAATATTTGATTTCAATAAAAATAGTAGGTAAATTTTTAGATCTTTTTACTGATGCTTTATAAATAAATGTTAATAAAATAAATTTAGTAAATAAAGAATCTGTAAGAAAAATGGATGATCTAAAAGTAATTAAATATTCAGAAGATTAAAATATATTCTTAGGATATTAAAATATATAAAATGTTGATTTAGCATCTAATTATTATGATGAACTTCTTGAAAAGAAATTCGAAAAGTCTATGAATTCTGGTCCATCTACTAGTAGAATGTATATGTGGAGATTAATAGCTTTTTTGCTTAAAACTGAAGGAAAGAATGCTTTGAGCATTGAAGAATAATAACTATTATAATTTGATAATTCTATTTTGATGGCAATATTAGAAGAAGGTGATAATAAAATGGCAATTAGGATGATATCTGACATTCTTTCAGTTCTATCCTATGAAAATCAAAAATAAACTGAATTGATTCTTATAGCAATAAATAAATAAATAATGGATAAGGAATATAAAGAGTACAGAAAATATTTAGTAGTTTTAAAAAGACTATTTAATATAAAAGATTAGCTTTAATTAATGAGAGTAAGATAATAAAAATATATTATTAGATTCATTAAGGAATGACTAAATTATTGGAAATTATGTAAAAATAATCTCAATATTTTTTCGAAACAGATGTGTGTTAATAATACATCTTGAGAGTAATTTATTTATTTTAATGTAGATGGTTTTTAGAAATCAAGCTGTATATTAATGGATGGTTAAAAATTAAAGAGTGTGGTAATGGATTATTGAAACTAATAATACACAATCAAATCCAAATGAAAAACTCATATAAAATAATTCTAATTCTTAGAAATGTAATCATAGATTGCATAAAATTTATTTACCAATAACATCCTAAGCTTATGCTAGATTATTGAATTGGAAAAAATAATAATTTTTGAATTTAGCAAAAGAACCATTTAAATAAAATGAAGATTTTGATACTGATGATGATTTATCAGAGAAAACTGTAAATGTTGAAGATAAAATAGATTATTAGTAAATATTTAATTTATTTAAAAGTGATCAAAATTAATGGATTACCGCAACTGTAAGTAAAGTTATGGCAGATTATATTCATTTAACATTTAGTGGTAAAATGGCACCTCAAAGTATAGATGTAGAATTGGATAATGAAAGATTAGCTCCATTTAATACATTATCATCCAATAATAAAATACCAGGTATTTAAATATATTTGAAATCATTAGGATATAATAACAATTCCTAAGAGATGGCTATTGAAAATTAATCTGACCATGATAATGACACTGAAGAGGGTAATAATAATTCAATTAATTAATCTGATTCAGATGAAGAATGAAATTAAATATCAATAAAGTATTACAATAAGCAGTTAATATAATTAATAATAATAATATATATAAAATAATAGAGATGTCCAAATCGTGGTAAATTCATCAAAGCTTACAAGAAAGTTTATGTTCACAATTGAATAAAGATGAAATTCTAGAAGAATTTTTACAAGTTTGTAATCACATAGCTAATGAAGATTAAAATAGTATCAAAAGTTTGAATTCAAAATTATAAACTATCAAAAAACACTATGCCTAATAAAAATGCAGAATTGATCATCAATTTAAATACATCTAGACTTTATTAGAGCAAAAAAGAAAAGATTTAATCGCTTAATTAAATAATCATGAATTAGAATTAGATAAAACGTTTTAACACTTAAGAGATGAGGTTACTCAAATATAATCAGTTGTCTTTAATATTTAGAATGACATCCTTAGCAATAGATAGGAAATTTTATCTGAAGTAGATGATGAAACTTTTTAGAATATCCTCACTCAATTTGATCAATAAATATAAATGTCTTAAAATTATAAGAAAGAACTATTATCAACAAGAATAACATTGATAATTATAGAAGAGTGGACAGCTAGTCATTAAGATGTGATAAAGCATCTCCTTAATTAGTCTATTACAATAAAGGATTACTAAAAGTAAATAGAACCTCATCATACAGAGTTAAGTGCTTCTACTTGTAGTGATAAGATGTATTCATCAAATAGATCAAGTTAAGAACTTCCAATTAAATAAACTCCTTTAATAATTAGTTTTGATTAAAAGTACTATCTGCAATCAAAATAGATTGATATAACCAAATCTGAATCAGATAATCATGATAGTTGTGAATCTGATTTTTTAGAGGAATGGGCAAAGTAATGATTGCATACTAAATAATTTATTTTTGTTGTATTATATAAATGGATTACTAAAATTAATTAAAATTTCATTTTTTTTGTTTTATAATAAAGTCTTTTCTACCACTTTATTTTTACATATTAATTCCTGGGACATTAGGTCGAATGGCTTTTTCAGCTTTTTCAATTTTAGAAATATTAATGGCAGCAGGTACTTGTTATTGTTATGATTCTGAATCATTATCTCCTTATTTTTAATTAAATCTTTTAGTTTTAGAATTCATTTAAACAGCAGTTCTTTAATCTCTAGGAGGTTTAACATCAATTTATAAGACATTATTATCAACTTTAGGTTAAAATCTGGGATCATCTGCTCTTTCTGGTTATTTTTCAAAATTAACATTTCCAACAACCCTTTTTTCAACTTGATCAAATTTAGGTTCTATGATAGCTTCTTAGTCTTTAATTTATGGTCCTTCAGGTCTTTCTAATTATTTTTCAAAATTAGGAATATTTTTAACTCTAGGTTTGATTGGTGCATAGTCAACATTAAGTAGCAATTCAACTTCTTTAATTTCAGGTTCTGGTCTTGGATCTGATTATTTTTCAAAATCAAAAGTTGGTATATGTGGTTTTGGTTTATGAGGATCTAAAATAAGATTATCACCATCAATAGGTCCATCAGGTTTTTGTATAGGCTCATGATCAATTTCAACATATCTATTAAAATTAACAGTTTTAAGTTCTTTATCAATTTATTTGAATTAAACATCATATTCACCAATTTCAGGTTATTTATTTCTTCTTTACATATATTATTTAAACATAGTCATATCATCAAAATATTAGAGCCATTCTTTTAAACCTCTACCTTTTTTTCCAGCTAATTAAATATCTTAAACTAATTATTCTCTAATAGCATTCATATTAACATCATAAAATTTATGTTATTCTGGAAATAATTCTTTATCTGGAGGATGAATTGGTTTAACATCTGTATCTTCATGATATTTAAATGTTTAAATTTATGGTTTAATTGCATCTAAAGTAGGATAGAGTTATTCATCATAATCATTAAAATCTTTTCCTTTAGTAGGATCAATTACATTTATCCTATCATTTTTATCATTCAATGGAGCAATTTTAACACCTTTTATAGCTGGATCAACTTAAACATGAGATGGATCATAATATCCAGGAGCAACCTTATCTTCAATTTCTAAAGTTAGTCTTGCTTTAGTGGGTTCAATATCCCATCTAACAGCATCAGGTGCTTTTGGTTTTATTGGATCTACATTTATTTCTAAATCTGGTCTCATATCTAAGTCTTCTTTTTTTATTTTCTTAATTCTTTCCTCCTTACCAAACTTTACTTATATTGGGTTTGGCTTAATATAATCATCTTTTGAATAGTAATAATCTGGTCCTGGAATTGGTCTATCCGGAGGAATTCTTCTCTCCGTTGAATGACTTTTGAATACTACCATACAAGGTTGTTTTTCTTCATGAATCTCATATTAACCTGGTCCTACAGTTATTGCTTATATATCGTCTAATAATTTCCTTATCAAAAATCTTCTCATTTTTGAGCCTTTTGGATGTGAATTAAAATCATTATAAGCTTATTTAATTACTACACCAGTTATATTTTATCTTATAGCTTTATCTAATTCTAAAGGTCTTCGTCTATATTCTTCTAATCTTAATTATTCATTCATTTTGTTAATTTCATCTCTTTGTATTAAATATTTGTTCTTTTTAATTGGCTTACTAATTTTAGGGATAGGAATGTTTGGACGAATAGAATTGTAATTAGGATTGATCGATTCTTAATTATTAACTTTAACTTTTTAAAATCTATCATCCTTTCCAAATGTTCGATTTTACTATTTCTTTTCTTTTATTTCAATTTCATAACTCCCTGGACCAACTGTTATCATTGAAGCTTAAGTTGAAATATCATCCTCTCTTATTTTAGATTCTGAAATTACAACAGAACTTGCTTTCCTTTTTACAAAGTCATAATTTGGTTCTAATGGAGTTGTTGGAATAATTTTGGTTTCCTAAAATCTTTAACTCTTTGAAAATGTCACACTTGGTTATGATTACTAATATATTTAATATCTCTCTCTTATACCTTTATGCTAGACATTGATACATTTAAAGGAAGTTCATTTATAATATCATCTTTCTTATTGTCCTTAAATCTTGATGTTTTAGTAAAAGAAAAGCTTGGGGCATTCTAACAATTTTAATTTGACTAAGAATAAATGACTGTTTGATATGATTCTTATATCGATTCTATTCATATTCAAGAAATTCGTACTTATTTCATACTTTCCTAAACATTTATTCATTTCTCTCTCGTATTCAGACATAGATGTCTTACATTCAGAAATCTCTAATTCTAATTAGTCGAATAATTCATCCATTTTTATAATTATATTTAATAACTTCTCTTATTATAAATTATTGCTCATCCAATATCATTTATTCTTCAATTTTTTACCCTTCTTGTTATTACAACTTAATTCTTGTTATTTAATATGATTTTAATAAATATTTAAATAAAATAAAACAAGGCATGCCAAATCACTTATTCAGAACACATCCAAGAACTTATGGAAAAGATTCTAGAGGTAATTAACTTCCTAAACTTCTTAGAATGCAGAGTATGTGGAGCTAGATAAGGTTTGATAAGAAAATATGGTATGAATACTTGCAGAAGATGCTTTAGAGAAAATTATGAGTTGATTGGATTTCACAAGGTATAATATATATCTTAATTCAGTACAATTGATCAGATTTTTGATATATTATTAAAACCATACGTACATTTATTTACTATCCAAAATATTCTTTAATAATTTAAATAAACAATATTCATGTCTCTCATTCTTCAAAATCTTTACTTAGGAAGTGTTAGCATTGCCAAGGATATTAAGTTTATTAAAGAAAAAAACATTAAATATATACTTATCTGCGCAAAAGGATTAAAATAATATTACCCTAATATAGTCTAATATAAGTAACTTAATATTTCTGATAATCCTTGCACTGTAATCATTACTCATTTTCCAGAGTCTATTGAATTTATTCAGACTAATATAAGTACCTTTTTAATTATTTACTTTTAGAAAATGCTGCTATTTTAATCCATTGCTTAGGTGGTAAATCTAGATCAGTTTCAATTACAATTGCTTATCTTATGTTTTTATTACATGTAACCTATGATCAAGCATTTTAACATGTAAAATAACGTCATTTTGAAGCCTAACCTAACGCTGGTTTTATTAAGTAATTAAAAACCTTTCAAAAAGTGTTATAAATTTATGGTAAACCAAAGTAAAATGATTTCAAAGCCCTAAATTAAATTTTATTTGATAATAATGTCGAAACTTAAGTTAAAATGAAGCTAAGCTCAATTTAGTTTAAAAATAATTATGAAATACAAGAAAACTAAGATTAAGAAGACATTTAAGAAGACTTAGATATTTAGTTCATTTAATAAAATGAAAAATAATGAAAATAGATCAACAATTTTATTTTTATTATTTTTATTAATATTTAATTTTTAACAAATAATGATTAAAGGCGATTAGATCGTCCCTTATTCAGCCTTATATATAGATATGTAATATAGACATTTATTTAATACTTTATGGGCATACTTAAAGCCTGTGGATTAAAATAAATATATTTAAGAAGTAAATGTTATTCTAAAAGTTTCTTTTGCAGATTGAACAAATTTGGTTGGGAGGATTAAAAAATTAAAAAATTTTGATAACTTTATGTGTTAGAGCATCAACAGATTTAGTTTTATAAGTATATTTAATTTTAACTATCTAAGGCTTTAAATTGGCCACCAGGATCTGAAGTAATCATAACAGGAATCAATATTCCAGATATGATTTAAGTACTTCGATTAAATGGAATAATTCCAGTGCCAGTGGAAGTAAATCCAGATACTTTGGGATGTACATTAGATTCATTTAAAAAATTTTATACTGAAAAGGTATTTATTTGCTACATAAAAGACTAAAGGAATAATGATTTCATATGTTTTTGGAGCAAAATTTGATGCTACAGAAATCATAGATTGGGCTAAATCAAAAGGATTATTTATAATGGAAGATGAGGCTGAGAGTTTTGTAGCTCCTAATGCAAAATGTATTTATTAATTAAAATTAATAGTAAATCCAAATGTTGATTTTTCAACATTTAGTTTTGGTTCTATAAAAACTTGTTCTGCTTTTGGAGGATCAATAAGTGTGATTAGAAATAATGAAGCTTTATATAGAAAAATGAAGACATTATAAGAGTCATACCCAAAGTGGTCTTAACATAAGTAAAATATTATTTAAACTTAAAGTTATTTTAAAAGGACTTTAAAAAATTTAATACCTATGATATTATTAAATAGTCAAAAAATAAATAGAAGTTCAAGATGGGTTTTTATTAATTTTTTTTCAAATTGGGATTATAAAGAATTTGTTGTGAATAGTATAAGAGGTTTCTAAAAGAATCCATCTGATATATTATAAACATATAGATTTAGAGTTCCTGATCCAATGTTAGTGATGTTGGCTTTGAGAATGAAAACATTTGATGTTGATTAATTTAATATAGCAACTTAAAGATAATTAGCTGGTTAAAAAATTCTAATAAAAGGAGGTCTGCTTGTACCAGGTCATGCAGTAGAAGATAGAAAATTTTGGTACTTATTTTATTTTATTCAAAATATAGGTTATATCCTGTTGTAGTACCAGACCCTGAAAAAACATATAAAATTTTGAATTCAAGAGGAATTGATGCTTATATGGGAGTAACCTAATTAGACATAGTTGAAAGTCCAATTGGAAGTTCGTATTAATATCCAAATAATACTTTATCTTATTTTAAAAATGTAAATATTATATAATAATTAAAGATATTATATTTACCTATCCATTAAAATGCAGATTTAAAATCAATTTAAATAATTTGTAAACAAGTTGTAGAGGTAGTTGATATGTTAAAAAATAGAAACCCAAAATTATGATTATTAATTTATTATTATTAATAATTAAAATTGAATTAATCGATTCAGTTTTTTTTATATTTCTAAAGCAATAATTATTTAAAAAAGTCTTAAATAATTCATTAAGTAGGAAAACAATAATTAATCTCCGCTATCTCATTTGAAAACCAAATAAATTGATTGAAAAATTATTTAAAAAATCTTTTTTTAACACATATAATTTACAGAATTGAAATGAATTTCGATGATGCTTCTTTATCTTCTCTCCATACTTATAGAGTCAAGACTCGATAATAACTCAAAGGCATATAAAATTCCACTTAAAAGTCAAAACGAAAATACTGTCACATTTCTCTTGAAAGAAAGAATTAATTAATTTCCCTTGTCCTTGATAGAAAGTTGAGAATCAAAGATGTATACAATTATTCATATACCTTATATTAATAGGCTGCGATTATTTGTAATTTAAATTACTCCACTGCAAAAACCATACTCTATACTTTGAGACATCGATTACCTAAATAGGCAGGATTCAAATTATATTCGAATAAATGTAAACCAAGACTTATAGTTAAAATTCAAAACAAGGGAACACTTGTAAATGAATATGATTTTTATTCATGTTTGAATTAAAATTGAGGAACTTTTCAATATCATTTCATTATATTAAAAAGAATGGATATATATAAATGTCATCTTATTTGAACACTAAAAAAGCTAGGGACCTTTGTTATATTTTTTAGATTAATGTTTTATTTTTTCAATAAAAACTCAATATTAATCCCACTTGTAATTTACATTATTTTAAAATGAATCTCAAAAATTTTATTATCTGATTTCTAGATATTTTCTTTCATATTTCCTTATTTTGCTAATCTAATTGAATTTCAAATTAAGTTGTTCTAAAAATAACTTAAGCAAAATTTAATTATAATAATAAGTCGGTCGGTTTTAGATGGACAAAATTATCTGTCTATTTGAGGAAAGAAATTAAAAACAATGTTACAGAAAGAGATTTTCATAAAAATGACAAATTTAAATCAAATTTAATGGAAATGTTTTGTAAATCACATTTATTAGTCTATTCATTAGATTATATTATTTTAACAATAAAAAATATTCAAAAATAATTTAAAATTCATTGATAATTGGATTATAAAATATAAAATATATTTAATGAGTGCGTAACCACAGCAATAAATAATATTTGGTGCTTGTAAGGTTAAGGATGGTCTATATATAGGTGATGAATATGCAGCAAAAGTAATATACATTTATTTAACAATCAAGGACATAGAATTTATAGTGGCAAATAAAATTGGCTATATAGTTAATTGTTCCTCTGATTCTATTGAAAATCTCTTAGAAAACATAGGAATCATGTATTTCTCATTTTAATGGCCAGAAGATTAACCAGAAGTAATAAATTTGTATTTTAATCAAGATAGTTGTATCTAAAGACTTTGTAAATAATGTTTACGAGTTTATAGAGGAAAGTGTTACTTTAGGCTAAAGTTGTTTAATAACATCTTTACATGGTTAAAGCAGAGCTTGCTCTTTAGTTACTATTTATCTAATGAATAAGTATGATTGTTAATTTATTAACTTAAGATTCAAATGGTCACTTTATAAGACACTAGAATATTTGAACTCAAGGAGAAGTGATTTAGAAATTAAAACATCATTTTTCACTGTTCTGAATCAAATGGAGAAATTGCTTAATCCAGAAACTCTCTCAAAAAAATGGGAAATGTTTAATTCATAATTTATAATATTTTAGATAACATAATACGAATTAGGATGAAATTCTAATCACTAATACATTTTTTAATGCTCAATCATAATAGATCGATTAGATTTATATTCAACCAACTGAGTTCTAAAAAATGAATAATAAATCTTATATTTCTTTAATAGGTTGGACTGAGTAACATGTTTAATAAAAACATAACCCTCTCAATTAATTTAAATCAATTCTTAAAGTATTATAAAACATTTAATTTAGGGATCAAATGCAGTTTTTACTAAAGATGGTGGAAATAGAAAATTCGCACTTAAATCCTTTTCAGTTAATAAAGAAAATATACCTGAAAGTGTACCTTAAAGAAAAAACACTCCATCTTAAAGGTCTACATAAAGAAGCACTAGTAATCCAAAATAAATATAGCAACCATTAATTCCTTAATCATTTATAAATTAATCTCAAGTTTCTACCCAAAATCTTTAAAATTAAACAATCAATTAAAATTAAAAGCTTCCTATAAAAACTATTCAGACACTCCCTCCTTCAGGATAAAATTCAAAAAAATCTTTAATTATTTAAAAAGAAAATAATTAACATAAAAAAAATAGTGGCAATTAAGTAGTCTATCCAGTGAAGATTTTAAGACCAAAAATGCCTAATTTTGATAATATTTGATATATATTTTTTATTTATTTTGTTCTTTATTGTTTTATATTTACTAAAAATTCAAATGATATTAATTTTAGAGCATAGTAATTAATTTTGTATATTATAAAAAATAAAAAATCTTAATCAAGCTTAAATTAAGTTTAATATGAGGAATTAAAATAATTAGAGAGGATAATAATTTTGAAAAAAATGATTTATAGAGTAATAAATATATAAATAATTTATAATTAAAATTCAATTAATTCTAAAATATAAACAATAATTTCTTCATAAATTACGTCAAAATGTCTTTTTTAAAAAGTCTTGTACTTTTTTCTTCTTTGTTTCTCTTGGTAATTGGATAGACCTGTATTGATCATAGTGGAAATGCTATAGATTGGTGGTTTATTTTGAAAATGCCAACAGATACCACTTTTAGTGTAAGAGGTAAAATAATTTCAATAAAATAGGAATGGATTATTTGTATTGTGATGCTAAAAATAATTGTGGAACTTTTGATTGGTAAACAGATCAATTAGATGATTTAACATCACCATTATAAAGAACTATAGCTTAAATTGATTTTCATAATGATAATATTATGAGTGTATTATGGAGTGATTAACCTTGGAATAAGAATACAATTTCAGATAGAGCTCATTCAAAGGGTATTTTGAGTGCAAATCTAAATGGAAATGCATTTCTTATTTCTCATTCGACTCCCTCTTTCCCAATGCTTGATGACGCATATGAGTAATTAAAACATTCAAATTTTTTAGTTAAATTGTATTAGGTATGCCTTCTTCTTCTTAAGTCTATGGCCAACATTATATGTGTTTGTCTATAACTACTACAGAAGCAAATAGATTAGCAACAGAATATATAATTGCAGAAACACTAACAAATCGTGCTAATAGTCCTTCTTCTTTTGCAACAGCATTCCCTCAATTATATTAATTAAAATCAAATTCAAGAACTAAAACATACAAAACAGAATCTGGAACTGTATTATCAGTATTTATAATTTTATATAAAAGTCTGCTTTATAAGATTCAATTAAAATATCCTCTAAAGGTGGATTTACTTTAACTGCTTATACAAAAAATGAAAATCTTGTTGAAGATTTTTATGCTGATGTTGTAGCTTCTGCTTTAGGTATAGACTTAATTATGGAAACTTGGGGAAATGGAACTGGTGGTCTTTAAGCTCCTGTTTGTGATTAAGTTCCAAAATCATATTCAAATTTAGTCAGATAACATGGGGTATTTCAACTATTATTTTTATTTAGGCATTTACATTTTCATACACAAAGGATCATTCCAAATTTGGTATTAGTGCAACATCAACAAATGTTTGCTTTTGTGATCTGAACAGATAAACAACATAATAAAAAAGAGGAGGTGTTGTTTATTGTTTCTAACATAAAAATTTATGGAGTATCATTAATAAAGCATTCATAAGTAGATAAACATGTTGATTTAATTACAAAAATTTAATTATTAAAAATAAAAAAATCTTTTTATTTATTATAATATATTACAAAATACTTTGTTGTTTAAAATGCCAAAAAAATTAAAATACCCTAATAATTGATTTGAATATTTTTTTACTTAAATTTTTTACTAAAAATAAGTTAATGAATTTAAAATAAATAACTGGAATAAATTTTATATAATTATTTCTGATTAATTTTTACATTGTAGAAATACATGTTTTATGAAATTATTTATTCAATTGTTGTAAATATTTCAATATTAGTCAAATATAAGTTTTATAAATTTTAACTTTTTGTTTGCTAACTTCTTTTTAAAACCTATTATGTTCTTATTGAATAATATACTAAAGAAATTAAACATGAATTATTTTAATAAGAGAAATCAAAAAATAAGAACAAATCTGATTTCTTTCTCCGTTTTTTTTGTTTAATTTAATTGCTCTTTTTTTAATTTTTTATTAAATATTTTATGAATTTATTTAAGTATGTAATGTACTTTTGGATACCTTTAATATATATATCTCTATTTATAAATATATAAATATTTCCAATCAAAGAAATTATTTTTTTAACAAATAAATATTTATTTTATGAGAATGATTTTATTATATCATTATTCATTAATACTTTCTATAAGTGCAGTTATTTACAAGATAGATTAATTCACATCAGTGACAAGAATAGTTACTAATTGGAATAATTAAAATTTATTATTAGGAAGCTATTCGAAATATACTCCATTTAATAATTTTGAAGGTTAAGTTTTTAATAGTGAAGCAAATTTACAATTAATTTATGCTGGTCTTGATTTAGAAGATTAGAATGTAAGGTTATTACATTTCGTAGAATTTAATGAGTAAAATAAATAAATTAAGCATGTTATAAAGATTATAACATTATCAAATACTATTTAGGAGGAATTTTTAATAGACCATAAGAATTATGAAGGACTTTGGATTTCATAATATATGTACTTTGATTAGTAGTAGTTAATAATTGGTATTAAATAAAAAAATGGATTCCAAGAAAAATCAATATCTACAGATTATTTTACAAATAACTAGTTTCTTTTAATTATTGGAAGTGGTTTGAAGGTAAATTAAAATTTAAATTTAGATTTTTGATTCATTCATAGATTAAACTCTTTTATTGGGCAGTTTTCAAGGAAATACTAATTTTTTTTTGGAAGAAGATTTTTCAATTTTGAATGAAGTAAGTTTTTTTGAGAAATGTGTTCCCTTAACAAATAATACAATATCAGATTATTTTACTTATAAGATTGATTCATACAAAAAGTTTTAAATTGAAAAAGATTATATGGATTCATTTTATCTACAATTTTGGGTGAAAATATTATCTAAGGAAGAATTAAAAAATACTATATTAAGATTATCCATTAATAAATCCTCCAATATTATAGGATCAATAGGAAGTAATAGTGTAATTATAAATTATGAATATATATTATTTTAGGGATGGACTTATTATATTGAATATTATTCTTATGATTTTCCATTTATAAAAGAAGCCACTAATGATGCATATAAATAATTCTTTTAAGATTCTATTTCAATTGAATTCATAACAGATTGGCATTTAATTAAAGTAGAATATTTGGAGAAATAATTAATGATTTAATTAGAGAGTTTTATTCTAGAAGAATAGAAAATAAAATATTTTAAAAATGTAAATTAATTTACAAATACTAAAATGATATTATATTTTGGAGGTAATTAATAAGAAAAGAGTTAAAATAGTGGAGAAATTGGTTCTGTAATTTTTAAAAATTGTTTAGATTAAAACTAATAAGTTTAATATTGTCATTATTCATGTAAAACATGTTTTGGACCATTTAAATCTTAATGTTTGAGTTGTTTTGATTAATAAAATAGAATATTTGATCCTTAAAAACATAGTTGTAATTGCAAATTATGGCATTATGAAAATAAAAATGATAATTATTGTATTGGAAATGAATAAAATTAATATATAGAAATAAAAGAGTATTTAAATAATGATCCTATGTATGATGAGAATGATAATTAAAAAACCTGTGCTTTTGGTTATTTTTCATATAAAGATGAGTGTATTCAATGGTACAAATAAATATATATTGTAGTCCATCAGCATCATAAAAAGGATATGTTTAATGTGTTGAATGTTTAATGAATCCTGATACTTGGGTATATGATGGTATTTGTGGAGATGTTTATATGCCATCTAAAAATATAGAGAATGGTGTATATAATGATGTTTTTGGTTTTTCAGGTTATTTTCAACCTTATTATATCTTAATTGATTATGAATTAAATTCTTGTGGAGGATGTCTTTCATGTACGGAAGATTACTATTTATAAGGATATTCTCGTTGTTTTGTATATCCTTTTAAACATTTAGATAAAATCTTATATATAGAATGTAGATCTGGATATAATGATCAACTTTATAAATGTAATGAAAGACCACCATTACCTCCAAGAAAACCTTGTGATTAATATTGTTAATCATGTAGTTATGATGGTTGTAATTATTGTAAAAGTACAACCAAATATTTTATGACTTGGTAAAATATATGTAGAGAATGTTTAATATAAAATTGCAAATATTGTTTCTAATATAATAGATTTGATCATAGTTAAGTTTCAGCAATTGCTAATGTTGCAGGAATTCTTTTATCCTAAAATGAAGAAGATTATATTATAGCATGTTCTCTATGTAATTCAGGTTATGTATTTGATTTCTAAATTAACTAATGCATTTAAAAATAAATACCCCTTCCTTGTTTAACAGGTTTTATAAATTAAGACTTGGAATTTGTTTGTACTAATTATTAAGGTACTTTTAATCAATAAGAAAATAATTAAGTTGCATAATTTCATGATTGCTAAAAGTATTTTAGTAATTGCAAATCTTGTATTTAAGATTCCTTTAAAATGATTTATTGTATCAGTTGTTTTGATGGATATTATCTATAATATAAAAATGGTTTATGTATATCATGTTCTACCTTATTTTCAAATGCTAAAACTTGTAGTATTGAAACTTCTACTCATGATTCATGGAAATATGATGTAGTAAGTTTTTATTTAAATTTTATTCGCGATAGCTCACCAATTTAATTATCTGGATTATATTATTAGACATATTATTTCCTGAATGAATGTTAAGAAGGTTATATTCCATATAACACAAAATGTATTTCAGAAATAGATAACTAGTGTATCATATGGGACTCTAACTATAACTTTTGTGTAAAATGTAGAAATTTATATGAAGAATATGATGCTTAATCTTACTTTGATAATAAATGTTAAATATGTCCATATCCTTGCAGGGTTTGTACTCCTATTTCTTAAACTCAAATTAATTCAATAAATCCTTATTTTATATATAATGAACTTACTAAAATCTAAACTCATAGATGTTTCTTAAATCAAATATAAGATTAAGCCTTTATACATCAATTATCAGGATAGTTATTACCTAAAGATGCAAAAAATTAAAAATACTTACTTAAAATATAACGTTCAAATTTTCCAGATGCCACTATTTCTAATGTTCAAAATTATATTGATTTTGAATATTTAAAAAAAAGAAAAGTTACAACATATATTGATAATTACAATGCTTTTAGACAAGAAGATCCTATTAACTTAAGAGAAATCCTTTTTTTTATTTTCAATTCAACTGTTCTCTATGATGGATTTAATGATACCTATCATGAAAAATAAATCTCTATAACTAATTAAACTACTGTAAATGTTTAAAATGTTAGATTTTTTTCTTAAAAAAACTCCTTTACTATTTCCTCTTATTATGGTCTTAACATATACATCAATAATATTACTTTGAGTAGTTTTTAGAGATAAACCCCCATTTTTTAAATTACTAATTTTACACAAATATATATTTCAAAAATAGAAATTGATGAACTTACATTAATCAATACTTCCTTATTTATCTTAAAAAAAAATTATGATTTAAATAAATCTTTTTAAATAATAATAGAAGAAATTTCATTTAAAAACTGTACTTTTTATAATAGTTCATTTCTTTAACTTTAAACTAAACTAAAATATATTGAATAATTTTAAATTAAGAAAATTATACTAAATAATTGTTCAATAACAAATTCTGAATTTTTTAAATTCTAAAGTTAATCAACAGTAGCAAATTAATTTGTTTTAGTAAATTTAGAAATTAAAAATTCTAATTTTACGAATAGTTAATTTTTATCTCTTTAAAACTCAAACTTTGTCATTATTGCTGGAATAATGATACAAAATTGTTTATTGAATTAAACAATTCTCATATCACTAAATCATAATAGCTTATTATAAAATATTCATTTTATTAATATAATTGTAGATTATTCTTAATTCTTTATCTTTTTGTAATCACTAAATTAAAAAAGCATTCATAAAATAGATGGAATATTTATGGAGAATATATTTGTATGCAGTGAGAATCTAATAAAAATTTAATAGGATTTATAAGAAAATTCGACGATTGAATTAAAAAATATTAAATTAAATTAAATTTAGTTTAATTCTAATTATTTAAATAATGAGGAAGAAAAACTGGCAATTTGTTTATTCAATTTATAAAGCTATAAAATTGATATATTACTATTGAAGAATGATTAAATTAATTTTTTTTGGATTTTTTGTATTGACTATTCAAACATAATTAATATTGAAGAAATAGAGATTAATTCATTTTAGCAACTTTAATATAATCTCGTTGATAATTACTCAAAACCGTATTTTAATTTATTAAACGCAGGATTTATTTAACTAAAAAAAATACAAAAAGCAACTTTTTCAAATATTCTAATTAAATGTTAAAATTTAATAGATTCATCTATGATATATATAAATACAAGAATAGAATAATAATTAAAAGATCAATAAATAATATTTTCAAATATCTCTTTTGAAAATAATTTTTTGGTAAAACTCTAAAGTTTTTCAATTACAACATTATTATATCTTGAATCTGAGGATAGATGTAATATATTGATAACTAATATAACTTTTATTTCAAATTATGCAGTACATTAAATTTTTGACTCATTTACAATCTCTTCTAGTATGATTTGTATAATGACTTAATATTTGACATAAATAAAAAATGCTTAATTTTATGAAAATTAATTTTATAATTCAAGTTTTCCTGCTTTATATATTAAATCATAGTATATATAAATTGAGCAAATGAATTCATAAGATACTCAAGAATTTGATTTGACCAAATAAGGATTTGAGACTCATTACTTCGAAAATGGAGGTTTTTCTAATTTATTTGCATCTTAAATCATAATAATTGATTCTAAATTTATAAATTCATAAGCTTAAGAAGCTGAATATTTATATATTATACTTTATAATTAAGGATATTTGTAAATTAATAATACCTCATTTATAAATATAATTGTATCATCTAAGGAGAACTCTAACTCTAGTAGAGCAGTAATTGTAGTAGATGCTGCAAGTTCAAATATGAATTTTGAAATGAATAATATTTTAGTATCAAATATAATAAGTAAGCATTCATCAGGTTTTTTAAAAATAATTTCTTCTAAAATTAAAAATTTACTCAAATTAAATAATTTAATAGTTAAAAATGTTTTATCTAAGTAAAACACCTTTTTAGATATAGAATGCACAAATTAAGCTGATAATTTAGTTGATATTGCAGATTTTTAAATGAAATTAGAAAAAGATTTTTTTTTTAAATATCAATATTTTATTGGATTTAGTTAAAATTCCAATTAATAGTCTTAAGGAATGCTTTTCATAACAAATAGGTATAAATAAATGAATAATTATTTAGTTCGATAATATTTTTCAATTTACATTTTAGTGGTTTTGCTCCTATGACTATTTTAAACCTTTTAGATAATTTTAAGATTTTGGTCAATTCTTTAGTTTTAGAATAAATAGAGGTTGCTACAAAGAATTTAAATATAATAAAATAGGAAGATTAAAGCAATTAAATAAGATTAACAGATATCTATCTTTCGTAATTTACAATTAAAAACTTATTTAATGAACTTGATTTTAATGTGGAATCATTCTTTGAAATTATACATACTTTACCTAAGAGATTAATATTGAAAGATATTTTTATTTTAAACAATACATGTTAAGCTTGTTAAAAGGGATTAATATTGATAGAATAATTTGAAAAACTTATCATTAATAATTTAATAATCTACTAAAATTAATGTGGTTAATAGACTTGTTTGATATTAAATAAGATTGATCAAAGTTTTATTTAATAAAGCAAATTTATTAGAAATACAGGAACTTAAGGTGGAGTTATAAACATAAAATCAAATAAAGTTTAGATGAAAAATATTGAATTTATACTTAATTAAGCTGAAAATGGTGGAGCTATATTTTAATAATTATTTATAAAATAGGAAACAATAATATCTAATTTATATTTAATATAAAATAGAGCTAAAATTGGAGGAGCAATTTATTCAGAAAATCATAGTTTTGAATTTAAGGATTTAATAAATATGTATTTTTTGGAAAATAAAGGAGAGATGTATATAAATAATATTAAAGAAAATCCATCATAACTTAGAATATCAATATTTGATTAAGAATTAGAGACTAAATCAAAATAAAATATTGGAACACCTAATTTTGAAAAATATAAGACTCAAAACAACATAATTTATATACCAAGTGGCTAATAAATAAATAATTATAGTATTTAGAATCTAGAAAATTAAACCTTTTTGGAGTATAATTTAAATCCAAAACTCTATGGCACTAATAATTTAGGTGAGAAATAAATAAATTTATAGAATTATTAATGTTTATTATAATAAATAAATAAATTAGGAAAAATAATACCAAGTGAAGATCAAATAATTCCATATGATATTGAGAGTTAATCATTTGATTTTTCATCTTTAATAATTCGTTTAGATCCATATTCTAAGGATGATATAACCTTTTTATTTGATTGCAATTGTTTTTCTGAAAGTAAATATAAATTCTTAATAAATGTAAAATCATTTCCATGCCAATTAGGTGAGTTTTATTATTTTAATTAATGTATGAAATGCGATGAATCTAAAGGATTTTATTCAGTTGAAACTAAAGCTACTTTTTGTTAGAAAATAGATCCAAAAATTATAAAATCAAATACTGCTAATGAAATTGAATTATAACCTGGATATTGGAGACCCAATTATCGTAATAAATTTATCAATAAATGCTCAAAATAAAAGATTTTATGTCTAGGTGGATGGAAACCAGGAGATAAATCTTGTAGTTTAGGTTATATTGGTGCATTATGTGAAGAATGTGATATATACAATATCAAAGGAGACGGCTAATTTTATAAAAATTAAAACAATAAATGTGTTTATTGTAGTAATTTTGGAGTTTCTATAGTAATCTCTCTAATTTTTGGATTGCTGTATAAATTTTTAATTATTTATATAGAACCATAGGTTCAATGATCCTTACTGTAAGCAGTGTAAATACTATATTCAAAAGTTTTCTTAAATTTAAACTCACATCTAAATATTACAAAATTCTATTTAATCATAGTTTAGGTAAGTATTTATTATATTTAGATTAATCTGCTGCATTAATTAAAACCGTTGTTAATTATTTTTAGATTTTAGTTACAATAAAATCTTTTTAACTTGAACTTTATTTTAATTTTAATGATATACTTACTCCTTTAAGTAATCCTATAGGCACAACATCCTATTCTTATGAATGTTTCTTAAGCAAATAAGCAAATATGTAAATAATCTATATTAGTCTCATTATAAACATCCTAGCTCCTATTTTTTTCTATTCAATATTTTCAACTATGTACTTACTTTTGATTTATAAAAAAAAACTAAAGTTGACTCCAACTATATATGCTACTGCCATATTATATTTATTTTTTTATGCCTAACCAAATATCATTCTAGAATTAGGAGAATTGATCACTTTAAGAAACATTTCAGAAATTAATTACATAAATAGAAATGTTTCTATACTATACTTTACAAGCACTCATATTTCCTGGGTTTTATTTTTCATAACACCTGTTTTACTCATAATTGGAATTATCATTCCTATTATTTTATTTCTTATTTTGTATAATAAAAAAAATCATTTTAATCAAGAAAAAGTCAGAAAAATTTGGGGTTACATATTTAATGATTATAAAGAATCTTCATTTTATTGGGAAATTATTAGAGTTTCTGAAAGGGAAATTATTTTATTGTCACTTATAGTTTTTGAAGAATAAATTGAAATTAAAGGTATTTTAACATTTTTAATATTGTTTTTATATCACATTATTGTTTAAATCAAAAAACCTTTTCACATGGATTCTTTAAATCGATTTGAATAAAAATGTATTTCTATATCCAGTTTAATTTTTCTAATTTGTGGCATTAAATATCAAATTTAATAATAACAAATAATTTAAATTGATTACATCTTATAGACACTACTACTCTTGGTTTTCATCTATTTTTTTTGGATTTTAATAACTTAAACTATTTAAACTTACTATCAAAAATATAGTGATAGATTAGATGGTATTAGAAAGATAGTAATAACGAGAAGCCCAAAAATTATAAAATTATGCCCCTTTTTGAAAACTTATCTAAAATTACGAGTCGATACAAAAATTAAAATGAAAGATAGGGTTAAATTAATTAAAGAATCTTTACTTATGTCTAAAGCTTAAAACGTATAAAATAGTTACCATTGGAACTTAAACTCTTTTTCTGTCTAAAAAAGTATTTATCATGAAGAATAAGCATCAAATTTTATAAATGTATAGAAGGGATAAAAAGAGTAAACTCATTTAGTAAAAGATTTGGTTAAGTTTAATTGATCATATTAATTATGTTGTAAATATAATAATAGTTATGCAAATTTATTTATCTTTTATATCATTCTTATTTTTATGTATATTTATTACATTTTTAAATAATTTTTTTGTATTTAAAATCATAAACCTTCAATAACCAATCCATTTTAAAGAAAAATTAAATAAATAAAACTGGTGATTAAAATTGAAAAAAAAAATTATAAATTGATATTAAAAAATCTTAATAAATGAAGTTTTGAAAATATTTATTTATTTTATAATTCATAATTTAAAATAGAGAAGATAAAAATATTTAAATAAGTAAACAAAAACTATTCTGATCGTATGCCAAAAATTTTAAAAACTATAAAAAAGGCAAAATATATTAAAGAATTAATATATTTTATTTTTTAACAAGATTATAAAAAATTCTATGAAAGAGTTTATATTTTAAATATGAGAATAAATAATATTTATAATTAATCTGAGAAGTCAAAGTTATCAAACTTTAATCTACAATTATCCGAAAGTAATATTTTTTTAATGCTTTTTTTTTGGTGCATTAATGATATTTCGTGAAAGAGTTTTTTTAGGACTTGGTTTATTTCTGGATTAGGTAGTTGGTGAAATATTTGTGAGTGTAAATTGTGAAAAAGGTTTATTTTATAATGGAAGAAGTTAAATTTTTGGTTTTTTTCTTTTTTCATCTAGTAATTTAATTGAAGGTATAGGTGAACATCTACTAATATTATTGATGAATGGAGAAATGTTATTAATAGTGGATCTTTGTTCTAGTAGATTTATATTAAGTTGTTTGGTACATGGACTCATTAATTCTTTAATTTTACTTTAGCCTAATTATGATTTATCTACTAAACTTTATAAAGTTCTTGGATTATATTTTAAGATATTTTTGTAAGCTTGTTTAGGATTAGGAGTAGTTAATTGTTTAATATTAAGAATATTTTCTTCATCTGTCTGATCATCATCTTCTTCATCTTCTTATTATAAAATATGAAGATTGGCTAAATTTTGATTAGATTAATCTTCATTCTTTTTATCATCTTCTTCAAATTTATTAAGTCTAAGATGAAGTGTGAAATCATCTTAGGAACCAGTTTGTTTAATTAATTTAACTTTACCATCTTCTACTAATTCTAATCTAAATATTAATTATGACTCAAATGGTGCAGTAATAGGTAAATAGAAAGTTTTTAGTCTTTAAGAAAAGGATTAAACCTTTGAATTTTTTTTATCGGTAAATAGTTTACGAGGAGATAAAGAATTGTACCTATGAAAAAAAATGGAAGATCTTTAATTTTGTTTAGTAGGTGTTTAGACAGCTTCAATAGAATAAAGACTTGATTGATTAGGTATACTAGCCTAATGATTGTAAAATACAGTATTATGGTGTCTATTTTATCTTTTTTTTGGTTGACATTCTTATTATTACATAATGTCGATAATAGTTTTTTTTTGAATAAGATGTCTTTTATTACTCATCTTCATTCGTTTTCTTTATTATAATTTTTCCTTTTGCTCTTTATTTTTTGTAATAATATGATGGTAGGGTTAAAATAATGGTAGTACTGTTGTGATATATAGCATTTTTTTATTATGTGATCCACAATCTTAACATTCACAAGAGCGTTTTCTATTAAAATTGATAGATTATTGAATATATAATTGTTAGGTTTGATTTTTGAATGATAATGAAGTTAATCGATTTCTCATATATTAATAAATTATTATGATAATATAGATTTAAATTAAAATTGTATAATAAGTACATAATAAATAATAAATTTCTTTTATAGGAATTAAATTTCTCCGGGTAATTGAGAAGCAGTGATTAAATTTTAAAAATATTTATTTAAAATATGAGTTTAGCATTTGATGATTATGGCAGACCTTATATAATATTGAGAGAATAAGGATCAAAGAAAAGAATGAAGGGATTGGAAGCATATAAAAGCAATATATTGGCAGCTAAAGCAATAGCTAATACATTGTCTTCTTCTCTTGGTCCAAAAGGAATGGATAAAATGTTAGTATCAGCTGATGGAGATGTAGCTGTTACAAATGATGGTGCAACAATAGTAGAAAAAATGGTAAAAATAATTAAATAATTAGGAAATATAACATCCAACAGCAAAATTACTAGTTGAATTGTCATAATCATAAGATGCAGAGATAGGAGATGGTACAACAGGAGTAGTTGTATTAGCTGGCAAATTATTAGAATAAGCATTAACATTGTTAGATAAGGGAATACATCCATTAAAAATTAGTGATGGATTTGATAGAGCTTGTGATGTTGCTATAAGTAAAATTATATATTAAATTTAGAACATTTAGATTAAATTGCTGAAGAAATTAATATTTAAGAAAATGATCATGAAGCACTTATTTAAGCTGCTTGTACAGCTTTAGGATCAAAAGTTGTATCAAAAAGAAAAAGAGAACTTGGAAAAATTGCAGTTACTGCTGTTTTAGATGTTGCAGATCTTACAAGAAAAGATGTCAATTTAGATTTAATTAAAATTCAAACCAAAACTGGAGGTAGTGTTGAAGATACTAGACTTATTTCTGGTATCTTAATTGATAAAGATATGAGTCATCCATAAATGAAAAAAGAGGTAACTGATGCTAAAATTTGTTTATTAACATGTCCATTTGAACCACCAAAACCTAAAACTAAACATAATATCAATATTTCTAATGCTGAAGATTATAAAAAACTTTATCAATAAGAATAATAATATTTTATTGATATGGTTAAACTTGTTAAAAATAGTGGTGCCAATATTGCATTATGTTAATGGGGATTTGATGATGAAGCTAATCATTTATTATTATAGAATGAATTACCTGCTGTAAGATGGGTATCAGGTACAGATGTTGAATTAATTGCTATGGCTACTGGAGCTAGAATTATTCCAAGATTTTAAGAAATTACACCTTAAAAATTAGGATAGGCTGGATCCATTAAAGAAGTTCAATTTGGAACTTCTAATGAAAGAATGCTTGTTATTGAAAATTGTTAATGCACTAAAGCTGTTACTATTCTTATTAGAGGAGGCAGTCAAATGATTGTTGATGAAGCTAAAAGATCTATTCATGATGCCATTTGTGTCATTAGAAATCTAATTAAAGATAATAGAATTGTTTATGGTGGAGGATCTGCAGAATTAGCTTGTGCTCTCTAAGTTTTATAATATGCTGATGAAGTACATCAATATTTATATTAATTTTAGGTATCTTCAGTTGAATAGTATGCTGTAAGATCATTTGCTGATGCCCTAGAAGGAATTCCTAATTGCTTAGCAGATAATTGTGGTTTAAACCCCATCACCTCTGTAGCTCAAGCAAAATCTAGATAATTAGCTGAAAAAAATCCTAGAATCGGAATTGATTGCATGGAATTAGTATATCTTTAAATTTTATTCTCAAGGGTACAAGTGATATGAAAGAATAAAGAATTTATGAAACTTTGAGCTCAAAAAAATAATAAATTTAATTGGCCACTTAAGTTGTTAAAATGATTTTAAAAATTGATGATGTGATTGCTCCTGATGACTATTGAGTATTAATAAAACAAATGTTCAAAAATACATTAATTTAATATATCTTTCAGATATTGAAAAATTTAAAAACTCTTTAATTATATTCAATATTTTTTCTTTGATGGTGTTATTTTAGAAAGTACAAGATTGTTTTCCATTATGACTTTATCCATCTCATTTTTCCAATACTAAATTATATCAATTGTTGTATACTTTCACTTCAGTTTATAAATCTTAATATTACTTATTCCATTCATCTCTCAATCTTCTCTCCTTTTCTTCTTTTCTTTAAATCTATTTCTCCAACTATTTTATTTTGCTTTAAAGACTTGAGTTTTCATATTCTAATTATTTACATCTATCCAAATTATCATCACAATCTTACAACTTTACCTCTAAATCAATTAATTTTTATCTTAACTCCTAAAAATTTAAATTTATAAATAATACTTTCTCCTTAACAGAAGACTTTTTTTAATTTAATTTATTTTTCAAAATCTCTATTTCTTCCAAATATAATTCTTCTTTTGTTGCCATATCTTTTAGTTTCTTTTAAAGTTCCTATGCAACTTTTGGTTCCGATATTCTTGAATGCTGATTTGTCGTTTACAATGATTAAAACTAGAGCTCATACTTCTAATTTAATTCCTTTTCTTTATCTTTCATCATTTCTAAATTGATTTAAAAAATACTCTCATAATATTATCTTAATTCTTCTTGTTCAAAATTGTGTTCCTATTAATATTAATATAATTTATTCAAAGCATCCTTTGCTATCTCACTCTATCCTTATAATTCTTCTAACAAATTTAATTCTGTCTATTTAAGTTGATGAATTGTCTCTTCATATGTCTACATTAGTTTTTCATATTGTTCTCTAAATTTAATAATTTGAATATTTACTTTGTGCTATTGAAACTATCAATGTATTATTAATTTGCTTAATCATCTTATAATTACTATCGTAGTTCTGAAATCTACTTCTCATATTCCTTCATTTTTTTTGTCAACTTATTTTCTTAATTTTTCAGGCTTGTTTATGATTTTTTTTATGTTTGACTTTTTGGTTTACTCTTATTCTTATCCTTTTACTATTTTTGAGCATTTCCTTCTTTGTTTAAAATAGGCCCTAAATTTTAATATATTTCAGATTCTGAATTGGAAGTATCAATTTTCCTTCCTCTTGATTATCTCATAGAAATTATCAAGTTAAATAATAATTTTATTAACTATTTATTTAAATATATTCAATAAATATAATAATCATAGAAGCATGATAAAATAGCAAAAGCTTATGCCTTAAGACAATTATCAAAATTGGTGTAAATGGAAATAACTTTTATTTCTTTTATATAAAAATTAAAATACTTCTTTGATTTCAGTTTTAAATCTACTTTAAAATAATACATTTAAGAATATTTTTCTTTCATTTCTTTATCAGGACCTATATTGTCAAATGTATAATACTTCCTTTTCAAATAAGAGATGATATCTTTTTTATTTATCATAAACTAATTATCTCTCAGTTTTATTCCTGCTAAAAAAGCATATTGATATAAAATAGATTAGAAATTTATTCAGATGCATATAATCTCTTTAAACACCCTTAATTGAAATTGATAAAAAGATTGTTATATGTCTCCAATAAAAGTTGCCAAAATCTAAATTCAATCTAATAAGAACTATCCCTAAAATCAATCCTTATATATGTCTATTAAAATTTATCGTTTATTTAAAATTATTCATAAATCTTTAAATTTTACAATATTTATTCAGATCTTCTCTGAAGTTTAATATTTTAGTATTTTGAAATCATAGCTTTACTTTTTACTAATGACATTAAGTTTTAAATATCAGAATTATTATAATTAAATTAAATTTAATTAATAATATAAAAATTGAAAGTAATCATTTAATTTTTATAAAGATTAAGTGATCAAATAAAACAGAATAATATTCACTTCAAAAACAACTATCTATTTTTAATTCTGATATCATCAATTACTTTATTACAAAATTTTATAATTTTTGAGTTTCTTCATTTTCAATACTATTTAATAACTTTGGATTAATTTTTCGAATATTTTTGCTACTTTACTTTAATTTCCATCTCTTATAAGGATATTTAAAACCTTCAATTAAAACGCAAATATTAGTTTTTTTTTAATTAGATGTTATGTGGATTAATCTGTTAAATGACTATTGCAAATCATTCAGTAGTGATGAATATGATAAATTTTCGAAAAATGAAAAATTATGCTTCTTCTAAAAAATATTTTTTTTGTTGAGACTTTCCCTGAATAGTTATTGGGATGTATAGTTAATGATCCTGATTATTGGATTAAATAAAAAAATTACCACGCAAGTTGTAATAAATAGAGATGAAAGCATGTAAAGAAAAAACCCTAATATAGTACCTACAAATATGTTGTTTAATTAAGCTTAGAAAGTATTAAACATATTCTTAAATTCCATCTGATATTTAGATAGTTTGCTTTACCTATAATATTTTATAAATTTTACATAATTAAAATCAATCCGGCAGCCTCCATGTTTTTTGTACTTATAAGCTCTTCTTCTTTTTAATCATATGTTTTTCTACATAAATATCCTTAATTCTTCCAAACAGTAGAGTTACAATTACTCTCTGTGTCTTTGCCTTATGCCTAATTTAAAATCTGCTCATAATCTTAATATCCTAGATTTGTAATATTATAATCATAAATTTTTGAATATTAAGTAACATTCAAAGAGCTTAATAATATTCTACCTGTAGGGTTTATTATTGTAAAGCTGACTTAATCATCTGAATAATTAAATTAGCTGAAATTAACATGAGAAGCAATTATTCCATCAAGTTAACCATTTAAATTTAATAAGCTATGGGTTTAAGCTATCATTAAGAGTTTCCAAGTCCAATGGATATGAGGCTCACTAAAATAAGTTAGATTATAATTATTATTTATAGCCAATTGTTCTAAATGTTGAACATACCAGATTCTGTCTTGAGGATTGTAATCACTAGATAAAAAAGAGCCAGGCCAAACTGTAAAGAAATGTATATCTTCTGATGAGGCTATCATAATATCAAAATCCTAATCTAAGAAAAGCACAGATTATGTTAAAAATGAACACAGATCTTTGAGATTTTATAGGACTTTATTCGATTTAGTATCTTTATAAATCATATAACAAAAAGATGCACTGTAAGCATAAACATCCAATAGATTTAACTCATTAAGACATTAAGTTGGTTTTTATAATGAACTTTGCATTATTTACTGAGTCATTTAATACAGAGTATTTACTTTAACAATTTGTTATTGACTTCTAAATAAGGTTTATTATACACGATGAATGTTATGAGACATCATTATTTTTGTCCATTTTCCAAATTATTTTTAAAAAACATTTTCTGATGTTTCCATATAGAAATCAGAAATATAATACATGAAAGAATAAGTTGAGAGAGCAATCAAACCAATTGTAAAAATTGAAATGGCAAATTATATCATACAGATTTGAGTTCTTAAATGCCAATCCTTCCAAAATTATTTACCCATAGTATTAAAATATTATAAAAAAAATTCTTTAAAATATTTAGTATAGCAGTCATAAATAAATAAATAAAGAAAGTCATCTTTTGGTTGATTTTTAACAAACCCAAAAATAAAGGGTTTCTAAAATAATAACCAATTATTTAATAACTATTAAATTATTTTATGCTTATGTTAATTAACTTTGAGGACAATTTTGTTAATTTTAATCATAAATATATAAAATTGAAAAATATATTATGCTAGTATAAAATATTCAATTTTCAAAAAAAGTCCAATCATCCAATTTATTTTTCTTGTTATTTTTGCTGAAAGTAATTTTTCTTGGTTCTTTTGGCTCATGTTTAAAAAGAGGTTTTGGTGGTTTTAATTTTCTATTGTAACAATCTTACCAATTAATATCAATAAACCAAGGGTGAGATTTAATTTCATTTGCATCTTCTATGCTTCCTAATCTTTTTTTTGGATCTCTTATAAGTAATTTAATAATTAAATCTTTTACTTCCTAACTTAAACTTTTAGGAATTCTTAATGGAGCTTTTTTAATATTTTCTTTAAGAATTTCTTTTTCAGAATCATAATAAGGAGGAGCTCCAACAAGTAGTTCATAAATAAATATTCCTAGCATATACCAATCAACTTATCTTCCATGTCCTTTTTTCATTAACATTTCAGGTGCTAAATATGCCAACGTACCACAAAAAGATTAATTTAATATTTCTTCATCAATACCTGATTTAGAAAGTCCAAAATCAGTAAGCAAAGCATGGCCATCAGTATCTAAAACAATATTTTCAGGTTTTAAATCTCTAAAAATAATTCCTTAAGAATGTAATGCTTCAAGAGCTAAAGTAATTTCTGCTGCATATATCCTAACTATATTTTCAGGATATGAGTTTAATAATTCTAAATGAGTTGCTAAGTCTCCTCCTGAACATAAATCCATTACAAGATATAATCGATCATTTGTTTAAAAAGCCCAATTTAATTTAACTATAAATGGATGATTCATCATTTTTAAAACATCCTTTTCAATTTAAGCAGATTTTATTATATTTGAAGTATTCATATCTTCTTTCTTTAAAATTTTCATAGCATATTATTTTTTTGGTACTTAATCAACTTTTTCTACCAAATAAACCTCACCAAATCCACCTTCTCCTAATTTCTGATAGAATTAAAAAGATTCTGGTCCTATTTTATTTTATTATATTTCTTAAAGAGTATTTAAATTATTTCCTTTGATTGAGATTCTATAAAATGAAACAGCTAAATTGACAAGCTTATTCCAAGTAGATCTATTATCACTTGTGATTATTGACATTCTTTATTCATTATTCTCTAATAAATCTTCTGGATTTAATTAAAATCTTTTAGTCTCTTGTTATGCTAATTTTAATAATTTTTCAACATGATCCCTTCTACTATTTTGTAATATTAAATTCTATTCTTTTATTACTGTTCTTGAATAAGTAAAAGTATTTAAAGTTATTCCATATATATCAAATACTTCTATTACATTAATATCTGAAGCTAATTCTATAGGAGTTAAATTTTAATTATTTTTTGATTAATAATTTGCTTTTTTTGTTAGTAAGATTTAACAAACTTTATCATTTCCATACTTAGAAGCTATATGTAATGGTGTATTTAAGTCAGAATCTTGTTCATCTATATTAGCTCCAAAGTTTATCAATAATTCACAAATGTCAGGGTTATTTTTTATTGATGCAATATGTAATGGAGATTTTTTATCCAAAGAACACATCTTTGGATTGGCTTCTTATTTTAGTAACAATTAAACTAGCTCTAAATTATTAAACGAACAAGCAAAATGAAGTGGAGTCCAATCATCTAAGTCTCTGTAGATTTTAATTATTTATACTTAATATTGAAATCAATGTAGATATCAGGATTAGCAATTAATTCCATGACTTTATCCTTTTCATTTTGCTAAACAAGCTAAAGTAGCTACTCACTGATTTCTCTACTTTGTTTCCAATAATTTTTCCATGCTACTTCTTTTAAATCTATTACTGGAATTCTCGAATTCTCTAAATTTCTACAATCAATCTTAAGTCCTGTGTCTTTATTTAATATAAAAAACTCTTAATCATCCTCAATCTCAGTTTTTTTTGATAATTAGACAGGTATGTCTTATGAGTATGCTTTTTAAAAAGCATCAAAACATTCTTGTGAAAACCTAATTCAATATTTTATATTACTATTAATTATTTGGAAGAGTAAATTCCTTCTAATCAAACAAATCAAACTAATCTAATGATTCTGAAACATAACGAAACCTTTTTAATTTTTGCTAAAATTAATTTCTCCCAATTACCTCTTTAGACATTCAAAAAAGAATTCTTAATTCAAGAGAAATAAAGTTATTTAAATATAAATAAATTTGAAAGAAAATTAATATTACTTATATACTTGTTCATAAGAAAGGAAAAATTGTTGAACGTTAAAGAATTATATTAAAAAGAGTTAAATCTTACAATAAAACATATGAAATTCAATTTTATTATTCTTATATTTTGGTAGTTAATCCTTTTGCAGTCGATCTGGCAGCCATCTAATTTAATTTAATTTTATACATTTTATGAAGCCATCATTACAGATTTTTAAGATGGGCTCGTAGTCATTCTTCCAAGAGCATCTTATTAAAACTTTCTTCTTAGTTCCTCAATTTCTCTTTATTTAGCAGCTACTTCATCAAATTTCTTATTTAATTATTATTCCATATTCCCTAGCTGTCTATTTTTTGTTTCCATATCATCATTTCTAAATAATAAATATAAAATCTTACAATCTTTATATCTCTCTCTTTTATTTAATTACTAATTCACTATTTTATTAGTCTCTTTGTTCAATATCTTTCAATTAATTCACCATTCTTTGTTGTTCTCTTTTCGAATTTTCTAATTCTGTGCTCATATTATCATTCTCTTTTTTTTTATTAACTAATTATTATTAAGCATCTTAATAATTCTATTTATATTATGATAATTCTTCTGATAAATGATAAATCTCTTTGCTATTAGCTTATTATTATGTTTCTAATTTATTAATCAATTATTCTTGATCCATGGATTTATTTTTAAAGTGTTCAGCTTCTTTTTTTACTTAATCATAATCAGACAAGGGAACATTATTTTATTTAAACTATCTTTTCCATTAATCCATTTCTTAAATCTTACCTTCTCTGTCTTATCTAGTTTCCTCTAATTCATCATTTAATTCAGCAATATCTTTGGTTAATTATTAATTCTAAGCATATTACTCTTCTAATTAACTTTATAGTTCAGCAATCTATGTTTCATTACTTTAGATTTATTCTTCATTTTAAAGAATGATTGACTAATTCTCTTCAATTTATTTATGAAAGTTAACTATTTATTCTTATTATTTTCTTATTTATTCAGTAGTTGTAATTGTTAATGATTTTAAATCCTTCTCTAATTTATCTCTTTCTATTGTCAGTTTTTAGATTTAACATTATTATTAATAATTTTGATCATCTAATTCCTATATTCTGGATCTTTATTAAGCCATCTTATCAAAAATGATTTTAATTTACTATTCTAATTCATTTTTCTCATTAATAAATTAAATTCTTTGACTTTCTAAAATATCATCTCGTTCTCTCACATCGCTTGATAATCTATCAACTTCCACTTAATATTCTTTTAATTTTTATTATAAATCTGATAATTAATTTTTTTAAATTCTTAAAGTGGTTTAATTATAAGTTTTTTCTTTATTCAATTAAACACTTAAATTTTCAGACAAAGTAGATTTTTATAACAATTCTTATCTAGTTTCTTCCAATTATTCTGACAGAGTAGCATTTTACTCTTCAATTCCTACAATTTTGACCTATAAAGATTTAATACTTGATTCATTCATTAACTTCTCTTGTAATTATTTAAAACCTTAACTTTAATGCTCATTTTCCATTTTTTCAATTTCTTAAGTCAATTCAACGATCTTTTATTCATTCAACTGTTGAGTTTATAGAAATTCCTGTTCTTTTTATCTCAAAATTCCTTTACTTCTTTCCATCATTCTTTATTCAAATTCACTTCTTGTTTATTTGAAATCATCTAATTAAGATTTATACAATTGTAATGCTTATTCTGTCTAAAGTAATCGTTATTGAAGAACTATACATTACTCAGATGATTAATTTGAATTATTTGATAAATCTTTTAGTTTTTTTTCTTTTTCAATCAAATCCTACTCTTATTATTGATTTGTATGAGTCAATCGTGATATCTCTTTCTATTATAATTAATTAACTGATCTTAATTCTTAAAGTTATTTCCAAATTTCTTGATTTTGTTATGTCAAATTCTGAATAGATTATTCATGTTATTAATATAATTTACTTGTTTATTCTTCTGCTTATTAGTCTTTACTTTAAACAAGATTTGTTATACTTTCCTCATATTGTTTTTCTAATCTAATATACTTTTCTTTAGAAATATCTAAATCTGTAGTTGTTCTGCTTAGTTCTATTTGAAATTATTCTATTTTTTTCAAAAGTAATTGCTCTTATAATTCTTTATCAGCTATAATCTATTTTTCTATAGTTTATTATTTCTAGAATAATTCAATTTGTTATTTTTGTTCATTTATCTTAATTATATATTCTTAAATTTATTATTTACAATCTAATAATTATTCCTATGTTTATTTTTCCAAATGCTCATTCTCTTTCAATCTTTCAGTTTATAATTTGCTAAAATTATCATATTATTGTTTTTGATCTTGCAATTTAGAATTCATCTCTATGATGTACTTATTCATAAGTGACTGTTAGAGCTATTCATATTATTCTCTAAATTTAAACGCAAATGTATTACTTTAGATTTTCAAGAGATGATTGATATTATTTATTTTGTTATGCTAATTTTTACTTATTTAGCTCATTCTCTTGTAACTTAAATTATAGATCTCCCTTAAGTAATTCATTTTCTTTCAAAAGTCTTAGATATTCATTATCTTAGGTTTCCTTCATCTAATTCTGAAGATGTAGGTTTTTGTTTGCCTTTTCTAATTCTAGAAGTGTTTCATCCAGTTAGGATTGCAATTCTAATATTACAAATATTTTTAAACTTGCGTTTATCTTATCCATTTAAAGTAGTTTTTCCTTATACTTAAGGTCTTATAATTTGAGGGTCTGTTCAGACTACATACGAGTTCTAGATAATGGAGACACGGATGGTCGATTTGGAGAATGGTCCATTCTGTTAAATTATTTTAAAAATAATCGTAAATTGGATAATGAATAAAGTTATTTGATTTAATATGGATTTTAAATCATTATATATAGAGATAAATTAATTTATTTTAAATAAAAACTTGCTTATGATTTTTTTAAAATAAAATCAATTTTTGATTGTTTGTAAATCATGATATCTTTTAATATATCTGAAAACTTTATTTATTTATTTAATAAATTCTTCTAAAAAAGACTTTCATGAATGTTTATTTTTTCTATTAAGACCTTCATTTAAAAGGAACTAACTATCCCAAGCATTGTAGATTTTTTGACTTTCTTTTAAGGTTGGGTTATTTTTAACAAAACTATATGAAATATTTTTCAATTAAAAATTTTAATTAATTCTAATTTTATGCATCTAAATAAGAGAATTCAAACTCTAAATATTTTGAATATATTTATTCTACAAATTACATAATAACATCTATCAATTTAATCTATTTATTTTTTATGTATAAACTTTTCTCATATATAATTATAATCAATGTAGTCACATGCTGTTTAATAATTTTTATTCAAGTCTTTTGATAGTTTCAATCTAAGATTGTAAAAATAATTAATACATATTATTTTATTTATTATTCTTAATTTTCTATGATTTTACTTGTTCATTCTTCTACTAATAGTCTATGTTTTTTCTCAAGTGCCAACTATCTTTACAATTGATTATCAATGTATGTAGATGGTTGATAAAAATTAGTTGAACTATTGAATTCTAAAGATTATAGTTTAATTACTTTATCACAATTATCATTCAATTAATTTTGCCATTAATTCAAAAGTTCAGAATTATTACAAGTTAATTTATTATGTTATATTTGTTCTCCAATAAATTTTAGATTTTTTGAGATTTTATTTATCTAATCCTCTTCATAATTTCTCAATCGAATACTTACATCTCCATGTTCAGCATTCATGTCTAAATTTTTGTTTTTCTTACTGATTATTTCGAGAATCATTATTGGTTTCCAATTTAGATAATTGAGATAAAGTATTAAAATGATATTTAGTTTGAAATGGGATTGATGGGATTGTTTTAGAAGGAGAATTGGGGGTGCCTGCTCTAAATATTTAAAATTCGCAGGTTGTTTTAGATACTTTATGCTATAACTTTTATTGTTTTGCTTTAGTTGATAGCAATTAAGAAATGATTGATTGCTGATTAGAAAACATTCCTATAGATACTTTAGAAGTGTTGAAGTTAGATTTAATTGTTTTATTTGAGCATTTTTAGTTTAACATATTAATATTTATATTGTTGTTTTAATTTATTTAAATGTCATAAGTATTTGTTGATTTCAACATTCTCCCATTTCGAACATGGATAAATATGTTTAATCTTTTCATATCTAAATTTCTCAATAATTTTGCATGTTGTGGACTTTTCAACCTCTACTTCATATTCTTATCCTTTTGCTTAAACCTAATTAAAACCAATTTAAGCTTCATAGCAATACCTTTCTGCGATCGAATGAAAAGATTAATGTACCAGATCTGTTTTTAACTTTGTGTGCTATTAGATCATAAAAACTGAGCTTATGTGGTAAAATCATTCCATTAGCAACTATTATCAAATCTTCTGGACTAAATTCTGTTAGCTAATATTCTTATAATCAACATAATATACAAATCCAAAATCTCTTATGATTTCTCTTCTAGCCATCTCAAGGAATTCCAAAATAGTCATTTTTTTTTTTATTCTTAATGATTTTGAACATGTTGAAGCATCCCAATATTGAAATTAAATATCAATTAAAGAATCTTTTTATGATTCAACTTCCTTTTAATATTATTCTAATCAAAATTTCATCCAACACATACCTGCCAATTATTTAGTCATTTCTTCTATTTTTCTTTCTCTATTCATATCTGGTAAATAAGTTGTGTCTACTTATCCATTCTTACCATAACCTTTCTATGGACTGCCAGCTTCATCTAAATCAAATGAAAGTAGTGTAGTCTTTTTCTAGTATTCTTCTTTTCTTTTTTATTTTAATTCTAATTTTCGTTTTGTTTCTTCCTCCTACTTTTACTTCATGTCTTGCATCACAAGATTATCAATATTCTCTCTCTTTCTCTTAAATTCCTCACGAGTAACTAAACCAACAGTCTTTTATTTAAATTCATCTTCCAAAAAATCTTTATTTGATTAACCAAAACGCTCCTAATCACAGAGATTTCAATACTCCTTACTTTCATATTAGTTGGTGCCCTCTTTAACGACATCATCTCTTAATCCTTTTTCAATTTCTCAATCTCATTAATGTCTATGTCTTTATACATTTAATATTTATATATAATTCAGTGATTAATACAATGTTTAGTAGGCAATCCCATTAATAATAATTGTATACATTATTAACATTTATTTTTATTACTTCTATTCTCTTTTTGCTATGTATTTTTTACTATTCTAACTGGTGAACTTTTTTTCTTTTTCGTACATAATTATTATCTAACTTCAGCCTTAATTTATTAGATATTGACTCTATTTAATTTAGATGAAATTACATTTCCAATGCTTTATGACTAGACTTTAGTTTGGCATTTTTTTCAATTTCTTTAGTTTTTTAGTCAAATCGAATCTTAGCTTTAACATCATTTAGATCCTCTTGAGTAAATATTTAAGATTGTATTTTAATGTTATCAGTTTTTAATTTGTTATNACTTCATATTCTTATCCTTTTGCTTAAACCTAATTAAAACCAATTTAAGCTTCATAGCAATACCTTTCTGCGATCGAATGAAAAGATTAATGTACCAGATCTGTTTTTAACTTTGTGTGCTATTAGATCATAAAAACTGAGCTTATGTGGTAAAATCATTCCATTAGCAACTATTATCAAATCTTCTGGACTAAATTCTGTTAGCTAATATTCTTATAATCAACATAATATACAAATCCAAAATCTCTTATGATTTCTCTTCTAGCCATCTCAAGGAATTCCAAAATAGTCATTTTTTTTTTTATTCTTAATGATTTTGAACATGTTGAAGCATCCCAATATTGAAATTAAATATCAATTAAAGAATCTTTTTATGATTCAACTTCCTTTTAATATTATTCTAATCAAAATTTCATCCAACACATACCTGCCAATTATTTAGTCATTTCTTCTATTTTTCTTTCTCTATTCATATCTGGTAAATAAGTTGTGTCTACTTATCCATTCTTACCATAACCTTTCTATGGACTGCCAGCTTCATCTAAATCAAATGAAAGTAGTGTAGTCTTTTTCTAGTATTCTTCTTTTCTTTTTTATTTTAATTCTAATTTTCGTTTTGTTTCTTCCTCCTACTTTTACTTCATGTCTTGCATCACAAGATTATCAATATTCTCTCTCTTTCTCTTAAATTCCTCACGAGTAACTAAACCAACAGTCTTTTATTTAAATTCATCTTCCAAAAAATCTTTATTTGATTAACCAAAACGCTCCTAATCACAGAGATTTCAATACTCCTTACTTTCATATTAGTTGGTGCCCTCTTTAACGACATCATCTCTTAATCCTTTTTCAATTTCTCAATCTCATTAATGTCTATGTCTTTATACATTTAATATTTATATATAATTCAGTGATTAATACAATGTTTAGTAGGCAATCCCATTAATAATAATTGTATACATTATTAACATTTATTTTTATTACTTCTATTCTCTTTTTGCTATGTATTTTTTACTATTCTAACTGGTGAACTTTTTTTCTTTTTCGTACATAATTATTATCTAACTTCAGCCTTAATTTATTAGATATTGACTCTATTTAATTTAGATGAAATTACATTTCCAATGCTTTATGACTAGACTTTAGTTTGGCATTTTTTTCAATTTCTTTAGTTTTTTAGTCAAATCGAATCTTAGCTTTAACATCATTTAGATCCTCTTGAGTAAATATTTAAGATTGTATTTTAATGTTATCAGTTTTTAATTTGTTATCTTCTATTTATGAAAATCTTCTAGTCATAAGAGATCGTTTACTAGATTATGTATATCTAGCCCAACGATCGAGTGTCTTACAATCCTCAATACTGTTGTCTTAATGATGTTGTTTCTATAGGAATTCATCAAAATCTTGAAGAATGGTATTCAAAGGGAGGATAGTTTATTTCTCCGTTATAATTTTGTTATTCATTAATTAAATGCACAATAATACACAAGCTCAAATCGTAACAACAGCCTAAAATAGTAGGCTATTAGAATTAGTCTAGAACAGTAGAAAAGTTGTTCATGAAGGTTAAATCTAGATTTGTTATATGCCCGATGCTCGTATTTATTTTGTGATGATAAACACCTATTGTCAAACAATATTCCCCAGTACTCCTTGGGTGATTTTAAAGTCTGAGAAAGGGTTTTCACTTCTTTATCCTAATGCAACTGCAGGTATAAATAGAAATAGTATTTAGGATTAAATGGAATATTCATTTAGAAAGGATAAGAAGGGGATGCTTTTTTAAATACACTTTAGTAATTAGTATAAATAATTCCTTTTGAAAATGCTATCCAAATACCTTAATTCAAATAAAGTATTCAACTTCATTGCAAAGATATCGACATAAACCCATTAGAAAATAATACTACAGCAGTGGGTTATATAAAGGCTGGAGGAGAGTAAGTTTAATAATTGATTTATTATTAAGAGCTTTGAAAGAAGGTTTTACTTGGTTAGGAGATAAATTAGCAAAAGGAGTAGCAGCAGGAGGAGAATATATAAATTCGAAAGTAGAGAAAAAGGAGGAAGTAGAAGTGAAACCAGAAACAAAGATAAAGGTTGAAACCGCGAAATCAATGTTTTCACAGACTGTAGATGTTACTGGAGCATATCTAAAATAATTGTTTACTCCAGTAGTTTAAAAAGGATCTGAGATAAAATAAGATATTAATAAATAGATTGATAGTTCAGATAGTTAAGGTAAGAAGATATGTTATAATTAATAAAGGATTGAAGGAAGGTAGAGAAATATTTGTTGCTAGTTGGGATGCCATGGGAACAGCTTTAACTGGTTTAGGATCTGCATTGTCTAAGGTTGGTGATTAAATAGGAACAAATACCAGAACTATTGTTGAAAAGAAATATGGATAAGATGTGTCAGAAACTTATTTAGGTCCAAAGCAATAACAGTAATAATAATAATAATAATAATAATAATGATTTGCACAATAATATATTATTATCATTCTTCCACTGCTTATTTGGCTTTCCATTCTTTCTCTTATTAAAGTGCGTAATCAATTGTACGCTAATTAAAATGATTAAAAATTTTACCTTCTTATTGTTGTATTGATATACCCAAAGCCATGGATAATAGCAAATACAAAATATTGCAAAGGAATCTATTTGTTAATTTATTTATTTTACTTGCAAAAATGTAGACTTACCAAGCCCAAGGATTGTCAGCCACATTTCTACCAAGAAATCTCCAAAAAGCTTTGACTTTTGGATCGCTATTCAAATGAGATACTACTTAAGGTTTTCTGACTATTATAAATAACATTCTATACCAAATGATGGCTTCACTGTTTATTAATAAGGTATAGTCTTAAACCATTGAGGAGTATAGTCTTTAACATTATTATAGATTAGACGACCGTATACCATATCCAATTTATTAATTTAATTAATATGATTGACATCTAAATTATTAAAGAAGGAATAGGAGACACACCTAGATTAAATGAAGAAGTCTTCTGTAATTATACAATTTTTATTTTAGTTTTTTTTATTGCTCATAATAATAATGGAGAATTACTTACCGGTTCATAACATACAGCTACTAAAACAATTATTGGAAGAGGATGGATTAAATCAGAAATTGAAGATGCTCTTATTAAAATGAAATAAGGAGAACGCAGTATCATCAAAATATATCATTCACCTGCTACCAAAGTAATTATGTACAATATAAAAGGAATTTTATGATCAATATGAAATTGAGATTATTAGGATTGGAAGAAAGAAAGATAACCCATGGCATTTAGAAGGACAAGAAGTTTTTGAAAAAGCTTTAGAATTAAAAGGCTTAGGCAATTCTGATATTAAACAATAAAAATATCTAGAAGCTTAAAATAAATATTTGGAATCACTAAATTTAATTAAAACAGAATACTGTGATAAGGAATTAGAACTATAAGGATAATTAAGATCTAATCTATCTCTTACACATCTAAAAAACAAATAATTTGAACTATGTATCAAATAAGCATCAACAGTCTTAAAAGAATAACCTTAAAATGTTAAATTATTACATAGAAGAGCTGTAGCTTCAATTTAAATAGATGATTTCGATAGTGCTAAGTAAATTTTATTGTAATAGTAGATCTGATTTGAAATTAGCTAATTAATTGGATCCATAAAATGAAGAAGTTATAAAGGAGTTGCAGAGTATTGGAGAAAAAGAAAAATAGATAAGAAAGAAATAATAAGATAGAGCAAAGAAAATGCTTTTTGGAGAATGAACATTAATAATAATATATTGATATTAATACTTTTTACAATATGTTAATCAGTTCTAGTGACTTTGTTAAAACTTGTTTATTTTTTCAGAAATCTATAGAAATTGATTGTACAGCATTTGAATGTCAATTTTAATTAAAATTTTTTAATTAATTTATAATTAAGTGGTATAAAAAGGATGGTTATTATCAATGTGCAAATTATCTGTCAAAACAAATATAATACATTATTTGTTCAGATCTACTTACATTAGTTACATGCAATAATATATAAGTAGATGGTTATGAATGTGTTTGGAAGAGCATAAGTAATGAATATGTAACATTTTAAATGAATAATTATGATGATGCTTCAGATTTAAGTGATTTTGAGATTCAACAGTATTCTTAGCTTCAATAAAATAATTGCACTGGGAACACCTTTTTGGAATAAGGTAAAAAATTAAAGTATTTAATGTGAAGTATCTGCTAAACTAATTTTATTGAATTTAATTTTGTTTATCATTTCATTCTGAATCAATTAAAATATAAATATTAATTTTTAACAATCTATTTGATGAAATAAATTGCAGATAACGACAACTACTCAATTGATGGTATCAATTTACATTTCTCATTTCTAGGTTGGAATTTTGATGAAAAGTCCAGATTCATTAAATATACTAAGTTTGTTATTCCTTTTGCTATCCTAATCAACATTTACCTTATTGTCATTACTTTTTTATATTAGACTATCTATCCATAATATTTCTATGAATCATTACTTTACTCTTCAATCTATGGAATATCTCTTTCAATCTTCAATCTATTTTGGAAATAAGAAAGTATAATTATTTTTAACCTTTAGAGGATTCCATCTTCAGACAACTATCTTTTGTTTTAAATGGCTTAATGATTATATTAACACTCTCATAGATCATTTTCTTTATTGCTTCCTTTGATGCTGATTACAATTACAAAATTGCATAAAATTCAACTTATGTCAATCATATATAGGAATGGCAACAATTTACACTTTTATTTCGTTCCATCATTTTAGCCCTATTTCTTCTTCTAATATCCTATCTATACATCACATATAGTCTCTATCTTTGTTAAGATTAATAAAATCTTATGATAGCTTTGCATATTTATAATACTCTATTTTTTATTACAGGAATAGCTATCAATCACTATTCTAAATTAATTGGATTCTAATTAATCTTGTTAATTTTATTAATCTTAACAAGTTCATTAATATATAGTGCTAATCTAAAGAAAATTAAAATATCTTATTTCACTATTGGAGCTATTTTACTCTTTTATCTAATACTTAATCAATACTAACACTTTTTAAATGTGAGAATTGCTAAATCAAATAAAATATCAGTCTTGAATGATTGTGCAACTCATTTAAGAAATATACATATGGATTTTTTATTTTCCAATACTAATTGTAAAAAATATGTTGAGAATACAATTTGCACTGATGATCAAAAAGCCTTTATGTGGGAATTCGATACTAAAATACCTATTTCTTAGAGAGATACTAAATTAGGATGTTTGAATATTAATTGTTGTGGAATTGTTGCTGATAGATCTAAATTCAAATTAAATGTCATTACTTTAGTACATTAATTAATTGGATTTGCTACTCTAACCCTCATTATGTACATATCATAGAAACCTCCATTATTAAATTCTGAGATTAAAATTTATGATTTCATTTTTGGAAGTATTCATTTATTTTTAATAATCTTAATAATCTTTCTTTTTAGTAAAGAGATTAATTAAGATATAAATAAATTTAATTCACTATCAACTACTAAATATTTAGATTTACCAAAAGGATGCAATTTGATCAAAAATTTTGTTACTCTTAACTGCTAATTTATATATTGCAACAACATAGAATTAATAATCGAATCTGATTTCCCTCTTTATTTTTATAGATTAAGTAATTAGGAAGAATTTTATGTTGATGATTCAAATTTAACAGAATTAAAATTCATAGGCAAATTTGATGCCATTTAAGATTATATCTATCAAAATGTATATCATTTTTTTTATATTTAGATCTATTTGTGTGTAACTAGTAAAACAGTAAATATAGATTTTACAGTAAAAAAATCTACTAGGCTGCTCAAAGAAGTCACATAAAGTATTCCAACTTAAAATTTAGACATACTTAAAAAATTATAAGTAGTTAAATTTTGGTAATTAGAGTGTTAGTTAAACATCAATTCAAACTTCACTTTAATATTACTTAATCCAATCACTAATTTTGAATATATAAGGATTCAAAATTAGAGCATCTTAAATTTTGTTTAAGAATAATCTTATATATTAATAATAAATGCGAAAGATTATATTTCTTACGAACAAAATATTATTATAAATAAGAATACTTTAATAAAAATAAATCTCATTTAATAATAGAAATAACTATCAATTATTTTGTAGGGATCAAAATAATCTATATTAGGTACAACATTTGCTACTAGTATATATAAAGAATACACAACTTCGAAATGGTTCGGATCTAATAATTTTATGAGCTTAGAATAAATAGATGATACAACTTAATTAATAAAAATAAATAATGTTGATTATCCTATTTTAGTTTTTATAATAAATCCCAATTATGATGCATTATTGACAATTTATAATGAAGATCAAATATTATACAAATCGTATGCCAATTAATAGAACAATACATAATCAGTTTTATGTTTATAAGGTAATAAGATTAATTAATTAAAATCGCAAACAATTAATAAATTATTGCCTAATAGTCTTATTTGTAAATGATTACTATATAATATTTGAATAAAAATTTATTAAATTTATTTTTATATTATATTATTTTTTTGAAAATCGTGGTTCTAATTTAGATAGAAGAAATCAAAATGGTTTATTGATTAAGTCCTTGAAAAATTTGGCATATTTTTTAGAATTTTTAATTAGATAAGAAAATAATTAGAGCCATTTTGAAAGTTGATATTGGAAATTAATTATTAAAATTATCAAATAAATGATTAATTAATAATCTGATAAAAAATTTGTCGAAATTCTGACACCAATTTTATCAGATTAAGAAGAGGAGAATTCGAATGAGAAACAATACTAGACTTTGTAAATGAGTATTTAATAATAATAGATAACTTTTGTATATGTCTCCTAATTTATTGATTAAATTATGGCCTGATATCAAGAAGTAATTAGGATTTTTAAAGTCAGCATACAATAATTTGACTCCTTTTGGTGTGTAATAAATAATAGAAGATATTTACTGTTTGCATTTCCCAAATGTAAAATATTTGAATTAAACTAAGCCATAATAAATTAAGAACAAAATTAATTTCAAAAATTTCTCTCTAGCTTTAGATGGATTTCCATAAAAAAAAGAATTCTTATAAAAAATACCATAAATAGCTGATTTGGCTCTAAAATTAGATTATGAGTTTAAAGATTATCTGAGCATGCTTTTAGATAGAGTAGAGTTAAAAAGAATATAAGTAGCAATATTATTGGCAAACATGTTTTTATGTTCGATGCACTTATAACCTGATTTTAGAGCATTGCCTCCAGTTTTTGTAATGGGAAGATTATTTAATAGATAAAGTGAAGATAGTGCATAAAATAATAATAAGATTTAAAAGATAAGATGTTTATTTTATTATTTTTTGCATGTATTTTCACCAGATTTTAAAGAATAAGAAAAAATAGTATTTATAAGAAAAAAGCAAAATTTGACAATAGGTAGTAATCCATTATGTGAATTTATATATTGTGAGTATGGATAGATGGAGAATGCATCAGATTTTTATATAGTTGATTTTGCAAATAAAAAAATAGGTGGTGGAGTATTAAATTTAGGATGTGTGTAAGAAGAGATATTATTTTTATGTCATCCTGAAGCATTAGCATCATTATTAATAACAACAGAAATCCAACAAGATGAATCAATAATTATAGAGAAAGTTAATAGACTTATAATGTATGATGGCTATAGAGATAAATTTGAATGTAAGGGTACTGTTAAATAAATTAGAAGTGTGAATTTTATTGTAAGAAATTATTATTATTATGATAGTGTATAGATGCTGGAGATTATAGTGATAATTACTCTTATTAATATAAAAATTACAAAAGAGAATTGATTAAATCATATAGTGGGTTTTATGGAATCCAAAAGATATGTACTGGAAAATGGGGTTGTGGAGCTTTTGGAGGTGAATGGCAATTAAAAGCTTTAATACAATGGGTTGCTGCATCGTTAGGAGGATGCCAATAATTACTTTTTATTAATGATGAATCTTACCCATTCAATTAGGCATTCAATTTGATAAAAAGCCTAAATTCTAATTAATTATGGGAATAAATATAAAAATATTGTTAGAAAAAATAACAAGATGAATTAAGCAATATAAATGCTATTGATTTTATATTGTCTCAAAAATAATTTTGATTTTAAAGTTATATATATACTCTAATATATTATTAATTTGTCATTGAACATAAAACTGTTAAACTTAGTTTGATGTTTATTTTTCAATTCATGAATTTAATTGATTCTAATATTGCATGTTTCAGTATTCAAATAATAGATATAGATGATACATCATTTAACGCTTTAATTTTTATAAGTGTATGAAATTATTAGAATATTTGAAAATTCCGTTTATCTAGAATTCATATTTATTTTATAATAAAATCTATATATTGTAATAGTAAAATAAAAATATAATTTAATCATTTTTATTTAAGTTTATTTAGACTTCCACTCTTTACCATATCATAAATTTAATTCTTTAATGGTTGTTAACACTAAAGTATTTTATTATAACTTAATATTATGCCTGTTATCAATGCAACAGAATCTTATAATGCTAATCCTGAAGCTTTGCTTTAAAACAATCCCATATTATGCTCTGAACACAATTATAAGAAAGTATCTTGGAGTTTACTATCTATATCAATCTCTTCATTTCTTAACACATTTTCTTTTAATTTAGCTAATTTTTTCGCCGTTTCTATAAAGTCCATAATGCACTAATTTTATTAATCAAATTTATTTTTATATAACATATTTAGTATTCTTCTCATTTCCTTAGAGTTATTTATTAAATTATATTCATATTTTTTTGTCATTGAACTTTTTATAACTTCAAATATATTTGTTATATTAGGAAACCCATTCTTTAATTTTTCCTAAAGAATTCTTAGAGATTCTTATCTTACTAAATCAATTGAACGATTTTCATCAACCATTCCTTCAGAAAACATAGAAATCATTATATATACAAAAACATTAGTATATTCTCTTAACGAAAAAGGAGTTGAATTGAAATTCTCTAGAAGATTCTTACAATTATCATAATCAGGATGCTTTGCAATAACATTTTTAAGATGCTCAATTGCTTCATTTTCAAAGTCTTATGTTTGCAATACTTATGCATATTTTAAATGGTATTTCTCAACATTTTCATTTAAATTAATAGCTTTTGAAAACATTACAACTGATTGTTCTAAATTTTATTTTGTATATAATAATTATCCTAGTTCAAAAAGTAACTCAGGATCTTAATCATTTATTTTTATTGCCTATTATAAATCTTAAATTGCTTCATCGAATTCTTATACTTATATTCTGGTTTTTGCTATTATTAATTTCAATATTTACCTCTTAATGTATAAAACTTAGGATTATCATGTTCCAATGCTATTGCTTGATCATATAATAATTTTGCTTCTTTAAAATTTCCTTGCTATTCCTATAATTGAGCCTTTTCTGCATAAAATCTTGCATTATTTGGTTTCATTTTTATCAATCTATCATACATATTTGTAGCAGGCTAAATATTATTATTATCTCTATATGCATTTGCAATTTTTAGCATTAAATCCTCATTCTTAGGTTTTAATTACAAAGCTGAATCAAAATTGGTTTTTGCAGAAAAGAATTATTATCCAAGCAAATGACAATAACCTTTAATGTTTCATAATTAATACCTTTTTCATAGAATATATCTGATTTTTCAGAAGCATCTTTTAACTATTTCAATATCATATCATAGCACAAAACTGCATGATCAAAATCTTTTATTTGAGCTAAGCAAAGAGCTATGCTTATATTTTATTATTTACCCTTATTTTTAAGAGCTATTATATTCTTTTAGTCGAAATTAAGACTTTTGTCAAAATCTTCAATTGCCTATGAATATTGTTTTTAATTCATCAAAGCCAATCCTCTGTAATAATGGATTGATTGATCTCCAAATCCTAATTAAATTATCTTATCACAACAATCACTAAGTTAATAATACAGCTATAAAGTTGAACTAATTTTAGCCATAATTTTTAGTGTTTTTATATCATAAGGATTTATATTAATAATCTAATTAAAATATGTCATGGATTTGTGTAATTAATTTATATTGTAAAGACACATCCCCATTCCATAAAGTGAATCCATATTATTTGGATCATATTCCAATACTTCTTGACAAAATTTCATTGATTTATCAAACTATTTTAATCCATATAATGCTTGGCCTAATATGACATAATATTATCAATTACTTTTACAATTTAATATTACTGATTTTATTCTTGGAATTTTCTAATCTCCTGCGTTATCTAAAAATTCAAATAGTTAATCATATTTCTTTTGACGTAAATATAAATTTGTGATAGCATTTATTGCCTCAGAATATTTTGGATCTACTTTTAGTGCTTCCTCATAATACTATAGACCTTATTCAAATTTTTACTGTCTTACAAGTAAATGGCCTAATATCAAATTAACAATTTACCATAATTTAGGAGAGCTGCTTTATCCTTATTTTTTATTTTCAAAGCATTCTAAAAATATGAATCAGCAATTTCAAAATTATTTAACATCAAATTTATAAAACCTACCCCAAAATTACCTTCAAATGATTTTTCATTCCTCTCAATCAATTTATTAAATATAACTAACGCTTCTTCATACTTTTTCTCTAATGTATAAATATTTCCTAATTTAATTATATTACTTATCTTACCCATTTCTGCAAGAGCATGAGAATGTTAAGAATCAATTTCAACAGCTGCCTTACAATAAAAAAGAGCCTAAGATAGATCATTTAGTCCAAGATAAGCCAAACCTAAGTTAAGGAATAATTTAATCAAATACCTTTAAAGTACAATGCATCAGCTACATTTGGTTGTTTCTCTAATAATTAATCTAAAATATCAATTGCTTCTTTATACTATTATTTCTTTAATAGTCCAAAAGCTAATTTATTAGGTAAAACATACAATTGCTTAATTAAGAGTTATTTTTAAAGGTAAAGATTTTTGGAGAACCATCAGCTTTCCCTATTGCTAAGATTATAAGAAAAAAAAAATTACAAGTTAATGATGATTAATTATGTTCCATCTAATCTACCTCATTTTTTTTTTCTTTTGTTGCTCCACTTCCCATTATTATTATTATTTATTAATGATATATAACTTCAAAGTCTAATCGAACTTTATAGAGTTAAAATTTAGAAAAAAAACGTAAAAAATATCAATTTTTATAATATATGTATCTAATGCATCAATTTACATTTTAAAGAAAAAATTATTGTAATTAGATCAAGATTTTTTATTTTTAATATTATCTCTAAATTATTAAATACTATGATCAAAAATAAATTAAATCCAATAATCAATGAGAAGATTTAATTAGCTTCTAAACAAACCTTTTTAATAATTTTCAACATATTATCTAAAGTGTGAATCACTTAGATGTATGGAAAAAAAACTATTATTAATATTTAGCTATTCCAATTAGTAAAATATAAAATCTAAAATTTATCAATAATATCCCATTCTTTTAGTTAAATAAGGGAATGATACAGGCCATACATAATATTTAGAATACATTAAACAATGTTCTTATAAAATAATTTGAATGATTCATAAAAATAGTGAAACTTAGAATGCATTTATGAAAATGGAATTTACTTTTATTGTTATAAAAATTAATTTTAGATTATAATAGTTTATCCAAATAGAAGTTTGTTTTAAAGTGTATTGGTTAATTCTAGAATTTATTCTAACAATGCTAAATATTTTAAATTGGAAGTAAACAATATATTTTTCATAAAAATTAATAGTTTTATTAAATGAATAATTCAAATACTTTTCTTTTTTTTCATAAGTTATCTATGATTAAATTATGACATATTAATTGTAAAGCAGCGACAATTAATAAGTATATAATAATTTCTCAATTTTTACTTAGTTATTATAGTGATTATCTTTTGTTAAATATTTTTCTATTTTCATATTAATAAATAATACTTTATGAAAGTACTAGAAATTAGTATTATAATTAAATCAAAATTTTAGATATATGTATAAAGACAAAAAACATTTAGGAAGTCATTAAAATTATTTTTAGAAAAAATGAATTCTTGATTGGATAAGATCCCATTTTATATATATGAACAATTTAAAATAAAATTAGATTTAGTGAAGAGTTGTGAATAGAAAATGAAAAAGTTTATTGGAATAAATCCAATTCATAATAAATATGTCAAAAAATAATAAATTAATAGATGTGGCTAAATATTTAAGAAGGTTTTTTTACAGAGTTTAGAATTTTTTTGAATATAGAATGTTAGTGAATTAGAAGCATATTCTATTAGTAGGAGGGAATAATAATCCATTGACACCCATGTTATATTAAAATTTTTATCAAAACTGGTAAATTGGACATTTGGGTTTATAGGATGAATTAGCGATAAAACCTAATTTTTAATTAGATTAGGAGGACGAATTATAAAAATTAGTTGATTAAGCAAAAATTCGTAGTGCTCATTATGATGCGATTATAATTTTGGAAGATAGGAATGGAATATAAGAATAAGAAGATAAATTTGAGATGCATAATATGTATAAAGGTGAAATGAAGAGAGCATTAATAGCTAGTCATTTAGCAACAAAAATACTTGCTTCAAATGGAATGGTTTGTTTTACTCTAGATTAGAGAAGTTATTTTGAATAAAAATAGGAATAGAATTAATCAACAGGAAAAGTGATGAAAGATTGTTAGATAGCACATTTATGTACAAATTTAGGAGAGAGAGAGGATTTAGAGACTGATACATTAGTAATTGGCGCTTTGATAGAAGATGATAAATTGAATGATATAGTAAAATACTTGAAATTATGGGCTGATGGAATAAAAAGACCAGCAAGTGGAACATTTGCTCATTTCAAATATAGTAGTCATAAAAGGCCAATTGTTTATCCTGAATTATTATGATGATGAATAAATATATGGTTAATAATAGATTAAAGAATACATATGCTTTGTTGATTAAACCTTGAGGTTGTTAGATTGACATCTTAATAAAGACAAATATATATTGAATATTTATAAAGACTGTAATTTAGAATACTTATTTTTGGTTTATTAAATATAATAATAATAATGCAAAAGGTTTTAAGGTTTCATTTTGGTGTCTTGTCAAGACCTAAATTACACATATATGATAGAGGTAGCAAACACACTCCATCAGGAATCAGAGCTACAATACATGGAGGTACTAGTTTTTCAGGAATATACATGGGTGGTATACTTGGAAATATTGGTTCTGAATTAATATTCCCTCATAATCATTAGTAAAAAATTTGATTGATCTATATAGATACAATTATGAAGATCATGTAAGAGAATTGAAAACAACATCTGGACCAGGTCAAAATTGGCTTTTACATGATATGAATTATGATAATAAAGAAATGATAGAATGGACTATGAAAAATTCAAATGTAGTAGTAAATTTACTTGGACCAAGAAAACATCTTAAAAATAGAAAAGATTTTGAATGGATTAATATAATAGTACCAAAAAGAATAGCAGAAGCTTGTGCTAAGAATCCAGGAGTGATTAGATTAATTCATTTTTCAGCTTGTGGTGCAAATCCTCATGCAGAATCTTTAGATCTTTAAACAAAATATATAGGTGAATAAGAAGTATTATATATAAAAATATATAGGTACTTAATGCTTTTCCAAATGCTACAATATTTAGACCTAGTGTAATGGTAGGAGATAATGACGATTTTGCTTATCACTGGCAAGTGTAAAAGAGATACTTTCATAATTTCAATATTGTTCCAGATAATTGTTAAGCTAAAAGATAACCTGTATTTTGATAAAATTGATAAAGATATTTGTTTAAGATGTTGCTTAAGCAATGTTAAATGCATTGAAAATGCCAGAAACAATAGGTTAGACATATGAATTGGGAGGACCTCATGTTTATACATTGTTAGAATGCTATGAAATGTTTCACAATATTGTTTAAAGACCTCCAAAATTGGCTCATGTTGATAAATAATTATTATTGAAGATTGGTATTAAGATTACTATTTAATTTATAGCTTAATATATTCCAAATTGGAAATATTTTAATATTGATTACATTCTGAAACACGGAGATGATATGATAGTTCAATAAGGATCTAAAACTATTGATGATTTATGTGTTAGACCTCTCTCACTTACTTAAGCTCTTTAAAATATATTCTGGGATATTTAAGCAAGATATGGAGGTTCAAGTGAATTATATGAGAGATGAATTTATATATCTAAAGTTATGGAAAATAATCATAATATCATTAATATTTCTATAGTATTTACAAGAGATCTTATTCACTTACTGGTTTAGTTAAATAATCAATCATGCCAGCTTCAAGGCATCTTTACTTCTCTTATAAATCTGAATATCCACTACATCCAACTATCAATTATTTCGGATAGGTATTTAAGATTTATTTTGTTGTTTATATTCCATTCATACCTGGCATCTCTACATCCATAAATACTATTTTATATCCTTAACAAATTTTACTACATTTCTTTTCCTAAATTCTGATCAAAGAATCCTTACCAGAAAGAACATATTCTACATCAAATTATTGTATCTATAAAACCTACTTATTTTATAATCCCATTAATATCTTTCGAAATGCATAACCATTAAAACAATCATCATCTACTATTAAATAATGACAACATTATTAAATTGTTTCCAACAGTATCTTCTAACAATCTTGATTAAAAGTAGTCACTTCATCAACTTCTTGATATTAAGGTGTAATCTATGGAATCTTAAAACTAGGAACTTTTTATTTGTTTGTTGGAACTTCCATCATTATATCAAAATAAAAAAAAGAAAAATGATTCTTTTAATCTTTCTTAGATTCAATATTCAATCCTGAACAACCAATATTTTATGCAATTTAATTACTTATAACTAAACCTAAACCTACTCCTTATTCATTTAGTTTCTTACTCTCCTCAGAATTTATTTTTGAAAATGCTTTAAATAAAACCTATTATTCCTCTTCACTTATTCCAATACCATCATCTCTTACTCCTATCCTTAATATTTAATTTGCTTGTAATTCTACTATCACTTGTATTCTAGTACAAGTAAATTTGAATGCATTACTTAATAAATTTACTATTATCTATTTTATTCTATTTTTATCAGATATTATAAATTTAGGTAGAGATACTTAATAATCACAATATAATTGTAAATCTTTTATTTTTGCTTTCAATGCAAACATTTTTATAGATTCTCCTATTAATTTCTCTAAATTAAATGGTACTTTTTGAATTTTAAACTTTCCATTTTTAATCTAAGCTAAATCTAACAAATCATTAGATAAATTCAACATATATTTTGAATTATCTAATGCTGCTTATAAATCTTCACTTATTTCTGCATTTCTTTGTATTACTTTTTATTATAAAGCACATTCAATCATTTATATTATGCATCCTAATGGTTATCTATATTCATGACTCACAAATGAAAGCATTTTAGATTTTTAAATATCATAATCCTTCAAATATCGAATCTTTTAACGATGAGTCACATCTCTACAAATTATTAATATATTTTTCTCTTTCGTTAAAGTCAATTTGAATTCCATCAACTTATCAGTATCTTATCTTGAATAAGCTAAATTCTAAGATAATTTTATTGGTTTTTAATTATCTAATTAATTAAAATCTATATGAGTATTCACTGTAATCGAATCTTATCTTCTTGTTTTTAATATTTTTTCTAATAATTCTTTCATGCTAACAGTTTAATTTCTCTCATACAATTAAATATCAGCCAATGGCTACTTCAATGAACAAAACATTAAATCTCTTACTGGAAACAACGATTTACTTAATTTTGAATTTGAAAGATTTCCAAGTTTTTACTGGACAGAATCTCTCCTTGAATTAAAATCTTCAGCAAAATCTTAATTTTATACATGTAAAGATTATAAGTTTTCCAAGATAAATAAGATGTCTATCTCTTATTCTTTTCCAAAAAGAATTCTTGTAGCATTATTCATGTATGATATTTTATAAATGTGATTTTATTCATCTAAAACATTTAATACTATCAAGCCTTCTGAAAAATATTCTAAAGAATTATAAATTATCTCTGGATTGATATATTGTTATTAAATGTTACTAAAATCATCATACCCTCTATGATACCCTTCTTTTGACATATCTTATGAAGGTTGAGAAACTATTGAGAATGCTCTTTTAGCTACTCCATCTAACTTATTTACTGTACCAGTATCAACAGGTTAAGTAGTTATTTATTAAATTCTTTATCTTTTATTCTCCTGAAAAATTGCATTATCAATGATTGACATTAACAAACAGAGAATTAATTATGGAGATTCAACACTGAAATTCGTTTGAAAGTGAGTATACACTTGTTAAAATATACTCACTATTAAAATAGTACCATAGTATAGAGTACGAGGATTTATTAAATAATATTTTTATGGCCCTATTTATTTAAATAGCTCCTTTGAGATGTGCTGACTCCAGATTAATTATGCATATGTTGCGACATTGAGATTCGCAAAATTCAAAATAATCAAACAAATCACATCTATCTAAATACATAGTATAGTTCCGATCACCTTAATCTATAAATTTGTATATCGCAATATAAACATAGTTATTTAAATTATGCTTGTAATTATCATGCAAATCAGATTACTAGCTTCATTTTCTATCGTATAGAAATAAATTGAATAACAAAAGGCTATGCAATGCAATATTTAACTTCTTAAGAATTATCTGTCTTTCATTAAATATATTCCCTAAATTACTAATCAATAAATTATTAATATTAAAACCTAAACATTTTTCAAATATTAATTATTTCAATTTTTTTATTCCTTATACATTACTTTTAAATCATCAATAACAATTGATCATTAGCTATCTCTAAATTAGATTTTATTAGTTCTCTAACTTAAGATATATTTATAAAAGATCTACTAATTAAATAATAATTATAAATTATAATAGTAGTCAAATTTAGGAATTATTTGAAATTGGTAATAATTTCTCTTTAAAAGATCCAATGGTTACTACTTTTTATGTTATGTTTAAGTATTAATGAACATATTATTCATTCAAAGAATTAAAATTATCTGATTTTGCATTGCTCATATAGAGTAGAAAAATTTTTTATTATGAAAAAAAATTCACAATAAATAAAATTAAATTTTTTTGTAATATTCTTTTAAATTTAAAGATAGTAAAAAATATTCTTCTTACTTAGTTGATATAATTATAAATCAATTCCAATTAGAATCTGAATGCTGATTTGGAATGAAATCAAACTTTTTTTGTGATCCTGATAATAGAAAATTTGAATTTGAGTTTGTTTTGAAAAGCTAAAATAATAATAAAATTTGATTACATCCATCTCTTTTTTATAAAGCTCATTTTATTATCTAAATTATTCAATTTAATCGTTTTACAATTCTAATGTTTGTAAATGATGATTAATTTCATTATTTTATGTTTTAACTAATTAATTTAATCTATCAATTTCGCCTTATAAAACAATAATTCTATTTTCTAATCCAAGTTTTGTTTAAGTTAATTAAGAACAAGCCAATTATAATTGTTCTCTATCTTTTTTGATTAGATTTAATTCATCAGTTAATTATTCAATTTTTTAATCAATAACTTCTTTATTTTCGATTTCTAACCTATTTCTATTCATATTTAATGTATCAATATCTCTTTCACTATTTTATAGAATATTTTAATTACAATAAAGATCTGAAGGAATTCATTTATTAAGTCATTGTAGCCATATTTTTTTTATAGTCTATTTAAACTTTATTAATTTCTTCATCTTTCACTCTTACTAAATCATTTAATCTATTAATTTCTGCTTATTATCTATATTCATTCCTTCTAAGATCATTAATAGAATTTTCTAATCTCATTGATTTATTTCGTAATTCATCTAATTCAATAAGTTAAGATGTATACTGATGTTTAAATCTATCAGATTCCTATAACTGATTTTCAAATTATTGATTCTATATATTATTTTATTATTTGTACTCTCTATCTAATGATTTCAATTTATATTTCATGATCTTTCAATTTGAGTACATTTTACTCAATTTCAGTATTTCTTCTTTTTAAATCATCAATCTCTCTTTACCTACATTCTAATTATTCTTTAAGTCTTTTAATTTCACTATCTAATCCTTGGGATGAGATTTATTAATAATGGAATTCTAGATAATTAATTTTCTATTAAAGAGAATCATTTTCTTATTATTTCATTATATTTTATTATTAAAGTCTTTCAATTTCTTTATTCTAATGTAAATTAGTTAATTCTAATTCATTAATTCGTTTTGTATGATTCATTTGATTAAGTTCTTCTTTATGATATTTTTATCTCCACACTTCAGCTTCTTTAATAGCATTATCTAATTCTTCTTATAATTTCATTATCTAATCATCAAATTACTTGCTTCTTAATTCAGAACTATTGAATAATTAAGAACTTTACTTTTATTTGATTTATGAGAAATGCTAATTATATATTCTATCATATTCACTTTTTTATTTATCTATTTATTATTGTGATTATGATTCAAGAATTTAAAACTTCTATTTTAATTATTCATATTCATTGAATAATTGATTATATTTAGCATCCTTCTCACCATAATTTAATTATTATTGTTAAATCTTTTACATTTACTATTCATATTATTTGAGTCTTAGGTTTAATTCCTATATATCATTATGAATAATAAATTATTACATTTTTATCCAATTCTGCCTACTAAGATTGATTGAAATAATAATCACATTATTCTTTAAGCAATCTTAAGTTTGGATCATTAACTGATTTGAGTCTCTCTATTTCTAATTATTGTTATCTAATTTTTTCATTGAGCTGTTAAAATTTATCAATTTTTTAATCTTACTCAATTTTCTGTCTACAAATAAAAGATTCCTATTCCACTTATCTAATTTTCCTTTGCAAATCTTGATCATATTGCAATTATTAAGGAGCTTGAAAAGTTGGTACTGATGTATAATGATTTAAAGGCACTTCAACTACTTCATAAATTTTAGGTTTAAGAACAGTTTTCATTCCAAGAGATGGTTGAATATTTCCCATTATTTAAAATTTTGATACTGGAGATACTGACTTATTTGGATGACCTTATATTATCTAATGTCTTATTGGACTTGTATTATTATACATTATTTTAATGATAATATTATTTTATGTATGCATTTCTCTATCTATCGCAGGATCAGCACTTATGTTAACTCATTTATTCTTTTTTGATAACCTTAAAGTATTTGCATAACGAATCGTTGCCTGTCTCTCTATATCAGATTGCATTTATGCTTTCGGATTACTTTTATATGTAGAACCATCATTTGAAGGTTACGATGTTACAAGGTTTTATTAATCAAAACTATATAGATGTATAATTCAAGGAACCTTGACTTAATTTGCTACTATTTGTGCCTTTCTTTGGAGCACTTCAATCTCATATTTTCTTTATATATCAATTACAAAAGGATAAAAGGAATTAATTTATTTTGAAAGATATGAAAAATTTATCTTTGCCATAGGTATCTCATACTTCATAATAAAAAAGGTTTTGCTATTCCATTATTGATGGCAATAATCCCTTTATTTTTTTAATCATATGCTCCTACACCATAAAAAGTACCTGCCACTTGTTCCATAAGTTCAAATGATTAAGAAAAATCAATCGAAATGAATAGAAGCTTAAGTTTATATCTGAATCTTACTTTATTTTATCTGCCCCTATTATCCTCAGTATTAATATCTGTCTATTTCATTTTGAGAACATATTTTAAGACAAAAAGAATAAAGAGTTCATACGAATTATTGAATAAATAAATAAACATTCAATAAAAATTTGCACGTAATTTAATACTCTATCCATTGGCATTATTTATTTGTTGGTTACCATCTCAAATAATTTTTTTAATTTTTGTATTCAAAAATAATTGGATTGAGTAAATATAATAAGATTACTTTGTGTCATAAACTGGGCCCTATTATTACATCAGAATTGCATAATATGGAATCAGTTTTTTGTAAGGATTCTTTAACAGTCTGGTGTATTGGTTTAATAGTTATTAGATGAGAAAAAGATTAGATTCATTAGAAAGGGAGAATTTAAATTACCAAAAAACCAGAACCTTTTTTTCAAATAATAATGATTAAAGTGAAAGGAAAAGTAGCTAACTATCTAATAGTTTCGAAAATCTTTAAGATATTTGATAATTTTTATTTTTATTTTTATTTTTGATTCAATATGTAAACAAATCAATCGGCCATTGAATATTTGGATTTTATAGGAGAAAAACTTAAATTTCTTGAAGATTACTATTTAAAAAGTGCAGACGAGACTGACAGTTAAATCATACAGAAATTTATTAAAGTCTACAAATATATTGATGAGGGATATAAAGTAATATATATAGCTTAATTTCAAGAGCTCCTATATAACTGAAGAAGATTTATTTAAAAATTATGGCTTCTTTTACCAGACTATAAAGAAATTTACAAGAAAATTGGAAAACAAAATATATTATGATAAGACAGATTATGAAGCTACACTTGAAAAATTCGAAAGATACTAAATTAAACTAATTCCTATTTATAAAGAACTAATTCTTGATGCTTAAAAACTTTAAAGAATGGATTTAGATACTTTGCTTGATTCTAATATGGTACATCACATTTACACAAAAAAAGAATTAGGGCAATTTTCACTTTAACTATTTGATTTTCTAAATTTAGATACAATAACAGTACCTAAAAATGTTCTTAGTGAATTGATAACAGAAATTGTTATGAATTATAATGTTGTACCATATCATAATTTCACTCACGCATTCTAATTATCACAATTATTGTTTTCTTGTTACATGAAATCCGATTTAAAAAAATTTTGTAATCAATTAGAAATATTTTCTGCTATATTAGCTGGATTAGGACATGATCTTAATCATAGTAAATATATATAAATTTAATTTTTTAGAGGGTGTCAATAATTTGTACAAAATTAAAAAATCTAAGAAATTTAATATTTTAACTTCAGAAATAGCAGTATTAGAAAACATGCATTGCGCAACTTTTTTCAATATCATTTAATAGAATAGATAACATGACTTTTTTTAATATATGTCTAATGACGAAGAAAGAAATTTAGCCAAAAGATTAATAATAACATCTATACTAGCAACTGATATGGTTATCATATATATAATTATAAATTAGAGTAAACATAATAAATTGCAGGCAAAGTTTTAGAAAAGAGTAGAGTGTACAAAATAATTTGAGCAAGGAGAAAAAAGTGAACTTATTGATTTATAAAGATTCTCAAATGAAAGACTTGAGGATAGAATATTCATTTTAAATATTATGGTACATGCTTGTGATATATCTAATCCAACTATGAGATTTAATAACTATATGAATTGGTCATATTTATTAACATAAGAATTTAATGATTAAGTAAAAAATTAACAATTATCTATCTAGACAATCAAAGAAACTAAAGTTGGAGTTGATGTTACAGGATTTCTAATTTATAAGGATAAACCTACTTATTATGGAGGCTAAATATTTTTCTCGAGTAATTTATTTATTATATTAAATTATTAGAAACCTTTGTTTTTCCTTTATGGCTTTAAATTGGAGAAATGTACCCAGATTTAAAATATTTATCAGAAGAAATAAATAAAAATTTAGAAATTTTATAATAAAAACTTAAATAATAATGATTTTTATTCTTAATAAAATTCTTTCTCTTTTATTAATCCAATTTAAAAGATGAATTTTAAATTGCACAATTCTTTCTCTGAATTACTATATAAATATAATAAAGTAATCTAATAAATAGCAAACATATTGCCAAACTCATCCCTTAACTAAAGAAAGAATTGGATTTTTAAATCTGAAATTAAAAATTACTTTAGAAAGTGATTAAAAATATGAAAATATATGCTTAAATAATAAAAGTCAGAATTTTGTGATTAAAAAAATATTGATGTTGGTTAAAATCATTTTGATTCATTTAGACAATAATATGGAAGAAGAAGAATTTGCGATAAAATTTTCTTCTAGAAAAAATGCTTTAATAGAAAAAATAAAAAAGTAGATTGCTTTTGCATGAGTTAAATAGATTTGATAATTATACCAATTACACTAAATTAAATTCTCCAGCTATAAGTATTACTAATTTTAAATTCACTTAGAACATGAAGATGAAAATTTTTTTTTAAAAATTATCATTTGATAAATTAATACCTTGGTTTTGAGTTTTTGCAAAATCTCCTGTTCAAGCTATTATTACAATATAATTATTCTAACTAAATTAATAGCTGTTAATAAGAATTAATTAGCTCTGAAATTAAAGAGTTAAAGGAGAAATCTGTTTATGTTAATATAAATTTAAGACTATAAGGATAATAAAAAATTATTACGCATTATAGACGAGTATTCATATTCATAGAAAGCAAATTTGTTAGATTTATCAGATGTATAAAAGTATTAGATATTAGGCATTTAAATTAATATTTTAAAGTGTTAAGTTGTTATTGAATTAATGGCAAAAATGCCTATTACTATGAATTATGAGCTATTCTTTCAGAATAAACTAATTATTTAAGTAGACTGAATAAATTTCATTATTTAGTATTAATTAATCAAATTCTTTTTTGTATGATAATATTTATTTAGTATAATATATATTTAGTTTTAAGGACCGAATTTAATGTTTTATTAATTATAATAAATTCATAAGTGGAAACATTATATAAATTTAATGAACTCAAATTTTAAGCAGGGTTTTCTTAATGATGGCTTTATGCTTCAAATGGCTTGTCTTCTGCTGAATTTTAGAATTATAAATGTAAGAGACTGACTCTTTTTTAAGGAAAATAAATCTTAAGAATATTTTATATTTTATACCCTAAAGTTCGAAAAGTTTTCAAGAATTCATCATTTCTGGTAAATTATAATATATGAGCAAGATTACAAAGTTTATTTTTAACAGTATGCATTAATTCAAGAAATGATTATCCTTTTTTTTCTCCTAACAATTTATAAATTATGAATTGCTGTCTTATTGCATAAGCAACTAAGGCTTTAGTGAAATTTTTATGTAAATTAGTCGAGTCCAATATATCCTTCAGTTTCGCATCTCTTTAAACTTTTTTTTTCTCAATTACTATTTCTTTTTTTTATTTTGTTTCTTTTTTTATGTTTTTAATCTTATCTTTATTTCCAGCTTCTAATTCATCAGTATCATAGTTAGCTTATTAAATATTTGATGGCATATTATTATTTATTGAGCTTTATGCATGTTCTACTTGAGTTTCTTGTTGTTTAGAAGGTTCAATTGGTAAATAATAGACGGGATATACTACTTAGGGTTAATAGAAAGGAAAGTAGTAGTAGGGTTGTTAAGAATATATCATATTTTTGGATAATATTAACATATATGCTTAAGTAGTATGATTTCAATGGTATTTTTATGATGGACTTTGCGTTATTTTTTATAATCAAAATATATTATCAAAAAATTAAAAAATATTACTACTTGATAATTTTATTTTAAATAATAAACGTAAAAAACATTTATTAAATGATAGTTATTTCAAAACATAATGAGAAATTAAAATATTGAATTTTTTAAAGAAGTATTATAATTGATTTTCTTAATATAAAACCAAAGTTAAATCAAAAATTAGGATTGATAATAAACTAATAATTTTTATGTAATTTTGACAATGTAAAAAAAATTATGATAATTGATAAATTCAATTAATTTTCATTCAGCAACTTCATTGGCTTATTCTCCTTCCTTTACTCCTTCTGCTTAACGAGCTTCTTCAGCTAATTTTGCTTCTTCAGCTAATCTTGCTTCTTCTGCTAATCTAGCTTCTTCTCTTGCTTACTCTTCTTCTATTCTTTTTCTTTCTTCTTCATCTCTTCTTTCCTATAATACTCTAGCAGCTTCATCATAATCTTCTTTAGTTATATCTACTTTATTAATTCTTACAAGATGGAAATAAAACATTAAAATTTCTTATTTAAAATTATCAGCTCCCATTTCATCTACTATAGGATTAGCCAATAAATTTATTGTTGTTATAGTTCTAATTTTAGCTATTTTTTTAAAATCATCAAATTTAGACAATTAATTTTCTCTTAGATTAAGATAATATAATTATGGAAACTAAATAACAGGAGTTTTTATTTTAGTAATCTTATTTGCTCTTACATTTAATTTTAATAGCAAAGGTAGATTATTTAATGATCTAAAATCTTTGAGTTCATTCCCCTATAAATATAGTTCCTATAATAATAAATAAATAATAAATCTACTTTTAATAATGGCATATTTGCTAATCCATCAGTAGTTTTCAGTTTATTTTTACCTAATTCTAATATTTCAAGATTTAAATGTCCTTCAAATTCAGTTGCTGTAGTAATTTCATTTTCTATTAAATTTAATCTTCTCAACCTTTTCAATTAAACAGTAACAAGTGATTTAATCTTGTTTGTTGAGAGATTTAAATATTGTAAATAGGGAAATGCTTCAGGATCTTAAAAATATGAAAGAGTATTAATTTCATTTTTGGAAGCATTTAATGAAACCAAATATCTAAAAAGATTTAAAATAATATATACTTTAATGGTAAGAGATTCGTAATATCTACAATTCTATTTTATGAGATATCGATATATCTTAGATTCAAATGATTAATTTAAAATATCCTATCTATGTCTTTTTCTGCAAGTGTTAATTTAACATATGCATAAACAGTTTAAGTTTTACTTAATCCTGAAATTCCTTATAAAACTAATTCATTAAATTTAGCAGTGTCTTCTTTTAATTTAGCTTCATATTCTTCTCTAGCAATCCTTTCTTATTCTGCTTTTTCTTCTCTTTCTTTTCTTTCTTACTCTTCTCTTTCCTCCCTTTCTTTTCTTTCTTATTCTTCTCTTTCTAATCGTAACCGTCTAGTTTCCTCATCTTCTTCAGGAGGCTTTTCAGGTTCCTCTTCTTAAGGTTATTCTACTTATTCAGGATCATTCATTTATTCTTCATTTTATTCTTGTAAAGGCTCTTAATTATTTTCTTATTCTTAATTTTCATCATTTGCTTATTCAATTTACTCTTCACTCATATAAATAATTAATTATTCAATTATAATAATTTAAAGTAATATAATAAGATATCTAAATATATATTTTAATTAAATCCTCATCATCTAATTTCACACATTGAAAGTAATGAGGATATATTATTTGAAATCTTAGTAGGAAATATTTTCCAAAATTTTAATGTTTCATCTCCAGATCCTGTTAAAATAGTTGATTCATCTAAATATAGTCTAATATAATTAAATACCTGGACTTGCTGATAAATAAAGTACTCTTTCTGAATGTCCTTCTAATTAATGAATTCTTTTCATTGTTGGATATTACCAAAGACATACTAAATTCTTTTCATAACCATGTGTTGAAACTAATTCATTAACAATTTTAGAAAATCTTAATTTACAAACCTGTGAATCACAATTAATACTTGCAATTTATTAATTAGTTAATGAACTATGAATTTTAATTGTTTTATCTTAATTTCCACCACCTGTAGCCAAAATTCCACAAGAATTAGGATTCCATGCTAAAGCTCTTATAGCTGCTTTATGTGATTTTATTTCCCAAGAAATATATTAATTATTAATACCATTAGTATTACCTCCTCTCATTTACCAAACAAAAACTTTATTATCATTACCTCCTGAAGCTAATTAAAGTTCATTTCCATCAAAAGTTACACCACATACTTCCTATGTATGTCCTAACAATTAACATATTTAATAATTTGGTACTCTAATATCACATATATTTATTGTCTTATCTTTACTTCCATAAGCAAATATACTAGGATTTGCCCAACTTATTGTACTTATTCTTTTATTTGATAAATTCATCATTCCATTAAAACAATTCTTATTGTAATCCCATAATTTCAAAGAACCATCACAACATCCTATTGCTAACATCTATCCATTTGTATTCCATTACAAGGATGTATAATATGCAGATTGATCATTATTATTTAATGGTTCTGCTAATTAAAATACTTTTGAATTATCAACATTATACAAATACACACATCTTTATAAACCAACAGCAATTAGATTATTTTTCCCCCAATGAAGTGTATCCTAATAAAAATCATCTTCTAATCCTGGTGCATCTAATACTTTTATTGGAAGTGGGTCTATTTTTCTTTTTGGGGTTTCTAATTATTTTGACGATTAAACTTTATCATGTTTTTATTTATTAAAATTCAAAATACTTACATGTTTATTTTCATCTATTTCCAAAACATTTTCGCTTAAAAGTTCTTCATATTGATTTTCCTCTTCTATTTCAAATGGTTATATTTGCTTATTGAATAAATTTCTTGAAACATTTAATGGAATATATCTATCACTGTATGGGGAAGCTTACACACAATGATCAGGAGTATTTTATTTATGATTACTTTTTAATAAAGATTTAGGTGTTTTCCAAGGATTGACATTTTTTGGAGAATAAAAATCGTTATTCTTAGGGGATTATATTGTGGTAGATTAATTTGTTTTATTTTACTTCTTATCTTTTGTTGGTGTTGTTAATTAATACTTTTTTGGTGTGTCATTCTATTATTGCGGTATCTATTCTTACTACATTTGAATTTAAATAATATAATTTATTAACAATAAATTGCCACACTAAAATTGAGCTTTTTAAAAACAATAATATTAATCATAATAATTCGATTCTTATTTTTATTTATTCTAAAACTTTTTTGTCATATAATTCATCTTAATCAATATTATAATAATCATTCTATATATATTAATCAATAATTACTTCAAATTATCTTCTAAATTCACTTATTAATTTACTTGTTTATTTCTAATCTTATTTTAATTTTTTGAGCGCGTCAAATAAAATTAAAATCTACTATATTAATTACAATTTATAAGTATGAATTGCTTCAATTTAAAATTCTTAAAATAAGGGATTTTATTGGATTTTAGCATGATCAAAATAATGATTAACATAGATCCTTACTAAATCAATTTCTCTTATATCATGAGTTAACAATATTTCAAAAAATAACCAAGTAGTAAGTTGAGTTATTTATTATTCTTGACATTCCTTAGTATTAATTAATTCTATAGTTTCTGTTATTTTTGCCAATTAAATATATTTATTATTATTAATTAGATTCTCTAATACTAATTTCATCTAAATTATAATTTAATTTTTTTACTTATCGTTTGAGTACATCAGTTGGCCATTCATCTGATTCTTAATAAGTACTTTTAATAAAATTGACCCATAGTTATTCAACTTTTTCTGTGGTACATAATTATTTTCCTGAGGAGTGTTCCAAATAATCCAGACACAATAATTAACCAAAATAAATATTGTTATCTTCAAAGAATTGTAAAATAACTTGGGTATCTAAAATATCAATAAGAATTTTCCTTTTTTCTGAATGATAACCTAAGAGAAGTAATTTCAAATTTTACTTTGATTTTCACCTTCATTAGATATCACGAAATCATACATAATGTCTTAAAAGAAAAGTTGTTTACTAAGATCAAATACTTATTTTTCTATTTCATTAATGTCAATTCCTTGGGTATTTTTTTGTATAGTTCTAATAAACTCTTAAGCTTTGTTGACATATCTTAATCTCTTTTTGATAGGCAATTTAATTTAAATTTCCTCTAAATTCATCTCTGGACATTAACTTAAAGAAAATTGTGCTAATTTTAGTAAGATTTAAATTAATTGTGGATATGCTTCATGATTACCTTTCATAGCCTTAACTTTGAATTGCTTCTTTTACATTTACAATTTCTCTAAATCATTATTACATTATAAATCCATTTCTTAATTGTAATCAATATATTAAATGAATTCCTTAAGCTATCTTTTTAAGATATTATTAGCAATTGCTTCAGTTGCTTTAATAAGTTGGAATTGATTTAATAATTAGAGAGATTCAATAAGGATTTCTTTTGCTTAAACCATACTCAAACCTTTTGGTGGTTATAAATAGTATTAAATAAGATCATCAAATTGTCTAATTAAGTCTTGGAAACAATTGTAATATTCATCATTTGGTTAATCTTTTTCTTATTATTAACATTTTTAAGCTAGATATTAAATGTAGAATTTAAATGTAGCAAATGGATACATATAATTTTTAAAACATTAAGTTAAATAAGAATGAGAAATAAAGGCAGCTACTTCCTCTATTAATTTCAAAGCCTCTAATAATTAATCTTATAATTCTGGCTACAAATCCTTATAATAAAGAAAGATCTCTCTCTTTTCAAGTACTCTATCTATTGTAATTTATGGACTCTTGGAAAGTTTTAAGATTCTTTTTATTTTTTCATGGTACTTTTCATTTGGATTAAGTTTTATTAAATCTATTTTATGAATGAAATAATTTACTTTTTTATGCAGAAAATGTTAATATTTCATCGAATAGATTTTATACTAGACTAATTTTAAAATCTGAATCTGTAAAGAAATCAGGAAAATGATGATGCATATATTGAGCAGAATCTCTAAATTTAGTTTTATCACTCTTTATAATATGTATCATTAATTATTTTAATGTTAAATTACCTGTAGTATCTCCACTAAGAACACTTTTGATTGATAAATTGAATAATTAAGTTTTATTTTGATAACTGTTAATTATATTTCTGATTCCTTATAATTCTCCAAAAAAATAAATCAAAAATTATAATAATTATTTGATTTATTTACAAAAGGAATAGAGTACCTTCATTTAAGTCTAAAATAAATTATATTATTTTACATGTTCTACATCTACATTCACACTTACAGTCAATGATTAATCAGTATAATTTGTACTTCTTGAAATGTCTAATCTTGTACTTTATTCAAAAGTTTCATAAATATACTTACTAAATCCATTTTTATAATTTTAAAATTAATTTTATTCTTCAACTTGTAAATCAGTTCTTTAATTTTTAATCTGTTAATAATAATTAGGTTCATTTTCGAATAATTTAATTTATTTTTCTATTTATTTTAATACAGTTTATAATTATTAAATAGAATAACTTTCAATAGGTTTATTACATTCTAAGTTATATACTTTTTCATTGATAAATGTTTTTGTTGTTAATGGAGCAAGTATTTTCCAAATTAAAGATGTTGTACTTGATACTTTTTTAGACCTTTAATTTCTTTCTTCGGAAATTAATGAACGCTTAATTAAAGCAAAATAAGCTTTAAGTGCTTTTTCTTTGATAATAGCTCCTTTACGAACATAAACTTAACCTGTAACCCAAATAGGAATTTTCTCGTTATCATCAAAAAACTTTTAAATATTTTCAGAATAATGTATTCTTTAATATGCTTTTTGTAAATCTAATTAATATTAATGCTAAAGTTCAACATTTATGTAAAACACTTATTCTTCCTGTATAATAATTTATAATATTTAAGCACAACTTTCCTCAATGCCATAAGCTCTAATTAATTTTTCAAGTGGAAAGTCTGCATCTACTTAATCAATAAAATCATAATGTGTAACTTTGATAGCTGTAAAGAAGCAATCAATAGGCCTCATTCTAACTATAAATTCTATAGAATGATCAGCAATACAGACATAATGTTCAGGTAAATTATAAAGCTAAGATTCATTTATATCAAAGTGATTGAATAATCGATTAACTGTCAATTTACCAATGTTGTATATATTTTTAGGAATATTATGACCATTTTAACCATGAAGTTAAATTTTTTCAATTGCTTCTTTTGATGTATCTCTATATATAGAATACTAGATCTAATTATAAGAGTTATATTTAGTAATTTATTGTTCTAGACTTCTAAAATATTAGATATGAGCCATATCTAGAAATTATGCAATGATATAGTTGTCTAAATGAAATAGTGATAATTATTCCTCTTTGTATACAGACTTCAATGTTGAATTTTATTAAATAGTAAGCATCTCTTTTTGCTTGTATTATATTCTACTTTCATCTAAACATACTCCATATGGAATATCAGTATCAATTTTCATGTATGGATTCTTTATTTAGATGATCTAGAATTCAGGCTTCAATTTTATATATTATTATTTATTAACATTTAAGTTAGACACAGACGAATTATATGAAGTTATTTCATTAATAGATCTATCTTATAATTCAAACAACAAATGAAATTACAGTTAGTCTTTAGTTGTTATAATCAAAATGATCTTATTAGTTTATTATTACTTTTCAAAAAAAACATGATAAAATTATAAATTTTGGTAATCAAATACATTTTTGAATTCTAAATTAGAATTAAAAAGTTAAGATTATTTTATAGTTATTATTTCTTAAAAGAGCTCTCCCTATAGTCCAATATCATAAATTGTTATGAATGTGTCTTCAACATTTTCATTTTTGTCTAATTTCTCAAACAAACCATAACAAATATTAAATTCTTCCTGTATTTCTAATTAGATTAATCCTTAATGTGATGACCAAGGGGTTAAATCTTTAAAAATCCTATGAAATTATTTTTTTATTTTTTCTTTCAATTAAGTAGTGTAATTTTGAGCTGTATCAATAGATTTACAAGTAAGAGTACCTGAACTTCCACCATAGATTAAATTATCTTAATTGAAGATTATTTAATTAATTATTTCTCCATTAACATTGAACCCTTATTTTAGTTTTTAAAAATTGTTCAAATCTCCTGTAAATGTATACAAATTTATATAAAATTCAGAAGCAATTGCCATAGTCCATATATCATCAACTTATTAAAATCCAACGGCTGTAATATATTCTAGTTGATTAATCTATTGTTCTTTAACTCTAATTGGAAATTTGTACTTTTTCTCATCCTAAAATAAATTTGAAATTTTACAGTATTATAATAATAATTAAGGTCCTATTTCTCAGGTGAATAGAAATAGAATACCAAAGTTTTTTCATTTACCACAAAGTAAAGAAAGCCATCTTATATGCCACTTAAAGAACAATTATCATTAATCCTTATCTGTTCGTGATAAAAATTAACAAAATGTCCTCTATATAATGGAATAGCTAAAGAGTATAATAATTAGATACATAAATTGCTAGGGAGATTGACAGTTTGTTAATTTCCAAAAAGTGTGTTAATAGGATTGAAGGATGTTGAAGATTTCTTGCTCTTCAAATCTTAGAAAAGTACTTATTAGGTTGTTGCCTTTGGTTTCGCATGTAACATTTTTTTATTTTAATTAAAAATATAATCATGAATGATGAGTTTTACATGGCGCCTTTTCATAATCTAAGATGTTGCGCATCAAATATGAGACTGTTGGACATTCGTCCACTTAATGATCATAATTATTTTTACTTGAATCATACATGTCACTTTATATACTGAATCTTTTGGTTTATGATTTACTAGCTTCACCATCACTAGCTTCTTTCAATTCAATTATTGTTTTTAAGGTTGGCAAACCTTGACGTTAATTATGTGGTTTCGCTTTTTATTTTGCATTCACAAACCATTAATGTGTTAAAGCATCTGACAAAGAACAATTTGATAATAACTTTTTTATCAGATCTAATTGACTTGATGAAAAAACGTGTATAAATTAAGAATCTGGAGTCTTCATCTCTAAATAAAATATTTATATTCAACATGTTAAGATTTCGATTGTTTCATCAATTAGTTCATATTTTATTACTAAATCTTTCATATACTTCTAAAACAATTTGTAAGGGTCACTTTTTCGCTTTTATTATTAATGTGCGTACTTTCAAATCTTGATTTATTTTAGTATAAAATGTAATGATATAAAGTAAAACTCCTAATTGATAGAGATCGGAATGTATTCCTGGTATTTAATTTTCTTCAAATCCACTCCAATAATATTTATTTAAATTGACCCATTTCAAATATTCACTTATATCATCTCCTTATTTGAATGGCTAGAAGTTAAGTTACTAATTACATAGTATATAAAACCAATGACAGCAATTTCTAAAGATTGACTTTCTCTATTGATTAATATATTTAATGCATTGATATTTCCATGATATGCCTAGTGTTCATTTAAATAGCGTAATAAAAGTAAAATCTAATAAATCAACTAGAAATAGGATAAGATGATACTGTAGCAACTTAAACTTCCATAAATTAGATATTTTCTAGTAAGAAATTAAAGACCGGTTCTCCTTCAAATCTTTCAGTAATCATAACATAATTATTGGTATCTTCATAGATTCTCCTAATTTTGAGTATTGAATGATTTTTGCTTTCATGTAATAATCCAAATGTGTGATCTAGATATGGTTATTATTTGTTGATTATGTAAGCAGAAAACTATTGTCGATTCTTTGATATAAAGATTAAATTACTTTTTTTTTAATGATAGAGTAGAAATCCTGGAATAGCTATTCTTAAAGGCGATATTTGACTAGTAGGTTTTTCATAATGCAAAATTGTTTAATTTAATTATACCAATGTTTCTGTATATCAAAACTGCTGAAGAATAACATAATATCATTTCCAAGGAGGAGGAGATAACATTTTTTATTATTATGAATTAATTGTTTCCTCTTGATTTAATATTATGAAAGTTGAATATAATGAATATTGATTTTTAGAACATTGGGATATAAGGTACATTATTCTTTTATTATGTGACCATCAAACATCACAGTTAAATTTTAATTGAGAAGTATTTATGTTAGTCTTGGCTCATGATTCCATTCTTTTTAATGCTGATTACTTATTAAACTTGAAGCCAAATTCTTGAATTCATTGTAGTCTAAACTATCTTCACGACGGTGTGCAAAATCATTAGTATTTGTTCTTGTTGGTCTAGATATAAAGTTCTGCATTTTAATTAATGTTTATTTGTTGTGGAAAGAAATAAAAAATTGAAATTGCAAATTTAAGATCATAACCCTTGTAGAATGTAAAAATGTAATTGTAAGAGGTTAGTATAGATGCTAAATTTGAATTTCACTTAGAAGTAAATAAATTATGAATTAGATAGAAATTTTAATGGAAATTGATGAGAGAAGCAATAGGAGAAGAGTTAGTTAGACAATAATAGAAAGAAAAAGAACGATTGAAATTAGAACAATAATAGAAATTGCAAAAAGAAGATGAGGAACTATAAAGATTGCAAAGTTAAATTGAATAATAAACATTTGTTTAAAAAGAGAAAAAGTAATTACATGATTAATTAATTGATTTTTGTTCACAAAATTGAAAAAGGATTATTTGATAACCTAGATAAAGAATGAATTACTTAAAAAAAATGATTGAGGACGATAAGAAACAGATGGGTGAGATTACAAATTATGAATTTGCCAAAAGTTGAATTAGTTTAATTATGTATAATAAAAGTTATAGGATTAAGAAAATGAGAAAAGAATATTTAAAATAAATAAATTAGAGAATAAAATAATTTCTTGTTTTATTAAGAGAATCGTGATGATCATTTTATATAAATTTTATTAAAAGATATGAATAAATAACGCAAGACTTAATTGGAAGAGTTATAAGAGAAAGAGAGTAGTTTTGGTCGAGTTTTCAAAGTAGCTGGTCCATGTAAATGTGTTTGTTTAATATAATAGTGGTGGTTGCAGAAAAGATGGCTGGTGCTAAAATGTTTGAGTTAGTAAAAGTTGGTTGGGATAAGCTTGTTGGTGAGATCATTAAGTTAGAAGGAGATAATGCATCAATTCAATGTTATGAAGATACATGTACTGAAATTATAATTATATGATTAGCTGGTTTGACAGTAGGTGATCCTGTGATGAGAACAAAGTCTCCTCTTTCAGTAGAATTAGGACCAGGTATATATAGATATTAATTAATTTAGGTATTTTAACATAAATTTTCGATGGAATTTAAAGACCTTTATAAGTAATTGCAGAGTAATCAGCATCAATATTTGTACCAAGAGGTGTAGATATTCCAGCGTTAGATTAAGATAGAATTTGGGAATTCAAACCATTGTCAACAATAAAAGTAGGTTCAATGATATCTGGAGGTGATATCTATGGGTCAGTGTTTGAAAATAATTTATTTGATGAACATAAGATTTTAACAGCACCTAAAGTATAAGGAAGAGTTACTTATATTGCACCAGAAGGAAATTATACATTAAAAGATAAAGTTTTAGAAGTAGAATTGGATGGAAAGAGACATTAGTATGGAATGAGTCATTTTTGGCCAGTTAGATAACCTAGACCTATAATAGAAAAATTATAAGGTAATACACCATTGCTTACTGGATAAAGAGTACTTGATGCACTTTATCCATCAGTATTAGGAGGTACTTGTTGTATTCCAGGAGCATTTGGATGTGGCAAAACATGTATTTCATAAGCATTGTCAAAATATTCAAATTCTGAATGCATTATTTATGTTGGATGTGGAGAAAGAGGAAACGAAATGGCTGAAGTACTTAGTGAATTTCCAGAATTGACAATTTAAATGAAAGGTAAAGAAGAGAATATTATGTAACGTACTTGTTTGGTTGCAAATACATCAAATATGCCTGTGGCTGCAAGAGAAGCATCTATTTATACAGGAATTACATTAGCTGAATATTTTAGAGATATGGGTTTTAATGTATCTATGATGGCTGATTCAACATCTAGATGGGCAGAAGCTTTAAGAGAAATATCTGGTAGATTAGCAGAAATGCCTGCTGATTAAGGTTATCCTGCATATTTAGCATCAAAATTAGCATAATTTTATGAAAGAGCAGGAAGAGTTAGATGTAGAGGTTCACCTGATAGAGAAGGATCTATTACTATTGTCGGTGCTGTTTCACCACCAGGAGGAGTAATTTATTATTTATTATTATTTATTAGGATTTTACAGATCCTGTTACTACTGCAACCCTTACTATTGTTTAAGTCTTTTGGGGGTTAGATAAGAAATTAGCTTAAAGAAAACATTTCCCATCTGTTAATTGGACTATTTCTAATTCTAATTATGAAAAAATACTAGAACCATATTTCAATGCTTTTGATCCAGAATTTTCACATCTAAGAGTCATGTTCAAATAAATATTACATGAAGAATCTGAATTAAATGAAATTGTACAACTTGTAGGAAGAGATTCTCTTTCTGAAGATTAAAAATTATCTCTAGAAGTATATACTCTCTATATACTACTTCCTAGATTGCCAAAATTATTAGAGAAGATTTCTTATAGTAAGATGCCTTTAGTAAATATGATTACAATTGTCCACTTTACAAAACTATTGGTATGATGAGATGCATTGTTTCCTTCTTTGAATGTGGTAAAAAAGCCATTCTTGAATCTTCTGGAGATGCCAAAATTACTTGGAATATTATCTTAAATCAAACTAAACCACAATTTGTCAAATTATCATAAATGAAATTTGAAGTATTTTTCTATTTTATTTACTTTAGGATCCTAAATAACCTAAATAAGAATTAATGAATTATTTCACTAAATTTGTTGATGAAATTAAATCAGCTTTTAGAAATTTAACAGATAAATGAGTATTATTACAATTACATAAACATAACGATCATGTTATTATATTCACCACTTAATCTATTTAATTTTTCATATTATTTTTTTATTGTTTTTATCTAACATATTTTAAGATTATACAAATATTAAAAGAAATTTAGTGTTTCACTGACACGCTTTTTCATTCAAATGTCTATCAAATTGTATAAATTAATCCATATTCTATTTCTATAAAATACAATTAGAATTAATTAGAGAATATAAAACTTTAAACATTAAGTAGTAGGTGCTTTCTAAATTAAGTAATTTTTGTTTTTATACACTCATATCAATTAGTATGTTTAATTAACTTTAATGATAAACTCAAACTAAATCTATTATATTTTAATATAACTTTAACAAAGGAATTAATTTTAAACATTATCGGATCTAACCTTTTTTTAATTCTCATTAAAATTAACCTTTTGCTAAATAATCTATAACTTGTTACTTTTTTCAGAATTGTTTTTTTAGATCCAAAAGAAATAACTTAACATCAATCTTTCATTTAAGGATTATATTTAACAGCATTTTCAATTAATTGGATATAATATACTTTATCAAAATCTCCTTTCTGTTTTTATATGCCTCTATTACTATTAGTTATTTTATTAAAATCCTTGTCAATATCACTCATTAATATATGATCTATTTTTTTTGTATTTATTAATTCACTAATTTTCCTTATTCTCATTTGTAAGAATAATCTAATTAATCTTTTTTAACATCAAAATATATTCTTCTTCAATCTAATCTATTATTTATTTACTTTTTTAGATTAAAACTTTTCACCACCTTAAACTTATCAACAGGTGATTCCTTAAGTTTTTATTTTTTTGGAAATTGTATTTCCCCATTTATAAATTTCTAAATCAGAAAGGGTTCATGTTACAAAAGTCAACTGTTTATGTTTATTTTTGAGATTTCAGAAATTTTTACAAGTAGAATTTAGGAAAGAATTTATTTAAAAAAAATATACTAAAATCAAAAAAATTAACTAATCTGAAAAGCAAGATAAAATAAAAAATGTAAAAAAATATTTAAATACTTTTCTTCAAAAAATAGCTCAAAAAAGCTGAAAATAGAACTTTAAAGCTAAAGCCATAGAAAAATATTAGCAATTATACTAAATTATAAAAAAATTGAGCAAATCAATTCATGAATTTCAGATCATTTATTAGTGCATTCCTTCAGGGGGAAAATATAGCTTTTGCTTCTATTAACTATTCTGCATACTTGGGAACTCTGATTTTTGGTTTCTTTGGAAGTTAAATAAAAAACAAGAAAATTTTCCAAAAAAATAAACTTTTATGGAAAAAATTTGCAAAATAAAATAAAAGCAGAAATATATACTCTAAACTTCATTACATTATAGATTAAACTATAAATACTGAATGCCAGTTCGACAATGAATCCCAACTTTTGTTTTTAGATGAAGGTTTTCTATTGAAACTTGAAATTTATTGAGAATAAAAAATTATCATAGATATATTTATTATCCATGAACTATTTTTTTAAGACTATAAACTTTAATAATCCTATCTTATTCTATACACTTGATTTGAGAGTTCAATTAGAGTATTTTTTTGTGTTTCATAAGTAAACTATAATGAGTTATAAAATTTTATATTATAAAAATAATCAGTGATTAAATTGGTAATCATCTAATCCTAAAATTTCATAAAATTAGTATATTTACCATGAATTTAATAATATATACAGACGAAAAACATTATTTTATATAAATATTTTTTATATTTGGGTAGATAAAACCCTTTTATTTTATTCTTTCTGAAAAACAAAGTTTGTTAAGCCCCCCCATAGTTTTGTATTAATATAAAATGTAAAATTTATCGGTACTTTAAGTTTAAAAAAATTTAATATATTTAATTAATTATAATTCATTTACAAAAAATTATTCTTTGCATCTTTTGCCTAATTCTATTTATCATCCTTTTTTTATCGAGGTTTTGCAACAAATTAGTATTTATATTTGGATTTCTCAATTATCTTCGTCATCTTATAAATTTGTTGCTTATGAAAATGACAACGATAGATTATAATTTTCGAGCAAATTTACTCTTTGAAAAAATAAATTTTATTGAATTTTTTTTTTTAAAGTAAGTTCTTCTGATTTAATAATTTCTTGAAATTTCTTTAAGCATTAGATGTGCACATATAAATCTGTAATTCGGTCGAATTTAGTTTTAAAACAGTTTATAAAAAAATCAAATTAAAAGCAAATATTTTATTCTCTTTATTTAGAAATCTGCCTTATATAATTTATAATTTGAAGTCCATTTTTTAAGTTATTGTAGAAAATTGATTCTTTTTTTTAAATGCTTATGGGCTTTTACTTTCCTATTTCAATTATGTTTATTTATTAGTTTAAAATGAATAGGAGAATTTAGGTGCTTAGGTTTTAAGGTTTTTTCTTCGAAAATCATCTAAATAATAAAATAAAATATTTAATTAACAAAATAACAAAATCTCATCGATTCTTACAAATCTAGTAGAATTGAGGATATTGAAGATACTCCTATATTACAAGGATAATTTGACATATCTCATTAAAAAGATTGTTAAAGATATTTATATTTTGAAAGGGAAATTTTTTAGAATAAAGAAATTATTTTAAGTTCAAAAACATCCAAAAAAATTGTAAAAAGTTTAAGAGAAGAATGAAAAAGGAAATTAAGATTTATAGAATAAAACTTATTTTGCTATAAAATTTGATAGAGAATAGCTTTGGATATTAAGAATATTTGAGTCGATAATCATTATAATCATTACTACTTTCTATTCATTCATTCATACATTCATTCATTTAAAACCATTTTAGATAACTTTCTTAATTCTTACATATATAAATCTGTAGCCGCATAGCTTTACCCTTTTAACGCTCTGGCTAAATCCTANTTTAAGTTTAAAAAAATTTAATATATTTAATTAATTATAATTCATTTACAAAAAATTATTCTTTGCATCTTTTGCCTAATTCTATTTATCATCCTTTTTTTATCGAGGTTTTGCAACAAATTAGTATTTATATTTGGATTTCTCAATTATCTTCGTCATCTTATAAATTTGTTGCTTATGAAAATGACAACGATAGATTATAATTTTCGAGCAAATTTACTCTTTGAAAAAATAAATTTTATTGAATTTTTTTTTTTAAAGTAAGTTCTTCTGATTTAATAATTTCTTGAAATTTCTTTAAGCATTAGATGTGCACATATAAATCTGTAATTCGGTCGAATTTAGTTTTAAAACAGTTTATAAAAAAATCAAATTAAAAGCAAATATTTTATTCTCTTTATTTAGAAATCTGCCTTATATAATTTATAATTTGAAGTCCATTTTTTAAGTTATTGTAGAAAATTGATTCTTTTTTTTAAATGCTTATGGGCTTTTACTTTCCTATTTCAATTATGTTTATTTATTAGTTTAAAATGAATAGGAGAATTTAGGTGCTTAGGTTTTAAGGTTTTTTCTTCGAAAATCATCTAAATAATAAAATAAAATATTTAATTAACAAAATAACAAAATCTCATCGATTCTTACAAATCTAGTAGAATTGAGGATATTGAAGATACTCCTATATTACAAGGATAATTTGACATATCTCATTAAAAAGATTGTTAAAGATATTTATATTTTGAAAGGGAAATTTTTTAGAATAAAGAAATTATTTTAAGTTCAAAAACATCCAAAAAAATTGTAAAAAGTTTAAGAGAAGAATGAAAAAGGAAATTAAGATTTATAGAATAAAACTTATTTTGCTATAAAATTTGATAGAGAATAGCTTTGGATATTAAGAATATTTGAGTCGATAATCATTATAATCATTACTACTTTCTATTCATTCATTCATACATTCATTCATTTAAAACCATTTTAGATAACTTTCTTAATTCTTACATATATAAATCTGTAGCCGCATAGCTTTACCCTTTTAACGCTCTGGCTAAATCCTAAATTTTTTCTACAGCCACAATTTCATTTAGAGTCTTTTTTGGTATATTCAAGCTAATAAATATTCAATGAATTTGTATACGTAGAATTAACATTACCAGCATCAATACTGGATCTTTGAAAAGACAATCTACCAGGAGAGTGTTTAGAGTATTGTTTGATTCTAATTGGAGATTATTATTATGAATTTTTTTATGCTTTAGGTGATTAACTATTTCTGAAAAATGATTGATGAGCATTCAATTATGATTCCTTGGCTTTTTATAGCACTGTTTTTTGATTATCAAATTTAGTACAAAACTTCTCTCTTACATCTTTTCTAAACATATCTAACTCTGCATATTTCTAATTACTCTAAATAAAAGATCCCTAATGCATAGTATAATAATAAAATATAAATATATTAACAGATAACTATTATATATTTTAAGTAATAAGTAAGCCTATTAATGATAAAATTAATGATTCTAGAATGAATATTCTAGCAAAAAAACAGAAAAAACATGAGGTTGGGAATGAATAATTATGCCTTTTTAATTTTTTTAATAAACTAATTATAATGTATGATAATAATAATAAGAGTTCTACAATCCCTATGTTTACAATGAATGAAATCTAATTTTAACAATGTATATACATTTATTATACTTGGAATATGGCAAATTCTTCTTAATTAATTTCTAAAATGAATATAATTTTTATAGTTAGTTGCTCTATTTTTGACTGGTACAACATCAATTTCTCAATATATTTAGTTAACTATTTCAAAAAAAGATCAATGATAGCTTTTTGAGATGAGGATGAGTCTAAAATGCAAATAAACTATCAAATCAATACATTTACGAATGCATTGAAGCAATTAAGAGAGGCAGTAAATATTAAACAAGTAAATCATGATCAAAATTGCAACATCAAATATAGTGATTGTGATTCAGAGTTTCAATTTTTAAAATAAAGATGTTGAGAACGCTTTAAATGTATTATGAGATTCAACATCTAGTTAAATGTATGCAAAACTTAAATTAGAACTACTAATCAATAAGATCCTAACAAGTAATAATTCTTCACATATTAAGAATATCTAATATTAGCATTTGCAGAATACTAAAAGTCAGTAGAGATTTTTTTAAAATAGATAGAGGCTATGGAAACTTTTTTCATATTATCTATAAATCCCATTATATATTAAGATTTGATTTAAAATCTTTATAATTAGGTTCTGAATTTGTATTTGAATTAGGAACTTTTTTATAAACTAATTTATTATTTTTGATCACTTTGGATTAAAATACTTTCGTTAAAATTAAAGAAAAAGCTAAGTACTTAAAAAACATAAAATAGGAATCTCATCAATTATATTTAGTATGATGATTGATAAATTCTTAGCTTTATTATGCAAACCACAAAAAAACTTTATTGAATTTAGTCATTAGTATATCGATATTTTAAAGTTCACTCAATAATTAGTAAATAATTAAATAAATCTAAATCTTTTATGTTTTTTCATCATTATAGTATAAAAAGAATTTACAATCATCAGAAGATTCTGCTGATCCAAGTTAAATTGAACTAGTGAAATAGTTATACTCTAATTTGAAAGAAAATACGCAAGATAACTATAAAGAATTCACTCATTAAATGCTACTTTTATTCTTGCTTCTAATAATTAGAAAAGAGATAATAATTGTGATTTTAAGGAGATTATCAAAATTTAGATGAAAAATTATAAGAAAAATTCGATCATTTAAATAATGTATTGAAAGTTAATCTCCCATTCTATAAACAGCCTCAACAAAATTAGAAAGGAATCAACAATTTTAGAATCAAGCTTTAGCCTTATGCAATACTTTAAAAATTGAATATTACAATACTAATAGAGTAAGAAGAGGAGAAATTTAAATGATTACTGAATTAGGGGAGTAGGCTCATCAAAAAGGTTTCAAAAAGTGTTAGAACAAAAACCTTGAAGAAAGATTGGATATGGAAAGCTTAATTATTGATTTATATTCATAAAATTGATTATGAAAAACCCATTTTCAAGACTGGTGACTTTGAAGGAGCTCTTTGTTCAAATATTAGAAATAATTTATTCATAGAATATTGATTTTTTTCTATATTATGTATTAAAGCAGATATACTTGAGAAAAGTTATTTGAAAATAAATATTATAGAAAAAAAAACATTGTATATAAATGGCTGACACCTAAACTCCTAATGATATTAGTTAAGTGATTCCTATTAATCCTTAATATCAAGTACCCAATCCAGTTCACAATCAAGCTTAGATTACTAACCAAATTCCACAAATGTAATAACCCCAATAATAAACTTATGTTGTATATGCTCCATAGATGTACTAACAAAGACCTTAATTTAATCTTAATCAAGTTCAGCCTATTCAATACCCTTAATTTCAACATCCTTAACACATGAATCCCCAATAATAATAACCATACATATAATACCAACAATAACCTTAAATTGCTTAACCATTACTTCCAATGATCAAACAAGAGGAAACCTTAAAGCATGATTCCCTTAGATTAGCTGGAAAGTTGGAGAGAAGATATTTTAACTTATAGGTTCTCTCCTTTTATCTCCTTTTTCAGGCTTTAGCTCTAATTTTGTGCTGTAGTTCTTATCACAATGACTTTATACAATTCCAGTATAATCTTTATGGAAATTTTAAAGTTCCATTTTACATTTTTACTGTGATCATGAGTCTTTCACTCATTTATTCATACACAACTTCAAAGAAATTGAAAAATAAATAATCTAGCACTATTTTATGTGTTGTTTATGGATTAGCTTATGGTTTTTTTATTTAAGCCTTATATTCCTCTTGTTACTATAATTTCTAATATTACCAAAGTGGGAATTACTATCACTTTTTGGAATCAAATGGTGGGGATGTGATAGTAATTATAGTATTCAGTTTCATCAATCTAGAAGTTCTATCATTATTTTCATATTCAATGTAAGAATTAGATCAATTAAATTTCAAAAGTAAAATTGAATTTTATTATTAGATTCTTTCTGGTACATTGTGATACCTTCCATTACTTATGGTGGAATCTTATTTTCTATTTATGACAGATATGCTATTTTATGTGGAATTATCTGTGCTTCACTCGCTTTTGGATTCTATTTATAATTTATACTCTCTAGAATGATTCAATCCACTAAAGTAATCATTATTTATATTATTTAATAGTTTAATTTAAGAACTGATGATGGTTAATACGCAGCTGTTCTATTCAGTTTCTTAATTTTAGTTCCTTTTTTTGATATTGGATTTAACAAAAGTGATGAGATGGTTTAAGAATCATAAAGCTAAAACTCTTAATAAAAAAATATTCAATGAAGAAATTTATAAAACAATAAACATAATTTATATCACTAGTTTTTATTTAATATTATTAATTTATTTATCTAATGACATCTCAATAAAAGTAAGAAATCTTGGCTCCTATTTTTATATCTTCTGAAGAATACAATCAAATCATCAAACATCCTCCACATATGCACTAATAATTATTTCAATTAATATACTCAAAGTATAATAATAAGCTTAGTTATAAACATACTAACACATAAATATAAATTTATAATAGCAAAAATAAACTTACAACTATTATCAATGGAGTGCTGGATTCTGGATAATATTTACTCTATTCATAATCTTGAACTTATTCATTTTAACTAATCCAGCCTTTGTTACTCAAAATGAATAATGTTAATATTTTAGAATAACAACCAAAAACTTTTTATTCGATTCACGTTATATTATACATGAAATTCTATTTTCCTTTATTTCTATGGGTCATTGTAGTTATGTTAATTGGAATTGGCTCTATTAAACTTGTTAATAAGATTGTTGAAAAAGGATATGACTTATATTTTTTCCATTTATTTCTTTCAATTTAAAAATAGCTCTATTTATTTTAAAGATGAAAAAAATATTTATTATTAAAAGTTTTCAAACAGAGGAATTAATAATAAATATAAATGAATTAAATATGCATCATTTTCAAGTGTAATTATTATGGTTAATTTATTATAAAGCGTTTCATAATGAATAATAGCCAATATAATTTATAATCACGATGTCTAAATTTATAATAAAATCCGATAATAGTAAATGTATTAATAAGATACAAAATTTAACTAAGTTTTTAAACATGAAGTAAATTTAAAGTCAAGAGTATATTGTAAGTTTTTTTTATAAGTGATAAGATCAATAATTTATTAAGTTAAAGATAATTAATATATAAGGCATTTTATATTTTAATATTCATTATATTAATGTCACAACAGGCATGTACTACATTGTTTTTACCCAAGCTCTAATATCATTAATACCACCAAAAGCATATGTTCCAATGACTGCTCCTGTAAAAGCATTATTAAATTCTTTCTTTCCTACATATTCTAGTTCAGAAGCATTTTACGAATCTTTTATTGCAAAATAATCGAAACTCACTTCATCCTGATTTCCTCCCAATACTACAATTAGATCTCTTTTTTGAGCTGAATCTAATATATATATTAAAAAAAACTACCAGCCACTTCAATTTATTTCAACAAAAAAATCTAAGAACCTGCTCTTGGAACACTTAATTTTGTTTTTGATTTAAGATTTTCAATTGAACCTTTTTCAATATCCATTATAGCTATTTTATCTGTTACTTTTTCACCATTTGAACCTCCAAAAATTAATATATGTTTTTCTGAAATAGGCAAACAAGATGACCCCAAATGATTAGTTACATTCAAACCTTGTCTATATTTAAAATCCTTCCATTTTTTTGTATTTAAATCAAAACATTCTACTTTATTGCTATGAAGGATTTTCTAACAATGATTTATTATAATTATACTGTTTCTTCATTTTCAAATGTGAATCCACCATATACATAAACTTTATTATTCATTACGAAACCTGAGAAACCAGCTCTAGCTTAAACCATTGGCTCAATAACTTCCCATTATTATTCTCCATTTTGATTTACAGGTCCTTTCTCATCATAGATTTCACATTAATTTAAGAAACCCCATTCCTCTTAATTTATATATTGACCTCCAACTACCATATATAAATATTAATTTGTAGTTCCTGGTTTTAATAATTCAAAAATTTAGTGATTATGTCTTGGAATATTCATTGGTGGTATTACAGGGACTTTTTCTGCTTCAATTTCATTGCCTTCGTCATCTTCCCTTGTTAATCCTTATCTCCATAATTCATATTTAATTCTATGACCTTCCATGTGATCATGAAGCTAGATTCTAAAACAAAAGTTTGAACTCTATATTTAATTATTTTCCTAATAGGCACCTCCTGTTACTAAGAATTCTGCTCCATCCTACTTTTTTATATATGATGAAAAGTAAGGAACACAAGGTGGCTAATCTTTGCTTATAAAAGTCCATCCAGCTATAAATAATTCAATATTTTACGTTTAACATCACCTGTAGCAAAATTATATCCCATTGATGGATAAAATTGTTCTTCTTATTTTTCTTAATCTACAAAAGGTGGATAAATCACAGTAGTGAATGAAAAATGATTTTATTTTTGCATCATTTTTAATATAATTTATATTAATTGCTAATCATCAATAAAAAAATCACTCACAATATTTTAAATATATCTTATAAATAAATAATTCTTATGCCTTGTTTTATTAAATTAATATTTTAATCATTAAAACTAATGATTAGTTACTTTATTTTTGATATCTTTTTTAAAAAATCAAAGAATATCATATCAATATGGTACTTATAATATTATATATTAAATCTTATATTAATCCACAAAAACAAAAATTATGTTAAATAATATTAAGTTGTAATCCTAAAAAAAAGAAGAGATTCAAGCACAATCAAATTCTGAAACATCTGTTCCAGAAAACTCATCAATTCCATCAATCAATTTATAGTAATCCTCAAATCTAAATTATATTCCCTAAGAGGTTGGTTCTGGTAATACTTTTGCTTAGTTAGATTAAATTTATTAGCCCTTACTATTAACTAATTAATAATAATCTAGTACTAGTGATTTAAAAAAATAGAGATTCCTTATTTAAATAACAGGTATTTGGATATTTTAGGAGGCTATTTAAATAATTATGTCAGTCATTACTATTTTGGATATTAACTATGATGATTTGTTTTATAATTTTGAATAAGGTAAATATAGAGTTCCATTATATTTATTTTTTCTTATATCTTTCTTATAGTTATTGCTAATTAGATTCTATAAACCATTCAGATGTGTACATTTTTAATATAATTAGTAAGAAACATAATGCTTTTTTCATATTCTTGATTTTCACTATTACATATGCCCTATGGATTAGTGGTCTCATAGCTGGAGAACATTCTGATATCTGGAATATAGAAAAATCTGTTTAGCTTGGATTTGCCATTTTTATTGGTGTCATTTGCAATTTTCTTACTTTAATTACTTCACTATTTCAATTTTCTTTGACCAAAAAATAAATATCATTTTTTAGTAAGCCATTTAATATATTCATAGGAACAATTAAATATGTTTTTATTCCGCCTTTTATTTATGCCTTTATATTTTAAATTTTCAATCCTTTTGATTATATTGCAGTTCTAATTTTATGGATGTCAACTGAATTATGGGCCTTTACATTTGGTGGACTATATTTATATAGTATATTATAAATTTTACATGGTAAAGTAAAAAAAGATATATTTATTTTAGTTTAATCTAAATTAAGATTAAACAATCTCTGCTGCACTTTTGGCATTTATCAACATATTTTTTCCGTTTGGACATTATTGAAATAATAATTCTAGTATGAATCTCTAAAGAGAAAACATATTTAATTATATAAAATAATTGTTAATAATTTTCATACAAGTCTTTCTTTATGAGTTTGTACATCTCTACCTTCAACTGAAAACAAGGTAAATCTATCATTTGAAAAAAAATTATTCAATACAACAGGCTAAATGGGTTTTTCGTTTTTACTATTTTTCAACATCATAAACCTTCTTCTAATTCTACTCTTTCTTTCATCACTTAGTTCTAAATATTTCGATTATAAAATAAATTTTATTCTAAAGTGTTTTTTAATAAGTCTTCGATTGTACTATTAAATTTAAAAAAATATTTTATTTTTAATAGGTAATTCCTTATATTTCATTTGTCGACTAAATTCTTATCACATGATAAATTGATTATATTATCAAACTTAAAAAAAGCAATTTTTTTAAACAAAAATAAAATTCACTATCTTAATTAAAATTTTGATTTTTAGGGATGGCAATTTATGAATTATTTCTAAAGAGTAGAATTAACTAATTGTAATTAGGACGATTACATAAGGCTCCTTTTTTAATAGAGTTACATGAAGCTGTATTTATTAACATAGCCTAAAAAGAAAAGTCTTTAGCTTTAACAAAAATTAATCAAAAATTAAAATTTACACTTGAATTATCTGGCTTCTCAATATTATATTTATTTTTTATGTAATTTAAAAAGGCATCCTTTCAATAAAATTATTAATTAAGCTGATATTGATTTATTTTGAATATGATTTTCTTTTTCAAGCTTTCAATTAAGTTAAAGTTTAATTTTATTGAAAAAGATTTTTAAAGGCTATAATCTAAAATGACTAAATGAAAAAGAATTAGAATTTTAAAATCTAATCTAAAATTAAATGAAAGAAAGGAAAATATGAGACATGAAAATTTTGCGATATAACTTGTTAATTTAAAAAATAAATAAATTAATCTAATTTTTTTTCTTTTTTTAACAATTATTTCCTCTTTAAAAATATTTCTAGGTTTGTAAATTGCTAAATTAAAAAAAAAATTTAATTTTACTTAATATTATTTGAGCATCCGAATTTAAATTACAATTATAGTATGGGCTTCAAGATAAGCTGAAAAAAGATGTGATTAATATTGATATATAAATAAAGTTTAATTGAAAAATTTTTATATAATTTGAACAAGAAAAATAAAAAAATCTTGTTTTAATTTTTTCATGAATAATTTTAGAATTTAAGAATTGATGATTTAATAATTTTCAACTTCTTATAGAAGGTATTTTGTTATTTTTCTTTGATGAAAGAAATATGTTTATATTGAATTTATATAAATTAATAATTATTTTTATATGGTGCTAGAAGCTCAATTATTAATAAAGAATAGATCATCAAATATTGTAATTCCTCCACCAAATATCAAAAGTATTAGAATGTATCTATATTTAGAATATGCTGATAAGACTGCAGAGTACGTGGCTAAAAATGGTGCAACATTTGAAGATCTTGTAATGCAAAAGGAATTAAGCAATCCAAATTTTTGTTTTTTAAGAAGGGATGATCCTTATAGACCATATTATGAAAATAAAATTACTGAATTTGCTAGAGGATTAGTGGGTATGAAATTAATTTTTATGATATTATAGCACCAATATAAGAAGAGGAAGATTAAAAAACAAAGCCAGTACCTAAAAATGAATAACCAAAGAAGGTAGTTAAAGCTCCTCCAAGTGATTAATTTACAGTAGAATAACCAAGAAATTTATCTGCTTTAGATTTAGATATAATAAAACATACAGCAATTTTTATAGCAAAAAATGGTAAGAAATTTTTGGTTGCTTTAACAGAGAGAGAAAAAATGAATCCATAATATGATTTTTTAAAGCCCACTCATGATTTATTTCAATTCTTTTCAAATTTGGTAGATGCATATACAAAATGTTTGCAACCAAAAAAGGAAGAAATTGATAGATTATTAACATATGTTTAAGATAGATAAGTAATATATTAAAGATGTTAAGAAAAATATGATTATGAGATTTATTTGAAAGAAGAGAAAGATAGAAAGTAATAATAGGATGAAGATGAGAAATGTAAATTATATATATATATAATAAATATTATAGAATAAATGGCTATGATAGATTGGAATGATTTTACTATTTGTGAGGCAATAGATTTTGCAGAAGATGAGAGAATTGATAAAGTTTTTGAAAAAGGAATCTAAAGATTTGATAAAATGGATTTTAAAGGAACTGATTAAACATAATTTTGTAATATTAATATTTATTTTTAGAGTAATAATAAAATTTAGTTTAAACAGGGCAAGTAGTATAAAGAATAATAAATAATCCATAATAACCCAAAGAAAAATAAATAATAACTTTAAATTCAACATTATAAAAAGCAGGGTAATAAGGAGATAATAGTGCTCCTATAATATCAAATTATTAAAGACCTTCAACATAAAATGAATAAGTATTTATAAAATGTGAGATTTGTGGAAAGAATTTTCCTAAAAATTAGATAAATGAACATATTTAATTAGAATTATAAGATCCTCGCTATAGTGAAATAAAGAAAGAAATAAATGAGAGAAGTAAAACGACAACATTATAACCTGGAAATATGATTGCAGAACATTTATCTTAATTAAAGAAAAAAAGACCAGATATATTTGAGGAAGATCATAGAAAACCACCTCCACCTCCACCACCTTAATAAAGACCTTAACCTCCAAGACCAGCACCACCTCCACCACCTCCTCCTCCAAAATGAATATTATTAATAATTTTAAATAATGAAAATAATCATTTATCAAATATATTACTTTTACTTTCAATTTTATCGAAAAATAACTCTCCACCTTCTGAATCTATTTATATTCTTAATTCATTGTTAATCACAATAAAAAAATTTATGTATTTTGCACTACAATGAACATCCTCTGTAAAAGACAAACTTGTATAAAAATTTTTATTCTCTTTCAATACTTCAAATAAAAATCCGATGCCATCAAATTTTAATTAGACAGATATCCCATTTGGTAATTTTAAAAAATTATCAAGTTTAATTGATTATTGTAGATCATAAATTGCACATAATTCATGATTAATTTTGTCTTCTAAAGGTTATAATAAAATATAATTTGATGCATTTTAAATTAATAATTTACTATCATACTATTACTTTTTAGTTTTCCTTATATAATTCTCAGTTAAAATCTCAAATTAATTGTAGAAAATTTAGATAACTTTTATTTTATAAGTTGGAGATATTATTATTTCCATGCCTTATATTAAATAAAATTGTTATTAGTTATTATTTTCATGATATTTTATTACTGGTGAGAAATGTACTATAGGATGCATACTTTACAAGCTCACTATATTTTCCTATTTGTTTATAGTAATTGATAAATATTTATCTAAAACTTTAAAAAATTCATATTAGTTTAATTTTGGAATCTTTTTAAGTAATTTCTATGCACTCAAAGAGTGACAAAAGATAACTTCATCATAAATATCATTAAAGATCAATGTCATGCATACTATATAATTTACTTCTCGATCAAGAAGAAGATGAGAATTGACTGTAAAATTAACAGGAACTTTACTATTGATTATATCTTAATCTGCAATCAAACCACTTATAGAAATATCTTAATTTTCTAAGCTTTTAAAATATTTTGGTAATTTATTGAATTTCTGAGCAAACATCATTTAATATTTAGCTTTGTTAGAATTTCTGATTAAACTAAAAAATCTTTATTAATGCAAATTTTCTTCTTTACTTACATATTAAATGAAATTATTTAAATATTAATTTATGTATAATCGGTTTTAAATATTTTATAGTATTTAGCTGGAGGATGATGGAATGGAAGCATAAATTTAATTTTTTTTTTCTTCAATTCTATTTTATAAAACTTTGTTTCCTGATTTTGCAACATTTACAAATATTAAATCTATTTTCTCAACAATTTATTAAGAGAAATCTGAATCCATTGATTAAATAAGTTTTTATTAGTTTTAATAGAAATGAATTTATTATTGTTATTGATAATTGATTATAATAAACTTAAAAAGATGAAAGTTTTCTTCTTCTTAAAATCAAATGAGAATGAAAATAAAGAAGAATGTGAAAGTAAAATAAATGATGAAAAATGATTTGATTGTAAGAATAACAATAACATACAAAATAAAAATATCAAATATTAATATGGTAGTATTCTATGATGAGTATTTTTGGTTGCTATGTTTTGAATTAGAAAGGCTTTTTAGCGGATGATCTAATTAAATTAGGATCGAAAGGTTTCTTAGGTGTTGAAGGTCTAACAAGTCTTGAATTCATAAATCGTTAAAAAAATATTTAAATAAAAATGGAAAGTGTGAATTTTGGTGGAGATAATCCTTAACCTCGTTTTGGTCACACAATTTGCGTCATAGCACCTAATAAGATAGCATTATTTGGAGGTATGTTTTGAATAAAGATATTAAAAGGGGCTGTTGGTGATACTGGAAGGTATACAATCACAGGAGATGTGTATATTGGAGATATAATTTAAAAAAAATGGAAGAGAATTGAAGCAAGTGGAAATGTACCTACAAATAGAGCAGCACATCAAGCACTAGCAATAGAGTTAAATCAAATGATTATATTTGGAGGAGCAGTCGGAGGTGGTGGTTTAGCAGATGATAATTTATATGTTTTTGAATTAAGAGATGACACAGGAACTTGGGTAACAGTACCTGTAATTGGAACAACACCAGGAAGAAGATATGGTCATACTATGGTGTTAATAAAACCTTATTTGATAGTCTTTGGTGGTAATACAGGTTAAGAACCTGTAAATGATGTTTGGAGTTTTAATTTAGAGAAATCTCCTTATTCATGGTAAAAGTTGGAATGCTCTTCAGAATAACCTAATGTTAGGGTTTATCATTCAGCTGCATTATGTTCAACAGGGTCAGCTAATGGAATGATGGTAGCTTTTGGAGGTCGTACTAATGATTAGAGTGCTTTGAATGATACATGGGGTTTGAGAAGACATAGAGATGGAAGATGGGATTGGGTAAGAGCTCCTTATAGAACTTAAACTGAATAACCAGCTTAAAGATATTAACACTCTACCCTGTTCTTAGGAACATTAATGTTAGTTATTGGAGGTAGATCTAATAATGTTGGAGAAACTTTGCCTTTTGAAATCTATGATACAGAAACTTCTGATTGGTATAAGTTTTAGGCAATACAGAGATTCAGACATTCCTCATGGTTAATTGAATAATTTTTATATCTTCATGGAGGCTTTGATTCTGATCAACCTAATATTCCAACTGAGGGAATACTAAAACTAGATTTGAATAAGAGATTCGCTTAAACACCATAACTTTTAAAGTAATTGAATACTATTAAAGCTGATTAATCATTTTCTTAATCATTTAATCCTAAGCCTTCTCCTCCTCTATCTTAAACACAAGATTAATTTAAAAAAACTAATTTATAAGCTACAGCATAATAATAAAAAAGTAATGCATCCTTCTTATTAGATTCAAATCCATATTAGTAAGTTAGAGTTTCAAGTGCTACTAACAAAAATATTAGATTAGCTAATTAAGCTTTAGTAGCTATGACATATGGTCCAGAAGAAGATATTACAAATTAAGTCAAGAAAGTACCTATTGATAAGTTGTAAGATGAACATAAAAAATTAGGACCAGGATTTTAAGATCCTAATTCTTAAAATAAATCATAATTTCTAGATTAATTATGTTAACCTTTTATGTAAAATCTTTTAATTCCTAAAGATTATTCATAAATTCCTCCTAATTCTAATTTACTAACTGGTATTAAAAAGGATATGATAATTAAATTATGTGATGAAGTTTAAAGAATTCTTGAAAAAGAACCTAATTTATTAAGATTAAGAAGACCAATAAAAATATATGGAAATTTAAATGGTCAATATTTAGATTTAATGAGATTTTTTGATCACTTCAAAGCTCCTTACGATAATCTATACAATGGAGATATTGATTCATAAGATTATTTATTTTTGGGAGATTATATTGATAGAGGATCAAGATCTTTAGAAATTATCTTACTTTTATTTACTTTAAAAATAAAATATTCTGATTAAATTCATTTACTTAGAGGACATCATGAAGATCCTAAAGTAAACAAAATTTTTGGATTTGCTGATGAATGTTTTATTAAATTTTCAGAAGATATTATGGATCCAAATAGCATTTATTAAAGAATAAATAGAGTGTTTTAATATATGCCATTAGCTGCAGTTATTGAAGATAAAATTTTTTGTGTACATGGTGGTATTGGTTAAACTATGCGAACCATTGATGAAATTGAATTAATACAGAAACCATTAGAAATAGTTCATGATCCTAAAACTGTATTTTTTATTATGATTTAAGTATTAACAAAAAATAGCATTGGAACTACTATGGTCTGACCCATGTTTATAAGATGAAGAATTAGAAAATTAACCAAATCCTGATAGAGATATATTTTAAAATAAATAGATTTTCAGATTTGGAACGAATAGAATTACTAAATTTTTATAAGAAAACTCTTTAAATATGATAATAAGATCTCATGAACCAACTATGGAAGGATTTGAAAGGTAAAATAATAATGTGATCACAATATTTTCATGTCCAGATTATGGAGGCAATTAACATCAATGTAAAGGATGTATAATATTTATTCATATTTTAAGCTATTTTGACAATTTCTAAAAGAGGAGAAATTATACCAAAAGTTATATTACCTGCTACTCCAAATTAAGAATAAAGGTGGATGGATTTAGAAGAGCCTATATAAAGAAAAAAGGGATTTGCAAAATATATAGTTATTGATAATGAAGAAGCTTAGTTAAGGAAACGACCACTTACACCACTCAGATAGAAGAGACCTTTATCTTAAAAATAATTCAAATGATTTAAATTAATAATTTTTGATATCTATATTACCAAAATTTTAATAAACTAATCAGAAATGCTTTAATGTATTTATAGCTTTTGTATATGTTAAAGAAATATTTGCTAAATAGAAATTTTTTATATTAGATTGTATTAATAATATTCAATTGTAAAAGAAATCTTTATATTACTTCAACGATTCATCCTCTTGAGCTAATGATAAAAATTTAACCTTTGTTGGTTTATTTTCAGGAATCAATTGTTATTTAATTTCTTTCATTTTTTCTTCTATAAGAAATATATATAATAATGTACATTTTCTTCTTTCAAAATCTTCCTCAAATTTTCTTAGAGACTCTTCAGAAGCCTCATAAACAACTTTAGCTGAATGAGATTGTCCCTTAAGTTGAATTAGTTGTATTTAATCCTTTTCTATTGTATCTTTTTGAGTAGATTCAATTTTATTTGTTTAATCCTCTTAATTTTTTTTTTAAACTTTCTAAGTATAAGTATCTTAAGAAAAACTCTACATATAGCTATCAAGCTTTTAAGTAATTTTCTTTTCCTTTTATTTGATTTGATTAAATTCTTCAATTTTTGGAATTTCATCTATTAAAGGGCTTTAATATCCAATAGGTTTAGAAAATTCCTAATCATTTTATTATATTAATTCAATCTCAGCTTCAGGATTTTATTGAATCTCTTAAGATGATTTAATTTAGCTTTGAATTTAAGGATTGATTATTTCTAATTCTTTTTCTTGAACTGTATCCACTAATTTTAAAGCTTTTTTTAAAGATCTTACATGAGACTCTTTTTATTATAATTACATATCTATTTCTTAATTATTTAAAATCTAGGGTTCTGCTTTTATAATATTTTATTAAACCTTAGATTAATCATCTACTGATTTAATTTTTTACTAAATTTCTTTCTATTTTTTTGTAACTGTTTTTTATTTTTAATCCTTTTAATTACTTGGAGTATTTTTAATTAATTCTTTAATAGATTATTGTTAGATTTAAGGTTTTTTTTTTAATGTATCTTGAAGTAAAGTCAATTATAATTCAAAATCAATAGAAGACTTCTAATCTTTTTCTTTAGATTACCAAAAATATTCATCATCTTCTTCTTCACTTAAATCATCAGAACTTAATTCTTAATTTAAATCAGTTTCAATAATTTCTTAACATTCTTCTAAGTTTAATTCTTCCTCTGATAAATTTTGTTAATTATTTTCTAAATTTAATTGTTCAAAATTTTGATTATTTTAAAAGTCTATTTAATTAATGGTCTCAGTATTTTATTCAATTTTCTTTAAAGCTAATGGTTATTCATTTTGATTATTTAAACTTTGCTCAAAAAATGTTTTCTTTAGTTAATTAAAATTATTACCAAATCAGTTAATGGTTCTTGGATTTCTGAATTTTCTTGTCCACTATTTTATTAAACCTCAATTAATAATGTTTTATATATACTTGTTGCAAATGATAATGATCTTGTTTCTCCTTAACTACTTACTCTTCCACTAAATTTAGTACTATCTGTAAGTTCATCAAATATAAGATTGTTTCCTACAATCAAACATATACCTATTGCTGTTTATTATACATCATTTGTATTAATTTATAACTTTGCTTACCTATCATTATTCTAGTTTATTGAAATATTAACAAATCCATTATGATGATAACCAACAAGAAATGCTATAGCATCAACCTTTTATTAAAATTATGGATATTTCAATATTGCTTGTTGAGTAGCTCTAAAATTTGAACAATTTATGTAAATTTCTTCATCTGTTGTTGCTAAATATCTATATGTTGCATTCAAAGTAACAGCACTAAAAAATTGGATAATAAAATCATGTTAAGTTATATTTCTCACTTTTGCAAATAAAGCTGTTGTAGATGTATGTTCTACCAATGCTAAAGCTACTTAAGGAAGTTTGACGAATGGAGTATCAAATCGAACTAGCTAGGATTTAATAGAAAAATACTTGATTATAAATCTATGATCCTTTAGCTTCTTCAAATTAAATAACTCCTATTTCTAACTCTCTTTTTGCATTCCCATTCTATGAATGGCAAATCAAAATAAGTGTTATTATGATCAATGTTTTCATATTATTAAAATAAAAACGAATTTATTAAATATATTATATTTATCAAATTTATATTTCTCATCCAATCAGCAGTTGTCCTTGACTGACTCTCTATTTTTTATTCAATTTTTTATTCATTTTAAAAAAATAATCTGGTATTCTTTACAAATAAATCATTAAATAAAATACAGACATCATCAATTAAGTTTTGCGTCGTTATTTAAGCATTCTAATAACAAAATTACTTAATTGATTCTTAAATTTAATGAAAATCAGCAGACTAATTCTTCTTTTTAAACTAATTTACTTTTGTTGTTGTTCTATAGAGCAATTGTCTTAACAGAACCCCACTACTACAAAATATGTTACTCTCTAATCTAATAAATTTTACGGAATGGTTAGCTTTTATTCACCAATGTCATTATAAACAAATTTTATTGGGAATATTATTGAATCGATAGATTAATCATTTTTATTTTCTGCTAATTTTGATAAAGAAATATAGATTATTTCATATTGTACACTCAATCTCTAAGAAAAAGAAATTACTCATACATTAATATTAATTTAATAGGAAACAATATAAACCTAATCTTTTATTGTTTCATTTAATCCATTCTTTTATGATGGATAACTCATTTGTACAGCATTTTCTTACGATCCAGAATATTAATAACTTATATTTATTGTTTAGACTAAAAATGATATTTAAGATAAAATTTTTAATCAAATTTAATTGGAAACAAATAATGTTAAGTTAGTATTTGGCGGTGTTAATTCAGAATTAAAACTTAGAAGTTTTTAAGGACAATAATTTCCTATATTGGATGCATCATATAGAAATATATATTTCTATTTGAATTTTCTTATTGCTGTTGATTTATGTGCTGATTATGAGGACAATTATATATTTGATTCAAAAGAATATGATTAAAAAAATAATTGGCAAATCACATTACCTTCTCTAGTTGTTTAAGATTATTCTATCTATTTCTGGCACAAATTTACAACTCCTATTGAATTTCCTAATAAAGTATTTCTAATACACATAGATACTTAGATTCAATTTAATTCTCAATACTCTTTAGGAACCAATACTTTAATAATTACTTATGAACTAAAAGAAAACGATAAGATTATGATTGCTATTAAATATTATTCATATGAATTCCCATATATCTATTTTAATACAGATTATATTGAATCATTAATAAGAGAAACGTAAATTGAAGAGATAGATTTAAATTTAATTTATTAATGGCATTATGTTATAATTCAATATTAATTAAATAAATTGTTCCTAAAAATTTATTACCCAGATTAATAGAAATATGTTGAATTCAAAGATGAATTTGTAAGATAATTTTAATATACTTAATTTTCTATAATGTTTGGAGAGAGTTCAAATTTAAAGGCAAATGCTGGATCAGTTAATTAATTTAAATTTAAATTTTGTCATGAAGATTTTACTGAAACTTATTAATGTCATTTCTCATGTTATACTTGTAATGGACCATTAAAAAACAATTGTTTAAGTTGTCCTTTAGATTCATATAGGAATTATGACTCTATAAATCATACCTGTATCTGTAATGTTTGGACTATAGAATAAAATGAAAAAAAGTGTTTTGCTATTTAAGATGTAAATTAAATGACAGTATAATACATTTAAAATATTGAAAATAAGAATCTTGAAAATTTTGATTAAATAGAACCAACAATAGTTTGTGCATATGGTTATTTTCTATTTGAAGATGATTGTTATTAATGGTATTTATATTTTTTATATAGTATAGTCCATCAGCCTCTCAAGATGGTGATTTAATTTGTTTAGAGTGTCTTGATAATTGGTAAAGCTGGATTTATAATTCTATTTGTCGAAATTATGTACTTAAGAGAGTTTATTATGATTTTGAAAAATAGGAATATAACTATAAAATTGATTTGTCTTCTATTTCTTCCTTATACTTATTTGTCGATAATGAATTAAAATTATGTAATTACTGTACTATATTTTGCCTTCATTCTTCTATAGCTTATTAATGTAAATTGATCAATGAAAAACATTTGGGTAAGGATACATATGTTGAATGCAAATAAGGTTATGATAGTAAAACATAATCTTGTATACAATCAAGTAATTATTTATATGACAATCGATGCCCTGGTTTAGCTTGTAATAAATAATGTAAATGTTGTGGTGGCGATAATCATTGCACTAAATGTATTAATGAAAATGATATTATACTCTTAAATAATAAAGATTGCGTTTAATGTACTATTAAAAATTGTAAGTTTTGTTTTTAATATTTAAAATAATCAGATGAAATTTTGACTTCAACACTTTCCTATACTGATTATATACCCATAATAATTAATGAAGATTATTTAATAGGATGTGCTTTATGCGATGATAATTATTATTACAATTTTGTTTTAAATATTTGTGAATCTAAAAAATTGTTAATTTCTTAATCTTGTGATAATTATTTTATAGATCAATTTAATCAACCAATTTGTTTAACTACTTTAACTTAAAATTTTGATGAAGGTATTGAAATTTCAGATTGTTTTAATTTTTTGAAATCATGTTCAAAATGTGTTAAATCAGTGACTAATAAAATCTTTTGTACTCAATGTTTTGATGGTTACTTTTAGAATTTTAATGGATATTGTGAACCTTGTGATGAAAGATTTACCAAATGTAAAATGACATATCTTATTCAATACGATGTAACTGTACATCAATTATAACCTTTCCTTTTAGCTATATCTAACGGATAATTAATCTTATATCCTACTTCTACTTTATTTAAAAAAAAAATAGGAATCTGTAAAATAAATGGTGAATGGTCTTAATTTTGTTATGAAATTAAGAATGTACCTTATTGTAATAAATATTATCTTGATATTTGCATCTAATGCAACTCTAATCAATTTTAAACTGTTACTTTTTATTCAGGATAATGCTATGCATGTTCATATTAATGCTAAACTTGTCTTCCATCCTTATTAAATCCTTCATAAATCAAATGTTTTGAAGCAGACTTTCAAAACAATTATATTGATCAACTTTCAAATAGAGTGAAAATCAAAAGATCAAATCTTATAAAATACTCATCTGAATTGATGATTAAGGAATTAAATTGGAAAACTCAATATTCAGATATCTTTAATTAATAGATATTTTAAAAAATTAATTTCTATCAACTTATGAATAACTCTTTTGGATAATATTTTTACAAGAGATAGACATAAAATATTTCAGAATTTTATGAGCAACTAATTATATAATCAATAACAGTATATTAAGAAACCAATTCAAAATATAAAATTACTTTTTTAACTTTGGTCGATTACCAAATTATTAATTTAAATAATATATCTATTTAAATTTAAGATTTAAACAAAGATAGTATAATCAAAATTAATTCAAAATATGGAGTTCATATCAACATTAATAATCTTATAGTTAGATAAAAGCTTTATATTAATCTCCAAAAATACATATTTCTTTTTCATAATATCACTAGTCTATCTATTAATAATCTAACACTTATGAATATTCATTTAGAAAATTTCCATTTATTTAAACTATCTATCTTTAACTAAACCACTAAAATTGAAATTGATTTTCAAAACATAAGACTTATAAATTGTTAATTAATAAATTCAAGCATATTTTCATTAAATTAATTAGTTGATATATTTGATTAGAATAAAATTGTTTTTGAATAAATCACATTTTAGAATTGTAGTTTTTTAAATTCATTTTTTATTTTATTCTAAGACAATTAAAAATGTTTTTATTTATAATCTTTACTTATTGATACTTTAATTATTTAAGAAAGTGACTTTACTTCAAGTTGTTTATTATCTAATTATACGGCAACATATACCAAATTATCATAGTTATCTTTTAATAAATTTGAACTCATAAATTCTAATTTCTTTGTTGCAGATCTTTAATTTGAAATTTAAAATGTTCAAGTTCTAAATACATCTATACATAATAGTTCATTCATATATTTCAAATACGAAATTTTAGCAACTTATTAGAAAGAATTTCTTATTATTAATGGATTATTTTTATCATTTTTATCTACAGATTCATCTTTAATGAGTTTATCATAAAACTTAATTAGATTAGTTTAGATTTAAAATGTCGAAGTCATAAACTTGAATGATTTTAAGAAAAATCAAAAAATTAAGTAAATCTCTTTTTATTGCAAGCCGATATTTTAATTATTAAAAATTATTTCAATCATGATTTTAATTCTAATCTAATTTAAATTAGTATACTAAATTCTAATATTATTGAATTAACTAACTTTTTTATATAAGGAGAGAAAATCAATGATAGAATCAGTCATGAAATAGAATATTCAAGTTGTTAATTAGAATAGCAATTTTTAAATGTTTATAATTTCACTAAAATTACAATTCAAAACTTATAAATTTTTAATTTAACAATTTGTAATAATAACTTTATTAAAATTGTGGATATACAAAATATAGCAATTCTCAATTTTGATCATTTAATCTTAAAAGATATCTTGCTTTTATAACTCTAAGGCACTTTGTAAACATCCATAATTTCAATTTAAATTACAAAATAGTCATAAATTTAATTTAATGATTTTACAATCAATGATCTATTTGGAAATAATTATGAAAGATTAAGAAAGACATTTGAATAATTAGCAATCTTATGTGTAATTGGACGTTAAAGTAATATGAAAATCACAAATAGCTATTTAAAAAGTAATATTTTAACAAATAGTACTAATGCATTGATTTATTTAGAACTTAATTCTATATCAATCTAAAATTTTACTAATATTGAATCAAATTACTTTACTGTTACAACATACAAATATTTAAAAAAAGAATATGCAGAAATTTCTATTTAGGCAGTTTAGTAATTATTTCCAATTAAATCCGAAGGAAGTGTTTTTAATATCATCTGTCAAAAATTAGAATTTTTTAATATAATAACATAAAATTCCATTGCTTTGTTGGGTGGATTTTGTAAGATCGAATTTATTCTAGATTGTGAATTATATGTTTAAAATGCGAATATTATCGACAGTAAATCTGTTTCAGATTAAGAAAGTAAAGGTGGATCATTTTACATAAATGCAAAAGATGCAAATTTAATTCTTAAATTTATAAACCTAACAATCTCAAATTCATATTCTTTGTATGATGGAGGATTTTTATTCTTAATTCCCTCTGATAGTTCTAATCTATTAATTTTTGAAAATATAAAAGCAAATGGTGTTTTTTCAATTTTTAGAGGGTTTATGAGTGCAGAATTTTCATTTTAAACTAATGAAAATTTAGTTATTCTAAAGAATTTTGACATTAAATTAGATTATAACCAAATTGAAGATATGACAAATAATTATTATGATTTAAAAGATAATTAATTAGATTATGTTAAAATAAAAAATGGATATTTTTATTTTAATTATTGGTAAAATTTTATTTTAATTTTAGTTAAATGTAATTAAGCAACATAAAAATATCATTTGAAATTGTGACTTAGCCAATATTTTATTTAACCAATATGTAGAATTTACAATTGATAGATTTCAATTTAGAAGTTGGAGAATAAATAAGCAATACAATAATAGAGTTCGAATCAATAAAAAGTATAAAAATAAATAATTATTTAGATTCTTAAGAAAAAAACATTATAATATAATCATTCTAAGCTAGACAAGTATAATTTACAATACCTAATACCTTTTATCTGGTGTAGTGTAATAATATATATCGTTATGAAATAATTCTACTACAAAATCTAAGTATAAAATAAATTGCAATTAAAACTAATAATTGTCTAATAAACTAGTTATCAAGATTATATTAGAATGTTGAGAGCATTATTTAACTAAGATTTTTAGATATTTTTAAATATTTTAGACTTTCAAATTGTTAAATTTTTAATTTTTATAAAAACTCATTTCAAAATGCTTTAATTGATATTTATTATTAAACGTAAGTAAAATCTAAATTTGAATTTTTATATTTTTTTTAAAATAAATGTACTTTATCAACTTGCTTATAAATAAGATCTCACTTTTTATAATAAAAGCAAGAAGTCCTTTTAAAACAAATATACATGTTTTATAATGATAATTCATCATATGGACAACTTAATCTTAATAATATAAATTATTTGATTAAATCATCCTATTTTATTAGTAATGAGGCTAAAGAAATGGCTGGTGCTATTTATTTGTAAAATAGTCCTTTAAAGATTTAAAAATCATATTTTATTAATAATAAGGCTCCTAATTTTGGTGCAATATATTGTTCAAATATCACAAATCAAGATAGGGAAGATTCAATTTCTAATTCATTTTTTTTGAATAATATGGCTCTTTAAAATATTAATTCATTTGGAATAGAATTTTATTCTATAAGTCTGAGTTCAACTATTGAAAGTCATCAAATTATTGCAAATTATTCAAAATCATCAAAATTGAAAAATTAGCAGAATCCTGAATTATATGTTCTCTTGATACCTAGTGGATAAGTAATAAAATAATATTAAATTTTTGACACAAATACTCTTAGTTATTAGAATAAAGAATTTACGTTAAAATTTAAAATATAAAATTATTTTAAAGAAAACTAAATTATAGATTAAAATTTGATAGGATGTAATATAACAAGCAATTTGATAGATAAAGATTTAAATATTTTATAAGAAGACATATCTAAATTCAGTATAGAATTTAATAAAGAGGAGAGTGAATTAAATTTAGAAAACTAAACATTTGTATTAAATCCTTATTCTGGTAATTTATTATAAATCTAAATAACATGTGATAGTATTGAGAATAATTATTTTTATGAATTTCTTGCAAAATCTTATAAATGTTAATTAGGAGAGTTTTTTTATGAGGATTAATGTTTAAAATGTAATGCATCAAGAGGATATTATAGTGTAAATCCATTAAATAGTGAATGCATTAAAGCTAATCCAAACTTAATAAAAAATCATACTGAAAATTTATTAAATCTTTATGAAGGATTTTGGAGATTAAATATATTAACTTCAATTGGTGAATATTGCTCTAATAATCCATCTAATTGTTTAGGAGGATGGTAAACTGGAGATGTTACTTGTGTGTTAGGTCATATAGGAGCATTATGTGAAGCATGTGATGTTTATAATGTTAGAGGTTAAGGTAAATATTCAAAAAGTAGAGATTACAAATGTTCATTATGTGAAGATTATGGTTTTTTGATTATTGAATTCTTATTTGCTTTTACATGGGCTTTTTTATAAATTGTTTTGGCTGTTAAAAGTACATAATTACAAAATCAAAAGTTTCTTTTATCAAAATCTTAAACCAAATTTTATGATATTTTAGTTAGACTTTCTTAAGATTAATCTAGTTCAGTCATTAAATTAATAAGTAATTATTTTCAAATAATTATGGTAATCTATACTTTTAAAGTTAAATTTATCTCAAATTTAGATAGTTTATTTTAATTTGTTGGTAATTCAACCTACTCAACTACTTATAATTTTGATTGTTATATATCTCAGATTTAAGAATTAGACATAATATATCTGAATTTACTATTTATTTTATAAGTTCAATTTTTTTAATACTTGTTATATCTTTTATTGTCGTTCATTATTAAACTATCAAGACCTAGATTTTTCTCATTAGAAACCATTTATTCATCCTTCTTTTACTTATATCTATCAGGTCAAATCAATCTAATATATTTGTAAAATTTAATATTATAATTAGGCTAGCACAATTAATAACTCCAAAAACAATTAGTGATATTTAATGGGTCTCAGCAAACCTTTCATATCGTTATTGGACAGAAAATCATTAAAAAATAATGTATGCTCTTATTTTGCCTTTATTAATCTTTTTTGGAATATTGATACCTTTATTTTTATTCTTAAAGTTATCTCATAATAAATCTAACCTTAGTAATTACAAAATTAAATAAAAATATGGTTATTTATTTAATGAATATTCAAAAGCTCATTTTTATTGGGAATCAGTTAAATTAATGTATAGATAGTTATTGATTCTTATCATCGTGTTATTATAAGATTATATTGTTATAAAAGGAGTTATGTTAATTGGATTACTTTTTGCTTATCAAATTATTTTTGGCCTTAGTAAACCATATAATGTTGGCAAACTCAATAAATTTGAATTATCAGCTATTTAAATATGTATATGGTCTTTTCTTTTATGTATTTTACAATACTAAATATAAGAATTTTCTCAATGGCTTAATAATATTTGTTAACTTTTAATTCTAATGTCACTAATTATTTTAGTTTCAAAATCAATTATCAAATTTGTACAAGTATTTAGTTCAAAATATGAATAAATAATTGACTATATTAAGAGTGGATTTGTTAAATGCTTACATTTATAAAAATTTTAAAATTCTAAATTCTTTGAATTAAGTAGTAAAAGAAAAGCAAGAGTTTAAAAATATTTTAAAATAATAAAATAACATGTAATAAGAAGATCTATGACCAACGTTAATATTTAATAAACTTAAAATGTTGAAATAATATTATGTTCTAGTTTATCACCATCCTAAAAACACATAACTCCTGGAAGAAGATTTTTATGAATTAAATTAAGAAAAAATTAAATATTAAAATATAGTTTATATTATTATTATATATAAGTTTTTATCTTAATTTTATATATTTTATTTAATTTTCACAAAATATCTTTTATTAAGAATCAAAAATAAACTGAAAGTATTTTTAACAGAAATATTTGATTTACTATTCATCACTTTGGCTATTTAAAATTAATTTGAATCGAATTTAAAAACAAAAAGAGTTTTTCTATAGAAAGTATGAAAAATATTTATGTCTGTCACTGAAACTTAAATTTTACTGCCTTTATTATTTAAACTTTAATTAGTTAATAAAAGTTAATCGGATATATTAGAAAAGGAAATAATTTAATCAAATCATTTAATGTAAATCTTGAGATTTAAAATGGAAATATATTTTAAGAAATTGAACCTATATTTATGAATTGAAAATTATTAATTATTCATTATTTATTTTTAATTTTATTAAATTGTTAATTTTTGTAAAATTAGTAATGGAATATAATTAAAAAAAGAATAATACTTTTTTTAAATACATTAAAATTTAATAATCTGTTTATTTTAATTTTATTTCCTTATACATTGTTACAGAATAAAATAATTAAGATGATGAGATTGAAGATATTTTGAAACTTTATAAGAAGTTAAAAATAATTTTAAAAAGAATTTATGATGATATTTATTGTATTTTTAATTGAATAACAAATTTATAAATAAATAATAATAAATGGGAGCTTAATGTTGTACATTACCAACAAAATTAACAGTTCATGAAATAGATATTGACAGTTAAAAATTAAGAGGAAGTGTTCACACTCACACTAAACGATCTGTAATTAAGAAAGATTAGAAAAGTGATGAAGAAATATTAAATAATTAAAAAGAAAACTATGAGGATTTCGAAATTCTTGCTTCAGGTTCGATAGATTTAAAATAGAATTAAGATAAGAGTTCTTATTTAAATAAATTATTTTAGAATGAAGAAAGCTAGATAGAATCAAGTATAACAGTATTATTGATTTATCAAAATAGCAATTCCAAGAAGTAAATTTTAAAGAAAGATAACAAATTCATCAGTTGGTTCTATGAAATTGGGAGCAGAAGTGTTTGTGAATCTTAAATCAGGCAGTATTCATAAATATTATGAAACTGGAGAAATATTAGGATAAGGTGCATATGGAAAGGTTTGGAAAGTAACACATAGGAATACTGGTAAAATTAAAGTTATATAATTTCAGGTATGATAAGAGCGATGAAAGAACTTAAAAAAAAATCAATAATTATTGAAGAATAATAGAGATTATTTGCTGAAATGAATATTTTAAAAAATTTGGATCATCCTCATATCGTTAAACTATATGAATTGTATTAAGATTAAAATAATTATTATCTAATTACAGAATATTTATCAGGTGGGGAATTGTTCGATAGAATAAAAGAATTTAATTATTTTAGCGAAAGAAAAGCAGCTGAATTAATGAGATAAATATTATCAGCAGTTGTTTATTGCCATTAAAGAAGTATTGTACATAGAGATCTAAAACCAGAAAATGTTTTGTTTGTTAATGATTCTTAATTATCCCCTTTAAAGATTATTGATTTTGGTACATCTAGAAAATATGATCAAAATTAAAAAATGACTAAAAAATTAGGAACTGTATTCCTATATAATCAATTAGGCTTATTACATCGCTCCTGAAGTATTAAAGTAAGAATACAATGAAAAATGCGATGTTTGGTCTTGTGGAATTATTCTATACATTCTTTTATGTGGATATCCTCCATTTACAGGTAAAAATGAAGAAGAAATTATGCAAAAAGTATGTGAAGGAGAATTAATTTTTGAGTGTAAGATTTGATCTTCGAAATTAGATTAGAAGAAGATTGGGAAATGATATCCACAGATGTTAAAGATCTTATAACAAATATGTTACAAGTAGACCCTAACAAGAGATATTCGGCATTGTAAGCATTATCAGATCCATGGATCAAAAAGAACTAATCTAGTACTAAAGTTAATAAATCAGCCTTATAAAATTTGTAAAAATTTTAAGTATTTTCTAAATCTTATTAAGGCTTAATCAGTATTTACTTAAGCTGTTCTTGCTTTTATAGCTTGCTAAATGACTTCATAATAGGAATAGGATGAATTAGCCAAATCTTTTTAATTTTTAGATAAAAATGGTGATGGAATTTTATCAAGAGAGGAATTGATTGAAGGTTACATTTCTGTTTGTAAAAATAAACAATAAGCTATGTAAGAAGTTGATAAAATTTTATCAATTGTAGATATAAATTAGAGTGGTTAAGTAGATTTTTCTGGTAATATAAATGATTTTATTTTCTTAGAATTTTTAATGGCAGCTATGAATTAGGAAAAATTGGTTTCTTTAGAAAAAGTAAAAGCTGCTTTCAAAATTTTTGATGCTAATGAAGATGGAAAAATATCAAAAAATGAACTTGAAATGATGATTGGAACAATTGAAGATGATATTTGGTAATAAATTCTTTTGGAATGTGGAGCATAAGGAGAAATTACGGAAAAGCAGTTTATAAATATTCTTCAACATTAAAAACACTGAATTTACTGTAATTAATTTGTTCATTTTATTAAAAATAGAAATTCATTTTGATAAATAATCACAATATTGAACATGTAGAAAAAATTCTCTATTTTTTATTTAATTTCTAAGCTTTAGATCTTCATCTTAATAATATTATCAAATAGTTAGACTATCTATTAAATCTAATTATTCTTAATTCTATCTATTCTCTATAATATTCTATCATCTTTATTGATTTTAAGAGTAAATTTCGATTAATTAAATTCTTTATTCAATGAGCATTTGCAAATAAAATCCAAATTCTAATTATCAAATAGAGAATTGGGTGTCTCATCCTATATTCTAAAGTGAATATGCAAAGTTTAATTTATTCTTTTGAATAAAATTTTACATCAAATGTTAGTAAAACTCCATCCAATATCATATCAATTATACTTAAAATCTCAAATTAATCTCCTTGATCTATCATTTTCCCCAAAACTGTTAAATGTAAAGTATTACTTTCTTGTAATATTTGAAATGAACATATTAAATCATCTTATATATTGATTTCTATTCTTTTTTGTTCATTGCAATTTTGTATAACTTAATTGAAAGTCTATTTGGTTTATCAAACTTTATTTATTAATAATCTTTCAGAATTTAAATTTACAATTATAAATTTTAATGCAAAATTATGAACAAATGGAAATCTATTCATTTACAAAATCATGAAATGTTATTTCTTCATACAATTTTGTTGTTGAATATCTTTTTTTGATGGTTCTTCACCCTTAATAGCAAAATAATTAGGAAATTACTTTTAAAATTTATATAATACAAATTACTTTAATTTCTGGAATTTTGTTGATGAACTCTTATATCATTTATTCATTTAGAGGATATCCAACTGATTATGCCAATAAATTTAATTTATCATTCATTTTATAATTTTATAATTTTCTAATTTTAAACATGATTTGATTAACTCTTATATTTTAATAAAAAGGAAAAGAAAATGCTTTAAAATTATTAATATTTTATCAAATTATTAAAAATCAACACACACTATCAAAAACAACTTTATCTGGATCAACTTACTTTGCCAAAGGATTCAATTCATAGATGGTATTTGCAAGTTATTTTGATTAAAAAGTTCTTATTCCTTTCAATCCAACATAAGATATTCTAATAGGATCATTTATTGTTGATTTAATATATAAAACAAGGTTATTAACATTTTCAAATTTTGATACCTTGACTGCATTTCCAAATTATCCATCTAAATTTGGACTTAGAACAAATTACTATTTAAATATGAATAAGTTACTTCTGCACAAGGTGTTTCTATAAGTCCGAAATCTACATTAGAAATATTTGTATAAGCTTTCATAAAATTAGCTGCTGATTATTCATTTAGGCTGACTACATTAATTTATCTAATTCTCACAGTCTCATTAAAAGGTATAATAATAATTATTTCTGAGTCTAAATCAGATTAAACATAATGATTCTTTATATATTATTAAATAAATACTTTTTGTGTCTTGTCTTTTTCTGGTCGAATGATTTATTTAATATTTTATGCTGTTTCATTCAAGCAATCAACTTTATCTATTTCTATTTATCCATATAAATCATCGGCATCTTCATTAAACATATATTCTGCACATCCACAATTTGGACCATGTACATGCTACATTTTATAAATATTATAAAATTATATATATATATAAAGTACCAAAAATTATAATATTGAGTTAAATTAATTTTGCTTCACTAAGAATTATTGAATAAAATTATGAGGAATAAAGCTAAAATATATATATATTAATCAGTTATGATTATTTTAAACTTTCTTTTAGTTCTAGAAAAGAAATTAAGTCTTATTATAGAATTCATTAGAAAATCACACCTCTTTGAAATCAACATCAAATATTAAGAAATAATTCAAATAAGTTTTATTCAAAAGAAAAAGTTGTAAGAAGTTTAGCAAATGATAATTTATTTAGAATTTGAATATTAAAATTAATAAATTTTAAATAACAAATAAAAATAAAAAATAAGACAGTTTTTAAATTATTTTATAATTAAGCTTGATATATTCAATATTAAAGTATACTACATGATTTTAGTGTATATAAATCTAAGTTTGTGTAAATAATAGTTAATAAACACAACATTAATGTTATTTGTTATGTGTTTGTAACTGAAAAATATTTGTGCGATATAAAAATAATTTAAGGAAAGAGGATTAGATAAAATTTAATAATAATTGATGTATCTATATCTCAATTTAAGATCAAACTTAATCCAATTACTATGGTAATAATTTAGAATCCATAACTTATTTTCAAATAATCTGATAAATATTTAAATGCAGGATTGGAGGTAAATTAAGTGCAAGCTGTGCATTTATTATTATCAAATGACCATTTGTAATTTACCATGGTCTTATTCATGCATGATTACATATCAAGTTATTCTAATTCAGAAGCGGTTGTTTCATAACAAGTTGTTCCATTCCAAGTACATGGAATTATTTTAAATCCTGGCAGATCTAATTAAATAGTACAATTATGTTAATTTATAAAGTCGGAGCAACTCTTTGCTTTACAAGTTTTAGAAGTATCATCATATGTACAAAATTAATTGCAATATTCTTAAACATCTGAATAATCTGTGCAATTAGTAGAGAAAAAATCATATTATGTGCATTTCGAATTATCATTGAAATAACACATATTTCCATATCCATCTGATTAATCACAGGTAGCTGCTGTTGAAAATGAAGAGCAATCAAGACTTTAAGGCTCCTTACAAGTATTATCCTCTCTGGTCATTTAACATGAGAATGGAGAACAATCCTCTTCTGTGGCAGAAGTACAAGAGAAATCTTAGCATTTCTCATCAACCCACATACAGTCAAAACCATAAATTTTTTATCCACAATCCTCTTTATCAAAATCAGCACATGTATAATTATGGCTTTCACATTTATCAGTATGCCATTTGCATTTATAATCAGAAGAGTGTCCAGTACATTACTCATCTGTTTTTAAATATTAACAATCCATATCTACACAAGTGGTTCCATTCCAAGAACAGTAATGATACAATTCACATAATGTTTATCCATATTCACTACAGGCACACATCTAAAGAAGACTGAACTAAACACATAAGCTCATTGTTATCAAACCAACAATTAAAAAGATTCTCATTTAATTATATTAATAAAATATATTCATTTTTTTATTCGTTTATAAATTATCTATTGTATCTTTTTATTAATATCCAATTTAAATATATAGCTATCATTTTTACAAATATAATCCAAGAAACTTTCTTCTAGCTAGTTTTATTTAATATAGCAATATTTCAATAAGAGACGGTTTCAGTTTCGTAATCATTCATATAAAGAATTTTTAATACAAAAAAAATTAAATTAAATTAAATTTCCTTGTAACACTAAAATTTTTCTTATTATTTTTTACTCTATTCATTAGTCGTGAATTTATTAAAAGGCCATTATAGTTGATTTCACTAGTATTGAAAATATATATATTTCAATCCTAGAAATTTAAATTTTTTACATTACATCTTTTATATCTTCCTTGGACATTTTAATCACACATTATTTTTCAATTAGATCATTGAAAAAAAGACTTATATATAGAATTTCTAATATATTTGCCAATAATCAAAAACTTGTCAATTTAAAATATTAAAATTTATTTTTTATTAAATTTTATAATTCAAACCATGTTATAAACTTTCTCTTTGATTATTTAATCTATGCAAAGTAATATGAATTTTTTTCTAATTTATATTGATTATATTCTAAGGGTATCAATAAAGCTTAAATCTCATTAATTATTAAACATAAATAATTTAATTAAAAATATCAATAATATTTTTCACAACTGATAATAATGTAAATGTATTTTAAATTATTATAAGGTAAACTTATATTAAAAATAATGATATTTTTTTCCTTAAATTTAACAGGGTTTTCTAAAAATTACGTTACTGAATTTTGAATTTAATAACAGTTAAAAACAAAGGATAGCTTATCAGCATGAAACAAGATTTTGCATCTAATTCTATTTAATAATTACATAATCTATTTTAAAAAAAGTATTATTTACTAAATTAGAATGAAACCCTTCAAATCCATTTATGGTTTATAAAAAATTATTCAATTTAAAAAAAAATCAAGCTTATTAATTTGCCTTAAATTATGAATAATCATTTAAGAAGAAATTTATATTATACTTTGAGAAAAATCTTCGTAGTAATCTTAATCAGTAATTTATAATAAGACTTGAGAGGCGTTTCTTTAAATGTTAATATGTGTTAATTAAGTATCTTCAAGTAAATTATTAACTAAAATTAAAAAAAAATTAAATTTCGGTATATAAATATATTAAAAAGGAACAAATAATTCTATTGATTAAAAAACTTAAGCAAATATTTGAACGGGATCTATCTTTCATAAGATTATTGTAAACGATTATTTTGATATTATTTTGATAATGAAAAATAACTTTTGAACTAGCCTTTAAGTTTTTCATATTTGAAGACCTTAGTTCAATGAAATAATAAAAATTGTTATTATCTGTCTTAAATAAAATTAGAATTGTAATTCTAAATAAGAAATTCGCTTTTGAATGATTTTATGTCAGCAGAATATTATTTTTGTTAGAAATGAAAATAAATTGACAAAATATATATTTCTAGTATATAAGTGATATGATGAAGAGAAGATTGAAATCCTGAAATGATAAGTATAAATAAAATATATTATGGATTTGAATTGATACCATAATATATATAATTATAATATAAAAATGATATTGAATATTGTATGTATGTTTATTTGTTTCATGGTTAAAATTACTCATAAGTTCTACTACCCCTAGTTTATCCAATCGAAGATGTAGTAGTTGTTCCACCTGTTCTAGTTACTACTCTTGAGGATGAAACTACAACTTCCTATAAAAATAAATAAATAAAAAGAGTATACCTTCTTTTATCCTTTCTTAAGTGCCTCTAACTCAGCTTCACACATAGTCAATTATTCTTAGCATTCATTATAATCATGATTGACTTTGATGAATTTCTACTTCCAAACTTCAACTTCAGATGATAGATATGTCACTTTTTCTTAGATAACAGTTTGACCTTAAGATTCTAATTATTCATATCTGAGTCTCCAATCTTCAAGATCTCCTTCTTTGACTTTGATAGTGTAAGTCAATCTTTCTATTTCTGATGATAACATAGCTATTTTAGTCTTTTAATATGGTATTTAAATACCTCATAATCTCTTAATTTAATCAGTAATTCATTGTTTTCTTTTCTTAATCTACCATTTTCATCTTACAATCTTCTGATTTGATCTTCTAGATCATTAATTTAGCTTTCAAATTTAAGTCTAATATTAAAAAACTCTCTTTCTTTAGAAGCTAAATCTTCAGATTGAGAACTTCTCAATTAGATTTCTCCTCTCATGGATTATAATTACATTTGTAATGAATCATTTTCTGATCTTAATTGCCTTAATTGAGCCTCTAAGAGTTCTACTTTAGAGTTATCTACAACAATTTTATCTTTTTCAACTACTTTTTCAACAATTTAGACTTCTTTTCTTTTTTCTAATTCAGCAATCAGAGATTGGAGATACTCACACTCTAATCTCCAAGGTGCTTCAATTTCTTCCTTTGAAACTACAATAACATTCATGCATAGTGATTGTGCAGCAACACAATTCTATTAAACAGAATAATTGCCTTAATATCCAATTTAAGGAATTGCAGCCATATTTGAAATATAACTTTATCCTCCAACAAAGCCTTGTGTTTAAGTTCTTAAGACTTGTTAAGATTACATTCTTGGAATCTTTGTAGCACTTCTTTATTCAACTTCAACTGTGGTTGTCTTCAAATAAGAAATGAATTTACTTAGACTTTTGGTGTTTCTCTGGCAATTACTTATTCTACTCTATCCTAAGTGATACTTCTGACATTTTCTTTAGTCCCTGATGTATATTGTCTTTGAGAAGATGATGATGTTACATATTATCTAGTTTAGAAATCACTCATCTGATAACAAATAAATTTTATTTATCTAGCAATCAAACTTATATTTTAGGTTTTAAGTAATTAGATGATATGAAAAAGAGTATTAGATGTTGTATATTGAATTTGATTTACAGAAGATGATTGTTTATACTTTGAGAATTGAATATAAAGATTAAAATAATATAAATAAAATATATTTAAAAAATGTCTTTGGCTTTGGCAGGAGTGGTACCTCCTTTATATGAGAGGAATCAAGAAGCTACAATTTACATAGGCAATTTAGACCAGAAAGTCACAGATGATATAGTCTGGGAATTATTCATTTAATGTGGACCTGTAGTTAATGTTCATATTCCAAAAGATAAAATTTCAGGAGAACATTAAGGTTATGGTTTTGTAGAGTTTAAGAGTGAAGAAGATGCAGATTATGCAATTAAGATAATGCATATGATAAAGTTATATGGGAAACCTATAAAGGTGAACAAAGCATCTCAAGATAAAAGGACTCAAGAAGTTGGTGCCAATCTTTTTATAGGAAATTTAGATACTGAAATAGATGAGAAAACACTGTATGAAACATTTTCTGCATTTGGTCATATCTTATCAACGAAAGTATTGAATATTAAATAATAATAGATTATGAGAAATCCTGAGACTGGAGTTTCAAAAGGTTATGGATTTGTAAGTTATGATAATTTTGAATCTAGTGATGGAGCTTTGACAGCCATGAATGGATAATTTTTAGGAACTAAGATTATTCGTGTTGAATATGCATTTAAAAAGGATGCCAAAGGAGAGAGACATGGAAGTTAAGCAGAAAGATTGTTAGCTGCTAATAGACCATTGGCATAAAAAGCACTTTTAGGTTTTGTTGGATATATGCCAACAGAATTGAGAATTCCTTTGCCTCCTCCACCTTCTATTTAAATTCAACCATTGTAAGAAGGATACAAACCCTTTCCTTAATAAATTCCTGTACCACCTTTACCACCTCCTGGAATTCCTAAATGATTTTAAACATAAATAATATATTAGTCATTCAATTATTATTCAATTATTTATTTTTTGCTTTTCAATAACCTAAGCATACTATTTTGTTCTTTATTAAGAATCTACTAAATAAAAGTGTAGTTCTTCTATATTTTATTCATATTCAGTTAATGTCCTTGTATTCAGAATTTCAAATTTAGGTTTAGGAACTGTGGTCATTTCTGTAGATAAAGATTACTTTGTTTATTATCCATTTTACTCCATTTATTATAATAAATCCCCTAAGAAATTTATTCTATTGATTCTTTCCTCTTTACTTTTGCTATTATTTTATTTTTATTTATTACTTTCCATTCACTATAACATTCTATTTTCGTTATTATGAAGTTGATTAGGCACTTGATGTAATCTCAGATGCATGATAATTCTTTAACCGAAAAGAAGGACTTCTCCTAATCTAAGTTGAAAGAAACAATTATTAGTAATTCTAGACACACTCAAATTAACTAATACCTGTGCAATTGGTCCAGCCTATTATTAAATCTATCATTCTAAACAAATCTCATCATACTTCTAATTGCTGCAATTCGCCCTAACTAGGTGTTCTGTTAGGACTTTACTAGGTGGAACATCTTTATTGACTCGAACTATTTTATCTCATTCCTTGAGAACTCTTTGCTCTGCTAGGATCTATCACTCTTTGTCGCCTTCTAGAATTATTCAAATATGGTGCATATCGAATAGGGCAAATGTTCATTTTTTTAATTTATATATATAATAATATACACTCTTTCTCAATACCCTTTCTAAATTTTCTATTCTTATCATAAATATCATTTCATATATATTCTACTACACTTACCCATTTTAAATTACTTATCTTATACTATTCAATTTTCATCTTTTGTTCCTACGAATCTCTCTCATTCTGTAGACAATCCTTGCATTTTCATGTTCTTTAATAAATATTTATATTGTCTACATTTTACTCTAATTAAATTTATTCAAATTTACTATCATATCACATTCATTTATATTAATTTATATCTTCTCAAAACTTAATTCTAGTTTCTTACTTTTAATTCATCTTTATTATTCTCCATATCTATAAATTATCACAAATTAACTTATTCCCTTATTTTAAAAATAATTTACACTTTTTAACTTAGAAACTTTCTGTATTGTTATTTTCAATCATATTCTTTTTCATTTTTTCAATTCAATTAAAATTACAAAAATCAAAATTAATGTATTTATTATTTTTTTTACTTACTGTTGTCCATTAAACTAAAGAAATCATTTAAGTCCATAATTAGATCATATAGATATTTTATAAGATTATGATAGAATTTGAATAGACTTGAGTTGTTAAAATGATTATATTTCATATATATTGAGAATATAAAAATTTTATAAATTAATTCATAAAATTTATTTAATATTAATTTCAATAATATTCGATAATTAAAAACGAAATCTATTTTTTTAAATTTTATATTGGCAAAAAGACTTTAAATAGTGATAGAAGTTTTCAGTGTGAAGTAGGCCAAAATGATTAAGTAATCTAAACAACATTACGTCAACTCATATTTGATTCAGTTTTTGAAAAAAATGACATGTAATTATAAGCCCTGATTACATTTTAAAAATTTCAATGTATCATGATATTCGAATTTAAATTCAATATTATTTCAACATGTACATTTAATAATAATATTTTTATAAAATTTGAGTTATGTGTGATTTGTAAAGTAAGTGGAGTTGATGAAACAAATAAATTACAATCGGAATTGATACTAGAAATGTGTAAATCTAAAAAATATATATGAATTTTGTTCCTTATTGAGAATCAATACCTGTGCTTGTCATCATCAATTAAAAGCTTTAATTTGAATTAGTTTATGAATTAATAAGATTTGATTTTAATATAGAAATGAAAGTATATGGTATTAAATAAGAGGAACGAACTAATCCACCTCTAGTAAGCATTCCAAGAAGGCTTCCTTTCTGTATAAATAATAAGTATCTTCAATTAGTTTAGACGAGTGAAAACTTCTTATCAATTTAAAAACAATAGGCTGTTATACATAAATTTATGAGAGCTCTACACTAGTTATAATTAGCTTAAAACAAAATACATAATTAACCGAAGTACCCGTTTGTATTACAACTGTCTATGAATGAATTAATGGTAAAAAATTGTTTAACTTTTTAGGTTCATTTGGGTACCAATAAAACAGAATTAACGATGTCTAATGAGTTCTCTTTATATTCTAATTTTCAACCAATTTAATATTGCTGTCCTCCTCCAGCTAGCTCCCCAACTCCAACAATTAAACTTCCGATATACAAGAAGAGAGAAGTGAATGTTCTTTAAGACTAGAAAGACACTAAGAACATTCCCAAGAATTACTGCAAGAGTATCATCACTTTTGCATGTAAAAATTAAAACCTTTGTCTGGAAATTCTTAAAGACTAGTTGAAAGTTGTTAAATTCTTGGAGAAGATTACTGTTTACAAAAAATAACTATTAAACATAAGAATTTTCAGTAGCCTTTTACAACACTCTGATGACCCTGAAGAAGAAGAATTTAGAAGGGCTTTCAGAATTATAAGGTAATTTCAAATAGTATTTATAAAAGTCGGATATTTATCAAGAAATACGCTATAAACTATATATTTAACTCGAAGATAGTCTAGCATAACTGGCATATGAGATATAGATCCTAAATATATAAAGGAGTTAAAAGTCCAAACAATTTTTCACATATTAAAAACTTATGAAAAAAATTTGATTGAATCCATTTGATTATAAAATATGATTAATGAATAACTAATGCATCAATTAGATGTAAGCTTTTCTACTTTAATGATTCTTTCTTAAGCCAACCCCCCTTAAACAATCTAAATGTCTCTTTAGTATCTCCAGACCAGAAATGTTAACAAAAAGTAATATCTTCATCAAAACAACTTTATCAATTCAAAAAGATTTGTCAAGGGAATCGAAAGAATCTAATCAACAAGGATAGAATAAATATAATATTAATATATTCAAAATCATGATTAAAAAAATTTAACAATCAATTTTAATATTTAAATTCCTTTATTAATCTCGAAGAATTTTTTAAAAATTTAATTAAAATGCATAACATAAAATAAAAATAGATACCAAAGCTCTTGACAGAATAAACTTAATTATCTTTTGAATTAGTTAAAGTCTTTGAAATAATGAATTGAAACAAGAAACACTTATCATATTTCATAAGAAAATTAAATTATTCTAACAAAATCTTTAAATTCTTTTAATTGATTCATAACATAGATTTCTACTAAACTAGGTTTTTATTCAATTTTTATAAATATTTATTAAAATCTTTATCTTAGAGTGTAAATTAAATATGCAACTTTTGAATTTTAAGAGCAATTTTAAAATCCTTAATCTGTTAACGAATTCTGGCTTAATTTTAAATATAAATAATTAAAGTTAGTAATCTAGATATTTATTCACCTAGGCTAAATATTTTAGAAAAGAAAGTTTATTTTCTTTCATTTCTAAATTTTATTAGAATTTAAGAAATTCTAAATTCTTTAAAGAAGTAGTTATACATATTCTAAAGCTATCCTTATCAGTTAAGGATTTCACATTAAGGTTAGAAAAAAAGTATTAAAAATAACTGAATAAGGGTCTCTGTTTAGGATATCTTAAAGCAAATATTAATTTTATATTGTGCAAAAGAAATCTAAATATTTAAATAGTATATACTTTTTAGTTTGATATCAATCATCTTTATGGGAAAATAAAATCAATTAATTTAAAGAAGATCTTGACATTGATATCTAAAAAAAGTAAATAAAAGTGATAATTAAAATGCTTTATAAATTATCAAATTTGTAAAAATAATTCATTTAAATACTTGATTGTCTCTTAAGGATTATTAACTTATTATCCAATTGTTCTTTCATGAATGTAAATTTCATGATCATTTCCCCCTTCAAATGTCTTATCTCCAAAAAAGTATACTTTTTCAAAATCATTTAAGAATTGGAGACAATAAGTTTTATCCCAACCTTTTGGAAATACATCAAAACTAATTTGTCCACCGATTGAATATTTGAAGTTTAAATCTTTAAACTCGTTCTCTAATTTTTCAATCAGTTACTTTCTAACTTAATGTTCTTTATCATATTATTCAAAATCATCACGCTCTTATTATGAGCAATTTCTACCAATTGGTGAAATATTAATCATCCCATTTCTATATTCTATAAATGTACCTCTTTTTAATGGTAACTCAATCTAAGATAATTATAAAAGAGTAAAATTTATGAACTTCTATAATTAATTTTCGCCCACAAATTTATTTAATGATTATGTATGGAAATGCTCTCCATTCTTAAATGAATGTAAACCATTTTCACTAAATACATAATCAACCATATCAATTACTAATTATAATATTCTTTATAATTACCATCTTATCCCACCTAATCTTTTATTTTGTGATAATCAGATCCTCCAACTATTCCAACATAATGCAATTTACATAGTTACTTCAAAGTTTCAAGCATATTTTATTCTATCTTATTCCTTGATTTTGTGAGAGTCCCATCCACATCAAATAAAATTATCAATTATTTACTTCTAGCCATCATATAGAATAATAATTATATTATTTTAATACTTTTAACATTTACATAAATCAAATTAATAATTATACGTGTCCTATCATAAGAAAATATTTGTTTAACGGATATATCATATTATTTTTTTTCGAATTCACATTTAATTTAATTCAAACTATTTTTCATATTAAATTAGTTTATAAACAAATGTTTAAAAGGCATTTGATTATATGAGTATATCGATTTTCTTAAAAATCTTATGAATCATAAAAAAACTTTATAAAATGATAGATCTTACAATTATAATTCTATAAAAGAGGATAAAAAAATTGCTTAATATACTACTGTTTATTTTAAATCAATTTAATCCATTTACATTAATTTGTAACATTATTTTGAATAATTTATCATTGAAAATCCAATATAATTATGCATAGATAATTATCAGAAATAAAAATATCATGAATAATAAAATTTAACATAATCATTTAAAGGTTTAATAGTATTTGACTAAATTTGAATGATAATCATATTACTAATGAGTTTAAGCTAATAAATAGATCATGATTAATATTTTATAAAATACAAGAAACAAAATGAAGGATAATAATAAAACAATATAAGTTATTGAAACAAAATACTAAAATAATCCTGAAAAAAAATATATTTAGAAATTTAGATTATATTCAAACCTAACTAAATATTTGATAAATTATCTAAATATATCTTTGAGAAATATTAGAATATTAATATAATAAATAATAAAATTACAGTTTATAGGATTATTTTGAATTATAAATCTTGATAATAAAATTAAAAAATAATATACATATTTCATATTGAATATAAAATAGCATTAATATATCATACTGGGAATCTTGAAAGCCCCTTAAGATCTTCTCTTTTAACATATCTTTTTCCTGGAGTTATACCATTTTCAGCTTGAATTAATAATTGTTCATAGATTTAATCTCTTCTTTCTTCTTCCCATGCTTTCATCTTATCCTTTTAAGATTCAATGGCTTCATCAACTGTTTTTTTATAGAATGCTGCTCTTTCTTTAGGTTTCATAGAAAATAGTTCTGTTTAATCAAAAATCAATAATTTCCAATCTTATGTAGCCATAACTGATTATTATAGTTATAATTATGCTCTAGGTTTACCATTAACAGTAGTTCTTGGAGTATTTAAAACAATGGCAATTCTATGATCTGGAAGTGTAATATTGAAAAAGTAGGTATTATTCCAATTATAATATGTTTTCCAATCATATTATAAATGAGTATTAAGATCCTAAAAATATAAAATATATAAATTACAATTTAAAAGTCAATAATTTATTAATCTAGATGTTATCTTTCAGTTCTATTAGCTAAGAACATATTTTCAGCATTTTAACATGCCTCTTCAAATGGCTTCATATTCCAACTTGGATAAAATTATGTTATATAGAATTTAGCTTATTTGAAAGCAAAATAATTAGCTAATGGAACATATTCACTTTTAGTTGCCACATTTTTTAAGAAATTAGACCAAATTTCCTAATCATTAACTTAATTAAACATAAGGCCGTAAACTATATTCTATAATTCTGAAAATGTAAATTTTAACATATTCTCTTTTACCCAATTTAAGAATATAGGATTTTGGGCAAATTCAGAATTAATAGCTGAATATGCATAATAAATCTTAAGAATTTAAATTAAATAATTACTCTAGATTTTTCTAAGTGTTCATATTAGTCAAAATATTTTAAAACAAATTATTCTAAGTATTTGTATGTTTCTATAGTTCCAGCTTGAATTCCATTATTTCCTTTAGAGAGAGCATATAAGATATGAACTAATTAATATTCATCTGGTTCTTATAATTAATTTTCTAGTAGAAAGATTAAATCATTAAAATCTAAATATAAAATTAAATTAAAATACTTGGTACTTTTAAAATAGAGATACCTAAAAGAATTCTTGTTATATCATCCATATTATATTTTCCTTCTTTTAAAGGACCTACAAAAGAATTCATAACACTTAATCTATATTTATCATTTGCTGTAACATCAAAGGATTAAGCTCTTAAATGTTTTTTTGGTAAATTATTAGCAATGGAATAAAAGGCTTAAGCTAATTTTGCATGATTATTTTAATATTAAGGTAATAAAGTTATAAGGTTATCAATTAATACTTTAGCAAATTTATCATGATTAAATGTTCTAAACGCATAAAGTGCTTCAATAGTTTAATCAACATTTAACTTTTCTTATGAAACTAAATTATAAATTAAATTATGTAATTCATAACTTCCTGCTTTAGGATAGGTTGTTGCTAATCCTCTTTTCAATAATATTAATTCATCAATAGAATAATGATGAATTTATGGTTTAACAATATTTTCAATAATTTCCCAGATTTTATATATATCCTCTTTGTATAATAATTCATTTTAGAGCATCCATGCTATTTTAGGCATTTCTTTAAAATTTGCTTAAGAGACTGCTTCTTTAAGTTTAGTAAATTGATCAGGTAATTTTTTATAATGATCTTCAATGAAATAGTTAGGATGATAAACTAATAATAATGATTATAGAATTACTTCTTGAAAGTTAGAGTGTTGAAGCCTATTTAATTTCTTAGATAATATCTTTAATTTCACTATGAACAGAGGGATTAGAAATAAAATTATTTTTTCTTTAGTTATATTCAGCAAATCGTGGACTTCTATAATTAAAGAACAAATCTTTAGCAATTAGTCTTTCAAAATATCTAATTGGAGGATTTTCACCCCATAATTCATCTACTTATTCTTCTTATTATTCTTAAATAGTAGTTTAGGCTTTTTTGTATCTGATAAATTCATCTCTTTAAAGTTTTTATTTAACATATTTTCTTAATGGTGCTGTATATACTTATCTAGAGAAATATATTAAAAATTACCTTGGTACAGGAACAGTATTTTTATCAAAAACATAGAATTAAGTCTTTTTAGCATTAATGTCAGGGACTTTGACATCTAATAATTTATATTTCTTATCCCCTTTATCTTTTGAGAAAACAGTTTTTTATTCATAATAGACATAATCTGATTTAGCATCTTTTTCTTTTACAAAGTGTAATTTAGAGCTAACCATTCTATCTAAACAGAAATATTGTCGTACACAATTTCTTAACATTAAATTAAATTTATATATTTTAATGTATTACAATATTGATGATATTTTGTGTGAAGATCATCTTGTAGAATGTAGATTAGAAGTTGATTTGTATAAGGGAATATTTTTAGATAAAGAAGCACATATAGAAGATGGAAATTTATAAAGAGGACATGTTATGAAATTACCATTTTGGATGGCAAAAATAATGTCTGAATAAGAATATGATGGGATTTAATTAGTATAAGTTGAAATATTGGAAATATTTGAAGATGAAATATAAAAACATTTAGATGCAGATCCAACAATAGTGAATCTTAAATAATATTCACCTTATTATTATTAATTAGGATTTAAAATGGCTGATATGATTCCAAATGAAATTAGATTAGAAGGATTTAGAGGAGCAAATAAACTTAGAGAAACATTAATTGAGACTCTAAAAAAGAGGTATGATATAATGATATAAGATCAATTTAGGTGATTTTTCAATTAGTTTAATCCAAATTAGAAGAATTGAATATATTGACTGAAGATGAAAAATAAAATTTCTATCTATCTAAAGGAATCAAATTGTAATATGAAAAATGGGAATAAAGATTGACTAGGAGATAAAAAAATGATATCCCTAATAAAAAACTTAAAGAATTATGAATCCCATTAATTATTTTATTTATTTATTAAATTTATGATTAAATGTAAAAGGTAATAGGTTGTTCTCATTGCTAAGGGGAGATTAAATGTTCAACCAATGTTTATACCTATTAGATATATGATTTATAAATAATCTCAAATTATCTTAGCCATTTCTATTGTATAATAATAATATGCTAATCCATATACTATTATTACAAATACAACATATGACATTAAATATCCATTTATCTCATTCTGAATCACTCTAATTGAACCTATACTCAAAAATATAAATCTAAAATTTATGTATCAAAATGTACAATCCTTATGTTATAACTTTAAATACAAGAATTAATTTTCTAGTATTTGAAAATATTATTTTTGAATTCTCTGGAGTCACTTACAAATCATACTAAAATCTATTAGTTATTAATGATAAAATAGTTAATAAAATAAAAAAAAATGAGCCAAGAGTAGGAATTGCTAACAAAATTATTTTATCGCCAGTTGCTGTCTATTCTCCTAATGCATTATAAAAAATAGGAATTTCTATATCAAGCTATCATACTACATTAATGAAATACTTAATTATATAATTATGCAAAGAATACCCACATCAATATTAATTCTATTAATGCCACACCTTCTAAAATCAAATCAATTGCGTCATATGGAGGTATAGGTTATTAATCAGTATAATATCCCTATGAACCACCGAGGAAAAATGGAACATATTTCTTCCCTTAATAAAGAATAGTTTCAACGGGTAAATGAGAATCCTCTTTTAAAAAATTACTTTAAGATCTATCCTAATTAATCATTTTAATAATAATTATTTAAATTCTTTAATTATAAGCAATATTTTAATATCATATATCTCTTACATATTCTTATATTACATTTTAACTAAAAAACACCTTTTATTATTAATTTTGGACATCTAAAACTCATTTTCTTTGATATCAAAAATAAGCATATAATTAAATATCTTATTTGCAAAGTATTAATAAAACTAATCAAATAATTTTTAACATAAAAAGTTATTATTTTATTTGAAATAATCGATTAATAAGAATTTTATATTATGTATATATATTAATCAAATTTAATAAGATTTTTTATAATTATCTGATCTTGTGAACACTTATCAGTATATATTACTTTAAATTTTCTTTTAATATTTAGAATATTTGAAATTAGAATATTATAGATCATTATTTTCATTATATATTTTTAACAATATTATGTTAAAATGGTAGGCCTGTATGCTTATTATACCTTATTTGAGCTATGATAGAAAATGATCTATTTATTTTTAGGAGGAACTATAATTTTTAAATAAAAAGAATGTCTTATTACCTTTTATAGTGAATTCCAAAAAAATTTGTTTCTGTCAAAAAACCTTAATATAAATCTTACAAAATTTTTCAATCAACCATCCTCTATTTCAATTTTTATGATTAATTATTGTCGATAAATTTATTAATTAATGTTAGAATGTATTTTCTGGCATATGATTCTTCTATGATCTAGAAATCTTAATGGTATTGATAGATATGAAATTTTATATAATTTTGATAATTCAAAAATATACATAGAAAAAGTGATTCTATTTAAATTGAAGCTTCTCCTACATGCCAGGCTTTTTTATTAAAATTACTTTTGGATTATGTCTAATTATTTTCATTATGACAGATTTAGAGAACATCTTTGAATTTTTCATTTTTTAGTTTTAAATGTTCATTCTTAATAAATGATGAATAGGATAAATTGTAATCTCTCTAAAAAATAAAAATCTTAAGATAATTATGAAGGCATTAGTTCAAATAGAATCAATAAAATTCTTGTATTATATGCATTAAACATGATTTATTAATACTAAGGTTCTTTATCAAGGTCAATAATTTTATATTGATATATATACCATTTTTAGAAAAGTGATTATGTAAATAATATTATTTCATTTATTTTCTTTGTAAATTAATAGATTTTCAGAATATTTATTATTTCTTTCTTTTTTCTTATCCATTCCACTTACATTCCTATGATTTTAATTTAATTTCAATTTTTTCCTTAAAAATCCTCTCAATCATTCATTTAATGTTAATTGATAGTATTTCTATATGGCAAAAAACATATTACTTCAAATAAGAATCGCCAGTTTTTTTAAACTTTTATAAAAATCACAACATTGAACTTAATAAAAAATGAATTATTTTTTTCCCCTTTATTAAGAAAGCATATTGCTTTGCTGAATACATAATGAAATGTTTCAAATAAAATAATTCAAAACTGTAATAATGTTTAAATATATATAGAAACGACTCAAATATTTTTCAGACAATCTTCAATTACTTGTGTAAAACTTTACAAAAAACATTACATCTTTTCTTTTGCTTCTTAAAAAAGCTAACTATTATCTATTAATGCTGAAATTCTTTATTCTTCAGGCCAAATTTTTATAATTTTTTTTCCCATAACTCGTTTTTATTTGTTATTAATAATAAGCTCTTCCTCAATTTCTTTTGGAATTAGAAAGGCTTCTGAGTTTTTCAGATTTTTATAATAACGATTCTTTAACATATTCAATGTTTTTCCAGGAAAGTACTTAGTAATCTTTTAAAATTTGGGGCCTAATTTTTTAACAAGAAGTAACAGAATTCGATCTTCCTCTGGAGAAAATACAGATTTAGATGCTTTTTTATTTAAGCTTAAATAGCTTTGTTATTTCTCTTTTATGTATTTGTAAAGAGTGCTGCTCCTGTCTTTGTCTCCATAAAGAAAACCTTTTCTTCTTTAACGAGATATTTTTTTTTGTTTGGTTTTTGAAATAGTGGCATTAGTTTCTGAGCTTTGAGTAGCTTAGTTGAAAAAGAGAATAGAATTAGACATTTAATCTAAATCATTCACTTCCAAAGAGTCTTCAAATAAGTGTTAAAGGGAGATGATCATGTTAATTTAATTTATCAATCTCACTCCAAAATATCTTATTTATATAGTATTAAAAGATAATTAGCACAGTTTAAAATGGTTGAAAACGTTAATAAAATTAGAATAACTGAGAGCCATTAATTTTAATTAAAGACTTTAAAGTTTAATTCATATTAATTTCTAATTAATTTTTATTGATCGTGTTGAGGGAGGTTTTTTAGTTAAAATAATAATTAATTTACAAAAACACTCGACTCTAGTAAATTAATTTTAATTAGTGATAATTATTATCAATTTTAAAAAAAAAGCATCCTATATTACATATTCATTTGGCAAACTAATAAGTACCATTCAATATCCAAAATTATAATGATGCGATTAAAGCTGGAAAAATTGATAATAAATTATTATATAAACATGACTATAAATTGTATTAAAATTATCAAAAATTTCTTGCTTTACTTTATAATAAAAGTCTTATCAATATTTAATTAAATAGAAATTCAAATATTTGTAATGAAATTATTTAATTAAATATAAATAAATTATAAAGTTTTATATACAATTATTGTGAGAGCTGTTATTTTCAAGCTTTGCTTTAGATATAATTTATCATTTTTAAAATAATGATTTTGAATAGATATGGTTTTATTCTTTAAGAATAATGGATTTTTAGAAATAAAAAATCTAATTGAAGAATTAGTTAGAAATATATTTGAGCTAGTTTTAGAAATTCTAGCCGAATAGAAATTTGATTTATTTATTTTTTCTAATGTTTTTAAACACTTATTTATTATGAATCAAAGATTTGATTCTATTTTTATTTTAAATTGGGGAAACTTTACAATTAATAGAAATTTAGAGGAATTACGCTAAAAAATGTATGCTAAATGAAAAACACAAGAAACTGTAACCTTATAGAATGCTTAATTTTATAATATCTATTATGTTTTACAAAAATAAATTTAAAAAATTCATTTTGTCATTTTTTGCAATTACTAATGACTAATTAAAATGAGGTAAAAAATGTGTGCAAAATTTCTTTAGCTTCTGGAAAAAGAGGACTTTATTCTATCAGAGAGTTCATTTATTTATGTTGTGGCCATTAATTTAGAATTTTTCTGCCAATAATCCTTGACTCATTATTACTTTAAATAAGTTCTTGTTCGATTTTTTTAGGAATTTCTTGAGATTCAATGTATCGAAGAGATTTATAGTATCTATTTTTAATCATATTGACAGTTTTTCCAGAGAAATATCTTGTTATTTTATCAAACTTAGGTCCTAATTTTTTAACAAGCAAGATTAGTATTCTATCTTCTTCTTCAGAGAATTAGGATATTTGAGCTCGAGGTTTATAATTAAGATAGGCTTTTTGCTTTTCTTTAATATATTTATAAATCGCACTGCTTCTATCTTTTTAACCATATTGAATAGTTTTTCTTCTTTATCTGAACTATTTAAACTTAAAAATTCCATCTTTAAATTAGGAATGTGTTTAATGATGGAATTCAGTTTAGTAAGAGCATTCTTCTTAGTTGGAGTTTAAATTAGAGTTAACTTATTTGGAGATTCTAGAAATCATTTCGTTTTAAAAAAATATTTAATCCTTTCTTTTTCTTCGTATCTCACTTAAATTATAATCTATATCATCATATATATTTAATTATGAATTTATTTCTTATTATTGTTACTTACCAATAAACTAACATTTTTTGCTTGAATTTTTCAACAACATTAATGTTTTTCAATTTTTCATTAAATTTTTTAGATTATAAATTCTTTTAAGAGGAAGAGATAATAAATAATTACGTCAAAGATAATAAAAATTAGGAAGGCAAGCCCTAAAAATTTTAATTACTATATGAGGATTTAAGAAATAGAGATGAAAATTTTAACTAATTATCTGACTAATTGTTAATAAAATTAAAAGAGTTTATTTAGATTAATTTGACTGAAAATTAGAAGGCAGTTTTAGGACTTAAAAAATAAAAAGAGAAATATAGTTTCCAAAAAAAACTGGCTTACTTAATTAAGATAGAGTAGATTGTTTTATGCATTTGTATTAAACTATATTTTTATAAATTAATCGATTTGTTTAAAATTTAAAGTGAATAAACTAAAACTTATTAGATTCTGGATTTGGAAAATCAACTTTGGTTTTTAGTATAAGATTGAATAAAATAATCAAAAACATTTAGGGTAGCTGTGATAATAAACCAAAGAAAATCTGTTATATTGAAATTGAGATTCTTGAAAATTATAATTGATTTATACAATAGGAACCAAGAATCCAAATTAGATAAATAATGATTTAATTTTCTAAAATAAGTTAAGAATTTATTTAACTATATTGTTTATTAATGAATTTAAAAGGTTATGATTTAAATAATTATTAAAATTAATCCATTATAATAGTCAGGTTGAATTCTTTTAAATTCATAATAATATCATAGATCGATATGCTAGTGATACAAGGATAACATAATTAAAAATTCTAATTGACAGGAGTTTATATTTAAAAATACTTTCTATATGAACTTAATAATAAAAATATAGATTGAATAGGTTCTAATAAAATTATCATTTCTATCAATTAGTAGAAATCTTTTAACAACTTTTTCAACCAAACTTATATTATCTTAAAATCTTGAGAAAATGTAGGGAGGGTACATCTTAAAATAAAAATTGCCATATAATACTAATAAATTAAAATAAAATTTAAAAGAAAGATAAAGAGGAATTTTAGAAAGGAATTGAAAATTTTGTATGCTGACATAAAACTAAATTTTGAAAAAATAATGATTAACTATAAATTATATTATATAAATATAAATTAATTAACATGGATTCAGGAGGTGCAAATACTTTTGTTGTAGAACCTAAGGATGAAGAAAAGTGAATTTTGAATTCTTATAATTAGATTTTATCCTGCTAAAGTGAGAAAGGTAATTTAAGAAATAATGGATGAAAAATTAAAAAACGAAACTTATGATGCTAACAACACTCCTAATTTGGCAGAAGAATTAGTAAAAAGAATTAGAAGCAAAGTAAGAGAAAGTAAATTAATAATTTCAATAATTCTAAAGCAATAAAAATGCCAAGATTTAAAATTGCTGTTTAAGTTGTAATAGGAGAAATTAAAGGATAAGGATGTAAAGTCACTTCGAAAAATCTTTGGGATCCAACTTGGGACAATTATGCATCATATGCATTTTAAAATGTATTTCTTCTTTATACTATTTATTTATAGGACACTATATATGGAGTGGCTATTGTATTTGGAGTCTATTATGAATGAAATAACATTTCTAATATTANTTGTTTATTAATGAATTTAAAAGGTTATGATTTAAATAATTATTAAAATTAATCCATTATAATAGTCAGGTTGAATTCTTTTAAATTCATAATAATATCATAGATCGATATGCTAGTGATACAAGGATAACATAATTAAAAATTCTAATTGACAGGAGTTTATATTTAAAAATACTTTCTATATGAACTTAATAATAAAAATATAGATTGAATAGGTTCTAATAAAATTATCATTTCTATCAATTAGTAGAAATCTTTTAACAACTTTTTCAACCAAACTTATATTATCTTAAAATCTTGAGAAAATGTAGGGAGGGTACATCTTAAAATAAAAATTGCCATATAATACTAATAAATTAAAATAAAATTTAAAAGAAAGATAAAGAGGAATTTTAGAAAGGAATTGAAAATTTTGTATGCTGACATAAAACTAAATTTTGAAAAAATAATGATTAACTATAAATTATATTATATAAATATAAATTAATTAACATGGATTCAGGAGGTGCAAATACTTTTGTTGTAGAACCTAAGGATGAAGAAAAGTGAATTTTGAATTCTTATAATTAGATTTTATCCTGCTAAAGTGAGAAAGGTAATTTAAGAAATAATGGATGAAAAATTAAAAAACGAAACTTATGATGCTAACAACACTCCTAATTTGGCAGAAGAATTAGTAAAAAGAATTAGAAGCAAAGTAAGAGAAAGTAAATTAATAATTTCAATAATTCTAAAGCAATAAAAATGCCAAGATTTAAAATTGCTGTTTAAGTTGTAATAGGAGAAATTAAAGGATAAGGATGTAAAGTCACTTCGAAAAATCTTTGGGATCCAACTTGGGACAATTATGCATCATATGCATTTTAAAATGTATTTCTTCTTTATACTATTTATTTATAGGACACTATATATGGAGTGGCTATTGTATTTGGAGTCTATTATGAATGAAATAACATTTCTAATATTACATAGTAATACAAATCATTTATTATATATTTTATTATAGTCAACTATAAATTTATCTCCTTAATAAGGCTTAAGAAAATCATAATTTTAATAGAACTAACAATTATTATTTTTTGGGCATTCAATAAATCTAGATTTTCTAGTATTTTTTGAATATTGATTCGGTTTACTATATTACTTTTAAACCTGTTCATCTAAATAAATAGGTTATCCTATTAATTTAAGATTTTCAAAATAATCTTCTGGAAAAAGAAGTGATTTAAAGTTCCTACATTTAAACTTATCATTTTCATAACAATTTCTTTACATATAATTAACCCTTCTCCAAATCCTCTTTTATTCTTCATCTGTAAAACAAAAATCACCAAGTTATTCTTTTATAATATATTTATGTTCACATAAAGGATGAACTAGTAATCTATATTCAAAATCTCTAAATAGTTCTTTCTTAGATCTTTCTATCTCGAAATGGTAATGAACTTCAGCATAAAATAAATCATATAAAGCTTAACTTGTTTACAAACTAAAAATAGTTCTAGCTCCACCTAAATGTTCTTTATTCTTAGTTATTGTATAGAGATCCTCATCTTCGCAGGGCATAATAAAATTAAGAAAACTAGTATTTATTGATTTAATACTCATCATAGTCCATTTCAAATTTCTTTAGGCCTGTATGTCGATATAAGAAACTATTAATAAATTAATCATCATGCTCTATTTAGTAATGTCTTGCATTAATAAAAAAATACATTAAAAATTATCTGAGGCACTTAAAATTCATGGTAGGCATAGCAATTGATTCAAATATTTGCTTAGTGTCAATACCCTTTTAACTTACTAAATTTATCCTTTTTGTATCTACATTCTATTCTTCCTTTGCAATCAGTTAAAGATGTTTATTTATTCTTGTTATTAAATTTTACATTTGAAATATATTGTATAAGAGTAATCATAATAAATCAGTATATGTTCATTATTATAAAGAATTCTTTTTGTTAAAGTGAAAATTATTAATAATTATTGAATACCTTTGGCTGATTATACAGAGAACAAAGACAATATTTAAATTTTTGAGAGAAATATTCTTTTAAACATATAAAAAATTTAAACCTATCAATTTAACCAAGAAATAGAAACAATTTAGCAATAAATAGTTACTTAGAATGTTTAGATTTTTTAAGTCTTGTTTTTAATATTGAAGTTTTTGTAAATAATTTTTAAGTAAACAAAAAACAAAAGGGGGAATATAATTAAGGTTAGTTGAATAAAGAGAGGAGTTAAAATATTTTAGGAACAAGAAAATCAGTCGTTTATGCTGGTTTCATATGATAGGTAAATAAAATTAAAGTATAATAACAATTAGAAATATCTAGAAAATTATTTTTCTGATAAAATTTAATTTAAGGTTATTAATACATGTGTTTTAAATTGTTGCATGAATCTTAAAAAATTTTCATTAATAATTTAAATAAAAAAAGTTTAGAAAATGCCAAGAAGAAGTGGATCAGCATCAAGATCAACAGCTAGCCCATCAAGAAGTACAGCAACAGCTGCAAGACCAGCTCCATAAGTTTAAGCTCCTTTATAAACTCCAGCAAAATCTGGAGGTATGTTTTCAGGACTTGGATCTACTTTAATGTAAGGAATGGCCTTTGGAGCAGGTTCAGAAGTAGCTCATTAAGCAATTAGATCTGTAATTGGAGGATCAAGTATAATTTAAATATAATTTAAATAGGTCATTCTTAACCAGCTGAATAATAAACTTAGTAATAAGCACCTTAATAACAATAATAAACTTGTTAGAGTGAAAGCCAAATGTTTTCAAATGTAAAATTCAAAATATAATTTGTAGTGTTTATAAACAAATTAAGATATTACAAGATGTCAACCATATATGGACATATTTAAAGAATGTTAAAAGAAATACAACTTATGATGATTAATTATAAATTAAATAGCAATTATATAATATATATTTTCATTAACTTGCTTAATTTGTTTATTTTAATTTGAGTTGTTTTTACAATTGATCAATAATTTATTTTTCTCTCTTAACTTTTTATTCATAATTGAATATCATCAAAGCCTTACCTTATTCAGCATTTAAAATTTGCATTTCTTTTCTTTATCTAACAGCATTCATTTTTCGATGTTTATTACCAGACATCACATATCCTAAACCTTCATATTTTTCTATATCTTCAGATGTTAAACCAACTTCTCCTCTTCTTGGAATACGTTTTCCTGATTAAATATAATAAGCAATTGCAGCACCCTCTCCTGGTAATAATTGACTACCATAATTTGTTCTGTGTTGTAAGTTTTTATCAAATAAAAGAGGCATTGGACCAATTTAACAAGATTTATCATTCTCTTCTTTCTTTTTTTACATTTCTTCATTCAACTTTCTAACTTTTTCAGCAAATGAATCATCAGAATCTGTTTCTGAATAACTTAATCAATATTTTTTATAATTTACTATTGTTCTTCTTCATCTTGTTCTTATTCTTAATCTATTTCTTCTTATTGATTTACTACTTCTTCTTAAATTACAATTTCCTTTTATTATGATTATTATTCTCTTTCTTAAGATTTAGATGGTAGTACTTTTTATAAATGTTCTCCTTTCATAATGGCATCCAATTTAGCTCTTCTTAGTTTATCTTCTTCTTATTTCATCTATTCTTCTATGATATATCTTTGTTATCTTCTTTGTTCCTTCATTGTTTCCAAATCTGAATAAACTATAAGGTTAATACCTTTTCGAACTTCTTCAGAATCACTGTTAAATTACCATATATTTGATTTTTTTATTGATTCTCTTCTTTGTTTTCTTTAAAGTAAGTATTCCTAATATGAAACCTTAGAACGTCGATTCTTTACTTCATCTTCTCTACTCCTAGAAGTAGATGAAGATGATGAAGAACTTCTCTTTTACCATTTCTTTTTCATAATTATAAATAATTATATATTTATTATATATTTGTAATATTCAATTGGTAATGACGATTGATTTTGATTATGTATTTTTATTTCTTCTAAACATAATGCTTTATATCTATTTAGATATTTAAATCATCATTCAAATGATTTATCTTATTAATATTTATGTTATTTTTTACCATTCTTAGTATAACATTAGCAGCATTTACTTTTGATGATGGATAATGTAAATGCAATTAATTGATGGTTGAAACAGAATGTAAATTCAACACACAATGTACTTGGGATGGAGTAGCAAAAACATGTTCTAGAAAGTCATGTACAGATTTAAAAGATCAATGTGCTTAAGTTTAAGGATGTGCATTAGATTCTAATGGAAATTGTAAAGACTTTACCAAGTGTGAGGATTATACAGTCTCAGGATTAGGATAATGTCAGTCTAAAGATAAAACATGTACTGAAGATTAACATACAACAAATGGATACTCTTGCAAAACTGGTACTTATGTGCCTGAATGCTAAAAAATAACAATAAAGGCAGACTGCAAGGGATACTAAAGTTCAACATAAGTCTGCTTTTGGACCTTGAATCCAATGACTAAAGTTTCTGAATGTATGCCAATAAAATATACATCTTGTGAGGATGGATAATCAGATCCCAATTTATGTACTCTTAATTCTTCCTGTAAATACACTTTAGAGAAAAAGTGTGTACCTAAGACTTGTGCAGATGTCACAACTGAATTTTATTGCACATCTATTCCTTAATGGAATAATTCTAAAATGACTTTATGTTAATGGAATGGAAATTGTTAAGATGCTTCAGGAGTTGAAATTTTAACATAAGCTAAATGCTACTCAAGTACATTAAAAAATTATCATTGGAATACTTCAACAAATAAATGTACGTTATGCACTACATCTCCTACTCCATCTACAACAAATACAGGAACAACATCTACAGGCACATCTACAGGAACTACTACAGGAACTACTACAGGAACTACTACAGGAACTACTACAGGAACATCTACAGGAACATCTACTGGTACATCTACTGGTACATCTACTGGTACATCTACTGGTACATCTTCAGGTACATCAACAACAACAGGAACATCTAGCGGAACATCAACAACCACAGGAACTTCTAATGGAAGTAATTTGTTTATATATAATTCTAATAGCCAAACCCAATGATGCTTACACTTAAAATAAATTTGCCTAATTCATAGCAGTTTCATTATTTATGGCATTTATTCAATGATAGATAATTATAATACAAAATAATAAATAATCATATTTTATTATTGTTTATAAATTGTTTGCCCTATAATAAATTATTTTAACTTGTAAAATTTTGAATCAAACATTAAAATTTAAATATACAATTTAATTAAGATTTTATCAAATCTTTAGCTTTCATAACTTAATTTAATTGATTTTAGTCTATTATATAATTATATGGATTTAGGAACAAAAGCCAGGAGTTAAATAAAATTTCTGAAGAAAATTTATTATAATCTGACCAAATTTCTAAAAAGCAGAAAATCATTATAATGATTAGGTAGAAAACTCAAATTATCCACAAAGAAACTATAGGTTCAAAAGTTGCTTTGTAGTATATTATAATATAAAATAGTATAAATTCTCACAATTAACAGGTATAAATTTATTGAATGGCATAACCTCTTTAAGTATTTTTATCTTCTTATAAGAGCTTGAAAATTTATTATTATTCATCTATAAAGTTAATCTTTAATTTTATTTTATTTATTTTTATTATCTATTTATTAGGAGATAGATTCATAATTTTATAAAAACCCAAAAATTTAGAAATTTAATTTAAATAATTTTATTTTCTGCATTCTTGTAAAACATATATAATCACAAGAAGATTCTTACTAGATCATAAATATTTGCAAATTTAAATTTTATTATTATTTATTAATACATATTCACAAAACATATAATTTATATAAAGATTGATTGTAATCTATCTTTTATTTATATTAAAAAATGGAAATCTAATGTTTTCGTTCTTTATATATCATGGAATTTTTTTATTATTTAGTTTGAATTTAATTTGTAATATATTTAATTAAGATGAATCATTCAATTGAATACTTTAATCTTTAGTAACACAAGTTGTATGAATATATGGTTGGGTTAACTCAGAATGTAACAGGAGTAGAGAAGATAGTAATTATATTGAATAATTGAAGTTTACAGAATTGATAGCATGCCTCCATGAATTTAGTTAGAATATATCAATAATTGGCCAAAAGTTTCACTCTTAGATTAGTAGTGGGAATGAACCAGATATTTTAGTTTGTTTATATTAATAAGTGAGTAATTACTTATTACGATTATCATAAAATTGGAACGATACAGCTCAAAAAATAAAGAGTGAAATTGCAGAGCCTTACACTTAATTTGTTTTAAATTTTAGATAAACAAATAGAAGTTTGAACAGTGAATCAAAAAAATAAGTAGCAGAAATTTTGGAAACTAGAAAAGAGATGTGTAAAACATAGGAGGAATATTGGAAATTAATGAAATTATTTGAATAGAAATCAGAATAAGCATAATAAATGATAGATCATATTGAAAAAGGAAATGCAACTAAAGAAGATTTTCAAAAATTATTTAACAATTCTCTAAGAATACAAGAATTAGCAGATGGCATGGAAAAGGACTATAAAAAGTTATTATCAATAACAAATGAAAAATGGAAATCATTTCATTAAGAATGGGATACAGTATTCGCAAATGTTGGCTTAAATGAATAGAGTAGGTACATAATAAAATGTAATATAGAATAATGTTTACAAAGTAGACTGTCAGTTCATTGTTGAAATTATTGCCATTTGATTAAGACTAATCATAATTTGAAGAAAAAGTATCAGATTTAGAACTTAAGTTGAAAGCAGATCCCAAGATACCCATTAAAAAATTAATTGAAAAAAGAATGTAAATTTAAGAGGGTTGTAAGAAAATTAATCATATTCAAGCATTTTAATTTTAATTTGAAGAATTTGTAAGTTTTGAATAATGGAAGAAGAATAATCAAAGTCATGATTAAGCTAATCCCATGTAATAAGTACAAAATTAATGGACCATTGTGGGAGATAAAATTTCAGAAGAGGAGAAAAAAGTAGTGGATAAATATTTACTTTCATTATTTTAAATTGATCTCTCAGATAAATGTGAATAAATAATAAAGATAAAGTAAATTCTATAGAAATCAGCAGGTAGAAATTATTTAATAAATTAATTGAATAAATTACATACTAAATAAATTTAGGATAAATAAGCAAGTAAATTTAGTAGTAATAATAGAATTCTATTTAACATTAACGACAGAATAGTTTATGGAGTTGTTATAATTGATAAGACATTGGTTAAATTATATAGATTTGAATGAAATATATGAATCTGAGGATATTTACGACTTATTGTTAAAATCAATTAGAATAGTAAAGATGGATGGAAAAGAAAGAGTTAATTTGGCTTCTTAATTATCAGATATTCCTTTATGGACAAAAGTTGATAGATGGATAGAATTATTTTAATTCATAAGTGCAAAAAAAGTTGATGAAAAGAGAAAATAAGCTTAATCTATAATGTAATAAACATAAAGTACTATTTTAAAAAAAGGAGTAAGAATTATTGGAAAAGGATTGTCTATGATTAAAAATTTTGGGGCATAATAATCAAATTTGATAGAAGTAAATGAAAGTGAAATCTGTTATATGATATTAGATGAAATTAATCTATTTATTTATTCTCTAAAATTACCATCTGAAATATCTGCTGAAATTATCATCTAAATTGCATCATAATAATAATAAATTGATAAGGATCATGTGGTTAAATTATTAGAGAAATAGGAAGATTTACATAATACTTAATGGAAGAAACTTTTTAAATCTGGTAAAGTAGTTTTGACACACAAAACTGAAAAATATGAGAGAAAGAAATTATATGATTATGAAAATAAAATTATACAAGGATGTGGATCTTGTTTAAAGTAATAAAATATTTAGTTATATCTAGATTTTTATCCATTTAGGATTAACCTTAAAAGTTGCTTTCTTTGAATAGCAATTTTAATAAATAGTTGAAGCATAAGATTAAAAAATTTTATTTGGGAAATTCATAAGTATTTTCAGATGAATCTACTCATTAATTGAGATTGAGATTAATGTCTTAAGCATTAAAATTGAAATAATTAAATATTGATTATGTTGAAATGAAAACTAAAGTAGGAATTGAAATGGATGTTAATAATCTTTATGAAGAAACAATAAAATTGGATGTTTAGAGAAGTCTTCATATTCACAAAGATAAAATTAATTCAAATGTTCTTTAAAGTTTATTAAGAATTTATGCCTTTTATAATTAAGAAGTAGGATATTGTTAAGGAATGAATTACATAGCAGGATATCTTTATTTAACATATTAAGATTAAGAAATTGCATATAAAGCTTTTGATAGAATGATGAATCTCTATTTTAAAGAGTTATACATCAATGATTTTTCTAAATTGGTAAAATTACATAAATATACTAGAAAACTGGATTTTATGCCTTTGAAAGATTACTTTGTATTTTTTTGCCTGATTTATCTTAGCATTTGAAAGACTAAAAAATTGATGCATCTTATTATGTTGCTTCTTGGTTTATTACTTTATATTCTAATGTGTTTCAATATAATTAAAGATCAGCTTTATTGAATGTGATATGGGATTTATTTTTAGCTGAAGAATGGAAAGGTAATATTGAATACTAAAATAGGATTTTATAAAGCGACATTCTATATATTTTCATTAATTCAATAGTAAATACTAAATCTTGAGTTTGATGAGATTCTTCATTACTTAGGATAATTGATCAAATCAGAAATATTTAGTATCACTACAGAATAAGAATTAATTAAATATATTTAGAAATTAGATAAAACTATCAAAGATAATGTATCAATCAAAAAAACAATCCTTTCAAGATTTAGAATTACTAATAGAATGTTAAAGAGTCTTGAATCAGAATATCAGAGTTTTTAATTGAAATTAAATAAAAAGTTTAATTAATGCATGAAGAGATGATTTATTATGATATTATTATATATAGAATATAAGTAATCTAATATCCAATATTACACTTCATTGAACCAGTAGATATAGTTAATGATGTTTGTTATAAAATTGTGAAAATCTCTTATTTTTTAATAATTATAATATATTAAAGATTAATAATTATATTATAAAATCTAAAAATAAAATTAAAGTTTATAAAAATAGATTAAAAGTGATATAAAATCTTCTAAAGCAATTATATGGCTTTGAAGATATTATTAATTTTGAATAATTCTAACAAGTTTAATTGCTTTATTTTGATGTATATTTCTAAGATTAAATTGAATACACAATTTTTTAAAAATATTTCAAGACTTGTAATCATGTACATGATTGTTTAAAGAAGACTGAAAAAAAGTAATTGAATTTTTAGAATTGATGAATTGAATTAAACACTACATAAATTCCATTTATTTTTAGGAAAATATATATATACATATTTATATAATGATGGTTTCTGAGTATTTATAGCTAGATAAGTAAATTAAATTACTTGAAATAAGAGATATCAATTTTGAATGAATAAAATGTTATTTCCTTAACATTATTGTGTCAAATGTGAAAATATATAAAGAATACATTGTCTTTTAGATTCTTTTTTGAGTTCACAAAATTTATATTCATGATAATAGTATATATTTGAAGGCTTATACGTATCATTTTTAAATTAAAATTAAATTATTTTACAGATATGCCTCCCAAGAAGACAATCGCAGAGCCAAATGTCACTGTTCCTAATGGAGATCCTGCAAAAGGAAGAGATATCTTTGATTAATAATGTGCTGCTTGTCACGCTTTTGAAGGAGATGATAAGACTGCATCAGCACCAACTTTAGGGTAAAAGTTTGATTATATAATTTTAGAGGACTTGTAGGAAGAAAATCAGGTTCTACTCAATTCCCATATTCCAAGGGCATGAAAAGTGCAGGCTTCAATTGGACTGAAAAGCACTTATTCATGTTTTTGAAGAATCCTTCTAAGTATGTTGTCGGTACCAAGATGGCATTCGCTGGTCTTGAAAATGAATAAGAAAGAGCTGACCTCATAGCATACCTTGCTAACAATTGAGCAAATATATAAATATAAGATAAAATAAAATTGTGGCTATAAGAGAACCAAATTTAGCAGCTCTTGTCTTAATTATACATGATTCAGTCATTGTTAAATATTTGATACTACTCGTCATTGTAAA